TTACAGATTATTTTGCAAAGTATTTATCAATCACGGGATTGCAAACAAACAAGCGTTTTATTTGTATATAGAAACTAAATATGAAACAACAAAAAATTTCCGAAGTCTAGACTGCAGTGTTGCGTAATTTTATGTAAGTTTGCGCCGGTAGTGAGTCAAACGTACTATTCATACTTTTTAAACTGTCTCTGGGTCATCAGTCACTTTATTCGACTCAGGTGTCAAACCCAACTAATTAGTAAAAAGTGGTCGTCTCGTCTTACATAAAATGTTGCCAGTCTATTAGCTGCATGCGTACATATTTATTTGCGGTTTTTCTTTACTAAAATCTGACATCCATTTTACGATTTGATTAAAGTGAGTCTTTTATTGTCTGGGTGGAAAACCCATGAAGAGGTTGTCCCAATTTGCACGATATTTGTCGTTACAAAACTTTGGGGGATAAAAACAGGTTATCCAATCTTATGTAACACATTACATATCAAAGATCCTCTTCGAATTGACCCCATCATTACGCGGGTCCCAAAGAAAGTGATTTTTCGCCCTTTCTGGAACTGCAACCGCTTTAAACATTAGGGAATGTACATAAAGGATGTGATCGATTTTTTTGAAAAATACAATATTGTCATCCTGTTGGGACACACATTTTACACTCTTAGAAATCCAGTATTCAAATAATACGAAGGGATATTCATGTATGATTCTATGTACCAACGTGGTATTGATAAGTAATACCGTCTAATAACAGCTCGGTATTAAAGTTTTACAATATCAAATGCATGTTTTACCGACCGAGAAATCCATAGCTGCGTGATTATACCAGATTTCTAACAGTGTATTATTAAAATTGGGAAATAATATATTAGTCCCTATGAAACAGTCACATATTTTATGCACGGTCTCTAATCGGATCCAGACAGGTTGATGACGCACAGTTTAATTCATCTTATGCACTATTACATGATGTCTGATTTTTATGTACATATTTACATGCCTGATCAATAAACGCATAAGTATGTACATAGGTAAGTAAGTGTTTTGTCTTACTAATGAAGGTGTGCGAAAACGGTGATAAGGTCTGAAATTGATAACAACTTCCTCAATTATGTTTGCGGTAGGTTTCTGCAATCACTGTCAGACATGAAAGTGCATTACTTATTTTCAGTAACATTTCCTAAAACAATTTGCTATTGAATGCATCTTTCCTCTCCAGACGGTTGGAAAAATGAAGGTGAATTAATTAATTGTTTTTGCGGAGTTCAATCGCAACAAGAAATTGTCTGGTAAATTTTCCTGAGTTAGGTTGGAAAATACAAATAGGTAATTACAGATAAATATTTGTTACACAGGTACTCACATATTTATTAAAGATGCAGTACACTTATGAACGGAATTCGTACAAAATTATCATGCCAAGCCCATCTTCGAGTTCCAAGAAAAGCACAATTATGTTGCTTCATTTCATTATGCATAAATATGATTACCTGATTTGATGACTAAATTAAAAGCAGTATGAATTCTGAAAATACTTAAAAGCAACGAAATATCTATAATTATCATGGCATAGTTTTGTATGATAAGCAATTTAATAAGTACTTAAAGACATATGTATTGGTATTTCATTGTATAAAAACTATGTATATCATGTAGCCACAAGCGTACACTGTTAGAAATCTGGTATAGTCACGCAGGTATTTATTTCTCGGTATTCAAGTTGCTACCGCTTGGTATTAAAATTATGCCGGTCTCCTTAATAATTTTCTATCGATATGGTAAAAGGTTAATACCGAGCTATTACTACACGGCATTTTTTTTATCAATACCACTTTTTCAAGAGTGATATATGAATACCGCTTGGTATTATTTTAATACTTCAGTTTTATGTAAGTGTGTACATACTTATCGTAGTTCCTCACATCTATACATACATACATATACAAGTACACAAGGTCCACAAGAAAAAAATGACTATTTATAGAGTTGCATACAAAAATAAACCATTAAATATGTAGAGCCATGGAAAGTTATAAAACTTGGAAAGTATGAAATCATAAATGCGTGCGAAAATGCACTGACGTACATATTTACTTAATTAACTGACCAAGCATGTATGTATGTACCGCTGCTACATATATATTTTAAGTATGAACAGATACATACACGTGGTTTCGCATGGTTTCGCAATTATTCTAATTTCTCACATGATCTAGTGACACATATAAGCTAGGGTTGCCGCGGGTAGCGAAAATGCTACCCGTTACCCGACCCGCTACCCGCAGCGCAACTACCCGTACCCGCACGGGTACCCGTTCGGGTACCCGTCACCCGCTACCCGTTATGAGAATTAGGTTAAAAACTAACCACACTTCAGAATAAATTTGATTTAATCAATTATTTGTTCATTCGGGTTGATATGTACTTTGAGATAATGATTTGCAAGTAACGCATGCAATAATTTGCTCGTCGATGGCACTCGTTATTTCTGAAACCTTTTTTAAGTTTCAATTGGATCGTTTTTCAAGCAATGCAGGTATTTCTTAGCGATTTATGTATCTATCAAAAAATTAAGCCAAAAAATAGGAATCACATGGCACTTACTTTTCCGTTGAATGACAAGTTTAAAGGAAACTATTGCGGGGGCCGGGTTCAAAGTCCACCCTGGATTTCCTTTAGTGGAGGAAAAAGATACAAAACATTTACTTAAAAATAAGACTTTGCCGCCAATATTATTCTTCGAGAGGGCATTCAACGGGGAGATAAGTATCGCGCGATTCCTAATTTTTGGCCTGCTTTTTGATACACTCGCTTGGAAATCTTTGTGTAGCTTGAAAAAGGTTCAATTTTTTGTTTGAATTTTTTTCAAATTTTAATTTAAATGAAGTTTTCATTCAAAAAATTGTCTACAAATAAATTTTTTGCTTTCAATCGGATTCAGGTTTTTCATCTTCAAAGCGCAAATTAAAATCTCGTCAGTCTTACATAAATACAGACAAATATAAGTTAAATTATTACTGACATTTTAGAGCAGGCAAATTATCTTTGAGAAACAATAATTGCTCTGCATTTTCTGGGCGTGAAAAGCATTTGAGACCGACATAGGCTTCTGTTGCTTCCGCGAAGACGCGCTCGTTATAAAACCTCGTTGCTGGCAAATGACTTTGAAATGGATAAATAATAAATTGACGCTTTTGTTGGTAAATGGACTAACTTGCTACTAACTGTCTTTGTGCACTGATTTGTGTCGAAAATTAAATAAAAACTAAACTACCCGTTACCCGTGCGGGTAGTTCTCGCTACCCGCAGATAACGGGTACCCGCAAGAATTGTGCGGGTATGCGGGTAACGGGTATGCGGGGTACCCGACCCGTTACCCGCGGCAACCCTAATATAAGCTATCGCTTTTATGTGTGTAGCATATTTGCACTTTTACGAAGTGTTTTTAATTGAGATGGTATCTACATATAATAAAATTACTTTTTATTAATAACAACCTTCAATACTGGGAGAGCTGGGGGTCTTCTAACTCTGGACAATTGACGCATGTACCCACCGTGGGTTTTTTATGGTGGGAACTAGACTTCCAGATATGATAGGGAAGATGTGCCATTATTTACATATACATATGTACAATTGTGCATATCTATCTACACATAAATAGATGCGATTATATGTATATGTATTTATATTTTATTACATATGTATATATACATACACTTTTACACATTTCACCTGAAGTTTTTCTGGGATAAAGCCGGTACAAGGAAAAATGCGGATAAAATGTAACCTAGCGTTCATGCATACTGATATTTTTTTTACATGTATGTTTTAGGTACATATATATGTATTTATGTAGCGATGTACAAGGAAGAAAAAGCTTTATGCCGACACTATACATAAATATATAATGAAGATAAGCACATCACATACATATATAACCACAATATATTTATTTACATGCCCTCCATCGTGACAACCTGAACTCGGATACATGCATGGTAATTTCATCATTCTAGACACACTTTGCAAATAAACCATCACAAAAGAAATGTAGCAAAAGGGTGAAACACGTACATAATTCCCCCAAAAATTATATGACCACATCCCTTGATCTCGAGGGGGGTGGTCCTATTTATCCCCAAAATTTCATAGGATCCTCCCCTGAGGGTATGATTCCGCCAACCTATTTCAATTATCTCGATCTCTTCTCTCGCATTATCCTGCTGATAAACGGACAAAGTCTTCGCAAAATAGGGTTGCACCGTATAATCAGTTATTTCTACTTATCCATCCAATGCAAATTAAAATCCCGTCCTGTTCCGCATACTTATTGGCCACAAGGAAAATATAACCAATATACCTAGGTATGTATATGGTACAAAATTTTTACTACAAATTCTTCGACATTCGACCATCAATTAGATATTAACAAGCATGCTTAAAAATCAGGTCCAATCAATCTGAGGGATTTATCGTACAGTTTAGAAGACGTTTATATATGTAATGTACTTGCTTCATATGTACCTACATATATGTACTAAGGTGATCCGGTCTCAAATATTTCTTTTTCTCATCGGTGTCATTTTATCTATAAACAGTTATTCGGTCGTGCTTAGCATGTCAGGACGTACATATGTATGCATCATGAGAATGATGAAAATTGGCGACCACTTTTATACAAGTCACAAAAGAGTCGACCCAGTTCAGTATGTAAATTTGTACATATTTACGATGTGACGTTCGTACCACTGAAAAAGTCTGCTTAATCACTACCAGTTTTTACGCAGTGTAACATTGAGAATGAATTGAGGGGAAATCCCCAAAATCCCAGTCCTGTCGAAGATCTAAAGGTCCCTATGTATGTAAATCTCATTGTTAATTAATTGTGTTGTGTGTATCATGTCGATAAAATATGCATAATCCAATTCAATTCAATTTACCTTTATTCAAGTGTTAGTCACATTCAATCTGATAAGACTGGTTTACAAGTTATAACACATTTCCAGCGACGATGTATATAGAATAAAATTAAGGTGACCATTAATTCCTTAATTATTCATTCATACATATACGTTCAAGCATTACGTCTGGTGTACTGCATATTCACAAAAATAATAACATATTTAAATATGTATAATTAGAACGTGCAATTTATAGTTTATATGTATTGCACTGGGAGGAATAAACTTGCTCGTAGGAAAATGTAACGTGTTTTAGATATGTAAGTATAATTCCCTAATTGTTAGGAGAAAAACTATGAGCTACTTAATGATACATGCACTGGATAAAATAAATTAACATCATTCGTGACTAATGAGACCGGCCGAGTTCGGGGTCTCGCTGGCCAACGTAATATATATAAAGCACGATTAGGATGAGGACAGTGATTGGCACACAAAGTTCTCGCAACAAAATAAATTATAAGTACGTACACATATGTAGGTACGTCTGTAGACCATTTTTCTACCATGAAACAAGTTATTAAAATTATTTTGATATGTACAATTGTATTTTTTTAGGTAATGCCCTCCACAGTTACGACAAAAATAGCTAAATAAGTGCCAAACGAAAATTGGCACATATATGAATATGTACATACATATATACCGTACATGCAAATTAACTAGCATAATGGACAGGAAGGGTGAAAGTGATGAATAAAAACTTCTCTCGCAAGATAAGAGATTATGATAGCCATTTATTTAGTCAATTCAAGTAGTCACGGGTAATTTGTAAAGTCCATAAGTTTGTAAAATAATTTTACGCCCTTGATCTGACAAAAATTGGTAAGCTAATTTTCCCTAGAAATATTCGTAAAATTTTGTAACAGTTTGCAATTTTACAGCATTTACGGAGTTTACAATGTCTCCATGCAAGGATTCCGTGAACTACCTCATTTATTCATTCGTGAGTGAAAGTACATTATTCATTGGTGGAATGTTTTCACTATACATACATATTTATTTTTAAGCCGTGTCCAGTAAAGTGAAAGTTTTCTGTTGTTTTGTGACCTGGCGTTAAACTTGGATTTTATTACATAAACATACTTATACAGCTATTCAATCACATTTACTAAGGATAAGTAATTCAATTTTATATGTAGAAAATAAAAAACACACGTGGCAATAAATCTTGCCAAATTATGTACATAAATACGGTTTGTTTCTTTCATTACTCAAAAATCTTTTACTACAATAAAGACATTCAAATTGATACATACAGCAAAAAATGTATCTTTATGAATTTATACAATACACTACCCCACCTTATCTATGCTTCGTCTGACTTCCACGTCCCCCCAAGTTCCTTGATGTTCAGACCCTTCCAAAATTTATCACTAACTTCCCACGAGTCTGGAATGGGTTCAACTTTTGCTCCTTTTTCGATATGCATCCACTTCTTGGGCGATGTACCATGCTCGTTATACGCTGGCCAATCAACCCAAGGACCGTTTGGCTTCCTAAATAAAATATGTAATACAAATATATACGTACACAATACATTGAGAGTATTCATCCTTCCTCTACATGCTTATTCCTTAGTATTTTTCGTATCGCAACATAAATTACAACAGTTACGAGATTTTGTAAGCGTCGTAAGATTTTGCATTAAAAATCAGGTTACTGAGCTTAATATGTTTGCAAAGCTTGGCCCCTTGTTTCTCCTTCGTAAACTATTTTACGATACTAAGGATATGTACGCAGACAATGTTGAACACTCTCATTAAATGTCAAATCACAAAGATCGTACCCCGTGGCAGCAAAGGCTACCCACGTGGCCACCACTTCTCGAGAAAATTGCTCGTCCTCGTGACCCTTCCCAATAGTTGCGAGCATCTGGGCGAATTCGCCGGATACTTCGAACATGTATGTAGTCTCGTCGTCGTGGGACGGAACTCTTCGACTTTTTTCGTCTAAAAATTCGTGAATCGGTATACAAAGCATTTGCAACTTCCAGAAATTTACTCGCATGTTTGTAACCTTGTAAACTTTATAAATTACAAATTTTATAAAATTTTGGAAAAATAACGTGACTAAAAAAACAATTGCCCCCTTCCACAGGTGATTATAGCATATTTTTAGGTGCAATTAAATAATTTATATCTTTACTGGGTTACAAAAAAACTCGCTAATTCTATCTCATACCGTCTTTCACGGGCACCATCTGGGTAAAATTGTATAAATAAACGGGCACGTGTTTTGCATATAGATCCGCAAAAACACGGGTCGAGTGAACAAAGTGGCGGTCGGACATGAGCGACTCGTAACCCGAGGAAGAGGACGCGTCGATTTTCACGTCGCCAAAGAAGTGCGTCCTAATCGCGTGACTTGTTTCGCCCGGATCCTCCGCCCTTGACGAATTAATTAGTAATGTTTTCTGGAACTATTTGAAATGACTGTCTCAGCTTCTGGGGGCTGTGGGGCAGGCATTTTTCAAAGTAGAAGGCTGAAATTTTGCACACAACTATCTGAGGATAACATGCTCTTCTGTTCAAAATTTTGACCCGCTACGACAAACCGTTCCGGGGTTATTCAAGGCCAAATTCGTATCCACCAGGCTGCCCTCCCTTTAGTACATAGATATCACTCTCTCTACGTGAATAAATATTGTTATTTAGTATGTTATATGATGATTGGTATCCTATAATACGTGAAGAATGGAAAGATGACACGGCATAATTAATAAGTCGGACCAATTGATGTAAACCATTGCTCGAAAGAATGGTTGAGATCATCTGGCAGAAATTTAGGGCTAGACTCTGTCCCTGACTTGCTAAGTTAAAACTGCATTGGGTGATTGTTGGTATTTTAAATCTGTATGGAATTACTATTGAATTATATACATACATATGCATAATAATAAAAACCATGAAATTTTCAAGTTTGAAAATAATACTGAATTTGACATCTTTCTATTTCTACTACCAATTCATATGTAGGCAGAAATTTAGCAATAGACTCAGGCTAGAGATATGAGCATTGCATTGTAGGCAATTTTTTTAAATTTATTCAATGAATGATCCTTACAAGGCTCATGGCCAACACAATTACAGGTCAATTTTCTGCATGATTTAAAAATACAACGGGTTACATTCATTGCTTCCATTTCCGAATATCTAAATCATTTATTTTTAGAGGTTGAAACACAAATTTGACTTTTCAATGTGACAATATAACATCATTCGTAGTACAACAGCATAATAAAAATTCCATGTGGCATATGTATTGCAGAAAACTTGTCTCGAGGAAAAATTAGCTATGTACATAAATACACTTGCAGAACTACTTTATTGACCACCTGCAATTAATCAGTATTACAGAAGACTCACAATTTCTATTATCCAAAACTGAATCGAGCTTTCTTTAGGTATCATTTTACATATAAATGCCATAGAAATGACTGACCAATTGCATATGTAAATACATATGTACATAATTAACTTCGGCATATTAATTTGACAATAGCAAATGAATTCTCTCAGCGAATCGTCGTGGTAGTGTGAGGTTTCTCATAATGTCAGTACAATCACATTTTGCAAAAAAACGAGTTCTCCTCAAATAACGCCATGAAACACGATGAGGAGAATGATTGGTGCACACAGTTCGCAAAAAATCTGTCAGTAATTTTAAAATAATTTATAAGTATGCGCCTATATATTTATAAATATGTAGCCCATTTTTTCTACTTTGAAATAAATGTACATCGACGTAAATGACCAAAATTATTTTGGTTTGTATGTATGTGCAATTATATTTTTCTTAGGCGATGCTGTACATAGTAGTTGCTTATTTGCGAAAAAAACTAAATATTTGCACAAACCAAATGCAAATTAAATCACATAATGGGAAATAAGAGTGAAAGTTGCGAAGAAAACTTTCTCCGCTCGCAGGATGGGGGATTAAATTAGCCATTTATTGACACAATTTATGCAGTCATTAGTAATTTGTAAGATCCGTAAGTAAAATAATTTTACACACTAAAATAAAAACACGCCCTTGCCCTAAGAATATTTACAAAAATTTGTGAGCTAATTTCCTTTAGAAATATGTATAAAACTTTGTAAAAGTTTGTATGTACAGAATTTACAGATTTTATCTGCTAATAAGTAGCCAAATGCCACCAAGGGCCAATCCTAAATGGATATGACTCCCGTTGTTTTATTGTATCCCATTAAAGTAACATTTTAAGTACATATATCATACAGGTACTCAACCACAATACAAATTTATTAAGTAATTCCATTTTCTGTGCATAAAATAAATTCCGAAAATTCCAATAAATTCTGTCAAATTATCTATGCAAATATTGTTTGTTTCTTTCATTACTCAAAAATCTTTTACTACAATAAAGACATTCAAATTGATACATACAGCAAAAAATGTATCTTTATGAATTTATACAATACACTACCCCACCTTATCTATGCTTCGTCTGACTTCCACGTCCCCCCAAGTTCCTTGATGTTCAGACCCTTCCAAAATTTATCACTAACTTCCCACGAGTCTGGAATGGGTTCAACTTTTGCTCCTTTTTCGATATGCATCCACTTCTTGGGCGATGTACCATGCTCGTTATACGCTGGCCAATCAACCCAAGGACCGTTTGGTTTCCTAAATAAAATTAAAAAACCACACTACAAACATACTTATGTATTTGCATACATAGATAGATATGTATGTATGTACACTTGTAGAAATCCAATAGTAAGATGGTATACCGAGCGGAATTCATATATGACTAATAGTCATTGACTATACCAAAATCGTATTGATAATTAGTATCGTGTAGTAATAATTCGGTATTAAAGTTTTATTATGTCGGTAGCAAAGTTTTACGGTCCAATATAATTTGAATACCAACTGGTAGCCACTTTAATACCGAGAAATCAATACCAAGTTTGTATTACCAACCTGACTACACCAGATTTCTAGCAGTGTAATACAGAAGATGTTAAATCACGAATATCATACCCCGTGGCAGCAAATGCTACCCAAGTGGCCACAACTTCTCGAGAGAATTTCTCGTCCTCGTGACCCTTCCCAATCTGGTTGAACATCTGGGCGAAGTCACCGGATACTTCGAACATGTATGGAATCTCGTCCGCGTGGGATGGAACTCTTCGACTTTTTCCGTCTAAAAATTCGTGTATAAATCATTGTATAAATCATTTACTTAACTTTTCAGAAATTCACTTGCATGCTTGTAACCTTGTAAACCCCATAAATTAAAATGTTTACAAAACTTGAGAAAATGTCTCCGGTGCAAATGACTACTTGCAAGAAATAACCGCAAAAAACTGGGTTTTGGCAGGTATTTTGACCTGCAAGAAATGCAAGGCACAAGAAGCTACTTCTCGCCAGTGTAGTTCACACGGCGCGTCGCGAGATAGCGCACATTTCTTGCACTTGCTTGCAGTTTTTTACACCTTGCATTTCTTGCTTTGTAGTCCAAGAAATATATTTGGCAAACCCGCAAAAAACGAAATACTGAATCAAACAAAAAACGATCCGCCTTTCCACACTTGACTTATATACGCATATCCTTACTTGCACAATAATTTATGTACACGATTACTGGGTTACAAACCGCACGAAAACTACCGCATTTACCATCTTGAACATGCGAATGTTTCACGACGGGTACCATCTGGGTAAAATTGTACAAATAAACGGGCACATGTTTCGCATATAGGTCTGCAAAAACGCGGGTCGAGTGCACAAAGTGGCGGTCGGACATGAGCGACTCGTAACCCGAGGAAGAGGACGCGTCGATTTTCCCATCGCCAAAGAAGTGCGTCTTAATCGCGTGACTTGTTTCGCCCGGATCTTCCGCCCTTGACGAAAAGAATAGAAAATTCGGGGCGATCCGACCCCACTGATGATTCAATTTCTTAACGAGACTGGCATTCTTAAGGGTGTGAGATATCATGCCGTTCGTTTCAAAAGCAGCTATCCCAATGACCATGGGAACTTTGGAGTAGTTTCCGGCAGCGGCAAGCTTGTACGGGTCACAGGAGAGGAACACGTCTACAGTGGAGTTGTCAGGGGGAAGGTATGTTTCGTACGAGGGGCTCATATTGATAGCGGATTCGTCGAAACCCTGCAGAAAAGTGGATTTCGAAAATTAAATTTCTGAAGTTTTCGTTTTCTTACAACTTACAAGTTCATTAATCATACGGCTGTACGGTCCAATAACTTTGGGGTCCAGTCGCTGTAAGCATTCGACCAAGTATTCCATATTGCTTGACGGACAGTCCACCTCCTTGGCCAACTTGACTGCGAGGCTGGGACCGTCGACGCCATGATAGAAAAATGGCATCCCGGCGGTCCCACTTTGCATGATTGCGCCGTGAAAGAGACCCTGCGCCATGGGCGAAACGGTCAGAAGGGAGACGGACACGCCGCCGGCAGATTCGCCAAAAATGGTGACTTTATTCTTGTCTCCGGAAAAGTGGGCGATATTGTCGCGTATCCAACGAAGTCCGAGGACTTGGTCTTTCATGCCTGGATAAAAATTTTGCATAATTAATTGGTTGGCAAAAACTGCTAGTATTTAAATATGTCAACAGTCATACCTTGATTTCCTCTCGCACTTGAGACTCCAGCATTGAGGAATCCTAATACAAAATTTGCATATAAATTTTTGCATGCATTTTTCATAAATTAATTTATGATGTAGCAATGTATGATGTATAAAATGTAGCAATTGCTACATTTTATGTAAACTCGTGGCTCACCAAATGCGCCCAAGCGATAATTTATAAGGACCAAAATGACGTTCTCATCCATAAAGTATGACCCTCCATACGCGTTCTTCGATCCACCGACGAAACCACCCCCGTAAATCCAAACCAAAACAGGGAGCAACTTCCCACTTTCCGAGGACTCATTTGACGGTAACTATGCAAATTATTACAAAAATTTGCATGAAACTGATTTGCATAACCTACTTGAAATTACACTTAATTACATGTGGCGTGTAGACGTCCAAATTAAGGCAGTCCTCACTTCCCGTCACGCTCCAATTATCAAACCCAGTGTTAATACATTCAGGTCCTTTTGCGGTCGCAATTTTAACCCCGCTCCAACCATCGGCCGGTTTAGCCATCTAAAGTTGAATTTAATTAGTTATTAATTTCCTCCCATAATTAACCAACTTTAACGATACACATTTTTTTAAGTACCTCAAACCGTTTCGCAATTTTCCCAAAGGGCACCCCATAAAAGGCATTGAATTTCCGTCCACCCCGACTTATTTCAGTCTTCCCCTGAAGCACGCCTTGACCCAGATGAACCGTCGGAGGTGGTGGGGTTGGCAACGATAAGTCGTCCACGCCTCCCACACCGATAAGGGCCACAACACCCACAAATGAAAATATGATAACCCGTTTCAACTCCATTTCTACACTAGTCAGCATCAAAACGTGGACTGAACGAAAATTTGTACCATGGACTTATTTTATAAGTTCATGAACTTATTTATTATGCATAGAAGTGCATACGAATTGAGTGGCCTTGCTGGTACTAACTCATCATGCAAACCTGCAAAAAAACCCTGCTGCTGGAGAAAGAACGAAATTGTGACGATTAATTCGCACGTATTTTTGCATGAGTCTGCACATCCACACGAAACAGCAAATATTATTTTATAATCACTCTCCCAGTGAGTAAATATTGTTACATGTTAAATATTATGATGGCTATCCCATAATAAGTACATACGTGAAGAATGGAAAGATGACACGGCATGATAAAAATTAATAGCTCGTATTTTTACAACTCGGACCATATCACGTCCAGTCTTGTCCAATCTTGTCTTGTCATGTCCCAATATCTTTTGCATGTGGAGTTATTACATAATTAATTATGCAAATTAAATAACCATGAAACCCTCAAATTTGGCAATAATACTGGATTCGACGTCCTTCTATTTTTACTACCAATTCATATAAAACATTGCTCGAGAATGGCTCATCATTTATAATAATAAGTATAATTCATGTACTTGTGTGTGTATTTATACCTGTGGTAATAATTTTAAATAATAATTAATTAATCTCCCCTCCCCTTAACTACTACAAATTCGAACTTATTACGAAATACGCGTGTAAATATTTAGATGAGCTATTGAATGACTAAACATGTATATTGTGATTATTATTAATTAATACGTAATTAAATAACACGGCACCCTCTAATTCTTTGCTTATCAGTTCTTATTTTGAATCTCTTCAGTCTCTGGTTTAGTTTCTCCTTGTTCTTCTTCTTTTTTATCGTCATTCGGCTTCTTCTTGTCGTCGGGTGGGCCTCGTGTGTCCATTCCGTCGTCGTCTTCATCGTTGTCCTCTTCCTCGTCAGGAATTCCACTCGGCGGCGAAATCCCCCGCACCAGGGTGTCAATCGTACCGAGGAGGAGGTTTATCAGATCTCGAGTTATGAAACGTTTCTGTGTCGCGACTTCCTTGCTGAAAAGGAGGAATGAATTGGTCGACGTGGATGACGAGGAGGTTGAAGAAGTCGAACTGGAACATCCCGAGCAGGTCGAGCCGGAAGGAACGGTACGGTCAGATGAGGACGACAATGATGACGCCGAAGTTCCCGGCTGCGGGTCGCTTAGCGTTATGTTAATATTATCCTGGTTTTCAGTCGTGGTCGTGGGGGATAGTTTTCTCTTCTTGGCGGGAGTTTCGCCTAAAAAATTGGGTAATTATTATTAGTATTAATAAGGAATTTACTGTGTAACAATTATAAGTTTTTATGTTAATTTCATCTTCGTAATATTTAGAAATTTGTGGAAATGTTTATAAATTTGTGGAGTTCATAAATATTCGAGTAAAATGCACATTTTCTTACCTCCACTCGGTGATGCCTCGCTCGCAGCTTCTCCTCGACTCGTCCCCACTGAAATAGTTGAGCTTAATGTGGTAACGAGTAGCGATTCGAGGTACGAGTTTAGCTGCCGTAGAGCCGAGAGGAGCGACGGGATCGTCGGCGCTGGGGCGGGAAGCGGGGTTGGTGTCGATCCCTTTCTATTTATGGTGGGCAGGTAAAATAGAGAGATCACTTTCAGGTCACCCAGTATCCCCATGGCGAGCGTTTCTACGTCCATTATCTTTTTGGTAACCAAATTCTGCAAATCAAGCTTTATCGAGACGAGTTGTTTGCAGATTTGGTCCGTGGTGGCGATCTTGTCGAATATCTAGTAAAAGATAAGTCATAATTAGTCACTCAGAAAATTATATTTAATGATATTCAATCCCACCTTTGGAAAGTATGTCGCTAGAAAGTTAAAAATAACGATATTCGTCAGACAAGTTCTTTCCTCGAGGATGACGTACTCCACATAATCCGTGAAATAGGTCGTGTTGACTAGCATAGTGATGTATTTCCGGTCGATGCTCTGCAAAATAATTGGTTAAAAATTAATCACTACATTCGCACCGGAAACTGTCTCCTCTTCATACTCACCGGCGTATTATAAACTTCGAGCCATAACTTGGGGAAGTGGATGAAGTGGAGGGGGGCTGCCTCATAGCCGAGCATGGCGGACAGCGTGATCAACTCTTGGTTGACGGCGTCCTTCATGAAGGCGACGCGACACATGAGATCCACGTAGAAATGGTACTGACCATAAAACTCTTGCAGCTGCCGGTCATACTCTTCGTCGAGACCCTGTAAAAAAATTATGCAAAGATTAGTTACGTAAAGTTCTCTTAACTATTTATTAAAAATTACTACTCGTCCGTCACTAACTTTGGCAGTCTCTTGGCCCAAATGTGGAAACGCCATTTGCAACATGGGTCGCGGTGGGCGAACGGTGTGCTTCAAGGGTCCTCCTCCCCCGTGTGAAGACGACCTTTTCGGAAAGTACGGTCCTAACGTGGGTCCCATTCCAGACGTTTGTGCATCCTGGCAGGCAGTGTGCCAATGGACCATGAGCGGAACCAGAGTGCGGAGCGTGTCCATCGGCATTGTGTATAAAAATTCAGTCAGTGCATCTAAATCAATCACAATAATTCAGTAACCAGCACACAATTAATTACTATTTCAATTCCCTCACCAGTCGCCGAGTTTCTTAGATCCGCACAATTGTACGTATTCAGCAAAGTGGCCAACTTCCTCAACACTTCTGGCCACTCTTTACACGCAGAGATGAACCGTTGTATCGGCACGTCCCCGCTGGCACTTGTGCCTTGTTGCGACATCCCGTGGGCGAATTCTTTGGGGCGGAAGGTTCTCAAAATTTCTGAGAGGAGGGAAAGTAAGTCGACCAATTCGCCCGTTACGTGACACGCAGTTGCCTCATGGTGCATAGTATGAATCATGTTGATCGCTTCTAGTAGAACAATTAGACCGTTATGCAACACAAAGTAGACGCGATCTTCCACCGTTTCGATGAGAATTCGTAGCGCGGAAATTAGCGTCCCATAGGACGAGCGGACGTCGAGATTCTGCCATAAATTAATTATTATACACACTCAATTACTTGACAGGAATTACTTAATTTAACTCACATTTAAGTACAACAGTATCGCGTTCTTCCTAAACGCTCCGACCTCTTCAGCTTCAGCCTCGCTCGCATCAGGATGTCTCTGGGAGATTATTTGCATCAATTTGAACAACTCGTCAACCGCCTGCACATAAAGTGACAATAAAAATTAAATAATTCCTCAATTGTGAGTATTTTCAATTAAATCCTACCGCAGGATATTGTGTCTGATATGGCGAAATGTTCTTAAACGCCCAAGTAATATTTTGATGTCGGGCAAGCGTTACTGCAAATGCACGATTTTGTGTGCAACACATTCTCATGATGGAGTAATACGCGGGGAGCATGGTTCTATTAAACATGACGACTTCTTGGTCCTCGTGATCCGCCAGAATATAGTTGAACCCGATCTGCTTTACAACCGCGGGGTTGGACGTGATCCGCTGAATGTTCTCGGGACAATCGGTACACGCATGGAGCCAGAAGGTTAGCAGGGCGGATTTATTGTGGTGACAAGCAACCGAAGGTTCCGACAAGCGAGGGTGAAATAGGTTCCACAAGTCAAGAAAGTGGTGACCAAACTGTGACAGAAACACAATTAATTTACCGGCCATGAATTTAATTGCTAAATATCCATTACCAGAAGCTTCTCCGTCTTCGTCACCGTGAAGTAGGTGAGCACTCCAAAGTACGCGACCAGTTTTGACGTCCCGTGGGAATTTATCTCCGTGTAGTGTCTCGCCGGTTTGAGGAGTTGGAGGAGACGATGATAAATCTAGGCCAATAAAATCATCACCATTTAATTTGCAATGCTAATAATGCATATGCTAACCACTGATTAATTATTACTCACATCATGCAAAACACCGAGCGCTTCCCCCGTAAGCGGGACAAGTTCTCTACTTGCAATATTCCCCATTCCATACACTTTCGTGCTCCGATATCCCTGGCGAAATGGTGTCGAAGGAACGAGAGATACCAAGAGAGTTGCGGCCGCTGTGTATAGAGCAAAAATAAAAATCGTCACAATTTATATAAATACGTACTTAAAAAACAAATTCCTCACCGTTTCGAACCCGCTGGTTGTTATTTCCCAGGAGGAAGTGCTCAACCCATGTTCCGAGGGAGGATAAACACCATGAGTGGACAACCTTGTTTCGCGGGACTTGTGCCCCCAACCATTCCAATGTCGGATAGGGACAGATCTCAGCCACCTCCATGATACGGGAGAGGATCAGCTCGGTAAACTTGGGCATTCCGACAGGGCCGGAAACTAGCTCGGCGAGAAGATTAAGCACTTTAAAGTAGGGGTGGCACATCTATTGAAAACATATTACAAATTAGTAACAATACTATTTTAACATTTCGGGCCAGCTTTGTAAAATTATCCACCTTACACACTGTTTTAATTTTACCAACATTAGTTTACAAGTTCATGAAATTTCACAGTTTATAATGCATGTATGGATAATTATGACCCTTTTTGTGTTACTCACATCCGGATGTTTGTTGATCGCTTGGAATATCGCGATGACAATGTCTTCTGCCAGCTTCTCGTTCCATCGAGACAGGGAAAAGATCATGTTTCTCGACTGGTTGTAATTTATCCCGTCACGAATCTGCTGCAGAATGAAAGGGAACATTTGGAAGTGGATCGTAGCCTAAGAAATTTAAGCAAATAAGTTAGGATTCTTTCACAAAAATTCTCTCAAATGCAAGTTAATCTACCTTTCTCGGTGACATGAGCGCCTCCCTATCACTCCGCGACAACTTGAGAACGTTGCTCTCGTCGCGTGACTTCTCTACTAGTGTGGCAATTAGGGCAATCATCTTCTCCAACGAGGCAACTTTACTCTTCTCCGTTGGAATGGAAATAATTTCTTCTTCCTCTTCCTCCTCTTCCGAGCCGAGTTCTCCACGTTCGATCTGGATGTAATACGACATTAATTAAATAGGATTTGACCTTAAAAATTAGTAAATTGTTCTACTCACCGCCTGCTCGCGTTTACTTCCCATGTAGAAATTCACCATTCTCGAAATAGCTTGGAGATGAATGAGCAGGAGACACTCTTCGTCGCCCAATTTGGTAAAATCATGTAAAAATGTGAAGTATTCGGCAAGGTTTTTCAAACTGGGTTTAGCACTCTGATCCAGCTGTGAAAAATTATGTAATTATTAGTCAAAAATTAGGCTACGACTTTTGCAAACTTGCAAAAGTTTGCGTACATTATTTAAATTTCATATTGTTCACTAACCAGTGAGAGATATCTCTGAATGAATTTCGCGACACAGGAAAATGATCCAAATTCTGACATCTGGATATCGTCGGGATGGTCAAATTCCATCCCGTCGGGCATCTTACTGTAGAGGTTGAGCTGATGGGGGCGGAGATTTTGGACGACATGGAAACAGAGCCGACCAAACATTGAGCGGACGAGTTGGTTCGGACATTTGAGTAGAATTTGAGGCAGCCAAGAGTTCTCTGGAGACGCCATCGTTTCCAAAAACCAGGCCGCTGCGGAGGGTGACATGACCAATTGTTTCGTCAACAATTCCATCCACTGCATCATGGTGGGCTTCTCCTTCGCATGGATAAACGTCTCGAGAAAAAAGGTCGACGATAGCTTCGCCGCGAGGATCATGACCTGTTCTTGACCGTGTAGGGTGACCGGAATTTGGCAACAAACTTGCGACATGAAACTGTAAAAAGTCATATAGAAATATTTAGAATGAGAGTTTTAGTAATTTCGACGTGTTGCCGATTATACATAATTTGATACATAAATATATTAAATTGCGTCATATTTTAGTTAATTGCTTTGAAATTTACACTAAATATTAGCACTCTTGACTATTAAGTGACGAGTTACGTTACGAGAGCCGTGGATGTATAACCTAATTTTGAATGAAAAATTTCCGTCGCCAATTTTGTTCTCCTCGCCACTTACTTGAAGTACGTATGCTCGAAGATGTTCTTATCCTGGAGAAATTGCGTATTGTCCATCCAAATCCAGTCCTCCAACTCCTTACTGAGCTCAAACGTGGGAACTTCTACTGCGGGAACGGTCGACATAACCGTCGGACTAGGGATTGGGACGGGGACCCTGTTATGATGTGACGAAGACGACGACCCACCAGGAAGTGACATGGACTGCGCCGCTAGCACCATAGCGCTCATCGAATCTTTAGGAATGGGGGATCGTTCGTAGAACAACATGTAGGCAGAGTTGGTCTTCTCGAAAGAGAAATCTAAAAACTTGTCGGTCACCGAGTCGTAAGTCTTGGTCTGCAAATAGAGAATATTGAAAAAACCAAGTCAAATTTCCACCACAAATTAATATCATCTCAGACTTACACTCATCTCTCCTCCGAAACATTCTGCGGGGAGCTGATTGGGATCGAATTGCTTGACCTCGGCGTCATTGAAGAGGTACCATTTGTCTCGGTTGGGTGGTAGGCGATCCCGAATGAAAGAGTAGTAGTGGCCGCCGTCAGCAGTCCCGGTGTGTACTGTGACTCCGATAAGGTCGTACGTGCAGCACTCTTCCTCCAGGTCGACACTATCACTACCACCACTGGTTGAAGAGTTGGCTCTCTCCTCCGCGTACTGCTGAGGCATGAGGGTCTTCTCCACGTAGCCGGACATATCGAGCTGGATTGGGAAGGAGAAGTGGGTGTTGACCTTCTCTTTCATCATCGTGATCTAAAAACACAAAATATTTTAGGTTTAACGCCAGTAGTGTGTGCCAAACATTTTGTAAACTTGTTAACTTTACAAGGATTATTTACAAGAATTGAATTATTCATTGGTTTAACTAGAATTTAAACTTTCTCACCATATTAAACGTGTAGCGCATCGTGTTGAAACATATCACTTTGGGGAGTTTCTTGAAGCAGGCTCTGTAAAAATAATAATAATTTCAAATAAGAAGATCACACCAAAACCGAATAAAATAAAAATGATCACAAACCTCTTCTCTGCTCGGACTTTCTTTCCACAGGTCGAGCATGTGTACATATTGTCCCCTTCGAGGGTATCCTTGACCGTGACCTCATCCAGAGATTCGTACAGATTCCGCATGTCTGCTACTTGGCAGCGCACAGTGTAAAATTCTTCCAATGTTCGAGATACATGGGGGCAGTCCTGCATCGAAAATAATATTAAAAATTGACCATGACTTGACCATTTCTCATTAAAATGAATAAATGAATTCACTTACCAATGACACTACATTATTACTCGTCACCCCACAGAACAAATTCTTCACCAATTTCCTCAACTCTGGCGTCATTTCCTCCAGTTTAGAAACAAGGTCGATAAAGAATTCGGCCATGTCTTTCTGCTCGCCGGTATTTAATGGTTTGTGGTCCATTTGGTACATTTTACAAAATCCTCGTGGATTAAACGCCTTCCGTTCAGATTCCATCAAATAAGCGAACATTCTCTGAAGCTCTCTGAATGCAAATTAAAATCAACACAAAATTAGCACATTTACTTTAGCAATAAATATGCATCCTTTATTACCTCAACGTTGGCTCGTGTCGATTCGCTTCCTGGTTGAACTTGGCCCCTAAAATTGCCCCACGCGCAGGTGGCATCATGTACAAATGCTGCATACAGGCCGCCATATAGCAAGTCGCGCCTAAATTGGTGAGTCCTACGAAGCCACAGATCGCTCTACCGTCCTCGTGTGGCCAATAGTCCCAAACATACGGAGTGTGCGATTCCGTCCCGTGCTGTTCCAAGAGAAGTGTTCCCAACTGAAAATAGTTGTCTGGACAGCACCGCGCCATCTCGGCGAGCAGGTCGTACGCCGCCGACCTAGCTGGTGGCGACTTGCATTTGGGGAGGTAGCGTTGTGAAGGGGACGGGAGGCAGAAAAGGGTATCGAAAACTTCTTTCAGGAAACGTTGTCCTGCAGGGGACGACTTGAAGGGTGGGTTGTGCTTCATTACGACGTTCATCACAGTGAGAAGTCCTGCAAAATTAATAAAGCAATGTAAAAAAAAATCTCATGCAACCTGAACCCTGATTCATCATCGCCTTACCAACTAGCCCATCGTCACACACAGTGTTGTGTCTCGTTTCTAAATAATCCCTCGTCACGATCGCTTGGCGTAAATTGACCGCCAAAGTGTCCAAGTCAACGGCGGAAGCTTCCGGTTTTTGGATGCTCTCACGGACCGTGGTTTCATCTAAAGAATCGAGAAGTCTCCCTAACAGCCAGAAATAGTCGCGACACGCCGGACCGTATGGTTCTTTGCCGTCCTCGATGGAAGAGAGGGATGAGGACGACGCGCTGACCGCCGTCCAGCGGATGTTGAGCGACGCGGATAAGGACGTCAAAAGGTGGGCGATGAGCTGGGGAACCGCATCAAGACCGGTATTCCCTTCGGTCGAGATGCCCAAACAGAGGCGGTAGAGGCCCATGCAGATTTCACGACGCACCACAGGCTCGGGGTCCTCAAGTACGAGTTTTCGTAACCAGGTGGAAAATCCGGGCTGCGAGTAGAGCGTGGCGCGGACATCTCGGTGGGAAAAGGACCAGCAGATAAGCAGCGCCATGGCGTAGTGGACCACCTAGAAATTAATAAATACAATTTTAAATCGCGCATGCACATATTTAGATTAGTTGCTATCATGGCTGCGACATACTGACCTGTGCCCTCCCCCAAAATCCAGTCTTATATGCATTCGGATCCCTCGGATGGGAGCACGCTTGTAAAATAAAGGTCAATCTTGGCATCACCAGTTCCAACTCCATCACAGATATCATCGTCTACTCCCAAAAAACATTATTATTAAACCACGAATTAATTAACTATCGAATTAGTTAATCCATCTCATCATCACCTCGTTCAATCTCGGGATGGGTGTTTTCTCCGTGGCGGAACCCTTCCTCCGCTTCACCCTCTTCTTCGGAGCTTCATTAACATCGTATAATAATTCGGAGAGATGTTCCGTCTCTTCCGGAACGACGCCCAAGTAGCACAAAATTTTTAACAGAGACGCCAAACAGTCCTGTTTCCACTCTGACCAGTCCTTTCCTCCCTCGGAAAACTCCAGCACGCCCGATGTAAAGATGCCAAACAGGTGGCGAAGTCCGCCCTGGGAGACGAACCTTTGTCGCCACGGCAACACAGTCGCAGCCGCCTCATCCTCCAAACTATAAAAAAATCAACCCTTAAGCAAGATAATCCAAATAAATTTTACTATCAATTAACTAACCCCTGTGGATTGCTATTCATCTTGACCAAGGCTTCCACAATGTAGAGCGAATACATCAATTTTTGTGGTGACGAGGGATCCAAAAGTGACCGGAAGTCGTCGCCAGTGTTTTTAAATCCTGCATGGATCTCGGGGTTGGTGGGGAGTAGCATCAGAATATCCCAGACGCGACGCGAGAGGACTTGAGCCTTCGTGTGAGGTCCGGATCCAGTCTTAATTTCGGCGAGGGATTGCATGAGGGAGAAAAGGGCTTCAAAATGGGTCGGCTGAAGGAGAAGGGTGACGGGAAGCTTGTCTCTGGGCGGGGGTGGAAGGGAGGACGAGTAGTCGACCCCGCACGATGGGGACGACTGCGAGGTGGACGACTCACGCCCCTTGTTACGAGAGGTTGGACGAGACGCCCCCATGGACACGTAGACGATCTGTCAAATGTCATAATTTTATGATTGAAATACATAGTTTTTGCAAAATTATACTAATTATTCTCCTCACCTGTAAATCTTTAATTGGCACCTCGCCAATAAATTTTTCATCAAAATCGGCCGATAATTCGATTCCCTGGGTAATCATCCTGATCGGTCCTTCCGCAAGCAGAGACCCCAACACGGGCGTCGTTGATGTCGACGTTTTATCACTTCCGCCCCCTCCAGCCACACGCTCCCACCATTTGGCGACTTCTGCCCTTAAATCGGCCACATAATCAGAAGTGGTGAGTTCAAGGGTCACCTTTTCGTGGTAACTGGCCGGCTGGATTACGACCCGAAGGGGGAGGGCGCCCTTATCCCCGACGAGTTGGGCGTGACACCCGACCCCGCAACCTTCAATGGCCCACTTCCGCAAATGATAAGCATACCGACGTCGAAACATTTCGAGGTGGGACTTGAGTAAGAGAAGGGCTCGCTGTATGCGGAGGAGCGGAGATTCGTCATTTGTCGAGGCTGATGACACTAATTCTCTCGTGGCTTCGGCGAGATGTGACATACATCTAGACATAAAAACAATTTATAATTAATTATAATAAATTACGATAACCACATATAATATTCACTCACCGTTCTACAAACTCTTCCTCCTTCTCGAGCTGTCGCCCGATGTAATAATTGTTCAAGTATTGGATCGCCATGAGGCTGACGTCCGTGTTATGCGCGTAGAGTGCAATCTTCCACAAATAGTCCATTGAGGCGACGGGTGTACCACCGGCGACAAGTTCGACATCCTGCAAAACTGCGAGTCTCGCGAGGTTGCAGAGTTGCTGGAAGAGGGTGAGCGAGTGCATAGTTATCGATTCGGGGGGATGCGAGGGTAACTTGGCCATCAAGATGTGGCGGAAAGTTTCGTGAGAGAGGGCATGTTGGTCGCGTGACCGTACTTGATTCGTCAGCCAGACAAAGAGGTCGTCGCTACATTTTGGATCGCGAGCGAGACATTCCCATAAAGTGTCGACTTGGGCGACGCTCAATCTAGCGAGAAAATAAAACAGAATGGTTAACCTTAAGTTAATTAATTTAATACATGATGATATTATTATCCTGAAACCTGAAATCGTCCGGCGACCCCATTGATGAAAACACAGCAGATAGAAAATCCAGCCTCGCCTGGACGTGGGCATGATACGGAAATGGAGACGTTGACACCAAGTCTGCATTATTTTTTAAAGTCTGTAAATTTGCGAACAGTTTGTCCAACATGGCATGTTCTCGGACGGCCCATAAGGTGACCTATTTATCAAAAATAAATCCAGTTAGTAACTAAAAATTCTAAACAGAGTTTGAAAACAAGAATTTACTTACTTGATGAGAATCCCCCGCCCCATTCGGCAACCGCATCTGGTTTATATTATTAAACGAAGACAACAACTTTGGCAAGATTCTGAGTGATACGACGACCGCCTGATTCGCCGCGACATTCCGGATGCATCCCTCAACGAATTTTAATCGGATGGCTTTATCCGCACCGAAGCAAAGCAGATTTGAGAGAGCTTTTTGAGCCTCGATGGCTAATCCGTCCGAGAGTTGGACCTAAAAATTATAATTTAGATTAATTAGTCGACTACTAAAAGTAATTGAGTACTTGATCATAATTTTAATTGATCATAATTGATCTAATTTTTTAAAACCCATACAATTTTATCATCTTGAATCAAATCCCACAAAAGTGTGACGCCCGGCTCGATCACGTCGTCAATCTTAAAATTAAACGAGGACACAGACTGGAACCTTTTTCTGCGGAAGAACATCCTCATAGCGCGCGGTGGGAGGAGCAGAGTCGTACTTCCACTTCCGGGTCCAAGTTGTGTTTTATTTTTATTACTTCCGACCTGCTGTAATCCACCCACGGTCAGGACTATGTTAGGGTCGAGTAATTGCTGTTGCACATATTGCGGTTGGAGTTGTTGCGGGGTGAGATTTTGGCTAGTTTGAACACGTGTCGCCATTTCGGCGAGCTGACTCTGGGTAAGGGACGCCATCAAGTCGACATCTTCCGGAGGACTTTCCTCTCCGTCGAAATCTGCCATATTTTTATCCGACTTGTTCGACATACGCGACGAGTACGAGCCGTCAGAAATGTCCCCCGTGGTTCCCGTTTTAGCGTAGAAGGTTGTCAGGAGCGACTGGTTAGGAACCACAGCGTCGCTCAATGCGGACGGTGACGCTTCGGGAACTTGCTGTAGTTTATGGTCACCTGGATAAAATAATGGTGTAAATTAATAAAATCCATGTCAGAATTTAAAAATCTTCATAATTTCACCCACCATGACTAGACGTATTGCTCACAGGTTTGTTATTGTGCACCATTTTTACCACCCTCGGAGGACCTGTCGTCACCCTGGTTTGTCCTTTCGGAGTTGTGACATTTTTCACCGGCGAAGTAGCCTTCCTCCTCAGTACTTTCCTCTTTTTGATGATGACCTTTCCTCCTAGCACCTCATTTTCCGGCTCATCCTCATCCGCATCAGAGTCAGAATGTGTTTCGACATAGGGTGTCGAACCGCCACCACCACCACCGGAAGAACAGCCCCCTTTCTCACTCCGCACGCCGTCTTCGTCCTCCTCGTCGTCCTCTTCTTCTTCAGAGAGAGACTCGTCTGACGTCGACGATTCTCCTGACAGGTGACAGGTCGGCTTGAGAAAGGTTGGAGAAATTGGCTCTTCTTCGTCAGATTCCATTTGTTTGAGCTGAAATAAATTTAATATATTCCTGTAACTTTTGACCTATTCTTCGTCCCGACCTCATTCACTCACCTGTGACAAAGGTCGTATCAATCTTTGCCCTTGCCCTCTGTGGTGGTGTCGTTGATGGTGATGATTTTCCTCATCTTCATCTTCCTCTTCGTCCTCCTCCGAGCCTTCTACACTGACCGAATTTTCGCTCGACGACACATCCCCACCACGCAAGGCCGCCCTCCTCCTCGACCCGCTGTGATGATGATGGTGATGATGTCTCCCTACGCGATGATGGTGAAATTGCAAACCGTTATTCGACGGGGATGATGACGATGCCGGGACGGAAACCAAACTACCCCCACTTCCCAATGGGATTGAAGTGGTCAACGTGTTCGCCTCCTCCATCGCGTTGGTTGCGTTCGTCCAGATAAATTTGATCAGAGCGGAGGCGAGGTAGAGACTCTAAAAAATATCCAGTATTAATTATTGAAGTTAATTAAGTAGACAATTATGAAGTTAAGAATTACCTGCTCAGAGTGATCCTTTGGCTCTAATTTTTGTAACAAGTGGTGCAAATGGAGTACCGGACCGGGTTCCATGTGTGGTATGAGGGACGATAAAACGTCAAAGACAGGTTTAGAGCAGTGTTTGAGCTGCGCCGCGGTCCAGATTATCTCCACGTGTTCCTCCGTCAGTCGATTTTCCATGGCGAGGAAGGAGAGGATCGTGTGACTCTGTTTAATCACTTCAACGTGCAGGTTGGGACCAAAAATGTGGTCGACGACCTGGTTGGAGAGGAGCCAACCGCACAGCAATTCGTAGAGACGGTCCGGCTCCCGCATGTGCTCCGAATTGAGTAGCTCGTTGAACAGGTTGATATAATTGTTGATCTGGTTCACGCCAGCGAGTCGCATGGTCAGTGTGGGGCAGAGGAAGTAGCTAATTAATTAGATAAATTAATTAAATTGGCTAATCATAATAATTTTGAAATGTAATACTAACCGGAAAGCAAGGTCGAGACCATCCTTGTCGAACGAAAGGTGAGCATCGACCGGGTCTTTCACAGATGACCAGATATACTCTAAAAAATAAGAAGAAATTGTATAAAAATTAAATTCCAAAACGGTGTGAAAATTTCAAAATTTGGCAAATTCGATATTTATAATTAGTTCTAATTGTAACAAACTACTAAATAAGTACAAATGGAATGCAAAATAAACCATAATTTAACAACTGAAAAACAATCCTCCCCTCACCCGCCATGTTCCTCGCCGTCCCTGTTTTCAACTCGGTCTCCACTAGCGCGCACATATACCCCAACGCCGCCGACCTGAAGGGAACATACAGTTTGAGAAGGGCGTTAAAGTTGAGCCAACTCTTAACATTGGAAGCCAGTGAGACGAGCATGTTCATCCTGTGGAGGGCTAACGTCTCTGGTGTATTGTTCTGCAAACAGATCGTGAGCGCCTCCATCCCTCCAGAGCGGCAAAACAGGCCGATATTGCGATAAAGATACGGGGGTGCTTCAGACTCGTTGATTTCGCAATATTGCGACAAGTTGTGCACTTCAGCGGGAGTGAGTTCCGAGTCAGAGAGTTTGGTACCTCCTCCTCCAGAATGGGTTTTGTACCCGATATAGGTCGGGAACGAGTTGGTGAAGAGTTTCGAGACAAAATGGACCAACTTATCTTTATCATCAAAGTCCCACAAAGGTCGAGGAGATGGAGGAGATTCTGGCAGAGTTGTTGCTTCTTGAGACTGGGTTCCGAACCGTTTAATTATTTCGACCACGACCAAAATGAGGATTTGCAGAGCCCAGTTAAACCTCTCAAAATGTTTGTGGTCTGACCGGAAGCAGCACGAGCATTGGCGCTGAGACCATGACACCATGTAGAGAAGGATGGTCTCAACCTCTTCACGAGAGATGGATATATCATCGTATGACGTGAGAGGGGTCCGCTTCCCGTCGTCTAAGTAGAAAAAAATAGAGTGAATTGAAATATATATTTGTGAAAATTAATTGACGCCAACAATTAATTGACTTACACGACGAGAGGAGTGAGGCTAGCTCAGAGCAGACCTCACAGGTCCGACCGGACCCCATTTTCTGGGCCACGTTCTTATCTATGGTGACGACTGAGATGGCGATGATGACAAGGCTGGTCGAGTCAGGTCCATCCGACCTGATGGGAGTGCAGAGTAAAGGCGGCAATCACAAAGTTGGGCACGTTTTATTCTGAAATAAAAACGGAAAGTTAACTGTAAAATCTTAAAATTAACAACAACGGTACATTATAAACAAAATCATATCAACATCAACCCGGTCATCTCTAATCTAACCATTACAACTTCCTCCTCCTCGTCATCTCGTACATAATTAACAACTCCCACAGCTACTAACATTTAGTAGTTAATTAATTACCAAATTAAATTTTACATTCACCTCCCACAAATTAAACCATTCGAAATCAACATCAATAACCAAATTTCTCAATTTCATCCAATTTTACCCACTTTTTCTCATCCGCTGCGATGACGACAACACTACTTATGACTTGACTATGATAATCCTCCTCTTTTAATGGGTTATCACCACCTTGAACTTTTAATCAGGTTGGCAGAGATAATTAACTTTTTCACTAAATTTCATATTTTTCTACTACTGTTTCTGTATATGTGGAGGTTTTGTTTGACTGCTTGTCCAGTGTTTGGGCTGAGCGGAAAGTGGTGGTGGTGGCGAAGGGGCGGGAAGTCTCAACCGCCCCAAAAACTGGGGGGTTCTCCAACCACGACGGGGCTGTTTTTTATCACGTCAAATAATTTGGTTACATTAAGAACAAACTAGTTAATACATAGTTTATCCAAGAAACTTTAACTACGGTTATTAACTAGTTTCAAATATGTTGCTGATTTGATAAGAATTTATACTCCCGTAATCTGTGGTAGCCCCAGGGTGGCAAGTTTATCGATTTTTTGCATCGCACTTTGTTCACGTTGCTTTCGTGTGGGCGGATTGATATTGAAATGCATGATGTTTTTCGCATGAAATAAAATTGGCATGGAGTTAATTTTGTACATAAAATAAAAGTTAGTGGTAATTAAATGCTGCATATTTATGAGCATTTTTACAATCAATCATGTTTTAATTGCGTATTTACATATTAACATACTTGAAATAATAATAACACAGTTTTATAACATCCATCCGTTCTGTAGAATAATGGATAGTTGAAAATTAACCTTGATACGTGAAATTTAGTCGCATTTATTTTATTATTTATTATTTCTGTATGAATTTAGTATGACTATACTAAAATTGAGCAAGATATGTACTGTGCGGGTGGAGTCTAATAGTGAAAAACCGTAGGCCTCAGGACAAGAGAGTTGGTTGGAGAGAGGAGAAACGTATGGTTTTTCACTATTAGGCTCCACCCGCACAGTACATATCTTGCTAAATTTTAGTATAAATGTAGTATTTATGAAGGCTTAATTTTTCTCAGAAAAAAGTATAGAAAATCGACCCGGCGAAATTATAATGGAGTCAGTTCTTACTTTTCCCTGTTTTTACACTTGGTTTGAATTATATCATCCCGGGAGCGAATTTTTGCTGCCTCCAAAACTTATTTATTTACATTTCGCATTCAAGTTATAATTTGCACTATTTAGTTAATTGAGATGTCGTTAAGCCAAGACGAAGGGCACAGTTTCGTCTCTATTGACGACTTGGAACCTCGTCTTCCACCGAGATTATCCCGATATCCGGCACCATTTGACTTTCCCGTAACTCATTTAACTTTAATTTTGTGGGTCGTCCTTTCACCAAAATAAATTTGCCACTATATTTCACTCACTTTAGGAGAAACCAGTCTTCCAAGTACCCGATATATCACTCATCTTCGACTCGGACATTATTCCTGACAATTCTTCTCTGCCTGGAAACACACCGAAACAAAATGCAAATTCATCACAAACTTCTCTCGGCAGAGTTACACCCTCAAGTCAAAATAGTTCTGGGATGGTGGAAACTACTTCGCCAGCTGGGGTGATAAATTCCAGAAGTTCGGAACCTACTTTACGCAACAATTTGCTAAATTCTTCCGGCCAGGGGATAAGTAGCATGGATAAGATAAACTCTGCTCAGTCTATTGGTGCGGATTATAATGTTTTCAAAGAACTGCAGTCACAACGGGAGACGATAACACGGATGGAGGAAAAATTAGATAAAATTATGCAATTTCAGGATGGATTTCTATCTCAGATCTTTCGTCGAGGTACATTACTTTATTTAAATATGTACATAGATTATTAATCCTTTTGTTGTATAAAATAATTAAATCAATAATTACTTTCTTTATGAATAGGAGCCCTTATTTCTACCCAGGTCCAAACGGACGACGTTTCTAATAAAAAATTAACTCGTCGGTCGCAACCGAAAAGGACTACGACAACCACATCGGACAATGACTCACCCATTCTAACCCCTAAGCATCAACATCGTCACCCTAATAATCAAAATAAGCAGAAAAACGGTAGACAATTTGAGAGAATTCTGACCCAAGAGAGAGTGCAGAATAATAATTCCTTGTCACCCATGCAACTTCCCAGTTTCAATGCGCCAAGTGATCTCTTATCGGCGGCGAGTGGGATAAAATCCCTTCAACTCCAAGACTTTGAGGATGACAGTTCTCATAGTGGAAGGTGACTTTCCTTTATATATTTTTTTGGAAAAGTGTACCGATATTTTTGCAAGTTTCTCTTTTTATTTCATTAGCGGGGAGCTATTCGGTTCAGACGCTTCATCTTCTGACGAGGATGAAAACCCTGTAAAGCCTGTTATTAAGGTAAAACCACCAGGACAAAACGTGTCACCCAATGGAAATCTCATGTTTAGCGATCCATCACGGCAAGCTTCTCCTGGGGCCAAGTTATGGACACCGCCACCTCAGCCATCTCCACATCCATTCGAGAATAATACAGAAAGGTGAAGCGATCTAATATATTCTTTTTAATGTTAATGTGATATGCATTTCACGATCAATATGGTTTGTCTGTATAGAACCAGAAATCCGTGTTCTAACGAGAATAATCGTATTTCGTCCGGACGGCATCATAATCAACATCGATACAAATCCACACCTAGGACTGGTTCCAATTTTCATTCCCCTGCACAAAAATATCCTAATTCTAACGAGTTACGAGGGTTTGATGCGATACAAAGTAGGAGCAATTCTTTATATTGTCTAATCTAAATAAATTGCTTCTGAAAAATTTAAATCTAAAACATACATAATTCTTTTCAGCCAACGCTACAACCGGTCCAACTGAAACAACCGTTTACGGCATGACGCCATCAAATCTTTCCTTTGCTACAAAAGAATACCTTCACCGATACGGCCTTGTCACGCAACAACAATCTCCACGTCACCAAAGTCCCACCCCAAACGAGGCACCCCGTCAATCACGACCACCCCATAAAAACTTTGCGAAGCGTTATGAAGAAGACAGGATCCTTAACATTACAGAAATTAAGAACCAACCAAAGTTCTTGTAAACTCAGAAAATAATAAGGAGAAAAGTGTAGCTTTATCATAATTACGAAGGCGTGCTACACTTTTACATGTATGTAACTAGTTTACTAATTTACTTAAAGAATGCTTGTACACTTGATGGAGGAATCAAAACCTCTTGTCGTCATACTTATAATGACGAATATTTGTAATAATTTATATTTTTAAATATGCAATATCATGCAAACCGATGAACAATAAGTTGACCCAGTTATTTTATTGTTACAAAAGTATTATCACCGATGCAATGACCATCCCTTGTTTTTGTCTAAAGTGGAAATTGGCAGATCATTCCTGCCTACATTACATATGTATGTATGCGTGTACCTTCAATACTTTTGTACTGATGTATCTCATTGATAAATGCTATCGAATAAAAAGGGTCCCATCTGAAATAGCATAAAACACTTTTAATCCTTTGTCTTTTCATTTTCATGGCGTTGACCTACGGAACTCGAGTAACTGCATATTCTATGCTACGCTTTTTGCCAATGTATGTATGTAAAACAATGGCACTAATTCCAAATATGTATTCGAAACTTTTTCGGAAAGTTCGGTTCGAGCTACGCTCGCTTGCACCATTTCGAAATTTTGACATTTGACATTTTGACATAAATTTATTATATTGATTTGGATTGCAATGAATGAGAGTATGTTACATTACATTATGTGCGTTACGTATTTAAATATATATGTAAATACATGCATACATACTACATATATGCATATGTACCTGTATGTATTTATATTACCCGTAAACGGTTCTATCTAACATTTAAAATAAATTTCTTGGGAGGTACTTTTTGCAAATACCCAGCATCAAATCGCATATGAAAATATTTTACTTATTACTTTTCACAATCACGTAATTTATTTCAATAAATTCGACATTAACAAAGTCTTTACTAATTTAAGCTACATCAAAACAAGTTTACTGACTCGAATGATAATATTTCTAGATAATAAAACCATCAGAAAACAAATCGACTGAATGTTCCCATTAAAAATTTTAGACTTGGTAAATCATCCACTTTATAACAAATTTTGTTCGGGTTTTTCATTGTTGTTTTGATCTTTTGTGCGTCCTCGTCGGGGGCCACGACCACTGGTGGAACGCTGCCTGTCAAAGATTCAATACTTACTAAAAATGCAAATCTATACACTTCCCTGCCTTTAACTTATTCATTTCCGCAAGATTCAGATATTCGCAACTTTAGCAAAATTAGTGAAATTCCTAGTTTATTTATGTTCAAATAGGTACTACAGTAGTTAAGTTCGTTGGAAACTTTTTCTGATCTGCCCGAACTGAATCCGAATACATATTTCGGCTGAAAAAATATCCAAACCGAATCGAATGATTCGGATTCGGCTCGGATGAATACTTTAACCGAAAATCGGATAACAGGCTCAACTAGGTATACACCCTTTCTACTTTATTATATTAAACCTGTCCTCACCTGGCCTCCTCTTTATCGAGGATTTCATTGTAATCGCCAACAACATGGTCCAAGTCAATCAAATCAAGTTTGTCCGTAAGTTTTAATTTGATCAAGTCATCCTGCAGCGTTCGACATTCTGCGTTCTCATCGGTGTAAAGTTTTTCAAATTTGTCCTTTTCCTTTTCTGCCTTGTTTGCCTCTTTTCTTGCCGCATCTAAATCCTTATTTAGCCGGTCATTCTCCCCTTTAAGTTTGTCCATCTCTGGCTTGAGGATATCACATTGTGCCTCCGCAGATGCTAATTTCAGTTCCAAATCTTTGACCTTATCCAGGCCTTTGTTCACTAGGTTCTTAAGGAAATTTTCGTTCATCCTGTGACGTTCTGTCATTCCATGTCGAAATTTTATATGCTGTGCAAAGGATTAGTTAGACATACTGACATACATAATTTAAAATCAGGGTTTTAAGCAAGATCTATTAATATGGGTGTTAAATATGTATTTAGTAGTAAAATGAAGAAAAAGTTAGTGAGTCTAAATATTGTGAGATTGAAAAATTGAAAAATACAAAACATCAGAACATTAAAAAATAATGTGCACCACATTGTAACGATTTGCGGATTTTTCCAGCCCACCGACCCCAGCCCGTGGGAGTCCAGCCCACCATTTCCAGCCCGTGATTAACTCCAGCCCGCGATCTCCAGCCCACCAACTCCAGCCCTTAATTATCTCCAGCCGTAATTATTTCCAGCCCATAAATATCTCCTGCCCCAATACATAAATGAATATCAAAACGGGGTTTCGAGTATGCTTAGTCCTTGTGCCACCAACACAAGCTGGAAAACAGAGTCGTCAGCAAGGGAACCACACCCATGTACCCCGTTTTGGGTTATAGTGCAAAAAAGCACAGTCATTAGGGGACGTTCGTAAACTTCATAACGCAAATTTTCGGTTTTTTGGACACCCACCCACCCCCTTTAACATGTGCCACATAGGTACGATATCATTGGACCCTGATCATTCACCCACCCCCCTTTGCGTTATGAAATTTATGAACGTATGTACATATCTATAAAGAGAAAATCCAATCGAGCTGAAATTTGGCAAAGAGGCTGCTGTTGACCCCTAATAAAAGAATATGAAGTGAAATTGGTAAAATTTTTGTCTAGAGCGACCCTATGGGGTGACCCATACCGATTTTTAGAAATAGTAAGAAGTTGAAATTCGGCAGGGTGATAGTTAGTGGATTCTCATGAAATAATATGAAGTCAAATATGAACAAAAAGTAACCAGAGGTACTAACGGGTGACCAACACCGATTTCTAAGAGTTTATACATTCAGCTCAAATTTAGTATGGAGTCGTAAAATAAATTGCAAATTAGAATATAGAAGGGTTGAATTTCAAAATTTTTGAAAAGACAATTTTAAGAAACTTGAGTTTTCTAATAAATCCTGGTTCGAGCTAAGCAAAGCTGTACGGATAGGTTTTTATACACGGGCTGGAGATATTTATGGGCTGGAAATAATTACGGCTGGAGATAATTAAGGGCTGGAGTTGGTGGGCTGGAGATCGCGGGCTGGAGTTAATCACGGGCTGGAAATGGTGGGCTGGACTCCCACGGGCTGGGGTCGGTGGGCTGGAGTCTTCCGCACACCCATTGTAACATTCATATCAGTGATATGATATCACCTAGTGCGCCTTGCAATTCATGTGATTATACTACTGTAGTATAGAGTATAGTACTAAAACTGATGTAAATCCAGTATGGGTACACTAGTACATACAATGGGTAAAAATGACCATGAAACCCTGATCAAACCGAATGACCAATTATATTATAATATACATAAGTACATATTTATATACCTCCTCGTCCTTCTTTTTCGCTTCCTCTGCAATATTTTTAGCCTTCGCTATTTCATTCATCAACTCATTATCTCGAACTTCTAAGGTCGTTTTGTACATAAAAATCTGCTCGTCAAGTTTATCTTCGTTCTTATGTCGTAACTCCTTTTCCCCGTTTAGAGCGTCTTTGAGGTCCTCAAGTTGTCCCAATTTTTCTAAGCTTTCCTAAACATAAATCAGATATTCATTACAAATTGGGTCATGTAATTTGTTAATAAACGGGTCCAATATTACGGTTTGTGCGTCTTCCAACTTTTTTTCAAGGTTGGCTCGTCGACCCTGCTCGCGACCTAGCAATGCGTTCTTCTTGTCCAGCTCGTCTTGCAAGTCTTTCTTTTCTTGGGCAAGGGTTGCATAATCGTCCGATAGCTGATCGGCTCTTTAAATCGATGTTCATATAATTTTAAGCAGAGTTGCATCCATTTTTGGCGACTTTTTACATAAATATGTATTTACCTTAATTTTAGTTTAGCTGCTTCATTTTCGCTTGATTTCCTAGCCAGCTCTGACTCACGGAGTTTTTCTTTCAAATCACATACGTCTGTCGCTTTCGCTTCCAATGCTTTCGTAACTGCCTCCTTAAGTTCGGACGGAGAACTGACTGGGGTTTCGACCTAGGTAAGAATTTAATTTGGATACGGAAGAATTTTGACGATTGGGTTTTGTTAATTTTGATATTCCCAGAGTGTGCAAAAAGGCGCCTTTCAAGGAACAAAAATTCATGCCTAGGGGACATTCTTAAATTAGGTAACTCGAGAATGGGAAGGGGTGGTCTAAGCCTCCAATGATATCGTGTTTATGTGACATGTTAAAGGGGGGAGGGGGTTTAGAAAATCTCACTTTTTGCATTACATAATTTATGAACGTCCCCCTACTTGCTGTTTTGTGGGCCATTTTGCTCGACTCATTATCTTTTGGTATTTTTCGTATCAGGAAATGTATCATGACCAGGATACCATTATACCATTGTAACCTACAATATATGGTTATAATCACATTGTCCCGATTTTACCAGAAAAGAAGAACCGCATTTCCGGCAATCGGACGTCGCCAAAATTCAAATGCGTAATAAGCAAAAAGGCATTTTAGCACGGCATGTCTTTCTGCCCTTGCAAACTCTGATTTATTCTGAGATTACGTTGAGGTCATCATAGTTTCCGAGAGGTAATAATTTCTTAAGGCGTTGATTATTTGCACGAATCTTGTCCTCAGGTGAGCTCGTGTGGTCAGAAGTCTCAAGTAGATATTGCCTCTTTGTAGCAGAGTCTTGTTCAAAGCAAAGAAAATTGTAAATTTTTTACTTTTATCAACTTGACACATATGTACAGTAAAATTTTTCCGACTCGTTTGCATATTTTGATACGCTAGCTAGAGGCATAGCATTTATGTATTCACCATGGAAAGCCAGTACCGTTGAAAATGGATATGAAATTTATGCAAATGAGGTGAACCAGAACCATGATTTTACTATACGTATGTATATTGTTAATCGTGGTACCTGCAATGTCGGCCGAAGCCATATTTGTCCCCAAAGTCTAGTTTTGTGGAAGGAATGTTGCAGCTTCGGTGAAGGATTTGAGCAGAATGAATATGAAGAAAGAAATGGTTGTCCAAGTAATTATCTTGACAACAAGGAAGCAAATTGGTGTTTGATCACCTTGAAATCGTTTGATCCGATATGTTTTACCGTGTGATATGCCTATTTATTGTGTCTCATGAGATGAAGGTTGGTAGTGGCGTGTTTTAAATTGCATAAGAAGCGTAATATAGAATACTACGCAATTAATTACTCGCATGATAATGAAGCAATAGATAAACGAATGGTAGTTTGACAGATGAAATTTCACGAGGAATGAGCAACATGGGTTTAATGGAACTTTGATGATCAATTTGTGTAATTATTAGCTCGAGTAGGTGTGTATGTTTGTACAGGTCGTGTCTCTCCGTCTAAATGGGTTACGTTGGGATAACTGAGGAGGGGAGGTTGTGTACTATCAACTCCCGGATCTCGATGCCCTCTGGATATTTTGTAGTGTCCCATGAATGTACAACAGCCCTGAAGTGGTTTGATTCCATGGCCACATTTGCGCCCGTCACACCCACTCAAAGGTGGCCAAAAATCGCTTTCACTCCAGCTTTCACTCATTCAAAACCACGCCAAAAATCCAATTTTACTTCGATTTTCAAATTTCTTTCACCATTATACTCCCAGATAGTTGCTTTCTTATTTCCAACATCAAACTCAACTTTTTTGATTATTATTTCGCAGGAATAATTTGTTTTGTTGATTACTACAACAATGGTCATTCAGAATTTTAAATTTTAAAAATACTACGAATTTTGTAAAGTTGAGATTGATGTTGGAAATAAGAAAGCAACTATCTGGGAGTATAATGGTGAAAGAAATTTGAAAATCGGAGTAAAATTGGATTTTTGGCGTCGTTTTTAATGAGTGAAAGCTGGAGTGAAAGCGATTTTTGGCCACCTTTGAGTGGGTGTGGTGGACTCAAATGTGGCCATGGAATCAAACCACTTCAGGGTTCTTGTTCATTCATCGGACACTACAAAATATCCAAAGGGCATCGATCTGGGAGTTGATAGTACACAACCTCCCCTCCTCAGAGAAAGTTCATTGAAACGACTTGAGATTTTGAACAGATGCACATACACTATTGACTATATCTCAAAGTCATGTTGCATTATTTACAAAACTGGTCAAGTTATTGATCAGTGGGGTTGGTAGTATTTAGGTCACTGTTTCGTACGTGTAAAAAATCCGGAATTATTCTTGAAGGCTGGGACATTGGTCATATTGGTCGAAGGAAGGAAGGAAGGTGAGATTGTTACTAAACCTGTGCACGGTAAAGCACACCTCTTTATCTTCATTCACAACGATATTAATTTATCGGAAATATAAGCATATTTATTTGTGTCTCATGAAAACTGATATCCATCTTATCGCTATACTGTCACACATTGATGATGATGACCACTAACTTGTGACGATTTCACCTTCCATACAGTTTTTATCTGATTGCTAGATAATAATAGAGTTATACATGTGTGAATATATATACCAAATTTGTATGTCTCATTGCAACATGCAATTAACATTTTTCTCCTCATAAACTCTCATAAATAATCAACTGCGGCAACGCAGGGTACCCAAGTAGCGCAATAATGCTGAGAATGCGATACAAAATAAAGAAATTATAGATTGCCGAATCTGAATTATGTAAAAATAGCAAAATAATGGAGATTTCCTTATTCTATCTTGCTATTCTGAAGAATCATGCATCTTACATGTTTTACTGTTTTATCAATCCTGATTAATTAGTCAATCTTACTTTTTTATATATCTAACATGCTAGATTCAATTTTTCTAAAAATATCATTTTGCCCCGACCACACCCCCTGGGTGCCAGGCGGTGTGGCACAACTCGAGAACACTTAATTCAACTCTACTTCATCCATAGATTCAATTTTTCTAAAAATCTCATTCGCCCCAGCCACACCCACTGGGCGCGAAGGGGTGTGGCACAACTTGGGAACACTTAATTTAACTGCCCTGCATCCAGAGATTCAATTTTTGTAAAAATCTCATTTTGCCCCAACCACACCCACTGCGCCCCAGCCACACCCACTGGGCGCGAGGGGGTGTGGCACAACTTGGGAACACTTAATTTAACTGCCCTGGATCCGGAGATTCAATTTTTGTAGAAATCTCATTTTACCCCAACCACACCCACTGGCGCCCGGGGGGTGTGGTCCGGCTGACCCCAAAAGCTTAGGGGATCCTCCCCCTAGGGTCATACGTATGATGGCGAAAACCGATTTCGATTATCTCCATCCGTTCTCCCGTTATCGTGTTGACAGACAGACGGACAGACAGACAGACAGACTAACTAACAATGCACATGTCAGACATGTTTCTCACAGATCTTCCTCAAACTAGCACTAAAATATCCAGAAACTAAGCACAAACAACAATTGATATGATGCTTGAGCACTTCTGCAGAATTCGCGAAGTTGCGAAGGTTTTAAGTTGGCAAAAACGCACATTTTCACCATGCGAAACTATATGGGGTTCACCACTCCGCTTCCCGATTTTCTCTTGCGCTTCTCTCCACCAGGTCATCAGTTTTCACCTCTCGATGCATAATTTAAGCAGCGGCTAACTTCTCAACCAAATTACCATTCGAATTATCATTTTTTTAAAATTTTTAATCATTTTTAACCATTTTTGATTTTTGAAATGGATTCCATTAACTTCTTATCAGTGGCAAAATCATTTCAAACACTGGTTGAAAATAGTTTTGAGTGGGCAGATCAGGTTCCAACCGAGGAGGAAATTGCAGAAGTTCTTCTAAAAAATCTTGATGAGCTGCTCATCGAATACATTTTTGTTGAAGAGGAAGAACATTTCGAAGGTAGTAAAGCTTGGGTTAACAAATTTCAAGAGTTGAAGTTAATCTGACATCGTATTTACGGGGTGCATAGTATATCTGCGCTAAATGACTACGAGGATGAAGAAGGAGAGCCAATTAAACGAGACAAAGTGGATATGGAATACAAGAAAAGAGCCATAAATGCATTTGAAAGCAATCCGGCGTGGAAATTCTTAACATTCCAGAACAAATTTAAGAAGGTCAAACATCGTAATTATTTGCAAAGATGGAAAAGTCAAATACGCATGGGTAAACTTTGAGATGAGTTTTTTTATTTCGTAACTTTTTTCAATTGATTTACCTAGGATATTTTGTTTAAGGCGGAACAAACTTCGATATTTATATGGAAATTGAGCATCATGTCCTACAACTCTTTCGCGAGGCTCGCCAAGAATTCCGATCGGTCCACAGTATGGATCTGCGGCGCTGGGCAGTATCGAAGGCTAATGAATATCCAGGTTTCAAATTCAAGGCGTCAGATAGTTGGATTGCTCGATTTAGAAGTAGAAACCGGATTTCTTCAAGAAGAATCCAAAAACTAGTGAACAGGTCTTCCATTCGTGATATGGAACAAATAGGTCTCATGGCTGAAGAGTTCAGGAATGAAATGCAACCACTAATTTCTGTTCATGACCCGACGTTAGTTTGGAACACGGACCAAACTGGTTTCAAATACGAGATTGTGTCGAATAGGACGTTGTCTTGGAAAGGCGAGAGGTCAACGTTCGGTTCGGCGATATCCCCAAAGAATAAGGTGACCCACTCGTATACAGTACAGTATACTATTACCTACGCAGGAACAATTCTACCAAAAGTATTTGTATGCTTACAGGTAAATTTAACTGATTAAATTTTCACACCGAATGTTTCAAAATCCCTAACTTGTCTCTAGGAGGCAAGTGGCACCATTGGACCAGTAGTCAAGAAGACACTGTTTTCTGCTCCAAACCTGTTTGTCACCGCTAGCAAGTCCGGCAAATTAAGCAGGCCTTTAGTTGCTACATTTCTGGACGAAATTATACATCCCAATATCATTGGTGATGTACTATACATTTTGGACCACTGGACTGGACAGATAAACCTTCAAATGTATGAGTCGAAATTTAATCCCGATGATGGATGGCCGGCACTCACAGTGAAATTCGTTCCAGAGAATTGTACTGATGTTGCTCAGCCATTGGACACCTATTTTCACCGAGAATTAAAATACTTATCGAAACAATTTTATCACTACAATGCGCTATGCCACAAGAATGAAGTTCAAGCTAAACTATTTAGCCGAAACGGAATTTTAAAGTTGATCGCACTTGCTCACTTTCTTTTAAGTGCACCATCATTTATACCGATGATAAAGTATTGTTGGTATTCAAGTGGGCTATGGATCGGGGATGAGAAGCCAACATTCGCTAATGTAAAATCAGTCTGCTTTACATATTCTGGTATACAGTGCGTGTTACCTTCTTGTGAAGGCCTCTTTTTTATAAAATGTAGCTGGTGTCAAAACTCATATTGTTTCAAAGACTTTTATGACAAAAATCACATGAATTTGTGTGATGTTGGCCCTTATCACACATAGGAACCTTAATATACAAATAAAAACACGAAATGTTAAAGAACTACAAATAATAATTTGGTTAAGAATTAGTTGCTTAAGTTTTCATCTGCCCACTCAAAACTGTTTTCAACCAGTGTTTGAAATGATTTTGCCACTGATAAGAAGTTAATGGAATCCATTTCAAAAATCAAAAATGGTTAAAAATGATTAAAAATAAAAAAATGATAATTCGAATGGTAATTTGGTTGAGAAGTTAGCCGCTGCTTAAATTATGCATCGAGAGGTGAAAACTGATGACCTGGTGGAGAGAAGCGCAAGAGAAAATCGGGAAGCGGAGTGGTGAACCCCATATAGTTTCGCATGGTGAAAATGTGCGTTTTTGACAACTTAAAACCTTCGCAACTTCGCGAATTCTGCAGAAGTGCTCAAGTATCATATCAATTGTTGTTTGTGCTTAGTTTATGGATATTTTAGTGCTAGTTTGAGGAAGATCTGTGAGAAACATGTCTGACATGTGCATTGTAAGTCATCGCATAAAGTAGCTTGCGCTACTTAATAAAGCTACGTATGTAAACGTTTGACATTGGATTTTAAACATTTCTACACCGAGGTTAATACCTGATAGTGTGTTAAATACATATCTATGTATGTAAGATACGTATTGCGACATTGCTGGAAATGAGCAACGTTAACGCAGAAACATTAATTACCAGCTTTTAAACAGGTGAGATGCGATATGTACCAATAATGCATGCATGCTTCTGATAATTAATCGTAAGTTTCATTTAAAAAAAACTGGTTGATTCGAAAACTTAACAGTATCATTTAATTAATACAGGCTCATGGGTTTTGATTTGAGTACATAATGATCACGCGATACTATTGCTCAACAACGTGATATTATTTAATTTCAACTCTTTTGTATGTAGTTGTGCTCATGTTTCCAATCAATTGTGATTAACATTCAGCCATGACACTGATACTGACTTGAATCACGGTTTACTTCAAAAATATTCCCCTAAAAAACAATTCCACTCTTATTGGTAAATGTGTACGATAGTGTCACATGGACATGGACGCCATGTCCATGTATAAATGTATCTAGCTACATTTACAATTTGTCATATGTACATATTATGTACCTATCTATAAGATTATGCCTATTAAATTTATGTATACACATTATGCATTGACTGGCATATAAATGAGCCTGATCAATTTGTGATGATTTCACATCCCGTTAACTGGTCACGCGATTCAGAAGAATTGTTGATCTGTGTACCTTGATCTACACCCTCATATTATTATTTCGTTCATTCCGATAATGACTGACAAATTTCCGTACACAGATGTCATACGCATTTTGCAAGAGGACACAGCCCTTTTAAGAAGCACGATGGAGTTTGCAGATTTATTATCCGTTCCAATTACACAATACGCCAATGGTCTCCAAGAAACTTATGACAAGTTAAAATACATTTTAGAAAGCTGGAAATCATTATCTGGGGCTAAGGCCAACGTAAAAAAGTTATCCGAAATTTTGAGAAAGAATAAATTTGTTTCATCGGCAGGTGAGATTTAAATATGTTTTACATCAGTATTTAAATATTACTTTATGTAAATATTTACTTTTTGTTGCTGGCGTTTTTCAGAGAAATTAGAAGCCTTTGACCTAAAGACTACACAAAACAGTACAATTTCACAACTTTTTCCCCTCCCGAAGTCGCCACCTTGTCGGAGATTTATTCGACGCGAAAACGAATTCCGCCAGTGTCTAGATCTTCTGCAAAAAGAAAACATATTATTCATCACGGGAACTGTTGGAGTGGGAAAAACCGTGCTTGCCTTACATTTAGCGATGCATTTCTGTCAATCCGGACACTCAGAATTTATTCGTCTCGACGGGAAAAATCGTGCCTCTATATTAGACTCACTCACAACCTACAATCGAGATAGCAGAAATTTAGACACCCAGATCAACAAACTCTTAGACACCTTACATGACAGATCAGTCGTCCTCCTGATCGATAACTTAGTCGAGATAACACAATCAATGCAAACTATAATAAAATTATGCTCGGAACGACACAGCGATACCAAGGTGCTTATCACCAGGAGGGAAAACATCATCGACGAGAACGTTTACCACCTCAATGGATTCACAAAACCTGACGCGATTAAATTTCTCCGGGCTCGATTTAAAAATTCCGTTGAAACCGAATTAATAAAAGTATGTGAAAAGTGTGCCTATAATCCTTCCGATATTAACCATCTCAGCAACTTAATTAAGTCCCGGAGACGAGACATAAGCGAGCTGAATTCTTACAAGGAGGCCAGATTTCTTCACATCATGTCGATAGAGACACATCTCTACTCGGGATCCACATTTATCGGGTATACAGAAATTCTTAACGAGCTTGTCAGAAATAATTCTTCCCAGATGAGAGCATGCGTCATCCTGTTAAAGATATTGTCAATCAGCAGAAGCAATACGCTTCGGGAGGATTTCATCAACAAAATGAAACTCGACACATCTGTTGAAGAATGTACTGAAGAGTTAGTTAGTATGTCACTCATCCATAGGGAAAATGGTGTAATACAAATTCCCTACATTGTTCAGGTCATGGTTAAAAATCGAATGTTACCAAAGGAAAAAAAGTCGACAGCTATAACAGTTTTTGATTCATTTAAAACCATGGAAAGTATAGAATGCTTGGAAGAAAGTGATTATCTAGTTGACTTTTGGCGTTACACAGTATCACTTTGCGATAAAAAATTTATCCATAAAACAAGCAACGTTCCGAGCAAGATTGCAGAAAGATTACTTGATCTATCGGCGTTCCAACGTTGCCAGACATTCTGCGAAGAACAGGTAAACTTCGTTCGTCAGTCCTGTCCTGAAACGGATGTCAACCTATTGGCGCTACGAAATAGCTATGCGACCTGTTTAGCCACGCATAGTAAAAGAACGCCCGATGCGCTTAAAGAATATAAAAACATAAAAATATGCCAACTCCTACAGTCTCCTCAAGTGGACTTGGAAAATTTATGCTCTACTCGTAACAATATTGCTGTTCAGCTAATGAAATTGGGAAAATATAAGGATGCATTGGACGAACTTCGCGAGGTGTTAAGGGACAAGAAAGAAATCTATGGGGAAAATTCAGGCCTTCATGTAAGAAAACTTTTCCATATGTACACCTGGCAGACAAAAGTATCCATTACATATGCATTTTCATCTGCATGTGCATAAATCCCGACTAATCCTAAGTTTATGAAATTAGTTGAATTGGTTTTTGAATACTTTACTAACTTCAACATTACATACGTATTTGTGAAGATATTTTAGCATTGATATACATATTTTTCTTAGAAAGAATCACCTCGGTCTCTTACCCTAAAAGCGCCTAACTTTTGATGGGACCAAGTTAAAATTAAGTTTTAATCGCGCTCAAACGCTTATTTTATTGGCACTTGGTTTTGTCGGTAGAAAATTCCTTCACCTGCTACCATTATTTATAATTTGTGATTTATCCTAATTTTAGCACATTAATAACCATTGGCCTATTATTGAAAATGTTTCAACGATGATTGAGCACTCAAGTGTTTCTCAAAAACATTATCACCATTTGGAGAAGCACGATTAACACCGAGTTTTTAAGAGTGTACATAATTTTCAATGTGGTCAAGAAAATAAGTCCAGCAAATTTCACTACTGTGGTTATATTCTGCGGATGCGGATGAAAATGTATTAAATACTTAAACTAACTGATTGTTTTACCGACCGGTTGTACAAATGTTGTGCATAGATATGCACTTGCATATGTACTTAATAATAATGATATTATTCAGCGCATAAGCACATATTTATGCATAATTCAGTATTATCTTATCATATCCCTCGTATTTATGACAGGTTATCCCTGTTTTAACCAACATTGCACTATGCCATCAGCACTTGGGAAATAACAACCAAGCAATTCAAATCTATAGAAGGCTATTACGAAAAACTTCTGACGGAAATATTCAAGGAAATGGGATGGATAGAGAAAGATTCGAAATCCAATACTACTTGGCTTCCTGTCTATTTAATTGTGACAATTCATCCTCCGAAGCGAAGGAATTGCTAAAATCGATCTTGACCGATGTGGACAAAGCTGCCCGTAGAGGTGGCATTACAAGGGATAATTTTAATTGGAAATTCGCTCCTACGCGAGCTGAAGCTCAGGTATTCTTGGCCAGGATTTATAAAAAATATGGCAAGCAGGAGAAAGCTAGGGATTTGGTGGATCAAGCTCTGCAATGCTATGTAACCCTCTTCGATGAAGATCATGCAGATGTTGTGGAGTGCAGAGAATTGAGGAAGGACTTGTTATAAATTATCATTTTTCTGTTATATTAAATGACTGTCGGGCTGAATGAAGGTTTGAGAAACTCATGTGACAATTCAAATAATTGATATTATTAAAATTGAATAATAAAATGTACATATGTATGCGTATAAATATTTAAGCATTTAAAGTAATAAATTTCTGCTTAAAAAATTCTTCGAGTGATGCAACCCAACAAGAGTTAGGTACATAATATTTGCATACACATTTTAAACTGAAAGCTAAAAATACTTATTTATCTTTAGTACATAATTATTCAGTAATTGCATAATTTGATAACAAATAATTTTAACAAGAACAGAGAATTATACAATATCCAATTAAGGGAGAAAGGGGTACCTTAATTCACATTATGCATACATACATAGCCTTACAAGTACATATCTATCTATTAATAACGTTAACTAAATTCGTATTCTACTTATTGTATAAAGAATATTACGTAGGTATGAAAGTACATTATACAATGAGCTTACACAAGTAATATTTCCTTGGAACTCACCTCATCTTCAGTTAAACTTTGAATGCATAAGAGGATCTGATTTGAGAGGATTATGTCTCATCCTTTACAAAATCTCCGGAATAAAAGCCACCCAGAATGATCTCTTATCTACGTGAGACAAACTACATGAGAGGCTCGTCTCAACAATGCGTGCCAAAAATTGGCCTCGAAAGACGCCAGGAAGTAGCTTACATAAAGGCTCATTCTTTCGATCAATGACTACAAAAATTAAGGAATTTGATATTAGATAAATAGATCAATAGATCAATTTTATAAGATTAATTTTAGTAATTATGATTTTACAAGTATAATTTCTCATACTCAAAGAATTTTATAATTACAAGCAGTTTTCCTTTACTAAATTCTTATACCATAACGATGGGCGTACTCACGACAACGTCTTATTTCGCATCCTAACTCATTTAGCAAACTTGCGAAGATCAAAATATTTCTGTCGTGAGGAGATTCACAAAGTATGACTTCGCAAATTTAGCAAATCTATTGAAACCATTGGTATTGTTTCCATGCATTTGTTTAATTTCTCTTGCTGCCGATGATGAGGATGAGTTTGCGAAATAATCTTGCGAAATAAGAACATGCTCAATTGCTTGGTAAATTTGCGAAAAAAATCCAATGATTTTCCAGCAAAACTTTTGCGAAATCTCGTATGTATATTCGCAAAACTTTGCAAGTTACGTTGCTATGCTCAATTTGCGAGATATACGAAGGTTGACGTGAGTACGCTCGATATAAAGGTTTCTCTATAATAAGCGACACGTTAGATAATTTGCCAAATTCAATGGTAAGTACTTCAAGCTTGCAATCTTCTCGTTAAACTGTCTCTTGTAACAAGAGTCTTGTTACCACTTCTTGATTGAAAAAGTCAATAAGGAAGATGGTGCAAGCACTATCATGGATTCTACAATGGAAAAGGAAATGAAATACATCCTCACGATCACTCAGACTGAAATTAGCAGTACATGAGTAAAAAGAACGTCATGGAACGCACGCACATGAAAATATTGGTGAATGGGATGTAACCAACCTTCTATTTCCAACTGATTACTTAAATAAATACTTACGTACGACTCAGCGAAGGGGAAACAATGTTACTTTCTAAGGATGCACATTATACAACGGTTAAATTTTCTTTGTCATACATACACACATCTGCACACGAAGTACAATACACAGTGTTTTCCTACCGGTATAACATCAAGCAACAGGAGAACCCGAATCCGGGAGACATGCACACTTTCTCTCATGCAATGTATATAACCCGTATTTCCAAGAAATGTAAACCAACCAGGGAATTTTGGGAGAAAGTACAGAATTTTCCCACGGATTCTCATGCAAACCCACCAGTTGAGATTTGTCTCTCACGCAAGGAACAACTTTCTCCTCTCGCTTTCTCCCACCGTCTCAAAATGCCTCACTCAAAATACTCTGCCATTGTGGGCACCTCCGTCTTTCAAGATGGTGGAGAACCTTTCCGAAATTACCGTGGATTCGAACTACCCGATAACACCACGACTTTACGTGAGCCCACCTCATTCCGGGAATTAAGTCAACTTTCGCTCAATTTTGTCCTTATCTACTCCTTCCTCTTTGTCATCTCTGCCACCCTGAATGTATCCGAGCTTATCAGTGTCATCAGATACGATAAGCGCCACCGGAGGAGTAGGATCGCTCATCTGTACCGCCACCTCTGCATTGCCGACCTCCTCGTCACTTTCACCTGCATGTTGATGGAAATCCTTTGGCGAGTCACGATCCAGTGGTATGGGGGAAACCTGTTGTGTAAAGGGTGCCAGTTTTTGCAAGCTTTTTCGCAATATTTGAGCTCCCTGGTGGTAACGGGGATCACGGTGGATAAATATTTCGCAATAGTGTATCCTTTCAAGCTAGCGAGGGCGGAGGAGAGGGCCAAGTTGATGGGGGGAATTGCGTGGGTGGCTGCTACAGTGTGTGCTTTACCGCAGGTGAGCAAATTATGAGTGTAAAGGTCGATGATGCCAAAGTTCTCAAATTTCGCATGTGATTAATCGCACTAGTGTTCATGTCAAAGTTATTTAATTTCTGAAATAAGTATTAAATGTGTAACGATATCTATGATAACCTTCTTTAATAATTCAACCAAAATTACTAAAATATTTCTAAATCTAAATTAATTAATTAGCCAAATTAATTACGGCTTTTCATGGTATCGATGATAAGCATTTCGGAGGACAAATATTTATAAGTATACACTAGCCAAAAAATTTCCAAATCTAAATAAATTAAATTGCGAAATTACGACTTATCCTTAGCATGAACATATGGTCTGAAAGTTTGCAAATTTTTCTGGAACGATGTATTTGTATTTATGTGCATAAATACATGTATCTATAAGGATGCACAAGTTTTTAAATCATTTTCCAGGAAAACTTGTTAATATAACTTTAGCGAACTTTCTTTGTTGCAAACTTTCCCAACAATGCATACCAAGTCGTATTTAATTTCAACACGATTTTTTGTACCGTACTTATTTCCCACATGTTGCATGCAAAATTATTTTGAAAATAAATTCTAAACCACATTTCCCACAGAATTTGGATAATGAAAAGTTGATCAATGTGAAAACTTTTCTAACAAATTACAGATTGCCATTTACAACGTCGCTCCACACCCAAACTTCCCAAATTTCCAGCAATGTGTCGCAGCCTCATTTGTCCTTCGGAATAAAGCCCAAGAGTTGACATATAGCATATTTTCCCTCTCCGTGGTCTACTTCCTTCCCGTGACGGTCATCACTTTCACGTATGGGAGCATCCTCTGCAAAATATTCGACGCTAAGGAGAGCACCCACCAACCTGACATCGAATTATCCGTAGGTATGGAAATAAGTACCTTTGTAAACCAAGTGACCTTTGCAAACTTTATAAGTCTTGTGAGTTCGGTTTAATTTTTTTTTCATAATCCGCTTATATTCCCATTAATATGGTAGCAAAACTTAAACCAAGTATTGAAATAATACCAAACACTATTTATGATCCTACCAAAGTGTATTGTCAAGTAATACCGTGAGTAATAGCGCGGTATTAAAATTTTACCACACATATTTCTCGTTGAAATAGTGATAAATTAGTATTACCTGGACGACTAAATATTGCTAAATTTTTTACCAAAGTCGCTTTAGTAAAGCGGAATGTATTTACAGGTCTATAATAAATATTTATGTGGTAAATCACTGACAATTTTGTTACCAAACATGGGAACTTACTGACGTAAATACGGATTTAAAACATGCCATATGTTTTCTTGGAATGGTGACCATGACCCCTTTGTTGGCACGTTAGGAAATATGTACATACACATGGCAAGGATATTATGTCTTGATCTCTCAAGTCCCAAAGGAGTTTACATACGTCCATAAAGCGTATTTATGATCGTAGGGGGTTCCAATTACAAATACATGCTTTATGTACAGATTGTCTCTACGTGACATTGGACTTACTTATTTATAACGCGAGTGAAAGATGTGTTGCTTTCGCTGTTTCTAAGTTTGTTTATATGTATGTAACCAATCAGGCAAGAAAGCTTACATAAAGTACTAGATTTTTCTACTTCACGCAATGCAAATGCAATCTCCTAAAGTGATCCCTAGTGACAGTGCTAGAAGTGGACTTTAGCTTGATATTAATTAGTTTCATATGAACACAACAACTTACATAATTCGAGGAAGGATGTAATCTATACATAGTTTTATTTATGTATTTGACATATATTTTGATTGATAAATGACAGGCTGATATTTTCTCAGAAATAAAATCCAGGAAGAAATTCGTCTTCATCCTGTCAAAATTAAATCTCCGATTAATGTCATACTCAAATCCATTTACATAACGAATAGGCACGATTCGCATTACTTTGTATAGTAGCTTCTTTATGATTGAAACGGTTTGAACGTACTCAATTTCTTGTGCTTATTACAAAGTTACAGTTTTATAAATTTAGTTGAATACTCTAACATTAAATAGCTCTTGAAACTTATTTGGATTGTAAATATGTATGCACATAAACTTTTTTTATCATTCATTCCAATTAAAAATAGCAATTTGTAACCCATCAAAATTTATAAGGTTGCAAAATTTGTCCGAAAGGTTATCACTTGCAAAGATTTGCATGAAAATAAAACCTCTAATTTGTTTCCCTCTATCAGATGAACACAGATCGGCAACTTTCTCCCACCAAGAGGAAAATTCAATCCCGGATCACAACACCGCAAAAATCGATGGAGACTTTCCCCTTGACAAGATTACTTCAAAATCGAACTCAATTATCACAAATGCAGAAGCACTTAAGCCTGAAATTGTATCCAGAGGGGAGCCAATTTCACCATTAGGAATAAGGCCCCACGGCCTGAAATTAGACGCTAAATTGGATCAATCACGACTAATTTCTGTTGAACCAGTATCACCTCAGGGGTCAGACAGGGGTCGACCACCTCCATTTCTGCGACGGAATCAGGCCGGGGGTCGATTGTTGGCGAGGGCGAAGGTGAAAACGCTTCGGACAACGTTTATCATTCTGGCTACATTTCTCCTCTGTTGGACGCCATATGTCGTCATGACGTCTTGGTAAGTACATCAGTGGCGTGTGTATAAATACAAGGGTATAAGAACTTGTCGAGAATTCGTAAAAATGAATTTTTTAGCTCGAGCCAGGGCCTACATATGTAACCATCATGTCCGTGTGTCTGTCTTGTAGGAGAAAGGTAGAATTTTACATGCTAGATTTATGAGAAAACTAACGACAATTATGCATCTGCGGTGAATATCGATGAATCACCCACCCACATCGATGAATATTGCAAAATTAGGAAATATGCAGTACTTAGGTCGTGGGACAAAAATTTAAAAGAGTAACCTGATCCTGGCTCGGGCTAAATTAACTCTGCATTGCATATTAAATACCACCTCGCTGTGAGGAATACTTTACATTTACATCACGAACACGATTGATGTGTCTCACATTTATTAAAATTTTTACATTCCAGGGTATTTTATAAGAACATAAGTACATAAATGCATACATAGATATTCATGCGTCACTACCTGACCAACTTAAAAAGAGTATGTATATTTAGGGCTTTTCTTAATTTTTCAAAACACGGGCATGTTTGTTAATTTAAGTATTCGTCGAATTATGTATATGTGTAAATACTTGCATATATATATATATGCACACACGTAATACATATTTCTTTGTGCATGGATGGCTGCATGAGGGCATCATTTCATTCATTCAGCCACAGGGTCGATTTCTCTCACAGTTTTGTAAGAACTTTCAAAATTGTAGGATTTTTCGATTTATTATTTCCAGATCCGAATCGTTACTTCCGAAAGTCATTGTTTTCATACGTGTTATACTTACACACATGTGTAATTTTGTCAGAAAAAGTTAGTCCTTGTCGTCCAGTGAATTGGCTGCATGAAGCTTAAAGAATTCATACATTTTTCATAATAAATATTTTAAAAAATAAAATAAAATGTGCAAATATTGATCATTATTTACGTATTATGTACTTATGGGTCCATTTGATTTGTTGTGCAGGTACATGGTAAATCGTGCCAGCGCTTTGTCCTCAGCCCCGAGATGGGTTCAAGACGGTCTTTTCGTCTTAGCAATGATGAATTCTGCCATAAATCCGCTGATTTATGGGTCATTCGGGGACCGAAGACTATCCACGTCTGGCTGTTTTTCTAAATATGTGGCAATAATGTGCGGTCGGGGGGAGTCTTAATTGAACCATTGTGGTTACATATTAAACAGTGTAGTTGTATTTATAAATGTATGTAAATATTTCGTTAAAATGTATGAATCTAAGTATGTACATTTCATGTATTTACGTTATTCGATACCACACATATTTATGTTCATAAGTGTGAATATACATAAATACATTATTTATTGCCAAAGAATTCTTAAAGTCATACATTAAGTTGTGCATGTTATGTATGTACATATATTGCCAAACTTGCATAATACTGGTGTCAATAATTAATCATTAAATACGTAGTTTTATTTAAAAATAATTACGAGACATATTTATGAAAGATAAATAAGCATCTATGTACATATTTAAATACGTATCGTACTTAAATCATTTAAGTACGATTGACTTTTACAATGTTAATGCCGCCCAGCAGACGGTGTTTTTTCCTTACTTGTCTAAAATAATAAATGTCTCCTCACACCAAAATTGCTGATAAATATCACAATTTGTACACGTGTGTGTACTCTTTATGTACCTAAAGCATCATGTCGACTTTCGTCCTACTCATCATGTACATATGTATTTGGGTGAAAATATTTATTACATTTTTCAACTTGTTCTTCTTCCTAATTGAAATGGTTCACGTGGAGCCTAAGGCAAATCACAAAGACTTAAAATAGAGAAATAATAAATATGTATGTACATACATACATTAGGTAACTTGGAGAATTTGTTCCTTACAACCTAAAGAAAGTGCGCGTCTTTCACTTTCGAGATTTTCGAGCAAAGTTCACAGGAAATGTACGCGTTGTAAAGGATTTCCTCCACTATAACGTACATATGTAACTTTATTGAAAAGTAAAAACTATAATGGCCGTACAGCAAATTTGCAAAGTACAAGCAATTTTAGTGCTTAAGGGATTCGCAAGGTATGCACGATTTCGCAAATTTCATGGAAACATTTCTGACATCGAATTTTGATTCGATTTCCTTGGCGTATCTAGTATAAATAAATCTATCGCTTTTGATGGAAAGGATGAGATTGCAAAATTAACAATGCATGTGTCTGGTTGCTTTACGAAAAAATCTTATGCCTTTCGAGCAAAAGTTTGGCAAAACCTAACAAATTTTGTTATGTATGCTTAACTTGCAAGATATACGAAGGTTATCGTTAGTAGGTTCACTAAATATGTGTATGAGCTTGAATCTGAAAAAAACAATAATCCGCTAAGAATTAAATATATATGTATTTAGATACATCGATACGTATTGCATCAATATCATTTTTTAATGAAATGTACGATTTTCATACAAAAGGAAATCAAAGTAGCCCAATTATTATAAAAGCATGACGTCAATTTTATAATGCTTTCCAATAGCACTGTCCTGATATTACTGTACATAATTACGTAGAATAAACCAAATAGGAAAGTTTATTGTGTCGAGATTTACTCATTCCAAGAAAGGACTTAAACATCGTCCTGTCAGCCGTGCAAAAACCATTGTGTGATGAGAAACTAATATCCATCCGGTATTAGATTCATGCATTAATAAGAACCACACAATCCGAATTAAATAACTGGGATGGATTCAATACGGAATAGAAAAGTCGAGATACTTATCCATTTATTCAGAATTTCGTATATCCGGATTTACTTATGTACGCTTGTCTGGAGTCGAGATGTGGAACACGTGGCGAAAGAAAGCAAATATAAATTTATGTATATATGTACGTATGCAATCTCTTCCTTTACATGCGTTTGCTTTTCTTGTGAGAATAAATATTTCACGAATCGTTGACGACGTTGTACAAATTCAGAATTTCTTGTGTACACTCTAGAAAAATTCTGTGACAAGCGTACCGGCTCTGGTGATCAGGGTTTTTGCCATTTCGGTGGTAAATAGTATGCTTTCCCTTGGTGATAGAATGTCACCGAGCTAGTGGGTACTCCTTAGAGGTGAGTCGGGCCTAAGATTTTCAAAGCCCGGCCCGCCCAAGCCCGACTCAAAAACCCTATTCAAAAGCCCGACCCGCCCAAGCCCTATTCAAAGCCCAACTCAAAAGCCCGGGCCCGCCCAAGTCCACATTTTCTAAAGCCCGAGCCCGCCCAAGCCCTATAGGGCTTGGTGTTGAGAAAGCCCGCCCAGGCCCGAGCCCATCGGGCTTTGAGCCCGGGCCCATAGGGCTTAATCGGGCTTTTTTGTTATGGCGTGACAAATTATTTATACAATTAAAAATAAGATTTGTAGAGCGTTCTAAGTTACGCATGACGAAACACGAATTGATAAATAAAGAAGTTCAAATTATTTAACAAACATATTTCAAAGGTTTAGTAAAAAATAAATTATTTTCACAAGGTACAAAAATAAATAAACCCAAAACTGTTAGTGTCAATGATGTTTAGTAAACAAAAAACGTAGTTTTTATGAACGAGTGTCAGGTTGGATAAACCACTGCCACTAATCCTAAGTTCAGTGCGACAGGCGGTCAACGTTAAACCGGTGCTTTAAAACACTCTCTCATCACTTGCTTGTGATGCGGGGATTGATAATATCCTTGGAGTAATTTTCTGCATCAGTGGAAATTGTGTGGCGCCACACCAAAATTTCAGGATATGCTGACCTCGCTTGATCCAATAGCCTGACCTTCTTTGAATATGTATCCTCTTGCACAGTAAGCTTATTTTGTATTCTCCGTCCTTTCACACTTTAGATGTGCAACCCTGGTAGTAATTTTTTCACACCAATAACAACAATCATTTCCATTTTGAAAATTTTTGATATTGGAATTACTTTTTAATGAAAATCCTATGAGAATACAATAATGAATTGTGAATTGCAAGTATAAAATATAAATGGTGCGCTTTTGGCCAAACTTTTGACTCTCATATTACTCCTAACTCCACGAAAAATATTAGTCGGGCTTTTGAGTAAAGCCCGAGCCCGACTCAAGAAAAGCCCGCCCAGGCCCGACCCGACTCATGGGTCCAACTCAAAAGCCCGGGCCCGCCCAAGCCCTACTCAATAAAGCCCGCCCAGGCCCGGCCCGACTTAAAGGCCAAACTCAAAAGCCCGGCCCGCCCAAAGCCCGTTGGGCCTGGGCGGGCTCGGGCTAGCCCGATTAAAGCCCAAGCCCGACTCACCTCTAGTACCCTACGTGGTGATTCAGCTGTAACCCAGTGGTGGTGACATATTACCACAATCCGGTTAAGTCACACATACTCACCGCTCGGGAATAATCAGGTGTAAAATTTCTTAGAGTGTATCTACTGCGGAATAAAATATTCTATATTCAGCCATGCGAAAATATGGATAATTTCAATAACGTAGCAATATTAACAATTTTTGACCATGATACATTCACTGTACTTGATATATCGACTTTTTATCAAGTTAAATCTATTTCATCGATATTTGAAAAATATTCTTTCTAGCTATCATACCAACCAAGTAGTATGCACTCACTGCAGGTGCACATACTGCTAAAAAATATGTAAATGATATTTAAAGTGCAAAATATAATATTACGATTATGCCTCTGGACTATTTAATCCTTCGTTGCATTATTATTTGTCAAGCACACGTCTTATTTTCGTTGACAGGTGCATGTGAAAGCACTCACGTATTCGACACGTGTTAGACCAGAATCATGCATACGTCAAAAGATCGTAGCACAAGGTCGATGCATGAATAATTCTATGCATATGTATGTGTACATCCATATTTAAAACATCCGTGTATCCGCAAATACAATAGATACAGATATGCGAGAATATCTATGGCGGATTAGATTACTCGCAGAAAACTAATAGTCTTTTCATTATCCTAATGGAGGTGATGTGATTCTGCTATGTATGTAGTTAAAAATTTTACCCATGAACGAATAAATATGTATAGTTAATTATGCAGCCAGCCATGGCTTAAGGCTGGATCAATAGCCCGTGATTTGTTCATGATTAATTGTTAAGTTAAATACGCGTATACTCGTATCGTATATCTGTCCACACTCCAAGATCTTCAAACAACAAATTTTGACCGGATTTTGTGGTTGGTTGGTTGATTTTATTTATAATTGGTACGGTGCTAATTGGTATGCTGTAATCATGAACGAGTGAAATCATGATGAGCAAAACGTGAATAAATCACGGACTATGAATCCAGCTTAATAATGAGCAAGTGAAGAAAAGTATGTTGACGTGTGTTATGCAGGATGAGAAATATACATACACAAATATGTATTTTGCACCTCTTTCTTAAATTTAAAAAATAAAAACTATTAAAAAACATTTAATTTGGCAAATTTTAACGATTAACGACTCATACATGTATGTACTTAGGTATCTAATGTTCTCCAAAGAATGAATTTCGAACAGTACAGTATTTTCCGATTAAATAACGCATCAAACGCAGTGCAAAATACATATGTACATATGTGCATACACTTCTGGTAGTTATTTTGTTATTTGCGCTTTTCTTATTTATGAACTAGATAATCCCAATTTGCGCCTGCAACACGCATGGTAATTTAGATTAGTGCAATATGACACACTTAAATGCTTAATCTAAGAACATTATTCAAGGATTTATTTCATGACTTCATGACATTAAAGAGGTAAACTTTTGGAAATCTGGGATCTTGAGTGGGTTACGAATTTACGTATGTGTTCATCTCCTGAGCTCTACAGGTTTGTCATGTACTGTATTCATTGGAAATTTGAAATGTTCTAAACTAATTTCGTGGTTGCTGGATCTAATGAACTTATGGTTCCAGAATCCAATCCAAGGAATAGAGCCCCTTTACCTACATCTTTACCTTTACCTGCTTATTTTGGTATATCTGTCAACCATTAAATAACGATAATTTTGTCAATTTTTGGAATTCAGTATGTTATCAACTTCTCATCTTAAGAGTTACCAGTTACACAAATAAAAATAAACAAATAAAGATACTCACATAAGTCTCATCTAAGCTTTCGGAAAGTTCGATAATCTGCTCAGAACTCGGTGGATATCGGGTGAAAACCTCCAAATATCCATATAAGGGCCAAAATCTCGCCCAACCTCCAATATCCATGAAAAATTCTCGCCCTACAACCTCAAATATGTATGATATCCGCCGAGCTCCTGCATATGTGCATGTCTATGTACTTATGCAGATATATGCAAATATATATGTATATAAATATGTATCTTTTAAATATTTTCAAATAAACATGTAACTTTTATGAATCATCGTTGAATCGTTCATCAGTCGTTGAATATGGGATCAGATGTATGTTCGCATCAGTCTGTATTTACTTCCATGGCATTAATTCGGAGAATCAGTAAATCTTTATTAACCTCATTGAGATAGTGACTATTACGATGCAAATTATGCAGTTCACTGGATTTGATGTTTGCTGAGAGGATGATGCAATCAATCAATACTAAGAATAGCCGTGACTCACTGTGTTTGTCTGTCCAATTTGAGAGTGTGCGCTGAACTTGGTTGAACATGGGGCAAAATGAGACACAACTTATGTTATTTAAATTTAATAAACAACATAAGCGCCCACCTTGATTTTCAATGATTGGGGCATTATGAGATTATCGATTTTTCATATTCACGCATTATGCGCCCTCTATTGGATGTCATTTATCACGTGACATTCGCACTCATTTTAAATTCATACCAAAATCGTTTTCTCTAGCCTGACATCACAAAAAATTATTTTCTCCTGCAAATTAATTCTCAAATGTCATAAAAGGAGGTCAAAGGTCATCAATACTAATAATTGGCAAACGAGCAGCGCCACTCATCGGCGTTTTCAGGAACTATGTTGTATTCTTCGCCGGTAGTGGGCGTTCTACGCTAAGTGTCAAAACGTTCAGAAAACTTTACCACCGGAATAACTCAACAAATCCCAAATTGAACACGGCTTGACCCTTTGCACATCGATTAGATTCAAGATTCAATCTGTCACATGGGCATGTCCCCTATAATCGACTTTTGACCCGTGACCTGGTACACCTATAGTCGGCAGTTGACCAGAGGTTTAGGAGCACCCCCTATAGTCGTTGGCAGTTGGGCGGGGTCTGGGTACACCCCCTAAACTCGGCAGTTGACCCATGACTATAATTTTCGGAACACTTACATATGCTGGACAGTTGACCCGCGACCTAGAAATTCTATCTATTGTCAGAAGTTGAGCGGGATCCGTCCACACCCCTTATAATGGGCAGTTGACTCGGGCCCTCTCCCTATAGTCGGCAGTTGACCCGATACCTGGGAACCCACCTATAGTCGTCAGTTTACTCTCGACCACTCACATTTGTTTTAAGGTCACACCAATGCTTATTTCGCCTACATGGCTACCATGTTCCGAGTAGTTTTTGCAAAATTGTTCCCAGTTTATTAAATTTCAGCTAAAGAAGAAACGAAAAATGAACAAAATGCAATCAACTTCGAACGGGGAGGGATCTCAACAGAACCTAGATTTTCAACTTTTCAATAAATGTAAACATTTTAAACTCGATGTCGGACTAAGGGTTAAGAATTAAAATTCTAAAACTTGGGATTAGAGATTGAGATTAAGGACTAATCAATCCCCAATCCTAATCTCAATCCTTAATTCTGGATTGACCAATTTGTATCTAATGTGTATAATTGTGTCTAATGTAAATGTGTCTAATTTGTATCTAATCTATAAGCCCGCAATGCGAACTTCGGAGACTACTTGTACTTGAGAAGAACCAGCCCTCTAAGTAAGTGATCAAGTCAATGCAATCTTTACATTTTTTCAGTGGTGTTGAGCTCGATGTCAAAGAGTTCGATCTTGACACGTATGTTTTTTTTAATTTGACCACACCCCTGTGACTCATTCGTATGTAAAAAATTTAAATAAAAATCATAGTTTTTAAACTTTCTAAACTAAATACGAGCAATTCAAACGTATGCTCTTGACGAAAATATTTACACATGCGAGAGTGGACACTGCATGTTTATTTTTTTTTAATTTGAAGCTTGATCGATGTGCCGATGCAATTGGCAATTGGACTCTTATCCTTATAGGAAACGTTTCATCCAGATTTTCTTGGGATAAATACATCGAAAACAAGAGGTTTAGTACTGACCCTTGCCAATTCACATCAAACCCAGGCAACCAACGGGAAATCCATATGTAAATATTTGTACCAATGTTAACTCCTTATCTGCATATTTTATTTGTCAATATGTGTAAGCAATCTACACTGGCGTCGCTTCATATCACTTGAATTGCATTTTATTGGTGGTGTAGTAGATGCATGAATACAATTTCCAATAAATACCCTCGCGTTGTGCGGAATTAATTAATTTGTCGGACACAAAGCAATATTGCGGTACAGTTACTCACAACTCATGTACAACGCTACTTACGGTCAGACAGGTACTAAACTTAAGTTAAATATTAACCATTGATATATATACTATTGTCCTCTGGCATATGTAAATGCAGGAACAGTTATTAAATTTTCATCTACATAAATATATATTATGTACATATGTATATAGATATGCATTCACATATGTATATATGCATACATACATACATATGTATAAACATATATGTAAATAAGAAATTATGTAGTTTTCACTATTGTCATGCAAAATTGTATGCTCTGATCATTAAAATACCTAAGTACAAATCATACGTATACTGAATGGACATGTGTAAGTGTAATTACTATATCACAATTGTGTAACGCATACATACATACATATACCTATTTACAAATGTATGCAGCTAAACACACTAAATAAATAAATTGGATAAATTACACATACATCAACCTTCTAGGTTGCATAAATCACGATTTTGTCAAACCATAAGACTTACCAGCAGAGGTACATGAATGAAAGTATTTAGGTATTTCATATGTATGTATGCATGTATGAAATTGAAATAAAACCAAGTAAGTCTTGCTGTATTTCAACGTTTAAATTCTGTTGGATAAATTTTGCCCACTTGTTGTACCATCCTCCATGTATTTTACTCAACCTTGAATAAATTTTCCACGACTTTATTTAGAGTGTACAAATTACCTATGATACATATGTACGTAAGTATTTATTTCAAATCCTCCATCCCTTTCTAACAGATAATGTCCACCACGCTAATCGGATTTCTACTCGACGTCTCAGGCTCAATGAGGGACAGCCTAGCCCTTAAACAAACCAGCTCAACTACAGAAAAAGAATTAACTCGAGCCGAATATACGATCCGTAAAGTGCTTAAAATCTGTGAAAATGAAGAGAACAGAACAAAAAATGACGACATTTTCATCCTTGCCTTCGGCCTAAGAGGAAATAATTGTTGCGACCTCGTCCAGCTTTTAGAACTCGTTGACCCCAACAAGGACCGCCTCCCTGACCCGAAACGATCCTTGATAGAATTCCTTAAAGCTAACGGGGCTCCATATTCTGAAAAATACGTTACCAGTTATGTCCAAGAAAACCAAGCTCGTTTCCTATGCAAAGTTTTTGCAAGTAAACCAAAAGAAGCGAGACTTATTGCAAATGAGCTTCCAGTCCAATGTAGATCTGGTTTGGCAAGCAAGGCCACGAATACAGCTGGATATTTCACCTCATGGAAAATTCTTAGACGATTTGGACTTGACCCTATACAAAATTCGGAGAAGTCTGCAACGAAAGAAAATGCAAAATTGGCAATAGAATAAGCACTGTCCTTCTTCTCCACCCCGCAGCCAAGAAGTCTCCAATATGTTGCTCAACTCATTCGGTCGTTCGTGAAACCTGGAGAAAGTCCTAATTCAAACGTGATAACGAAGCAACAGCTCGAAAAACTTATGGACGACATTGAGCCCTACACTTACGACATGACCCCCATGTGTCGCGCCTTAAAAATAGCGATCGACACATTTGACAGGTCCTCCCACACAGAAAAGGTCTTGGCATTGGTGACCGATGGAGATGCTACGGATGGTGATCCCACAAGATTTGCGGCACCTCTCGCTTCCAGAAAGATACAAGTCCTCACCGTTCTTCTCACATCGAACAATATTCCATTTCCCAGAAAACTTTACTTCGACCTAGATCCAAATTGGGTACCTGCTCATAAAAAAATGTTCGCCCTCAGCAGCGCTGTGGATAATACCAATTCCGCATTGTCCATCCTACTCGAACGTGGTTGGGAGTTATCGCCACGTGGGAAAAACCGACTCTTCGTACAGGCTAATCATCCCGTAATTGTGGACGAATTTACTGCCGTTCTTAATCAAATGTTTACCCGAGGGAGTGCCGTGTGGAACATGTTCAGTCGTGTCTCACTCGGCATGTACATAAACTCTTCAAAACTAGAATTAGAGCCAAATGATCAAATTGGCGGGGCATGTTATGCCAACGCGGTTGCTGCCGCGCTTCATCTAGCGACGAGACGGGTTTGGGGGAGGAGTGGCGGTCATCCCGAGTTTGACGATATGTTGAAGCAAATAGTTGCCGAATTTGGGAGTGATGGGGCTCAAACTGCCATGGTGCTTGAAAAATATGCCAAACTTTACCGGTTGCACAGTAAAGCCCTGCCTGGGCGGCAGCCAGGGCGGCAATTGCTCAGCGGAGACCAATCGTCGCAAGATTTTCCCTTTCTAAGAGGAAGAAAGGCCAAGTAAATGTGAGAGACCAATGGGACGATTTTGGAGAATTCTTTAAAAAGAATCCGACCGGGATTTTGAAATCTAAAGATATCGGTAACCACAATACCGGCGCGTATGGCGGGCATGCCGTTCTTCTCGTTAAATGTGAGCCGGATGGACTCGTTTTCATGAACTCGTGGGGGACTGGATGGGCGGACGGGGGATTCTTCCGCGTCGAAAATGCGGATGTCCTTGGGCTCAAATTTTATGACGTTTTCTTCCTCGAATCGGACTTAAAACCGGAGGAAATTCAGGCCTACAAGAATAAAGGGGTGGAAACATTGGAGACTTTGTTAGCACGCCTGCCAGAACATGTAAAACAATTGCCGTATGTCTGCCCACTGTGTAAAAGGAGCTCCCCTGCGGCTAGTTTTAATGGGGGAATTGTATCCGTGGAATGTCCCAAGTGTAAGAAACGCTTTGAACCTGCCCCCATCGGGCTCATGTTGGGATGAGGTAATTCTGAAAAATATACACCACTTGGGTGTTGAAGACAAATCAGCTATTAAAGTTTATTCAGCGTCATTAATTAAGCTTTACGGTGGGTGTAGGGATTGTTTAAAACAAAAGTTCGAGCTTATTTTGGAACAAAGTTAGTCTGTAATCTTGTCAAGGTTATCACTTCTTTATAAAAAATATAAAATTGTACATTATGTAAATAGATTATAAAATTTCCCATTTTTGTCTTGAATCATGTATCTAAATATACTTGAAACGTACATATGTAAGTACGTTCGTGTGGTTTGTATGTGATGAAACTATTCAATGTTCAATTTCTACATTATTTATGTATCTAACCCTTGCCATGTACATATGTAATTACCATTGTCATTTAAAGATGGGCTAATAAATTATCAATTACTTAATAAATCAATTTATGTAGATATTATTTCAATGAAATACTGTTCAAAAAGCATTTACTTAATTATCATATTGTTTTGCTTTTATTTTAAGATTTCGCGATAAACTATTATTCAGAAAGGTCAAAGAGTTTGCAAAGGTGATTAGTAAATTTTTGCAAATACAATTACAATCATTATAATTGTCGCTACGAAAGAAAAGTCGAACTAAATCGGGACACACAAATCCCTCTGTACGTATGTATGGATAGACACTAACACTTACATAACTAAGTGTTAAATTATTAATTACAAAGTTATTTATCACATACTTATGTCATATGTAATATGCTAGCATATATAGTGCACATGGGAGGTGAGGTATTTACATGCATGATACATATTTACGTGAATAAGCCTTTTATCAATTGAAGAAATCCATAAATAAGCCATATGAACCTTACATACATATAATTTTAATACATAATTTGTACATAATTTGAATTATCTATAACAAGTTTCGTTTCCACTATTCAAATTTATGTGTGTCGCCCTTCCTCCTTATATTTGTCTGCAATAGAAACCCGCAATTATTTTTATTTATATAAGTATGTACGTTCAATAACATTTTAAACATTAATTGAATAGCTTTACCTAGCCAGGTTTTCATAAAATCCATCCATCCTGCGTATACTTGTTGGCAAGGATGTGTCAAAGGCTTCCTCAACGGTAAGATCTCCACCTAAAAAATCCGGCAGTATGGCTGGTGGCAAATGATTATGCAACTTTTCCAAATCGGATGCATGCATGTTGACCTGTAATTTAAAATATGTAGTGTCTAGTGACGAAGTTTTTTCACGTAATTATTCTGAGACAATTACCGCAGGCATTGGTAAGGTAATATTGTAAAATCCGTAAATTCTATAAACTTACGAACTTTTTGCAAAATTTTACAAATATTTGAAAGGAAAGTTAGCTTAGAAATTTGTGTAAACTTGCTCATATCAAGGGAATCTTTTTATTTTGGAAAAGTTTGTAAAATTATTTTACAAAACTTACGGCTTTTAAATATACCTAAGTTACGAATGACTGCGTGAATGTTCAAAATAATTATTTCATATTTCACCGTTCTTGCAAAATGTGCATTTATTTTTTCTTACCCTCTCCCTCAATTTCTTATGTAGTAAATTTTTAAATATCCGGTATACATTATGCACTACAAATCCTTCATGTATAATATGGACTCCCTTAGGTCGGCTGGGTATAGCTTTCTACAAGAGAAATTAAAAAATTGGCATGATGCATATTTAAAGCATAGCTTTATACAACAATTTGTCATCTGGGTATCTAAATTACTTATTTATTTATGTGTTAAAAACAAATGTGATGCATTACCAAAATTATTCATAAGCAACGGAGCTCAAATATCTCAATTATTATGCATGTACCCAGTCGGGTACGAAATTCTTTGATAAACGTTTTTTACTGCAGAAAAATAACGGGTAAGAATTTGTAATTAAAATTTTCCACACGGATGCATAATATACCTGTGTATAATATAAAAATACTAAATATCCAAATTTCCTCCTCTGGAGCACACAAACTTACAAAATCTGATGGTAAACTGATCGCCTGGATTACGCACGGTTTCCTGTGGAAACTTATCCTAAGCCCTGCGTAAATTTAACAAAGAAAATTAAAGAATTTGCACTAAGCAAAAATCATACACACCCCTGGCAAATAGAAAACGTCGAAGATCTCATCCCCCTAAGTCTTTGATGGTTTGGATTTGAATTAATCTGCTGGAGAAAGCGAAACCCTGTTTTTCTCTAGAAAGGGTTGCAGCGCAAGCCAAGAATTACATTTCCAAAGTTGCAAACCTTAGTGTAAAACCTTTGAAGTCCGGCCTATCGAAAAATAGAAACTGAATTTCTTAAAAGGTCACGGCTCACGAGGGAACCTCTTATAGTGCCCGGAGCTCCCAGCATAACCACTATGTACATTCGACGTAGATTTTAATACTACTCCGATGATGTGACAAAATTACCGTGTCAAAATGACATTTCGTCAAGTGGTGACGACTTTAGTGACGCGCCGAACGGTCACTTTCGCCCATGCTTTCAAAAGAGGAACGCTTTTCACCACTCGCTCCTCACTCATCTCACTTAAATCTCAACCCATTTACTCACAAGGGATTTTCCTATATCTTTACAATTTACGGATTTATTTGTGCCCTCTTCTCATTCACCATTTGGACAAATTCACAAGCATTGTCTTCAATATGTCTGCTGCTAATGTGAATATTGACCAGCTCTTGATAGGTAAAATTGACACCGTCGACATCTTCTTCCTCCCATTTCTGTGAGACTCGTTGCGACAGACTTGCAGAAGCTTCCTCGACGTCTTCCTCATCTTCAGAATCCTCATGAAATTCATTTATTGTATCACTAATTAAATCGTATCCCTCGACATATGTGTCAATATCACAATCATAGTCAAATTCTAAAGTGATAGAAGATTCAAAGTCCGTATTTGAATTATTAACTAAATCTTCCACAAAACCCGGTCAACAATTTCAACATTGTTAACTGGAATTGATGAAGCGTTGAAATCTCCCGAATATCTGTCCTTGGCGATTTTAAGAACAGCCTCACAAATAGATACAATTATAGACGTTCTATAATTTTTAAACTCCGAATATTTAAAAAAAAATATTAAAAGGCTACAAATAGTAAACAAGGATCATATTGTCAACACAGTTAAATTGGATGCGAGTTTACTCAATGAGTAAATGGGTTGAGATGTAAGTGAGATGAGTGAGGAGCGAGTGGTGAAAAGCGTTCCTCTTCATGGCGAAAGTGACCGTTCGGTGCGTCACTAAAGTCGTCACCACTTGACGAAATGTCATTTTGACACGGAAATTTTGTCACATCATCGGAGTAGTATTAAAATCTACGTCGAATGCACATAGTGGTTATGCTGGGAGCTCCGGGCACTATAAGAGGTTCCCTCGTCAGCCATATGGTGCAAAAATTGTCGAAAATTGACTCCGAGCTCATTTCATCGATTTAATTTGGTCACAAAAATGCCATCGGCAATAGCAGACCTTAATCATCTGGATTATGACTTGCGGCTTAAAATTGAGACCATGGCCTGCTCTAAAACTTCCACTGGTGCAGAAGTTCTCAAATTTTGTTTCTCAACGCTTGTGACCATTTTCCGGTAGAAACCGCGCGTGCTCCAAGCGACCGGCCGTCCATCAGATTTCTCAAGCGTGTGTACTCCAGGAGAGGAAATTTGGAAAGGTAGTATTTTTATATTATACACAGGTATATTATGCATCTATATGGAAAATTTTAATTAAAAATTCTTACCCGTTATTTTTCTGCAGTAAAAAACGTTTATCAAAGAATTTCGTACCCGACTATGTACAAAGTCATTCAAATTACCTAAAATACATATGTACGAGTACAAACCATGTTCAGCCCAAATTTTAAATAGGGTAGCTTTATATTCTTCGAACAATGTTAACACGCGGGTGGATAAATTTCTGGCATTGACAGACAAATTAATCTAATTTTCTGCCTTTAAAATTTGAAATAACGTCGTTCGTTTTGGCATGATATTTTTATCTGCATTAGTCGTTCAGATATTTGCAAATTACTGCAAATAACTGTGCTTTTTCTACGAGTTTGGTGTTTCAAAAATGGACCATTTTTGAATCACGTCACCAATGTTCATTGAGACATTAAGTAATTTGAAACCCTTCCCTAAACGAATCACATGCTTTAAAAACGGTCCAAACAAAATATGGGTTGAACATGGTCTTCATTTTCATTGTTGTACCATCAATTTAAAAATTTGAGCTGGCTTAAAACAATAAATCATCTCTCTTCCTTTCTTACCACGAACATGTTCACTAGGAGGATCGCAATCCTTGGCGTTATCGTTCTCGCATGGCTTAAGGTCAATCCATTGCAGTCAAAGAGTAAGACGAGCTCATTTCCGGTGGAGAAATAGGTTCGAATTCCCTCATCAAGGACGAACATTCCAGTCGCGATGGCATCCTCGATCGGAGCAATGGACGGATTCCACTTGCACATTTGCACCACGCCAACCACACGACCGTTCGGGTCGGGATGGCGAAGAATGTTGAAAAGATCCTTGTCCAACATGGTCACCGTTGAGGGTAGATACGTTTGCGTAAAAATTGGATACTTTTCTGTCCTCACGTAGACAAAGTGTTCCAACTATTTTGAAAACGAATTAAAACAAAAACTATCGTCATAACATGAATTATATCTTAAAAAACATACATGTGTATTTACATATGTAGATCAGTTTCATACAATTTTTTATTTGTAAATAATTCATACATATATTTAAAAACTGTACATTTTTTCCGAGTTTAGATAAATACTGTATATACACACCCATCATAGGTGTGGATGTCCACATAGGTGATCATGTGTCCACATAGGTATAATAAATTATTTTTACAAAAAAACACTCTTAGGTGAGGTGCTACGTCGCGAATAAAAAAATAAAACAAGAAGTTTATTATTTCTTAGCCTGACATGACTTGGATGACATGTAGATAATTTGCATGCACAATAATAATTGTGGTGTTTCCATTATTCACATTTTCTCACCGTGGGCCCATCATTATAAGATAATTTATCAAATTAAAGTACTTATTCGGTACATATGTATTAAGACATGCAAATTAATTGAATATTAGTTTACGAATTTAATTTCGGATAATTTTGCATAAATTGAAGAAGTTTTATAAAACATTAAAATGATTTGTCTCGCATAGGAGTATATTTTGTGCATTCACTCTCTGTACAGCTATCACGTAATGATCTCTCCCCATATATCAAGCCGGCCAATTCGGCTAAACAACTCAGATATTTGTGATGTGCCATCAAATTGGCAACGAATTGTCACTCAGGGTTTTCACGTCACCTTCGTAACTGTCGTAATTGTCGTTAATAGCGTAAATTTACAACATCTACGAAAACTCCATGCTTACGTTGCTTCGTAAATATACCCAAGGTTGAGGCATCTTTTTCGTTCGTAAAAAAATTTCGTAACAATACAAAATCACGATATTTCGAACACCATAGTTGCCGATGATATTGGGCAAGGAAATTAAAAACAGTTTTTACGAAATATTTTTTACGAAGGGTCTTTCACGCCAACCTTTTGTAAATGACGTAAATTTACGAATATTTTTTTTTACAAATCTACAGTTACGAAGGTCGTGAAAACTCTCAGTGAGGGTTTTTATTATTTAATACTATTCCCTTGAAATATTCTAAGGGAAAACTAAAAGGAACTCGCAATATGTCTAGATTTTTACCACGATGGGCCCACGGTGAGGAAATGTGAATAATGGAAACACCACAATTATTATTGTGCATGCAAATTATCTACATGTCATCCAAGTCATGTCAGGCTAAGAAATAATAAACTTCTTGTTTTATTTTTTTATTCGCGACGTAGCACCTCACCTAAGAGTGTTTTTTTGTAAAAATAATTTATTTTGTAGTTTTTAAATGTTAATATTTATGGCAAACAAACCATTACAAACCAATATAACAAAGTAGCTTCTGAACTTTTAAAATTTCATTGAAAATGACATCGTATCTGACAATTATATATATTTGACCTTTGACCTCGTCCGCATGGTAATGAAGTCAAAAATATTAACGACGTTGAATTTGTGATAAAATTTCCTTGGAAATGATATCAGATAATAAATTATAATATAATTAAATATTGACCCACCCCCTGTGTGGGATGTGATCCGACTGACGCTATTATCGAACTCGACCGAGAACTAAAAATTAGAAACACAATGCCGAAAACGGTTTTGATTACGTTGGCTCGTTCTGAAGATATCCTGCTTACAGACGGACGAACAGACAAAACCATAATACGATACGATAACGGCAGAAGCAGAATCAGAACAAATGAATATGGGTGCCGAACTGAATTTAGTTTTAAAAAATTGCGTGGGTCACATTTTTTTGTATCTACTCTAATTTTCAGATTACGATAGATAATACTAAACCCCCAATGTTTTATGCACATGTCACACACCCAATGTACAATATTTGTGTCCTTTAAAAATCTGTTCAAATTGACACGTCTGACATTTTTACAGCGTTTCTGGCCTTCGCCCTCATACATACGGCCATTGAGCTGTCAGAGTTAGAAGCGGGTACCAAATTCATGTTGTATTCAAAATTTGCTAAAATGGGCACATCGAACATTGAACATGTTTACGACATATAAGACCTTTTACCTCATTCACACAGTCACTTTGATGTTGCAGGTCAAAATGACTTGCGCTGTTGGACAGCTCTATGGAAACACTATCGATTTGAGTCCTAACAGGATGTTATAATTTAATAAAATCCTGACGTTTTGACCATGTGGCCTACAGGACCCTATTTCTGTTCAGGCCTACCTCTTGACCTGAACGTCCGTTCAAAGCTTCAGGCCTATGTGGCGTGGCGTTCACGATTTATCAGATCAACAGGCAGACGGCCAGATATGAAGATCTGATAAACCGTTACAATGCATTTAACCAAGGGGTGGGAAAAGTGTCACCTTTAACCTTGTGCAAATGGTCACTGAAGTGTTGCAGGTCATAGTGGGTATCGTATTCGTGTTCAGCGTTAAAATTCTGTTTAAATTAATATGCCTGACGTGTTTTCTCATTTTCCCCCAAATCCACACCCCCTTGGCGGGAAGTGGGTGTGGCGAGTAATTTATACGAGTAATTTATAGCTATTATAAATTTAATAGCTGCCACCATTATGCACATATGCACACATGCATAACAAAACACTATAATTTCCTGGATAAACTTACACATGCCACCGTCTTCTCCATGTCGTTCCTCTTCCCCCGGAGAAATCCAACTAGCAGCTTATCGTCGAAAATATCAGCGAAATTATGCAGTTTTTCATTATCTGAGTTAACACAATACTTTTTACATAACGCATTATACAATCAAATACATGTAAATTGTTCCTTCTCACCTTTTATCCTTTCCTTTAGCTCCTTCAGCAACACACTTCCGGTCTCCACGGGAATAATGTTGCACATTTTTTGTATCTCCTCTGTTTGTTAAGTGATAGGTAAAATTTTTACCAAACTAAATAGATTTTCACAAGTATATAAAATTATAATTAAGCACACATTTGAACTGACAACTAAATATGACCATGATTTTGTCCAGCGTACAAAATTTCGTAACGAATGGCAAGCATGAACATGCAACACTTAATTATTTATTTTATGTAATTTATCTCTGCAATTAGTTTTTCTCTCCATCAACCATTCACTACAGCAAACTAACATACATATAACCAACATTACCACTCATCTTATCATGGAACAGGAGTTTCGTCACATACAGTATTGATACGTCTCGTTACATATAAGTTATCTAATTTAGTGCAAACTGTCCACTCGATTCACAACGTATAACATGTTTTCTTCTCATGTGGATGATGAAACCAATTTTTGATCGATATGTATGTCTACTTGTACGCGTTCGTCCTCAGCTCTCCAAGTGACGTGTGTAAATCACTGACCAATTTTATCTGAACAGTTAAAGTCATGAGGTCACCGCAGGTGAGTGGGAATCAAAATATAGTATTAATGAATGGGTAACACGCGTTAAGCAAGCAATATCCCCTCATACTTACATAAGTTAAATTTATAAATTCGGTCAGAATTGTGTGAGTTTAATTAATCAGCTTAACATTTTCACACATGTGCGTAATGCATGTTATCTATGTAGGTATGCAGGTAAGTTGTGATACATAATATTCCGCTCAAACTTTATGCATCAATGGCAAAGGTTAGCGACAATAATTTGATCACAATTTGCAATTTGGAACCAAAGTATTTTCCTCGAAACAAGTATTTATGTACATATACATACATATCTTAACAACTTGTAATTTGAAAATAAATAAGCGCATTCATTCATAACCAATGTGTCGACATGCTGACACCTCGACTGCCATAGTGAATAAATGCTACATACCTTATAAATACAATCTCGATACTGGAATATTTCCATGCAAAATAAATCATGAAAACTAAATGAATTCAATTGCATGCGTATCAATTTCGGAGAAAAAATATGTAACCAGCGTCATTCCTTTTGTGCAAAAACATGTGCATGTACATACATGCATAACTTGATGGAAACAAATTTTATATAATGCAGCTTTGATGCAGCTCAAGGCTTCCTTAACAACATATTTATCAATTTATCTAAACAACTCATCCTCAGTTCCAAGTTTATGATCACTGTTGACTGTCTGCAAAAAAGCTCGTTGAGTGTCAACTTTAGTGCAAGAGCATTGCAAAGTTGTTGTTGCATACATCTGCATTTATTTGCAAAAAAATTTGCATAATAAGTTGGCGCATATTAATATACCAACATAATGACCCTAAAATCTTCAGCAATCCTGCACATCGCTATATTTGCATTTACAATTTTCCACAAATCTGGTAAGATTTCCATATTTTGTAAAACACTTAACATACTTATACATACTTGTATATTCAAAAACATGCCCAATTATTTAAAAACTTGTCATAATGCAGATGGACAACAGTGCAACTCAGCCTTGAAAGAATGTAATTTTTCAAAATATTTACAACTTTCCTCAAAATTTTGAGGAACACACTAAAATTTCAAGTTTTAAATAAATTAATTTAGATACAACCTGTGGCGGAAATATAATTTCGGACTCTGGAATAATCCGGTACCGGCATAAATCCCTTCTTGTCCCGTACACTGGATGCGTTTGGTTTATAAGGAGCAATCTCAACTCGCAAATTCAAGTCCAGCTTTTGGATGATGGTTTCGTCAACTCGTTTCTCGAAATTAGTCGTCTATTTTTAGACGGCGAAGTTAGTGGGCATGTCAATTGGACAATGTGGGTAGCTTTTTTGTATATAATTAATGTCATAATTACATAAATATGTGTGGAGTTATAATGCCGACTTCGATATAAATCTTATAATCTGAGGTCTAATTTCACTTATCTTATAAGTAATACATAAGGTCCATCACTTGTGTGCTTCGTATGCATGTCAATTGCCAAATCATATAGATAATTGATTCTAATTTAAGTTTACTACGTTCAAAATTTACTTAAACTTTAACTTAACATTGTATATTTTACTTACCTCTACATATAAACGTTTACTAGAGAAGTATTCGAACTTGAAGTTTACTTTTCCACTTACAAATTCGGTCAAAATTGAACAAAAAACGTATATGCAGGTCTAAAGTAAACTTATAGCTACAAATTTAGATATACAATTTCTCTTTAAAAGATACATACTTGCACAGCAAACTTAAAAATAAGACCAATTTACATATTTTATTTACAGGAGAGCCGGAGATTACGCCCCTCGCCTCGTCGAAGGTCCTATGATTCTCCTAAAACTTAGAACCTTTGTTACACCAACTTCCCCCAAAAATGGGACCGGTTTCGTCTTAATGTTTTCCGGTTGTGGGCCAGACATTCCAAACCCACCCACTTTCACGCACCTCTACCGGGATCGAGCTCCCAACAGGAGAGAAAGTTTTGCCTATCCAGATAAAACAAATGCAGGTGACTACCTGCCCAACCAATTTTTTACGTATCTAGCCCAAAGATCCGACCGGGCTTGGACGTACAGCGGAGACGTGTCAGATTGGAAGGTCAACTTATCATTTCAGGATATCCGACCCAGCTTGTACTGCTTGTTTGGGGACAGGCTTATCTTTTATGGCGGAGTTGACATCATGTTCCCAGCGATTGATGGAAATAACGAGTTTATCGATAGGTAATGTGCTCAATGTTTGTATAGAATCGACAGTGGGGGTGTTGATTACGAGCTCGCATCGTTGGCAAGGTTAGCAAAAATACAATTTGCAAATTCGCCAAAAAATTGGCTTGGAAATCCATTTAAGAAGTTGCGCATCTCCAGGGCTATAAATCTATGTACCTACAAATCTGTGTACTATGCATTTTTTTCTCACAAACTCGTATCCGTAATTAATACCCCCAGTTTTTCTTTTCGTTCGGGTTTGCTTCATTTCTTGCACTGCAAAGCAAGAAATGTAAAGTGCAAGAAACTACAGAAAAGTGGAATTAATATGGGCCATCTTTCAACTTTCCTATGAACTATGGCAGCGGGAAGTGGTTTCTAGCACCTTGCATTTCTTGCAGATCAAAAAACCTTCAAGAATCTACTTTCTTGTGGTTTATTTCTTGCAAGTGGTTATGATTTTCGGCCCTTAATTTTTTCAGGTTTTGTGAGAGAAATTCCACCAAAAACTATATCATCCCGTCCCGGTCACCCAAATATGGTAACAGTTTTCCCAACCAGGTCAGTCTCATGATCGTCTTCACTTCAACGCGTTGGAGTGGAAGAGGGAAGGGGTTCAGGTTGGAATGGTGAATGGCCGCAGAGCTGGGAAATTAATGAGTTTCGAGATTAAAAATTAAGATTTGAGATTAAAAATCCCCGAATCAGAGATTAAGATTAAGATTAAAATTATTCTTCCGCTACTAAATTAAATTATTAAGATTAAATTAATCTATTTTTATGACACAGATTAAAGATTAAAGATTAATTAATCTAGATTAATATAATAGTCATTAAGAATTATTTTATTTTATCGCCGTTTTTTATAGTTTACATCGATATTATAATTATATCGTAAATTCTAAAATTTGAGAAAAGTATGAAGTATCGGTGCTTCAAAATTGTTATTCAAAATTATTAAACTTTTATCAGCTAAATTTAAGGCGAATACAATAACTTGTAATACGAGTAAAAATTAGTCTCACCTCAAATGCAACGCGTTTTTAAATTTCAAAAAATAATAACTCTTAATTTTTTTTAATTAAATTAATTTTTTAATGGCAGCAAATTTTTTAATCTTTTTAAAGAATACAGTTTTAAATAACGTTACTTTCAAAAAAGGGAACCTGTCAGAAATTTAGAATTGTTTTGATTTTTAAAAATGGTTCCAGTGTTGAAAGACGATCGTGCGTTGAAATTTAGAGATTTACAAGGAGTCGAGTAACAGATGGCGTGATTTTAATCATAATATAAATCGTGATTAAAATTAAAGTCGAAGATTCAAAGATTAAAAATTAAAAATTAAATTAATTAAATTGACTTGTGAGATTAAGATTAAAATTATTGATTAATACGATCAAATTTCTTGATTAAAATTATGGATTAAGATTAATTATTCTTAATCTTAATCTTAATCTTGATTATTTTAATCTAGATTTTCCCAGCTCTGTGAATGGGAAATGCAATTAAATATTGCATGAAATATGAGTATTACTCATTGAGTAAATGTCAATCAATTGAGTAAAATTAAAAGTACTTATGTATCTAAAGTAAAAAAAATATATTACAGTAGCGTTTGTAACTTTCTAATTTGTGAACCACATTAAAAAAGTATATACGTTTGAAACATTACACGCGTTTGAAACAAATCAAACGTTATATAAATAGATAAGTGTACAAATAAGTGCGCAAATAAATTGAACATGTGTCTAGGTATTCTTTCAAATTGTAAAATAGAATGCAGCTTCTGAAAAAATAAAAGTCGATAAATGGTAATTTGGTAATCGGTAAATTATCATCACACCAAAATTTCTCAAAAATTAGAGTATTTCTTCGGGATTTTGTGGAAAATTCGGTGGTAACAAGTTTAAATTGTTTAATAATAATATGTTATTTATGTTTTTAATTATGCAACTCATATTTTGTATTTCTAATTTCATGAATTTTGCATGAAACCAAATCCTCATGAGGCCTCATGGGCATGCATCCATCATCAACAAAGAGGGGCAAGAAGATCCTCGTCAGGGCTTGATTTTTAAATCGTGGGAACGCCCGCACGGAACGAAAACGGAAAATTTTCGAGTAGAAAGTTCAGTACCTGTGGTAATAAATAAATTAAAATTCTGTGAAATTCTGACAAATTATTCGTTGATTTTAAGGTAAGCAACATTTTCTGGTGTGCTTGTCGATGTGACATATCGATGTGCCCTGTTCACGAATTAATTTAGCAAATGGGCTACATATTAACTGCAAATATTTAATACACGGCATATTATGTATAATTTCAGATATTGTATTTAAAAATGAAGCGTGTCAAAAAGAGGACAAGCTCGGAATCTAGGAAAAAAGTTGGACCAATTGGCGCCACCAGGTCAAAAGGGATGGCTCTTGAAATTCCGGATGTATGTCAACCTAAATCATTTCTCTCATTTTGATTCAATTTCATATTAAGTTTTCATATTTCAAATTATTGAACACGTTACGAAATTCTTGTCCAATTCTGACCTACTGACGTGCACCTTGTTGAATAAAGCGTGGGAAGAAGAGGCTCGCAAGAAGCTCTTACGAAACGTATTGCTGGATTTGTCTTCGCCCTCGGTCAAGAAGGATTTTGCTCAGACTGTGGCATCCTACACCGAAACAATGGAAACTCGGGGGGCATATCATTCCAAATTGCGAATTGGGGAGATAAAATCCGTCCATGAGAGCAATATTCTGTGGTATTTAATAAATCGGGTGAGTTTTTGAATTTAATTGAATAATGCAATTTGAATTATATAGACTTATTTCTAACAATCAGGGTATTCATTATTACGAGTTCACATCCGTAGCAAAGCAACGAGAAAGAAAGTTCGCAAAAAAAATTTGTTTCAAAATTTGTTTGCGAACTTGCGCATCTCGAAAGCTACTATTTAGTACAAGTATAGAATTTATTATATACTTTTTCTAAATACCAGCCTTAACTTATAAGTTAACTTTATTTTGCATTTTTTTCAAAATTATATTACGCTGTGAACATGCGAACAGTAATGAATACCCGAAATATTTCTTTTCACGTGACAGTGAACTTGATCAATGTTGTTTCTACTTTTTTTTATTTATCATTTTTATCAGCAATTGGTAGACACGTGGCCTGTTTACAAGCTTGGCAAATGGACACGATATTTTTTTGGAAGGATTGAAGCCGGGGTAAAGGGACCGAAAGCAAGAAAATGGGTAAACTTTATTTGAATTGAATTGTAGTCATTTGCATGAAGTTAATAATTAATTAGTAAGTAGACCTGGTAGTTAATCTTATTAACTACAGTCCGTTTATTTACCATACGACCCTCGACGTCACCACTGCAATGCTATTAGTAATGAGAGTGATGACGTCGAGGATCGTATGGTTAAAAAAATAGGAGTAAATACTAATTATTTCCGGTTTCATCCCAAATCAGTTTAAGGATTTGAAGTCGCCACCCCCTGGATATTTTGATGAGCAGAGGAGACTTCTTGTCTTGTCTGACTTGATTGGATTACGTGTGAAAGAGGTAATAATAATCCTGCAGGATAATTTACATTTTAAAAATAAAACGAAAAATGAAGGTTTTGTTTAAATTTTAGTTATCCATGATTTGGCCCTCACCAAAAGATGTCACATACTTTTGCGAAATGCTGAGCAAATTTGCTAATCTCACTCAACTAGAATTTGTGGTCACGGTTCCAATGGATTCAGAAGATTTTGAAAGTGACCACTTTTTTCTTGAAGACCCTCGACTTGCAGGTTTAAAGACCAAGTTTCCAGCCGGATTCGTTCTCTCATCCGTGAAGAAATTGATGATCAAATTCGACTACGATTTTGAAGAGGATTATGCACATTTAGTCATCGAAGAACAAGTAGAAAAGGAAGGATTGGCCCGATCTATTTTGGAACTTTGCCCAAATGTGGAACGCCTTTGTGTAGACGATCACGGCAAAATATTTGGACAAGAAATTTGCCGTGACGCCTCCCGTTTCACAAAACTGGCAGAAGTCAACTTTGACCTTTCGGATCCACGCCAAGCTGGAATTTTATCTATGTCATGTCCTCTTCGTGTTATCCACGTGCACTTCGAAATATCCAGCAGATTGAGGGGACTGCAAAAAATTTTTAACAAATTTTCAAATACATTGGAGGATTTCAAGATGGAGGTGGAATTGATCGCTTGGGGACCTTGGGAGCCACAACCCGAGGGAGGCCGACAGTTTAGATCAACGATTCTTGTTCCAAAAATGCCAAAGTTGAAAAAAATTCATATCAAGGTAGGAATGACCCTGTGCCTGATGTCTAAAACAGAAAAACGGGAAAATTTGTTACGTGTTGCCTGTCGACCATCAGAAGATTTTGTTTTTGAGACAGCCGCAGGGAACCAGAAGATTGACTACAATTTACAGTTCCCATCCTTGACTACGATTGCAATCAAAGGTAGAGGCCACGAAGTTTTACATGATTTCTTCACCCCACAAATCGACCCTCCTTGCACGACAGTTCGATATTTGGATATCGACTATCCTTCCGAGAAGAAAGAATTTCTTGATCGGAATCCAGATTGTACGACTGGATGCAACTGTTGGATTTGGAAAAATGACATCACTCATTTGTACAAAAGGATGGCGGAAACTTTTCCGAATGTGAAGGATGAACGGTTCACCCCTTTTCGCAAGTAATTGCCTAAAAATAAGGGACGACAATCAACATTTCTGTTTTACATACATCGTTGTTACATCTTTACATCTTTTTTCGTTGTTCGCATTAATTTGCGTATTTTTTTTTACTGAATTGCTTGTCCATCCATATGTTTCTTTACCAGGTCTGGCTGTTTTTTGATGTTAGTCCTTAGTTATTGAATAATTGAATTTGCTAAAAAATGAATTGCTATGTATGCAGGCAGATTGAGGTTGAGAAATGATTTCTTATATTTGTTATTGACTTAAGTAAATAAACCATTGCAAAGCGGATACATAAATATCTGAAGATTACATTATTCGACTATATAATTAAAAATTAAGCCTCTACTATAAAATATATGCATACTGAAATTAGCATTATTTTTTAACTAGACATTATACTCTTTCTTTATTATTAATTCACTTTTTAAGTACACAGAAATTTGCATTAACATAAAGTTGCAAATTATTTGCATTTTTTCTACTCAATAGCCACGAGAAGATTGCACGTGAGTGCGATTAAGTTATCCAAGCTGGTGATTACGATGGAACTTTCAAATGTATACATTGATCCCGCCGCACATTTAATGCTTCTACAACTCTGCTGAAACTTTCGCGCCAATTTACTCCTCCCGCCATACTTCCACTCGACAATGACCTTTGTACTCTCCAAGTTCACCCTTCCCGCCAACATGGTGAGCGTCATGGCTTCGAAGCCACACCTGGTCATGCACGCGGGAAAGACGACGTTTCCCCTGGGGTCGAGATGCCAGACGCGGATCGTGCCGAATAGAAGCAGCGCCACGACGAGGAACAGCATGGATGGGAATGAGGTGAGATAGATGACCACCGTGTAGTTCAGCATGGTCACGATTAGTTCAACGTGACGGTAATTGTACATTTCTTCTTCCGATGATGTAGGGAGTCCGATCCTGTAATTCGATATTATAAATAAGACAAACAAAAAAAATCATACATATAAATATGAAAAATATGAATAACTGTAGAATTAGGGTGAGACGCAAAAAAATAAAACTCGGAAATTGGTAAAAACTATCGGGCGAAAATATATTCGTAGGTACTTTGTTCACTGGCATACCCTATTTCAAAATAGGGAAAATATGGCACATTTGCCATATTTTCCTGCCATTTATCAAAGTTCATATTCTTAGACTAGGAATTTTTTTGAAATGTCCTCCTCATTCTATAATCCATGAACGATTAATAAGATGAATAATGTCGAACATTAGTACCAATTTTTTTTACTGGACACACCTTATATTTCTCAACTCTGTCAAAATCCAAGCCAACCCGAGGAAAATGATGCTCCAGTTGAACGCAAACGTGTACAAGAGGATGGTGATTCCGTATATTTCTTGGATGAAGACGAGCCCATGAAAGACGCCATGTGGCAAGGCCCCACTTCCGCCAACGTCACAATCGGCCAAGAGTGAACTGATCGCTACCGGGACGCATGGTTCTGTCGTGATGACGAGAGCGTGCAAAACAGGGTTGAACAGAAGCAGACCAATACCGATGTAGAATTGGGTGGAAAATTGGTCAGTATTTTTTTTCTCTATTTGTCTCCCTACTTTTTGTAGGTGGTCAAGCATCATGTTGATTAACGCCATGACATCTTTTCTGAAATTTGTAAAATAAAATAAGTCCGGGTATTCATAACTTCTGTACATATGTAATTAACACTCTTAGAAATCCAGTTTTAAAATAATGCTATAAGGGTATTCATACATATATGACTCTAATAAAGTGGTATTGATAAATAATACTTGTTAGTAATATTTCGGCTTTACATTTCGGTAGCAAATTTTTATGGACAGGTAAAATTGTATTAACTGTGATACCGAGAAATCAATACCTACCTTTAGCAGTTTTCTACATAATTGGCAAAAATTTGCATAAACTCTCAATTTTTGTGAACTAAGGATACTTTATATATCAAGTACAAATATACCAACGGATATTAATAATCCACACAAATTTGAAGCACATAATAAACAATTATAGCAAATTCTTACCCCAGGATTTCGCTCTGCAAAATGAGCAAAGTCGTAAACGAGTAAGCCCCCGCCCACGTAAATGTCAAGATTTTCGACACCAAGGGCAACTCCTTTTCATCGTACGACTGTGAAAGTCGAATTAGCGAGAAGACATTCATCACCACCATGTAAAACACGTTGAAATAGTACAACGCCAAGTTTTTTCTGGTCATGGCCCGCAACCAGTTCAAGTTAGTGTCCCATTCGAAAGCTGAAATGTAAAATAATTTAACTCTAAACAATTAAATTTCCAAGAAACTTATTAATTTCTAAGTAATTACGAATAAGGCGGAGATAGCAACCGCATTGTAGCAACCACTGATTGATTCTTGTCGCTCGGTCGGACAACATGTCGCAAAATTTTGGCGGAAACGTGACAACTTTTTTATTTTGTGAGTGAGCAGCTCTTTTTAATAAACTGCTTCATTTTGAGACAATTTGACTCCAAATTACGTATAGGTATTCATGCACATTGATGTATATTAATACCTTCCGATATTTCGTACACTTTGCACTCTGGTCGTGCATACATACGTAAATGGTTCCTTAACGAAATGTCAAACTCATTTACATAAGGTGACCAAGTCTAACGTAGGCGTTGGCCGACACCTACTTATCGAGCTATAATTACATATTTTGATATTTACTTCATGATAACATAATGCTTTAGGTAAATAGAAATTCAAGCAGGATGTAGGAATTCCTCTGTTTGAAGAAGATTTCCACGAGTTTTCAATACCTGAAAATATCAAGTTTGCAGGATAATTAAAACTAGAGTTGTACACTGTCCATGAAAATTAATACTTGGCATGTTAGATAGTTTTGGTTGAGCGTTTATTATAAAACTGGGGTTATGGTTAATTTATTTAAATTCTGTTAAATATGCCATGGGTACGGTAATAATTACAACTCTACGTAAAATAGTTTATTTATCGGGTCCTTGTTTATCTTGTTTGATATGCATTTTAAATTAGAGGACGAGTTTTGACACGCGAGAAATGAGAGCCTTAATAAATATTGTTGGCTACTGTTTATTTTAAAATTATATCATTTAACATCATTTATTTAATGGGCTCCATAAATATCTTCGAAAAATATATTTATGTATGTAAATAGGTATATACATGTAGGTATGTATTATGTGAAAATGATGCTACCCAAATTTGTACATACGTAACCGTTTCTTCTTCCTTTTTGGATTAAGTTTTTCCCATACAAGTCAATTTCGTAGAGGGTGTGGTTGTTAAATATTATTAAAATTTGTTTGTACTACAACCCTTTTTGCCGAATTTCAAAAGATGAATTTAATGTGAAATTGTGGTTTCTTAAACTTGGTCGATATTCATTTTTTAACCAAAGTCAAGAATCATTTGAACATCATTTGTTGTAACTTAAAATATTTACTTGGATTTAGTCAATCACCGCTAAAATTAGGCAAACCAGCGAACAATATTGAGTAGTGGTTTTCTGCGTATTTGAAGTAAAATCATGCAGATGCTTTTATTTATGCGTATGTGTGAAACAAAGTAAAACTCGGTAATAAAATGAGGCATGTTGAGACCATGAGCTTTTGGTGGTTGCTATGTAAGTACATAGTGCATGACAAAGATGGTTTCACTTTGGTCTACTTTTTTCCCTTCCCAGGCTCCAGGACATGCAATCCTAGGGTATTAATAAGGGCAATAATTATTTAATGGGTGAAATTAATTTCTTCGGTGAATAAAACGACAATGTCAAATTCTCGTATAATTTGGAGTAAGGCATTTTTATTCTATATTACACCAGCGAATCATACACAATTAATGCTTAGAAATTATTTAAATAATTGCTTACAAATAGTTAATACATGAGTATAGATTTTTAAGCTTCTCACTTTTATAAACCATACCGAACAAACGGGAATACAAGATCAAATCAGAATCACATTTTAGATCGGTACATACATACAGACATACATACATGGAACAAGAGTTTCGTCATATACATTATTGATACATATATATGTATCATTAGCAAGTTATCTTATTTACTGCAAACTATTCACTCGATTCACAACATATAACATGTTGTCGTTTCATGTAGATGATGAAACCAATTTGTAATTGATACATGCATATGTGTACTTGTACGCGGAATCTTTTCGTTCTCGGCTTGACGTGTTTAAAGCACTGACTAATTTGAGCTGCAGAGTTGCGTTTACGAAGAAGATAGTTCCCACTTTAATTGGCATTTGCAATTGCAATTAAGAAATCTCTAGTAGAGATTTCTTGGTAAAGATTCTCTACCTTAGAATATGTAACATGAAGAATAACATATTGTACATATGTATGTATGTGAATTTTCTTTCCCACTGTTGTTGGCTTATTTTGCTTCTGTGTATTTTACAAACTTTGTATAACCTTGATTTCGTAGAAATTTGTATTCTCATACATTCAGCAAGGATTAACCAGTTTTTTGACGCAATATTGAAACTATGTAATAAATACACATAACATAGATTTATTCGAAAGATAAGGTACTTTTCCTGTTGCACATAAGCCATCTTACAGCTGTACGTAAACATTGTAAGAAACTGGATACAAGACCTAACGCATATCCACCAATTGGACCAGTATCCGAGAGCAAAATCCATCAACAAACATGCCTTCTCCAGACCAAATATCTGTCATGAGGTCCGCCTTTGGGGCTTGTGGGGTCGTAGTTATCATTCTATTGTCTCCCTTTTTCAAGCTATTTGATTACATTCGAATGACGAGGAGCACACAAAGGTGTTTCACGGATTGGAAGAAACATGCAACAAAAGTGTAGCATGTCCAACGCCAGGTTCGCGAATGGATCGCTGGTGGCAGGAAAAAACACATGTGCACGGGACGACCGGCCTGGCAAAGTTTTTCGATTAATAAAATTAACAAGAAAGGCTACTTCCAGGTACAGATGGATTTAAATGACGTGATCGAAATCGATGTGAAAAATAAGGTAATGATTTTTTGTGCATGGATTATTTATTTAAATTAAGTATTTAAATATTAATACGTCTATACTGAACGTAATCACGACAACGCCTTACTTCGCATCGAAATTCATTTAGCAAACTTATAAAGAGGTCAAAGATTTGTGTCGTGAAGGGATTCGCAAAATATGACTTTGCAAATCTCGTAAATCTACCAGAAACATCAATTTTGATATTGCATTTCTGTAATTTATCTGACTGGTAATGGTGAGGATGAGTTTGCGAAATAATGTTGCGAAATAAGAACAAGCTCAATTACTGGGTAAATTTGCTAAAATCACATGGTTTGTCCCCAAAATGTTTGCGAAATTTCGCAAAACTCGCAAGTTATGTTGCTATGCTCAATTTGGGCGATATGCGAAAGGACGAGATTGACATGAGTACGCCCACTATACGAAATGTTTGAGTTTGTGCTGATTTTCGAAATTTAAAGATACCAAGGGTCAGTAAAATCCTGAATTTTCAAGAATTATACATAATTATCAGTTATCATTCATAGATGAGTTCATCATTCGTCAGTAGAGTAAATATATATGTAGCAGCATTTATACTTTTTCATGATAACCTTCCAAGCTTCATGGAAACTTTCTATGTTACATATACATAGAAATTTGTTTACATTACTGATATGTAATTACGTAAAATTCTTCAAACTTCAAAATTTGCATGGTTCTTGTGTTTTTTAAAACTGGGCAATAAACAGTATCGTATTGAGATAGATAATTGTAATTGTAGGTGTTAACCGTTGAGCCGGGCGTAATGATGGGACAACTTTCTGAAATACTTATAAATTTGGGATTTGTAATTCCTGTCATTCCGGAACTGGAGTCACTTACCGTTGATAAGAAACATTTGTGGGTATTTATCTATTAATATTGTTATCAGATTGTTTAAAAAAACTTATTATCACTCGTTATTCATGTATTTAGGAGGCTTAATTGTTGGAGCAGGAATAGAAACGAGCAGTCATCACTACGGATTCTTTACTGATACGGTTACTTCCTTCGAAATGGTTACGGCAGATGGCGACATAGTGAACTGCTCCAAGGTAATTAATAATGGCTATACAACCCTAAAAATCTCTTGAATAATGAGTAATTATTAAATAGAAGATCACTGCAAGTTTTACCAACATTTTTTCAGACTGAAAATTCCGATCTGTTCAACGCCATGCCGTGTTCTTACGGGACGATCGGATTCCTTACAGCCGTTACGATGCCACTAATACTAGCTGGAAAGTAAGTGGACGAAATTTGTTGAGAAAAATACTTTTAAAAGAAACCCCTTCTTCACAGGTACATAAAGATCGAGTACGTCCACATGACCTCGGTTCCCGCCGCCATTAAACTAATGCGAGAACGGAACAAGAACCACGGTTACGTGGAAGGCATCATGTATTCCATGACGGACATTATGCTCATGTTTGGCGACACCACGGACAATCCTAAAAAATCCCAGATCAATTACATTAATCGCTGGTATAAACCCTTTTTTCACAATATGGTGGAAAATATTATGAAAAAATTGAAAGCGAGCAAGAAAAAGGGGTCGTCGTCGCCCCCGTATGTCGAGTACTTTCCTCTCCGGGACTATTTTCACAGACATTCTCGCGGCATGTTTTGGCAGGCCGAGAACAACATGCCACTCTTAAGCAATAGAATCGTCATGTTTTTCTTCGGATGGATGCATCCCATCAATACCCAACTTGTGCTTGGATTGACGCCGAGTTTCCTGTTGAAATTTATGATTAAAGACAAGGTCCTGCAGGATTTTTGCGTCCCGATGGAAAAGTTGGATGAATTTTTGAGGAAATTGGACACGATATTTAAGGTGTGTGAATAAGTACCTTGTTTTACTGACAATAGAGGTCTCTGATCAAACTAGTGTCAATCGATCCTAATTTAATTATTGGTAACATGGAATTTGCAAAACACACTACCTGTCAATACTCAAATTTGGCGGAGATATTTGCATCCGAAGAGAAGAAAATGGCATGGATAGTCGGCAAATTTTTCATTTTGCAAATTTACTACGAATTTCGTATTCGTTCAGTTTGTGATTAATTGACACTAATTTGGTCAAAATCGGAGCGCATACGCCGGAAGACCTCCCTCCCTTGTAAGTATGGGCACTTTATACCAAATAACTATTATTTAGCTTTATCCAATTTGGTGGTGTCCCACGAAAATAAGTAACGACTCGATGTGGAAAACGCCTCAAATATATAACGCAGATTACATGAATCTTGGCATCTATGGAACTGCTATACCTTCTGGGCGTACTATTGCTGAGAGGATTGGAGAATGCGAACAGTACTGCCTTCATAATGACGGGTTAGTTTTTAAAAAATATATTTTCCACCAGATTATTTATGTAGTTTCCCACTTTAAAATTCTTATGGAATTTGTTTTTTTATGTTTTGTATTATTCAGATATAATGGGTTTTACGGGGATGTATTCCTCAATCGGGAAGAATTACGCAAAATGTATGATACAACGGCTTATGATAAAGTTCGCAAGGCGTCGAGCAGTTGTAGGAAAGCATTTCCGGACGTTTTCGACAAAGTTTTGAGGAAAATCAAGTAATTAATGAAAATTACATAAAGAATGGTCAGCATCAAATCATTTATCAAAATCAAATTATTACTAATTGTAAGAAGTAAGCAAATGAATCAAAATTGAATAAACCCTTACAAACGAATATAAAAAAGTAGCCAAGCTCTCTTTAAAATAACACTTAATCAAAATTAAATCTGAGTTTTAAAATTTGCGAATATCTAAAGTTCTTCCATTATTACATAGTTGCCATCCATTCATAAAATATTTATATGCTCTTTATCAATACGAATAAGTTACTTATTGTAAGTCTCAAATTTGTTCCAGGTCATGAATCCGCACAACTTATTTAACTGTCTCTTAACTCAACTTTACAGTGTAAAGTTAACACTGATTCCATATATAAATTGACACAGTAAAATTTTCATGTGTATTTATAAATAGGAAAAAAGCATATAAATATATTTTATTCGACTTTGCACCAGCGAAACATATAATTAATGCTTAGAAGTTAAGTTACATTACTCACTTAAATAATTGATTAATTAGTACATGATACAGATTTGTAAACCATCATTATCTATCAGATATTCACCCAGCACATAATTAATTTAGATATGTAAATCTTACAAAATATTGATCGCCATTAAACAACCTTAAATACCTAGGTACATTACACACATGATTTAAATAATGAAATCCACTTTTATAAACCAAACCGTACAAACTGGAATACTCGATCACTTCAGAAATACACATTTTAAGTCAGCACATACATACATAAATTTCTGCAGAAATCAGGTAAATTCGCTTAAATTAAATTTTCAATACTTTATTGCGATTTTATCACATCTTTTACCTCTTGAACAAATTTACCAATCTCCCGCGCAAAAAAAGTATTGCACCACGACGCAATAAAAATATGTCAAGAAAGGTAACTCAATCGGTTCCCATGACCCCAGAAGTCCATCCTTCATCCTCCAACCCATTGGATCAACGTTGTAGAAGAAAAATGCGACAATTTGCCAGTACATCGCTTTCGCCAAGAGCGTTGCCACCCTTCCCAATCTGATCTCCCAATTGCAGTCGTCACGGAATATGGTGACTGCCCAAATTGCGAACAATCCCGAAAAAAAGGAGCAGAATATCAGGGAACGATAGGCCCAGAAAATCGGATTATATGTGTCTCCTAGTTCCGTGTCGGCTGTATTGCTGGCGTCTCTTTTTTCCTCGTAAGTTTCAAGCTCGGAAAACATTCCCCAGATAAACATTAGTGGTCCGACTACCTGAAATTTTGGAAAATATACATTTTTTACATTTATATAATAAATCTGACGCCACACAAAGGCAGCTGGCCATAATTTTCAGTACCAATGAATGGATAATGTTTGTAACTAAAAATTTATTAAATAAGAGTATGGAAATTTAATGATCTTACCACATTGCAAATTCCGAGCCAAACAATTTCTCTAAATTCATAGGACGCCATCGTAGATTTAAAACGTTCTTTGTCTCGGTTGTTACGGAAAGGTGAAGAAGTTTTTATTGGGATGTTAACAATCGGAAGGGCAAAAGGTAACTGAACTGGAGAAATGTGCATCTCAGGTTTTTATTTACGTATCTAAATATTTGTATGTAAGTAAATATCTTTTACTTGTCTTAAATCTTGTTGGGCTGAACATTTGCGCGTGAAAGACGGCAGGTAAGAAGAAGGAACCTTTTTTACCATCTTACTGACACAGCTTGATAAGCCAGACATTTTCATATCGAAATTCTGGTTATGAAAGACATGATAACGAACGAAGCTTTGTTTAAGTAGGGTATTTCAGGGAATCTAACAGTTTGAGTGAATGGATGGGGCAATATACAAATACTTACATATGCATAAATTACCATTCACATTACATGCACAATTTACCATTTACCATTCAATAACCGAACGGTCGTTGGAAAGTGAGATTATTGATAATCATGATTCTTCGTAGCTTAGTGACATATGCACATAACTATGTTGAACCTGAAGGTTTCCTCGCCTTTTACATATTTAAATGTATGTATACATCAGTCGCATATAAGCATGTATGAACGATCTGGTAAGGATGTGATGTGCTATTCCAAGCAAACAAAACAAAACGGCTGACATAGGACGCCCACCAACCGTCCAGAAGGGTGTATTTGGAAACAAGTTATCAAAATTTTCCAAAAAATGACACTTACAATGGAACCTTTTTCCAAGCTACACTCGGATCGACTAGCAACTTATGCTAACAAATCAAGCTAAAAATTATGAGTCACGTGACACTTATCTTTCCGTTGAATGGCCCCTGTGAAGAAAAATATTGGCGGTTAAGTTCAATTTTTGAGCAAATTTTCTCTTGCATTTTCCTCCACGGGGCCAAAACCAGGGAGGAGTGCGAACTTTGACCCCCAATATTTTTCTTCATAGGGGCCATTCAACGGAATGATAAGTATCATGTGACTCATAATTTTTGGCTTGATTTTTTGACATTAGTCGCTACTCGATCCAGGTGTAGCTTGAAAAAAGGTTCCATTGTTAGATACGTCCTGTGATACTTGGAATTTCCAAGTATAAACATGGGGATATTGCCCCTCCATTTCTGGGGGGGGGCAGAAATTCAGTAAAATCGCATCTTGCCCAGGTTAAGCTACTTCTCCAATTCCTCAAAGCTAATATCCCCCCAGATCTCCCCCAACGTCCACCGCCACTGTTCGAGTGACCACTGGAAGTGAGTGATCACCAATTCTGCGCGGGATAGATAAACTGCTCCAAGAATTTGGACGAAGATTAATTATACATATTTATCAAATTCTTTTATCAGAAATTAATCTTAGAGTCAAAGTGTAACAATATGTTTGTCAAGGTCAAGTGTTGCCGACCTCTGCAACATATTATTCCCTGCTATTTAATTGACTACTAGGATTTTATTTCAGAATTTTGTAAAATTTTCTTGGAACGGACGAACTACCTTATTGGGTATTTCACTGTAATGTGAAATTTGGTATAATTAGCAAAAGGAATATATTTGCACAGCTTTTTATTCGACTTTACACCAGCGAAACATACATAATTAATGCTTAAATAAAAATTACTTAATTAGTACACGAATACAGATATTTAAACCATCGTCATTAGATATTTACGCAGTATATAAATAATTAACTTTGATAAATCTTACAAAATATTGATTGTCATTAAGTAACCTTAAATACGTACATTACACACATGATTTAAATAATGAAATCCAAAACCAAACCAAAATTATAAACCAAACCGTACAAATTGTAATACTCGATCATATCAGAAATACACATTTTAAATCAGTACATATACATACATAGATTTTTCCAGAAATCAGTCAAAATTCGCTGAACCCTACCTTATTGCAATTTTACCACATCTTTTGCCTCTTGAACAAATTTACCAATCTGCTTCGCAAAATAGTATTGCACCGCGAAGCAATAATAATATGTCAAGAAGGGCAGGTCAATCCGTCCCCATGGCCCCAGAAGTCCATCCCGCGTCCTCCACTCGAAAGGATCAAGGTTGTAGAAGATAATCGCGACAATTTGCCAGTACATCGCTTTCGCCAAGGACGTTGCCACCCTTCCCAATCTGATCTCCCAATTGCCTTCCTTGCGGAATATGGTGACTGCCCACATTGCGAACAACCCCGAAAAAAAGGAGCACAATATCAGGCAACGATAAGCCCAGAAAACCGGATTATATTCCAATTCTAGATCCTTGTTGGTTGTGTTGTTGGCGTCTCTTTTTTCCTCGTAAGCGTCAAGCTCGGAATAGATTCCCCAGATAAACATTAGTGGTCCCAGTACCTGAAATTTTGGAAAATATACATATTTAAATACTAGTAGTTTTATGCATTATAAGAAGTTCGATAATTTGAGTGAAAACGTAGCGTCTGTCACCAAATGGTAATAAAACTGACGCCACAAAAAAGACAGCTCGTCACAATTTCCAGTACCAATGGATAATGTTTGTAAATCTTTGTTAAATTAAGAGTATGTGAATTTAAGGACTTACCACATTGCAAAATCCGAGCACAAAAATTTCTATAACTTCATAGGACGTCATCGTAGATTTAAAACCTTGTGTATTTGTCTCGGTCGTAATGGTAACGTGAAAATTTTTTTATTGAGATGTTAACAATCGGAAGGGCAAAAGGTAACTAGCTGGCCAAATGTGTATCTCAGGTTTTTACTTACGTGATATCTAAAATTTAGATTCTAAATATGTATATATGCAAGTAAATACCTTTTGCTAGTCTTAAATCTGTTTGGGCTGAACACTTGTGCATGAAAGACTGAGATAAGACAAGGAACCTTTCTTATACATATGTACCATCTCACTGACACAGCTTGATAAGCCAGATATGTATGCTAAATAGAAATGTTCATATCAAAAAGGTGGGTATGAACGACATGAGCTTTGTGGAAGTAGGGTATTTCAGGGAATTTGACAGTTTGAGTGAATAGATGGGTCAATATATGTACCTTTGTATGTACAACATAAATACCTGTACCATTTAATCAATATAAGATTATTGGAAGGTGAAATTATTGATAATCACGATTCTTCGTAGCTAATTCTTCTGTATAAATCTAACATTAATACAATGCGGTAGAAATGATATGCACTTGACATTTATACATACTGATACATTGATACATAAATTGATACATAAACATGTTGCAGTCCAATTTCATTGGACTTTTCGCTCTTCCATCCATACCTTTCCTTTCGCACCCCTCCGTGACCTTTTCTTCCCACCCCACCTTTGGCATTCTTCGCTGCACCCAACACAGTACAAAGAATTAACAAGTAATTCACTATGACTCATGTGCACATGATTTATCCTTCGCAATTTGTTGTTGCAAATAATATAAATAATGCATGTTATGAAAAACTATACCATTTACCACCAACAGGAAATAGCTAGCTCCACACAAAGACTTCGATATTCGTCAAGATTTGTTCGATGCTCGAGCAGGGGAACAAAGGGAAATTGAGTCCCCCCCCCCCAGAAAGTTAGCAAACTCCTATCTTGCCCAGATTAATATGCGACTCCTCCTAAAAGCTAATATTCCCTCAGATCTCCCCACCGCCACTGTTGAAGTGACCACTGGAAGTGCTCATCCATTCTCCGCGGCATGGATAAAAAATGCTCCAAGAATCTGGACGAATGTTAATGAAATTTACGAACTTTTTTAAAACAGAAATTAATCTTCAAAAGTCAAATTATAAAAATAAATATGTCTGGTCAAAGTCAGTCAGGTGTTGAGGATCTCTTCAACATTCATATTTTTTTCCAACTAAATACCGGACTTCTTGGAGTTTGCTTCAAAATTGTGTAAATTTGTTTTAGAACGGATGAAATGAATGTTTTCAAAAAAATAAATTGACAATGTCGTATACTATGAAAAATCATATAATTTTTTTTACTCGACTTCACACCAGCGAAATATAATTAATACTTAATAATAACATTACTTACTTAAATAATTACCTAATTAATAAAATAATTTTAAAAAAGCTTGCTTAGGCGAGGCGCTGCTAAAAGTGAAAAACAAGGCCTGTGGGCATATCTTTTAAATATCTCGTACCTTTATCATTGTAACAGGAGTTGGTGGCTTTGCATCACCGCGAGGCCAAACATTTTGACCATATAACATACCACGCCGTTTATTACTAACATCTTCTGCTCAGAAATGGAATTATTGGTAATTAAAATTGTATCTATATAAAAAAAGGCTTAAACAAACGATTATTGCTTCGAAAGGGTTATAAGATTGGGTGGAGTTTGTAAACTTATTATGCGGAGGACCAATATGATCAATCATGTTTAATTAGCTCATAATTTAATTCAAAAGTTAGTTAGTAATTCAGGTAGATACTAAATTTTATGGACGTGCACAATTTTCCGCAGGTGTTATGCAAGAAATTAAGATACCGACGCACGAATAAGAAGGACACCACGCGAGGATGTATTTCCTAATTTTATTTACATAGTGAAACAACTAGTTTTCAATACGAATTAAAAGGTGACAAATTATAATTTTGGGAAATTCGCGAACCCAGATTATGTTTTTGCTAATTCTTGAGAATATATTCTGTATTGCTAGAGATTTAGTGTAAAATGTTTGGCCTCGCGGTGATGCAAAGCCACCAACTCCTGTTACAATGATAAAGGTACGAGATATTTAAAAGATATGCCCACAGGCCTTGTTTTTCACTTTTAGCAGCGCCTCGCCTAAGCAAGCTTTTTTAAAATTATTTTATTTCAAGTATTTTAGGTGACACATTTTTAATTAATTGCACCTCAAAATTGTTAAACTTTTTGAAATGCAGACCGAATGTGATTTGAATTTGCAAAAATAATTTGTAATTAATCTGGAATATGGATTAATAATCATGCCCAACGCTGATCAGGAAGAAAGTTTTTGGGCGATTGGCAAAAAATGGAAATTAGAATTGACCAATTTGGCTAATTGCAATTGCGTAACTACTTGTATTAGGAAAGTGGTTATATTGATAGCTAGTAGCAACCAACTAGGAATATTGTAATTCTTGCTTAGCAACATGAATGGTTTCGGATGCCTCCATCAAAACTTTTTCAGTTTTGGACCGATCTCAGTCGGATTTGTTTTAAATGACGCACAACCGATTTCTGTATGATAAAATCATGTTCTATGCATATGGTCCTGTGGCACAAGTATTTCAAATTTTGATTTTAAAATTTCAAATCCAAATTTGAGAGCGAAGAGTAAAGTTTTTCTATCGGGCATATTGAAAAACATCATCTCCTAATTCTCCTCTGCACGATTGCTCTTTACACCATTTGCGTAGGATTAAGCGTTTAGGCTCTAGCCTCGTTGACAGTTTCAAAGGGTGTATACGAAAGCATACTTAGGCTTCGCCGTAACCATGGTGACGCTTTTTTGCGGGCACCCATTGTTACTTTTGCCTCACCTAAGAATAAAGTATTTCCGCCGTATGCATATAGATAATTTTGATAAGTCTCACTGCATACTTATTATGTAACCGTCTTTAAAATAATATGTTAACATTACACACACGATTTAAATAATTAAATCCTTAAGCTTCTAACTTTCATAAAACCATATCGATCAAACTGAAACATTTGCTCGATTAAAAGTACATAAATTTCTCCCCTCTTTTCCTATCCATCTTTACAAGATTTTTCCTAATCTTAACCCTCTTCAACCAAGTAGTAAGTGCATATCCTCGAAAAATAAAGTTGCACCAATACACAATAACAACATGTCGGGATGGGCAACTCAATCGGTCCCCATGACCCCAGAAGTCCGTCCGGCGTCCTCCACTCCAAAGGATCAACGTTGTAGAAGATGAACGCCAGAGTTTGAAAAAATAACGCTTTCGCCAAGAATGTCGCCACCTTTCCTAATTTGATCCGCCAATTACTGTTGTTCGAGAATATGGTGACTGCCAAATCTGCGCATACTCCGGAAACAAAGGAACAGAATAGCATGGACAAATAGGCCCATAAAAGAGGATGATATTTCAGTGCTAGCTCCTCGTCGGTGACATTGTTGGCCTCACGTTTTTCCATATAATTTAGAAGCTCAGGATAGATTCCCCAGATAAAAATTGTTGGTCCTAGGAACTGAAATATTGCAAAATATATATATTAGTAATATTATGGAGGGTATAAGGAGTCTGGTAACAATGTGGCGTTTGGTAGTAAAACTGACGCCACAAACCACTAGCTGGTCTCAATTTTCCGTTCCCACTGCCAATTGATGGATGATGTATGTATGTATTTGTTGAATAAAGAATATGGAAATTGAAGAACCTTACCGAATTGCATAATCCGACCAGAATAATTTTGATAGCTTCACTTTTGGTCAGCATGGTAGGTTTAGAACAGACTGTAGACGTATTTTTAGTTGTTATGGTAACGTGAAGAAATTTTTGTTTGGATGTTAACAATCAGAAGGGCAAAAGGTAACTGGGCTGGACAAATATGTATCTCAGGTTTTTCGTTACGTATCTAAATATGTATGTAAATACCTTTTACGAATCTTAACTCTTGTTGGGCTGTGCATACGTACATGAAGGACGGCATGTAATAAAATGAACCTTTCTTACCATTTTACCTGTACTGCTTGATACGCCAGATAGATATGTTAGACATGGTCATATCGAAAACCTGGTAATGAAAGACATGATAACGAACTTACCGAACTTTGTGTAAGTCAAACGATCGTTAGAAGGTGGGATAATCACTAGTCTATGTTAACATGCAGGTTCTAAATCTAATGGACTTAAGTAAATAAAGTAGACATTTTTTACACTTTGAAATTAATTGCATGCATATTGACAATAACTGACATTCGTTGAACCTTAAGGTTTCCTCGTCTCCTACATATATCTATTTTAGTTGCAGTCCAATTTCAATGAGGTTCTCGAATCCCTCCATCCGTTCGCACCCCCTCCGTGACCCTTGTTCCTCACCCCACTTTGGCCCCTCCTCCTTGCACACACCGCAAACAGCACAGCACATTCAATGCAGCTCTTGGTCACATGATTTATCTATCTTTTAGCAATTTGTTGTAGCAAATAAGATGCACGTTATATAATGAACGTTAAAAACACTAGACGATTTGCGACCAACGTTCGAAAATATCAACCTGCCAGCTCCACACAAAGACCTCGATATTTGTTAAGATTTTTTCAATGTTAGAGCAGGGAGACATTGCCCCCCCCCAGAAATTCAGTAAAATCGCATCTTACCCATGTTAACAAGCCACTCCTCCAATTCCTCATAGCTAATATCCCGCGTATCTTTTCCCAACGCCCACCGTCATTGTTCGAGTAACCACTGGAAGTGAGTGATCACCAATTCTGCGCGGGATAGATAAACTGCTCCAAGAATTTGGACTAATTATACATATTTATCAAATTCTTTTATCAGAAATTAATCTTAGAGTCAAAGTATAACAATATGTTTGTCAAGGAGGTCAAGTGTTTCAGATCTCTGCAACATACATATTATTCCCTACTAATCGACTACTAGGATTTTATTTCAGAATTTTGTAAATTTTTCTTGGAACGGACGAACTAATTGGTTTCACTAAATAAATTGGCAATGTGCAATTCGGTATAATTAGCAAAAGGCATATATGTATTTGCACAGCTTTTTATTCGACTTTAAATACACCAGCGAAACATGCATAATTAATGCTCAAATAAAAATTACTTAATTAGATAATACACGAATACAGATGTTTAAACCATCGTCATTAGATATTTACGCGGTATATAAATAATAAATTTTGATAAATCTTACGGAATATTGATTGTCATTAAATAAACTTAAATACGTACATTACACACATGATCTAAATAATAAAATCAACTTTTATCAACCGCACCGAACAAACTGGAATACTCGATCACATCAGAAATATACATTTTAAATTAGTACAACATAAATTTCTCCAGAAATCAGTCAAATTCGCTGCACCCTGTTACAATACCTTATTGCAATTTTACCACGTCTTTTGCCTCTTCAACAAATTTGCCAATCGTCTTCACAAAATAGTATTGCACCATGAGGCAATAAAAATATGTAAAGCAGGGCAATTTAATCCGTACCCATGACCCCAGAAATCCATCCCGCGTCCTCCACCCCATCGGATCAAAGTTGTAGAAGAAAATCGCTAGAATTTGGAAGATTATCGCTTTCGCCAAAAACGTTGCCAGCCTTCCCAATTTGATCTCCCAATCGCAGTCGTTACGGAATACGGTGACTGCGCACATTGCAAACAATCCCGAAAAAAAGGAGCAGAATATCAGGAAACCATAGGCCCAGAAAACCGGATTATATGTGTCTCGTAGCTCTTTCTTGGCGCGTCTTCTTTCCTCGTAAATTTCAAGCTCGGAATAGATTCCCCAGGTAAACATTAGTGGTCCGACTACCTGAAATTTTGGAAAATATACATATTTTATATTTATATAAGTAATAGTAGTTTTATGCATTATAAAAAAGTTCGAAAACTTGAGTGACATTGCAGCGTCAGTCACCCAATGGTAATAATTCTGACGCCACACATAGGCAGCTGGTCACAATTTCCAATACCCAGGAATAATTTATGTATACATTTGTTAAATAAAGAGTATGTAAATTTAAGGACCTTACCAAATTGCAAATTCCGAGCACAAACATTTCTTTTAACTCAAAGGGCGTCATCGTAGATTTAAAACCTTATTTGTCTCGGTTGTTACGGTAAGGTGAAGAAGTTTTTATTTGGATGTTAACAATCAGAAGGGCAAAAGGTAACTGGGCTCGACAAATTTGAAATGTGTCTCCGGGTTGGGTTTATCTAACTATGTACATATGTAAGAAAGAAATACCTTTTACTTGTCTTTAATCTTGTTGGGCTGAACATTTGCGCATGAAAGACGGCAGGTAAGAAGAAGGAACCTTTCTTACCATTCTGACACAGCTTGATAAGCCAGATATGTATGCGACGTAGACATGTTCATATCAAAAAGCTGGTTATGAACGACATGAGCTTTGCAGAAGTAGGGTATTTCAGGGAATTTGACAATTTAAGTGAATGGGTGGGTCAATATACAGACATACATACTTATCTAACTGGACTGGGCAAATGTGTATCTCAAATTTTTATGTATCTAAATATCTAATGCTTTTAATTGCTTTTACTAATCTTAACTTTTGTCGGGCTGAGGATACGTACATGAAAGACGGTATGCAAGAAAATGAACCTTTTTTACCTTCCCACTAGTACCGCTTGATAAGCTAGATATGTTTACATCGAAAACCTGGTCATGAAAGACATGATAACGAACTGAGCTTTGTTTAAGCTGGGTATTTCAGGGAATTTGACAGTATGAGTGTATGGATGGGTCAAAATACAATGTATGCATGCATGCATGCATACATATGTGTAAATACCTGTGTCTGCCATTCAATTATCGAACGATCTTTAGAAGCCGAGGTTATTGATAATCACGATTCTATGTAATGTATGTATTTAGCTTCTAAATCTAATCTACTTCCATAAAGCGTTAGTGTTAAGTTCTGCCTGGGTCCCTGTGGCTCTCAATGCAAATTGCCCCGTAGAGGAGACAAAGAAGGACGCGGAGCAACGGTTGCATGCATGAATTTTCTGCATGAGTCTCACTTCTCCTGCACGTGACTTTCACGTACGCTTGCCATCAATCTCAAATTAAATGTCTTTGTATATTTGCAGTGTGCAAGTAAATTGAGTGAGTGAGCAGTATACATACATACATCACTCATCAATAGTGGTTATCATGATAAGTGATCTTGATAAACACTATTAATTAATTATTTTAGTTTGAGAAACTCCACCCACAGCGAGTGGCATATCAATTCGAATGTATTTTTTACGCTGAATCCAACGCCATTAATGGTTTTGACCTCCGAGGCCCCCGTGACCTTGCCGTGACCGTGGTGTCCAAATATGGCTTATTCGTTATGTCGCATATCAATTCGAATGTATTTTTGATGCTGAATCCGAATCCGTCAATAGCTTGGCGTTAATTGTAGAAGTTAACGGGGTTTATGGAACTTAACGGGAGCGTGAAGCGTGGGAATTTAAATAGTTAGCTATGCAGTTACTCCCACGCGACGGGAATTTAAGTAATTAACTATTCAACTACCCCCACAGGGGGAAATTAAATTGTACTGTGACCAGGTTAATTAAAATGCAGTATGATTTGGGCAAACCCTCACTCTGATGTATGTATGTAGTATGACAAAGTCTTCACTGCGAATTATTTAAAGTATAGTATGACGGATTTTTCGCTTTGGGCACACCCCCCACTCTAGAACCCGGCCTTGGCCGGGCTATACGTTAGTATGGAATAAAATATGCGAGGTAGACATTTTTTACACTTGAAGTTGATACATAATTACCATACCCCGGACAAATATTTTTTTATCCTACCCTACTCGTGTTGAGCTCAACATGAGTAGGGTAGGATAAAAAAATATTTTTCCGGGGTATGATAATTACATACATATGTTGAACCTGAAGGTTCCCTCGTCTCTTACATATCTATAAGTCGCTGTCCAATTTCATATTTAGGACTTTTCGAACCCCTCCATCCGCACCTTTCTTCCGCACCCCACCTTGGCCTTCGTCCTTGCACACATCACAGACAGCACAGCACATTCGCTACTACATATGTACATACTTCTGTTCACATGATTTTTCTATCTTTTTGCAATTTGTTGTTGAAAAAAACTACACGATTTACCACCAACCGTTCGGAAATGCCAACCTGCCAACCACACAAATACCTCGATATTTGTCAAGATTTTTTCAATGTTCTAGCAAAGGGTCATTGCCCCGCCGCCCAGAAATTCAGCAAAAATTGTACCTTGCCCTGGTTGATAAGCCATTCGCCCTCAAAGCTAATATCCCCACATCTCCCCCCAACGTCCACCGCCACTGTTAGAGTGACCACTGGAAGTGGTCACCAATTCTCCACGGGATGGAAAACAAAAATGCCCCGAGCATCTGGATGAAGATTAATGATGTTGACCCATTTTTTAACATAAATTAATCTTGAAGTCAAATTAAGTATAACAATATTTATGTATCTATGTCTGGTCAAGGTCATGTTGTGGATGTCTTCAATCCACATAATTATTTATAGACTACTCGGGGTTTGCTTCAAAATTTTTGCAAATTTGTTTTACAACGGATGAAAGTAATGTTTTCAATGAATAAATTGACAAGGTCGTGTAATTAAGTATGAAAAAGCATATAAAATTTTTATACTGGATTTCACACCAACGAAACAGTCCGAAACACATACACATTTAATTAATGCTTAAAAATAACATTCCTTTTAAATTAAACATAGCTTAATTGCTTAGTACACGAATACAGATTTTTGAACCATCGTAATAAAATATTTCCGCAGTATGCATATAATTTTTATAAGTCTCACTGCATACTTATAACTGTTTAAAATAATATATCTACATTACACACAAGATTTAAATAATTAAATCCTTAAGCTTCTAACTTTTATAAAATCATATCCATCAAACTGAAGTATTTGCTTGATGACAAGAAAATAAGTACGTACATAAATTTCTCCAGAATTCAGTAGCTCGCTCTTCTCCTATCCATCTTCTTTATAAGATTTTTCCTACAAATAATCTTCCACCTCTTCTTCGTAAACCAATTTGACGCATTTTTCCCAAAAATAAAGTTGCGCGAATACGCAATAAAGAATTGTCGGGACGGACAACGCAATCGGTCCCCATGAGGCCAGAGTTCCGTCCGGCGTCCTCCACTTCATCGGATCAACGTTGTAGAATATAATCAGCAGAATTTGCCAGCATAACGATCTCGACAAGAACGTTGCCACCTTTCCCAATTTGATCCGCCAATTGTAGTTGCTCCGGAAACTGGTGACTGCCAACATTGCGCACAATCCGGAAACAACGGAGCAGAATATCAAGGAACCATAGGCCCCTAAAAGCGGATAACATTTCAGTGCCAGCTCCTCGTCGGTGATATTGTTGGCGTCAATTTTATTCGCGAAATTTTGCAGCTCAGGATAGATGTCAAAGAAAAAAATCGCTGGTCCTGAAAAATATATATTCGATGTTAACATGTTTTTGTGTATTTCAATTCTTTGAATTTCGCCACGGTCACGATTTTAGCCTTCAAAACTGTCCATGGCGAAAAATTCCTGTGGGCGTCAAAAAAATCGTACACGGTCGTATGATAGCTCATTTTTTTCGTGAGGCCTTGCCGCATTCAATAAAAAATGTTGGAAAGTCAAAAAAAATTATCCATGAAGTTTTCATTTTGGCCTCTCATTTTCAATTGCTGGAAAAATTTTGACCTTTGACCAGGGGGCGACCTTAAAAATCGGCGACGAGGAATTATTCGCCTATGAGTTTATACAACAGCATGCAGAGCACCGAAGCTCTAAGTGCGTGGTTTCATATCGCAATTAAAAATTCGTAAAGGTACGATCTATTCTTTTGCTTACTGTATGTATGTATCAATGTTCAACCGGAAGGTACATTTCTATATGAATTGCAGTCCAATTTTATTGGATTTTTCGCACCCTTCCATCCGTACCGTTCTTTTGGCACCCTCTCCGCGACCCTTCTTCCGTACCTCACTTGTGGCCCCTTCCTTGTTGCATGCACCACAAACAGCACAGCAAATTCACGATAACTCTTGTTGACCTGATTTATCTATCTTTTAGCAATTAGGTGCTGCAAAGAAGATGATTAGTGCAGGCTAAAAAAATAGATGCTTTGCCACCAAGAGTTCGGAAATACCAACCAGCTCCACATAATGACCTCAATATTTGTCAAGATTCTTTCGGTGTTCGAGGAGGGAGACATTGCCCCCCCCAGAAATTCAGTAAAATCGTATCTTGCCCAGGTTAATAAGCCCCTCCTCGTCAAATCCCTCAATGCCAATGTCCCCCAAATGTTCGAGTGACCACTAGAAATGGTCCCCAATTCTCCACGGGAAGGATAAAAATATGCCTCAAGAATCTGGACGAAGTTTAATGATATTTACCCAGTTTTTAACAGAAATTAATCTTAGAATCAAATTATAACAATAACTATGTCTGGTCAGGTTAGGTGTTACGGATCTCTTCAATCCGCACCATCCGCACATATTTTCCTATTAATGGACTACTTGGGGTTTACTTCAAAATTTTATAAATTTATTTTAGAACGCATGAAATGAATGTTTCTAAAAAATAAATTGACAATATTGTATAATTATGAGCAACCATATAAAATTTTTTTACTCGACTTCACACCAGCAAAACACATACATACATAATTAATGCTTAGAACTTGCATTACTTACTGAAATAATTGCTTAATTAGATAATACACGAATAAATAACTTTTAACCATCGTTATAAAATAGGCTTATTTACTCAGTACGTCATTAATTAAATTACGATAAATCTTACGGAATATTGATTGCCTTTAAATAAACTTAAATACGTACGTAACATACAGGATTTAAATTATGAAACCCACAAGCTTCCCACTTTTATAAACCACCCCGAACAAACTGGAATCACAGCAGAAATACACATTTTAAATCGGTGCATATCAGTTGTTCGCTTTGTTTTTTTGCACCTTCCTTGCAACACCTTGTAAAAAGTTTACCACTTCTTTTGTCTCATTAACCAAGTTGTTGCACCTCCTCACAAAATAAGGTTGTCCCACAACACAATATAAACATGTACAGAATGGCAACTCAATCGGTCCCCATGGTCCAAAAAGTCCATTCTTCGTCCTCCAACCCATCGGATCAGCGTTGTAAAAAAAGAACACCGGGATTTGGCAGCATAACGCCTTCGCCAAGAACGACGCCATCCTTCCCAATTTGATCACCCGATTATAGTTCTTGTGGTAGACGCCGAATCTCAAAAATGCACACAATCCCGAAACAAAGGAGCAGAATATGAGGGAACCATAGGCCTAGAAAAGCGGATAATATTCGTGTGATAGCTTCAGTGTTTCGTTTTTATTTTTGCTGTGTTTTTTACTCATGTAAATTTCAATCTCGGAATAGATTCCCAAGACAAAAATTACTGGTCCCAGCATCTGAAATTTTGGAAAATATACATATGTACATTTTAATAGTTGTTTCTTGCATTATAAAAAGTCCGGTGACTTGGGTGAATAGAAATCTCTGTCGAGTTCTGCTGAAATCGACAAAAACCCTATGCATATTGTGTTATGCATATTTTTTTACATAATCTTGCAGAAAATTTGTGTCGCTCTTATTATGCAGAACTATATGTGCAAAATTCTGCATAATTCTGCATAAGTTTCTTCAGAAATCTCTATGCATAAAGCTTTTCTGCAGAATATTGGGGCAATTTTCCGCAGAATATTGGACCAATTTTCTGCAGAATATTGGACCAATTTTCTGCAGAATATTGGGCCAATTTTCTGCAGGAAATCTGTTCAAATTTTTACTCGGGAAAATATTTGACAATTGTCAAATAAAGAGTATAGATATTTAAAAACCTTACCATATTGAAACATGAGAGAAAGATAATTTCTCTAAATTCCTTGATGGACGGCATTATAGATTTAAAACAGAATCCAGGCTTATTTTACTCGGTTGTTACGGTAACGTGAAGAAATTTTTATTTGAATGTTAACAATCAGATCAGAAAGACAAAATTTAACTGGGCTCGATAAATGTGTATGTATCTCAGGTTTTTCGTTACGTATCTAAATATGTATGGAAATACCTTTCACTAATCTCAATTCTTGTCGGGCTGTGCATACGTACATGAAGGACGGCATGTAACAAAATGAACCTTTCTTACCATTTTACCTGCACAGCTTGATAAGCTAGATAGATATGTTAGGCATGTTCATATCGAAAACCTGGTAATGAAAGACATGATAACGAACTTACTGAACTTTGTGCAAGTCAAACGATCGTTAGAAGGTGCAATTATTCATAATCACTAGTCTATGTAAGTAAACGTGCAGCTTCTAAATCTATACCCAATCGGCCACTTTTTATCTAAAAGACATCTCAAAGACGAATTTTTAGAGAAATAACATGGTCTTCAGGATGTCCAATGCAAGATGAACTAGCACATTAAGACGTCTTTGGGAGCTATAAATGTCCGCTTTTCAGATATCGGATAGATATCTTCACAAGACGTCTTTAAGAAATGATCTCAATGTTGTCTTGAGGAAGTCTCAGTATGATGTCGCTCTGCGCATGATTTAGTCCCTTGTCCACCAGTTTATTTGTATATAATTTTATTCAGCAATTAAAATTACAACCGTTAGATTATTACCCAAACAAAATGAACAATGTGGTTATAATTAACCAACTAAGTTGACAAAAAAATCATTCAAATATTTAAAGAAATTAATTATTAATTCGTGGTCTCTGTACTTTCCGGCGTTGCATCACCTGCTTGTCCTTTCAGTCGCTTCATTTCCTAAGAATTAAGATTTTAAATTTTATTGTAAATAGATTGTAGCATTAGACATTTTTCCAAGCTCACCGCAACGCGCATCCGATCCGAAGCGTGCTGAAACCAAGACGCTCCACGTTCTTTCATTTCTTTGTCAGTGGCTTTGGTACATATCGGGTTCATCCGGACTGCATCTGTATTAAAACAAGAATATAAAAGGCAGTCCAATTACTCTTATATGACTACACCAATATTACATACCAAATAAGATATTCTTGAACCGGAGTTCCTTAAATGCCCTTTTTGGATTGACCTTGCGTATCCCTTCCCACGCAATTTGTATTGCTAGTGTGTCGGCGAAAACGTGATGAAGAATTCTTGACACATTATCTTTATAATCGGATCCCCCAATTACTGATAAAAACTCCACCTTAACCAAAATCACGAATTACAAGCAAAAACATAAATAAAGTAGGCAAAAAATCAAACTTCAGTTTCGACAAATACATTTGTATCGCAACATATTATTTTTTCGCAGCTCTTATATCTCTCATAACAAAACTGAACTTACTAGTTGAGCTTGACACTCATCAGACACCAGCCTTCCTTCTAGTTGATCCAAGGCTTCCATATTTTCGAGTGGAAAATTGAACTGCGCTTTCAAGGCTAAGTTTGGGCGAAGATCTTTTCTCACTTGTGAAATTTTGGTTAAATTCATTATTAACTCTGTGTGAAGGTCCAGTTTTTCGTGGATTCGCTCCAATGAATTAATGACGTAGTCTTCGAAACTTGTAACCACTGTAACTTTACAAAAAACAGATTGATTTGCACAAATAACGATTAGTAAGCTTATTCATGTAGCTTGCCTCCTTGTGATTTGATCGCACAATTTCCAGCCGCACTATTATCTACAAAAAGAATTATATTGGTTAATTAAAAGATTATTTTTATTTATAGTAGCTAATATTTATAGTACTAAACCAAAAATATAACCTGTATTTGGAGAAGGTTGACCAATTTCATCCTCATAATTATTGGTCAAGCATAATTGTGACGGAAGGGCATTTCCGCTGCCAATGTTCAGTGACAAATATTGTGGGATTGTTGGTGGTAGCAATGGTGGAGAATTTGAAACATTCAAGGAAGACGTTTTGGGTTGGCAATTCTTTGGGGTGGATTGCTCGTCAGAGCTGCTATCCGAGTCGCCCTTTGATGCTAATCGACCCTTCGTCTTTCTCTTCCGGTTATTCCGCTTGTCGTTCGATGACTCATATTCAGATTCGAGATTGGATGTATCTTCTGCCTGACCGAGATGCGAGTTAGCTTCGCTGTAAGTATCTATTTAGAAAATAAAATAAAATTCAGCTAATCATAGTAATAAAAAATTCTACTATTTTCTTGTAATGAATTTACAACTTACAAAATTGTTTGAAGATTCGAATTTCGTGCTGTCTCCAATTTTTACTGTCCACAGGTTGTTTTCTTGCAACGGATGTCGTTATTTTTGTACTTGACATATATGGTGGCCACCATCCTTTTGTCAGGTCCTTCGAAATCCATTGGACAGGGATAACTGCAACTTCTTTGGTTTTGATAAACTCAACGACGGCAAATTCCATTATATATACAGCGGAAAGGCTCCAAACGAATTGCCTCCCTCACGAACAACAAAATATTTTTGACTTATGATACCTGCTTCCCACACTTTCAAATCACCGAGTCTTTTAAATTTGTAAATTCCAAACTCTCTTGAGTCACAAGGCACAGTATAAAGTGGCAATAAATCACGGCAAAGTCTTCCCACTACACACAATGATTGGTCATTTTCTCTCGTAGCAAAGTTAACAATTTTTATGAGCTCGCCAGTTTTTAACAAGCAGTAACAATTTTTACTGTCACTTTGGAGGAATGAGGAGCCAAATGTAATTTTTTGATATTGAGGGGAAATTAGTCCTGGTAGCAACGGGGCGAAGTTTCGTGACTGATTCACGTTTTTATTTCTCTGTGTGGATGGCGTTCCTCTATACCTTTCCCGCTCACAGATTCTTCGGCAGACTTGAGAAAGTGGCCTGTTGCCCCCTTTGACTAAATTCTTAATCTGACCCAAATGATTCTCGAAAGGAAATGCAGAGTATCGATTCAGATTTCCAAAATTTTTCACGTCATCCTCGACGTGTAAAAGCCCGTGGATGTTGTATGACAAATTTTCCTTCCCATACAGAGATGTGAATTGTTGTACAAAAAATTCAAGTAAGCTGTTAGCGTATTTCCTGTGCCGATTTAATAGCTCGTCGTTTGATAAAATGAACACAGCCAAGTGCAGGGAAGTAAAATGGTAAAAATATTTCGCTGGGATATAATTCTGTAAAATTACGGGTCCAATATACAAGAGAAATTGTCTGTACTCCGTTGCCTTCCACCTTGCAAGCTCAATAAGTGAGCGTGGTTTACGATTGAATTCACTTGGCGTAAGAAATCTCTGTTTAACCAGATCACGGGATAAATTGCTGATTACATGTCCACTAAATTTATGGTACTTTGGTTTACCAAACACCCAAAGATTCAAAAGTTTTCTTGTTACACCAAGACAGATAAGGTGCATGAACTCGAAAGGAACCTTTTGGACTAAGTCAAGCTTCAGCTCTGATAAAATCGTTGTCCCTCGATGATCGTCCTAATCAACCTGATTACTAAAACTATCTCCTGTTCGTTTACTTGCAAGCTTGCTCGAAAATACCGTTCGATTTTGATACCTTTCGCCAACTTGTGTACACTTTCCGCACGATGAATAACCAGCGTGGTATTTTGTGCATGTAATAAATGCACGCGCTGGAGAATCACAAATGAAACCCTTTATTTCAAATCCTATTTTTTGTCCTTGATAATCGAATCCGCTTGTCTGGAGTTGTTTCACTTCAGCGACGAAGTCGGTCAAAAACTCATTTTGATTTTCTGGCTTCCCAACCCCGTGGTAAATTCCGACACAAAATGGTTTTTTTTACAAAACTAGGCGAATCGAGCATACATAAAACAGGCCAAAATTCACTTTTGCTGCTGTTCGAAATTGGAATTCCATCTACATTAACGAGGACACTAATCACTTTGGGAATATTTTCTAATTTGCTTATTTCTGCTGTTAGTCCATTCGTAAACCCTAGATGAACGTAATTTCCTGGTTTCACGATTCTTGACTGAAAGACACGCTGAGTTTTTCTCAAACTTCTGGAATCAGCAGGCAACGTCCGAAAACACTCGTGGCTTTTTAAAATTTTTAATAATTCACTTGTCGCAATTTGTGATACGTTATTATTGAGTGACCAGATTCTCAATTGCTCTTTAATATCTTCGGTGGTGCCTGTATTTTTTTGCACACTGACTTTGATTGCTTTAGTTGACGTCGTATTTAATGTTATTTCAGTAGTGGACCACTCATCACTGGTATTAAAATTCAATGTCAATTCGGAAATATGACCATGGTCAGAAGTTGGTAGACCAACTTGTGACAGTACAATATTTTTCCCCTTAGGTTGACGAAGTGCATTAATTACTGCACTTACCCTTTGACTCACTCGACGCCTAAATTGTCGCTTGGATAGGTGATATTTAATTTTTGTCATGGCGACCGAAATTGCGTAGATGCCACTTGTTTAGTGCAGAATCGCGCAAACATGTCATGTGATTTTGAGTTTGTCGTCATGAGATATCGTTAAGACCTATAATTATGGGGGTTTAATAATTTGCCTCTCATTGGACATCCTTGAGATATGTATTTAATGACGTAAGGGTAGAGATAACATACAGACATCTTCACGATAAACTGTTGTGACACGTCTCTAATATGACAATCGAGACCAGAAAAAGATGTCTTAAAGAGCTTGGAGGCCGATTGGGTATGGACTTAAATAAAGTACACATTTTTTACACTTTGAAATTAATACATAATTACGTGCATATATTGACAATAATTGACATCCGTTGAACCTGAAAGGTTTCCTTGTCTCTTACATATCTATTTTAGTTGCAGTCCAATTTTATTGGGCTTTTTGAACCCCTCCATCCGTTTGCACCCCCTCCGTGACCCTTGTTCCGCACCCCACTTTGCCCCCTCCTCCTTGCACACACCGCAAACAGCACAGCACATTCAATGCAGCTCTTGGTCACATGATTTATCTAACTTTTAGCAATTTGTAGTAGCAAATAAGATAAATAATGCAAGTTATAAAAAACTGGACGATTTGCCACCAACAGTTCGGAGATATCAACCTGCCAGCCCCGCGCAAGGACCTCGATATTTGTTAAGATTTTATCGATGTTAGAGCAGAGAGACATTGCCCCCCAGAAATTCAGTAAAATCCCATCTTGCCCAGGGTAACTAGCCACTCCTCCAATTCCTCAAAGCTAATATCCCCCCACATCTCCCCCCAATGTCCACCGCCACTGTACGAATGACCACTGGAAGTGATTACCAATTCTCCACGGAAAGGATGAAAAATGCTCCAAGAATCTGGACGAATGTTAATGAAATTTACGAACTTTTTTAAAACAGAAATTAATCTTCAAAAGTCAAATTATAGCAATATGTAAATATGCCGGATCAAGGCAGGTGTTGCAGATCTCTTCAATCCACACTCTTGTTAATAGACTACTTGGACTTTATTTCAAAATTTTGTGAATTTTTTTGAAACAGATGAAATGAATGCCTTCAACAAATAGTTAAGAATCTTAACTTAAGATAATGTCATCCAATTACATGTGAGAAAGCATATAAAAATTTTTACTCAACTTCACACCAGCGAAACATATATTTACAAATATAATTAATACTTAAGAATTACATTACTTATTTTAATAACTACTTAATTAATGTACGAATACAAATATATGAACCGTCGTTATACAATATTTTCGCAGTACGTATACAATTTTGATAAGTCTCACTGAATACTTATTAACTGTCTTTTAGATAAATAATATATTACCATTACACACACAATTTACATAATTAAATCCTTAAGCTTCTAACTTTTATTAAACCATATCAATAAAACTGAAATGTTTGCTCGATTACAAGAAAATACGTAATTACATAAATTTCTCCAGAAATCAGTTGCTAGCTCTTTTTCGCTGCGCCCTCTTTACAATATTTTGTCGAGTTTTTACCAAATTTTCTGCATCCATAACAAATAGAGCAGTCTGCCTCGCAAAATAGTATTGCAACGCGATACAATACAAACATGTACCGGGCAGAGGTCGACGCCGCCGACCATACGCCGCCGACACCGGTACTATTTTACGTGCCGCCGCCGCCGAAAAAATTGATTTCCAATACCTTCAACATTGCGACGCCGTGCCGCGCCGCCGAAAAATCAGCAAAAACTGGCGCCGCCGCCGCCGAAAATTTGTCGGCATCGACCTCTGGTACCGGGGAGCAAGTCAATCTTTCCCCATGTCTCGAGGAGTCCACCCTTCGTCCTCCACTCCAGCGGATCCAGGTTGTAGAATGTTATAATGATACTTACCAACTTTTTTAAAACAGAAATTAACCTTAAAGTTGACTTATAACAATATTTATGTATGTATGGTCAAAGTCATGTGTTGTGGATCTCTTCAACATTCATATTTTTTCCCAACTAAATGCCGGACTTCTTGGAGTTTACTTCACAATTTTGTAAATTTGTTTTAGAACGGATGAAATGAATGTTTTCAAAGAAATAAATTGACAATGTCGTATAATTATGAAAAATCATATACATTTTTTTTACTCGACTTCACACCAGCGAAACATAAATAATTAATGTTTAAAAATAACATTACTTACTTAAATAATTGCTTAATTATTACACAAATACCGATTTTTGAACCATCGTAATAAAATATTTCCGCCGTATGTACATAATTTTGATAAGTCTCACTGCATACTTATAACTGTTTAAAATAATATAGGTATGTACATTGCACACACGATTTAAATAATTACCTCCTGAAGCTTCTAACTTTTAACTCGATTACAAGAAAATGCGTGCATAAATTTCTCCAGAAGTCACCTACTCGCTCTTTTCCTATCCATCCTCTTTACAAGATTTTTCCTAATCTTCATCCTCTTCCTCTTAAACCAATTTGTAGCATATTTCTGAAAAATAAAGTTGCACGAATACATAATAAAGAATTGTCGGGACGGACAACTCAATCGGTCCCCATGAGGCCAGAGTTCCGTCCGGCGTCCTCCACTTCATCGGATCAACGTCGTAGAATATGAACAGCAGAGCTTGCCACCATAACGATGTCGACAAGAACGTTGCCACCTTTCCTAATTTGATCCGCCAATTAGGGATGTCCAAGAATCTCATGACTGCCACATCTGCGCATAATCCGGAAACAGAAGAGCAGAATATGAGGGAAGCATTGGCCCAGAAAACCGGATAATATTTCAGTGCTAGCTCCACACCGGTGAAATTTTTGGCCTCACTTTCGTCCATGTAATTTCGAAACTGGGGATACATTCCCCACATACAAATTGCTGGTCCCACGAACTGAAATTTCGGAAAATATATATATTAGTAATTTTATGCATTATAAGAAGTCTGGTAACAATGTGGCATTTGGTAGTAAAACGGACGCCACAAACCAGCAGATGGTCTCAACTTCTCCAACAATTGATGGGTAATGACCGGTAATGTAGACTTGTCAAATAAAGAATATGGAAATTTAAGAACCTTACCATATTGGAAAATGCGAAGAAAATAATTTCTCTAGCTTCATTTTTGGTCAGCATGGTAGATTTAGACTTATTTTTGGCTTGTTATGGTAAGGCGAAGGAATTTTTGTTTCGATGTTAACAATCAGAAGGGCAAAAGGTAACTGGACTGGGCAAATGTTTATCTCAGATTTTTATTTACGTATCTAAATATCTAATACCTTTTACTAATCTTAACTTTTGTCGGGCTGAGGATACGTACATGAAAGACGGTATGCAAGAAAAGGAACCTTTTTTACCTTCCCACTAGTACCGCTTGATAAGCTAGATATGTTTACATCGAAAACCTGGTCATGAAAGACATGATAACGAACTGAGGTTTGTGTATGTAGGGTATTTCAGGGAATTTGAGAGTTTGAGTGAATGGGTCAATAGTATTGACTCAATACAGATATGTAATATTTATTTATACATAAACGCCTGTGCCAATCAATAATCGAACGATCGTTGGAAGGTGAGATTATTTCACGATTCTGCGTACCTTATTCTATCTAATGTACTTAAAATACAACAAAGTAGACTTTTCTTACCTTAAAATCGATACATAATTACCTATACATATACATATGTACATATCTATGTTGAACCGGAAGGGTTCCTCCTGTCTAACATATCGATATGGACTTTTCGCACCCCTCCATCCGCACCGTTCTTTTCCCACACCCTCCACGACCCTTCTTCCTTACCTCACTTGTGACCCCTTCCTTGTTGCACGCACCACAAACAGCAAATTTACGATAACTATTGTTGACCTGATTTATCTATCTTTTAGCAATTTGGTGTTGTAAAGAAGATTAGTGCAGGTTACAAAAAATAGACACTTTTCCTGCAAGAGTTCGGAAATACCAACCAGCTCCACATAATGACCTCGATATTTGTCAAGATTCTTTCGATGTTCGAGGAGGGAAACAGGATAACATTGCCCCCCGCCCCCCAGAAATCCGGCAAAATCACATCTTGCCCAGGTTAATAAGCCCCTCCTCGTCCAATCCTTCAATCCTAAGTGTTCGAGTGACCACTGGAAGTAGTCATCAATTTGCCACGCGACGGATAAAAAAATGCTTCAAAAATTTGGACGAAGATTAATGATATTTGCCCATTTTTATACAGAAATTACTCTTAAAGTCAAATTATAAAAATAAATGTCTCATCAAGGTCAGGTGTTGCAGATCTCTTCAATCCACATATATTTATTTTCTTATTAATGGAATGCACTACTTGGAGTTTACTTCAAAATTTTGTCAATTTATTTTAGAACGGATGAAGTGAATGTTTCCAAAAAAATAGATTGACAATGCTATGTAATTATGAGAAAGCATATAATTTTTTTTACTCGACTTCACACCAGCGAAACAAAGTAGTTAATGCTTAAAAATAACATTACTTACTTAAATAATTGCTTAATTAATATGTACACAAATACCGATTTTTGAACCATCGTTATAAAATATTTTCGCAGTATGCATACAATTTTGATAAGTCTTACTCCATACTTCTAACTGTTTAAAATAATATATTTACATAACACGCACGATTTAAATAATCAAATCCTTAATCTTCTAACTTTTATAAATTCATATCGATCAAACTCAAAAATATTTGTTCGATTACAATAAAATACAATACAAATTTCCCCAAAAATCAGTTGCTCGCTCTATTTCGCTGCACCCTATTTACAATATCTTGTCGTAATTTTACCGCATTTTCTGCCTCTATAACAAATTTACCAATCTTCCTCGCAAAATAGTATTGCACCGCGATAGAATACAAACACGTACCGGAGGGCAACTCAATCTGTCCCCATGGTCCCAAAAGTCCATCCTTCGTCCTCCACTCCAGCGGATCCAGGTTGTAGAACATGAACGCCAGATTTTGGAAGAGTAACGCTTTCGCCAAGTACACTGCCACCCTTCCCAATTTGATCTGCAGATCGCAGTGTTTGCGGAACACGGTGACTGCGAAATTTGTGCATAATCCGGAAACAAAGGAGCAGAATATCATGGAACCATAAGCCCATAAAAGTGGATCATATTTCCGGGCTAGGTCCTTGTCGTTTTTAATTTTGGTGTCACTTCCTTTCAGGCAAGTTTCAAGCTCGGGATAGATTCCCCAGATAAAAAGTATTGGTCCGACTGCCTGAAAAATTGGAAAATGTACATATGTAATAGCAGAACTTGGGTGGCAATGTGGCATTTGGCAGTAAAACTGACACCACAAATGCAGCTAAATAGTCACCATTTTCAGTACCAATAGATAATCTATGTATGTACATATTTGTTAAATAAGGAGTATGCAAATTTAAGAACCTTACCGAATTGCACCATGCAAGCAGTAAAATTTGTCTACGTTCACTGTAGGACGGCATTGTAGATTTAGAACAGAATCTAGGCCTATCTTTGGTTGTTACGGTAACGTGAATAAATTTTTATTTTGATGTTGACAATCAGAAGGGCAAAAGGTAACTGGGCTGGACAAATGTGCATCTCAGGTTTTTATTTACGTATCTAAATATGTATTGTATGTGAATACCTTCGCTCATCTTGAAGTTTATTGGGTTGAGCATAAATATGTACATGAATGACATGTAAGAGAAAAGGAACAGCTTTTTACCTTCTCACTGATTCAGGATGATAAACCAGATATGCCAGACATATTCATATCGAAAACTTGGTCATGAAAGACATGAAAACGAACTGAGATTTGTGTAAGTAGGGTAGTTCAAAGAATTTGACAGTTTGAATGGTCAAAATATGTACATACATATGCATAAATACCTGTACCGTTCAGTTTATCGAACGATCGTTGAAAGGTGAGATTATTGATAATCACGATTCTACATAGATTCTAAATCTAACAAGAAATAAAGTAAAGTAGGCATTTTCTACAGTTGAAATTCATGCATACATGCATACGTAGGTTTTCTTGTCCCTTAAGTACACGTACGTGTACGTAGCTGTAATTTTATTGGACTTTTCGCACCCTTCCATCCGCACCTTTCTGTCCGCACCCCCTCCGCGATCCTTCTTTCGCACCCCATTCATCATTGCAAAGCAAACCCCGCAAAAAGCACAGCACAAAGTAATTTACTGTTCATATTCACATACATATTTTTACCAATTTGTTTTTGCAAATAAACATAAATAACGCAGGTTGTGTTATCTAGTTGTTAGTTAAATTGTAAAAAATATATATTTTGTTGTCTATAATGAATAAAATTATTGCATATCATATAAACTGATTCTTGACCACAGAGGCGAACCCTGGTTAGGATTTGAAAAAATAACAAGACAGTTTTCTACAAACAGTTCGGAAATACAGATCAGCTCCGCACAAACACTTCATATTTGTCAAGTTTTTATCCAATTTTCGAGCAGTGGCGGATCAAATTTGCACAGAAATTCAGAAAAATCATATCGTGCCCAGATTAATAAGCCTCACCGCGTCCAATCCTTCAACGCTAATGTCCCCACATGTCCCCCCAACTTCCGCCGCCACTGTTCGAGTGACCACTGGAAGTGGTCAACAATTCTCCACATAAAATTGGATAAAATGCTCCAAGAATTTGTACTAGACTAATTATACTATAATTCTTTTAGCAGAAGTTAATCTTAGAGTCAAAGCGTAACAATATGTATGTATGTCAAGGTCAAGTGTTGCGAATCTCTGCAACATATTATTCCCTACTAATTGACTACTAGGATTTTACATATTTCAGAATTTTGTAAATTTTTCTTAGAACGGATGAAATAATTGGTTTGAATAAATAAATTGGCAATATGAAATTCTGGTATGTATATCTAATTAGCAAACTGGACAGTTTTTTATTCGACTTTACACCAGCGAAAAGTACATAATTATTGCTTAAAAATTACTTAAATAATTACTTAATTAATACACGAATACAGATTTTTAAACCATCGAAATTAGATATTTACGCAGTATATAATTAATCTTGATAAGTCTTATGGAATATTGAGTGTCTTTAAATAAACTTAAATTTTTACATCACACACAGGATTTAAATAATTAAACCCATAATCTTATACCGAACAAGCTGGAATTCTCGATCACAATTACACACATATTTTAAATCAGTACATACCTAAATTTCTCCAGAATTCACTTGCTCTTTCTTTTTCTACCCACCTTCTTTTTTCTTTCTTCTTCTTCTTGTTGAAATTTTGCCACATTTTGCGCCTCTACAACAAATTTAACAACCTGACTCGCAAAAAAGTATTGCACCACGATACAATACAAACAAGTAAAGATGGGCAACTTAATCTCTCCCAATTTCCCCAGAAACATCTCCCGCGTCCCCCACTTCAGCGGATCATGGTTGTAGAACAGCAACACAGGAATTAGGCAGACTAACGCCCTCGCCAAGTAGGCTGCCGCGTTTCCCAATTTGATCTCCCAATCGCAGTCGTTGCAGAATACGGTGATTGCCAAAAAAGCGCACAATCCGGAAATAAAGGAGCAGCTTATCAGGAAACCATAGCCCCATACAAGCGGATTATATTGCAGTGCTAGCTCTAGCTCCTTCTCGTTTGAATGGTTGACGCCCCAATTATCCATGTAAGCTTTAAGGTCCGGATAGACTCCCCAGATAAAAGTTACGGGTCCCAGAATCTGAAATTTTGGAAAATATACATACATATGTAATAGGTAGTAGTTTCATGGAGTCCGATAACTTGGGTGACAATGCAGCGTGTGTCACCAAACGGTCATAAAACTGACGGCAGACCAAGGCAGCTGGTCATAATTTTCAATGCGAATGGATAATTTATGTATGTATTTGTGAAATAAAGAGTATTGAAATTTAAGGACCTTACCATATTGCAAATTGCCAGCACAAACACTTCTCTAAAATCCTTGAAGGATGTCATCTTAGATTTAGAACGGAGTCCAGGCTTGTTTTTCTTGGTTGTTATGGTAACGTGAAGAAATTTTTATTGGGATGTTAACAATCAGAAGGGCAACAGTTGACTGGACGGGGATAAATATGTATCTCAGGTTTTTATTTACGTATCTAAATATGTATACCTTTTACTAAATACATAATCTTAATTCTTGTTTGGCTGATAGTGATCATACATACGCACATACTTATGTGGCTGAAAGACGGCATGTAAGAAAAAAGAACCTTTCTTATCATCTCGGTGATGCAGCTTGATAGATATGCTAGACACTTTCATGTCGAGAAGCTTTTCATGACAGACATGATAACGAACTGAGGTTTGTGTAAGCAGGGTATTTCAGGGAATTTGAGAGTTCGAGTGAATGGATGAGTCAAAATGCATACATAATGTACATATACATACATACATTCCTAAAAACCTGTACCATTCAATAATCCAACAATCATTAGAAGGCGAGATTATTGATAATCACGGTTGCTTCTAAATCTAATGTGGAATACAATGAAGTAGACATTTTTACACTTGAAATTGATACATATCTGTAATTACGTGCATATTGGCGTATGTTGAACCTGAAGGTTTCCTCGTCTCTTACATTTCTATGTCTATGTAAGGTGCAGTCCCAAGATTCCTAAACTTTTTAGCTCGTTTCCGTGGAGTGAATGTATTAGGATTATGTAATGAGGTTGTCCAAGCATGGGCCATCTTTTAAAAATTATTAAAAATTTTCGAGTTGGGGACAGGCACGCATTTTTTGGCGTTGTCACCCGTTGTTGGGTGAGTGAGAAATTATTTTAAAAATTATTTTTGCTACATTTTCTGGGGACTGCTTTTAATTTTTAACTCGATTGCATATTACATATGATATTGATGACCATTTTTGTCCCCGATACTTTTATATATTTGTACACGTATTTATATGCATATTTTTATAAAGAGCACAACCAGGTAGATAATTCGAGTTCCGGAGAAAAAATTTTCATTTGTCTAAAACTTGACAAAATTTTCATTATTAAATTATCACTCCCACGATAACGGTGGACCTGGAGGACGAAGAGGAGGAGGATAATTTAGTTCTGGAAGATTTTGTAATTGATGAGGTAGCAGCTGCTGGTGCAGATTCAGAAACCACTCCTGCTGATACCGAAGATGAGTTGTTAACGGTATAAGTTTTTAAAATCATGAGGATGTCAATTTTTGTCAAGTTTTTTTAAAGATAAATAAACATTTCTTTATCTGGAACTCGAATTATCCTCCTGGTTGTGGTCGCTATCTTCATAAAAATATGTATACAAATAAGTGTAGAAATATACAAAATTATCGGGGGCAGAAGTGGTCATCAATATCACATAATATGCATTCGAGTTAGAAATGAAAAAGTCCACCGAAAAATAATTTCTCACTCACCCAACAACGGGTGACAACGCCAAAAAATGCGTGCCTGTCCCCAACTCGAAAATTTTTAATAATTTTTAAAAGACGGCCCATCCTTGGACAACCTCATTACATAATCCTAATACATTCACTCCACGGAAACGAGCTAAAAAGTTTAGGAATCTTGGTGCAGTCCAATTTTATAGGGCTTTTCGAATCCATCCATCCGCACCCTTCTTTTGGCACCCTCTCCGTGACCCTGTTTCCGAACCCCACCTTTGGCGTTCAGCACATCACATTCACTATAACTCTTTCTTTTTGCACCCCCTTCGTCGCCCTTGGTCACATGATTTATCTATCTTTTAGGAATTTGTTGTTGCAAACAAGGTAAATAATGCAGATTAAAAAAACTCCAAGTAAAAAATGCTCCAGTAATATGAGTCAAAGTTAATGAAATTTACGAAGTTTTTTAAAACAGAAATTAATCTTCAAAAGTCAAATTATAGCAATATGTAAATATGCCGGATCAAGCCAGGTGTTGCAGATCACTTCAATCCACATATATTTTCCTATTAATAGAACTTATTGGCCTTTATTTCAAAATTTTGTAAATTTTTTTGAAACCGATGAAATGAATGCCTTCAATAAATAGATTAAGACAACGTCGTACAATGAGAAAGCATATAAAAATTTTTACTTGACTTCACACCCGAGAAATATATTTACATATATAATTAATACTTAAGAATTACATCACTTACTTTAATAATTGCTTAATCAATACACGAAGACACCATCGTTACACAATATTTTCGCAAATATATAACTTTGAACAATCTCATGGAATTCTTATTAATCGTTTTTAAAATAATATATGTTACAATTACACACACGATTTAAATAATTTAAATAATCCTTCAGCTTCTAACTTTTATCAAACCATATCAATCAAATGTTTGCTCAATTACAAGAAAATACGTACTTACATAAATTTCTCCAGAAATCAGTTGCTAGCTCTGTTTCGCTGCGCAATCTTTACAATCATTTGTCGAGTTTTTACCACATCTTCTACATCCATAACAAATAGAGCAGTCTGCCTCGTAAAATAGTATTGCACCGGGACACAATACACACACGTACCGGGGAGCAAGTCAATCTGTCCCCATGTCTCCAGAAGTCCATTCTTCTTCCTCCACCCCAAAGGATCCAGGTTGTAGAACATGAACGCCAGATTTTGGAAGAATAACGCTGCCGCCAAGGACGCTGCCAGCCTTCCCAATTTGATCTCCCAATAGCAGTCGTTACGGACTACGGTGACTGCCCACATTGCGCACAATCCGGAAACAAAGGAGCAGAGTATCATGGAAATATAGGCCCATAAATGCGGATCATATTCCAGTTCTAGCTCCAGCTCGTTCCTTTGTTCCACGTCAGTTTCAGCCAGGGCAAAGAATTCCCACATAAAAATGAGGGGTCCCACGACCTGAAATATTGGAAAATATACATTTGTAATGGTAGTTTTATGCATTCTAAGAAGTCGGATAAGTTGGGTGACAAGTTGCATGTGTCACAGAATGGTGATGCATAAAACTGAGGCGACACAAAGGCAGCTGGTCACAGTTTCCGGCACTAATGAATCAAGTCTGTAGATATTTGTTAAATGAAAAGTATGGAAATTTAAGAACCTTACCAAATTGCAAAATCCGAGCACAAAAATTTCTGTAACTTCCTCGAAGGACGGCATTGTAGCATCAGAACGGAGTATAGGCATATTTCTCTCGGTTGTTATGGTAACGTGAGGAAATTTTTATTTGGATGTTAACAATCAGAAGGACAAAAGTTGACTGGACTGGACAAATGTGTATGTCAGGGTTTTACGTAGCTAAATACATATGTAATACCTTTTAATAATCTTAACTCTTGGGCTAACAAGGGACACTCACGACCTGTCGTTTGAGTCCAGGGTACCCACTATGTTTTTTAGAATCTACTAGGACCCCTGATGAAGGATTCATTCATATTTCCGTGTAAAACTCATATTTGGCCCAATGGCGTGGCGCCAAACTTAAAAATTTGCATTTTCGACCAATTTCAAACCCTCATAACTTTTGCAGTTTATGTCGGATTTTTAAAATTGTATGCTTAAAATGATCACAAAAGTCGAAATTTTAGAGAAAAAAATAAAAATAAAAAATTTTTAATTTTTGAGATATTTTTAGCATTTTTTCGACGAACCCAAAATTTTGAAATTTTGCGAAAAGTTAAAAGCGATAATTTTGGAAAAAATTTCATAGAATACGAAAGTTGAACTCCTTGTCATGATTTTTGCCAAAAATTTTGAAAATCCGTCCAGGATTTCAAAAGTTATGGCGGTTTTAAAATGTAAAACCATCAAATTTGGCGAATTTGGCGCCACGGCACGGCGCCAAATATGAGTTTTACACGGAAATATGAATGAACCCTTCATCTGGGGTCCTAGTAGATTCTAAAAAACATAGTGGGTACCCTGGACTCAGACGACAGGTCGTGAGTGTCCCTTGTAAGCATACATACAAATATGTACAAGAAAGACGGCAGGTAAGAAAAAGGAACCTTTATTACCGTCTCACTGATACAGCTTGATAAGCTAAATAGATATGCTAGACATGCTCATATCGAAAAGCTGGTCATGAAAGACACGATAACGAACTGAGCTTTGTGTTCGTAAGTAGGGTATTTCAGGGATTATTTTACATTTTGTTTGAATGGATGGGTCAAAATGCACACATTTTTACATATACAAACATTCATAAATACCTGTACCATTCAATAATCGAACGATCGTTGAAAGGAGAGATTATTGATAATCGCGATTCTACATAGCTTCTAATTCTAATATTTATTATAATGAAGTAGATATTTTTACACTTGAAATTGATATCTAGATAATTACAGGCATATTGACGTATGTTGAACCGGAAGGTTTCCCCGTCTCTTACGAGTACATGTGTAAGCTGTAGTCCAATTTTATAGGACTTTTCGAACCCCTCCATCTGTACCCTTCTTTTTGCACCCGCTACGTGACCCTTATTACTCACATGATTTATTCATATTTTATCGATTTGTTGATGAAAATAGAAGAAATGAAGAAATAGAAGAAAATAAAAGATAATTACATAATGCACTTTAAAGAACGGACGATTTACCACCAACCGTTCCGAAATTCCAACCTGCTCCACACAAATATCTCGATATTTGTCAAGATTTTTTCGATGTTTTAGCAAAGGGTCATTGCCCCGCCCCCTAGAAATTCGGCAAAATCTTATCTTGCCAAGGTTGATAAGCCACCCGCCCTCAAAGCTAATATCCCTACATCTCCCCTCAACTTCCACCGCCACTGTTAGAGTGGAAGTGGAAGTGGCCACTGGAAGTGGTCACAAATTCTCCACGGGATGGATAAAAAAATGCTCCGAGCATCTGGACGAAGATTACAAATAATGATGTTTACCCATTTTTTAACAGAAATTAATTTTGAAGTAAATTATAACAATATTTTTGTATGTCTGGTCAAGGTCATGTTGTGGATGTCTTCAATCCCCATAATTATTTACGAACTACTTGGGGTTTACTTCAAAATTTTGCAACGGATGAAATGACTGTTTTCAATTAATAAATTAACAATGTCGTGTAAGTACTTATGAAGAAGCATATAAAATTTTTATACTCTCATACCAACGAAACACATGTAGTTAATGCTAAAATAACATTACTTTTACATTAAACAATTGCTTAATACACGAATACAGATTTTTGAACCATCGTAATAAAATATTTCCGCCGTATGTATATAATTTTGATAAGTATCACTGAATACTTATTAACTGTTTTTAAATTAATAAGTATATTTATTTACGTAACACGCTCGAGTTAAATAATTAAATCCTTAAGCTTTTAACTTTTATAAAACCATATCGATCAAACTGAAACATTTACTCGATTACAAGAAAATGCATACACAAATTTCTTCAGTAATCAGATACTCGCTCTTTTCCTATCCGCCTTCTTTACAAGATTTTTCCTAATTTCCTCCTCTTTATATTCATATTCATGTTCATATCCATATTCATATTCATCTTCATATCCATATTCATCGTCATCTTCATCTTCATATTCATCTTCATCTTCCTCTTCAGCGACTTTAACCAAGTAGGTGCACATTCTCCAAAAATAAGGTTGCATCAATACACAATAAAAACATATCAGGATGGACACTGTAATCGGTCCCCATGGGCCCAAAAGTCCGTCCGGCGTCCTCAACTTCATCGGATCAACATTGTAGAATATGAACGCCAGAATTTCCCAGTATAACGCTTGCGACAAGGACGATGCCATTTTTCCCAATTTCATCAGCCGCCAATTACTGTTGTTGGAGAATCTAGTGACTGCCAAATTTGCGCAGAATCCGGAAATAAAGGAGAAGAATATCAAGGAACCATAGAAGACAATTGTTTTCGCGTAATTTTGCAGCTCAGGATAGATGTCAAAGATAAAAATCGCTGGTCTGAAATTTTGCAAAATATATATATTAGTAATTTTATGCATTATAAGGGGTCTGGTAACAATGCGGCATTTGGTAGTAAAACTGACGCCACAAACCAGCAGCCGGTCTCAATTTTCCATTCCCACTACCAATTGATGGGTAATGCATGTATGCATTTGCTAAATCAAGAGAATGAAAATTTAAGAACCTTACCGAATGGAATAATCCGAGCACAAGTATTTCTCTAGCTGCACTTCTGGACAGCATGGTAGATTTAGAACAGACTTTAGAATTATTTTTAGTTGTTATGGTAACGTGAAGAAATTTTTGTTTGGATGTTAACAATCAGAAGGGAAAAAGTTGACTGGACTGGACGAATAAATATGTATCTCAGATTTTTACGTATCTAAATATTTGTGTAATACATTTTACTAATCTTCACTCTTGCTGGGCTGAGGATACGTACATGAAGGATGGTATGCAAGAAAAGAAACCTATTTTACCTTCTCACTAGTACCGCTTGATAAGACACACATGTTCATATCGAAAACCTGCTCATGAAAGACATGATAACCAACTAAGCTTTGTGGAAGTAGGGAATTTGACAGTTTGAGTGAAAGGATGGGTTAATACAGATATGTATAAATTTATACATACATGTGAACCAGCTCCACATAATGACCTCGATATTTGTCAAGATGTTTTCGCTCTTTTGAACAGAGGAACAGGAGAACATTGCCCCCTTCCAGAAATTCAGTAAAATCGTGAAACAGAAATTAATCTTCAAAAGTCAAATTATAGCAATATGTAAATATGTCTGATCAAGCCAGGTGCTGCGGATCTCTTCAATTCACATATAGATATTTTCCTATTAATGGACTACTTGGACTTTATTTCAAAATTTTGTAAATTTTTTTGAAACGGATGAAATAAATGCGTTCAATAAATAGATTAAGACAACGTCGTACAATGAGAAAGCATATAAAAATTTTTACTCGACTTCACACCCGAGAAACATATATACATACATAATTAATGCTTCAAAATTACATTACTTACCTAAATATTTGCTCTATTAATACACGAATACAGATTTTTGAGCCATCATTATAAAAAATTTTCGCAGTAGGAATACAATTTCGGTAAGAATTTCATTACACACACACATGATTCAAATTCAATAGTGATTCAATAATTACAACCATAAGTTTCTCACTTTCATAAACGATATCAATCAAACTAAAGAATTTACTTGCTCGATCACAAAAAAATACGCACAAAAAAATCTTCAGAAATCAATGCCTCCTTCCTTTTTGACCTTTTCCCTTCCCCTTTTTCTTCCCCTTTTGCTTCCCGCTTTTTTGACCTTTTTGTTCCCCGCCTTTTTGACTTGCTCCACTTGGACCTGGTTGTACCTCTTCTTGTACCTCATTTTGCAGCTCATCTTGTATCTCATCTTGTACCTCATCTTGTACCTCATTTTGTACCTCATTTTGTTTCTTGTCAATTAATTTAATACACCGCATCGAAAAATATATTTGAACAAAGAAACAATAAACCCCTGTCGGAATTGGCAATTTAATCGACTCCCATTTCCACTGGGGCCATCCCCTCACTTTCGACTCCTTCGGATCAAAATTGTACATTAGCATCCCACCAATTAACAACATTGACGCTTTGGAAAACAAATCCGCCACATTTGCCAATCCGATCGCCCACGTGCGGTTGTCCGTCTTGGATGCAAGAGTGGCACATAGTCCCGAAGTAAGGCAGCAGATTGTAAATAAGACATGGACGCATAAACATGGCCAATATTTCAGTTCTAATTCCACAATATCCGTATTGTCTTTGTCGGCTTTCGGCTTAGCTTGATAACCACCAAACTCTAACAGGAATCCCGATATAATAATTATTGGTCCCAGAATCTGAAAATATAATACTAATATAACAAAATTGTAATAAAACTGAGACCATGCATGGACTGGTCAAAATTGTCATTGCCAATGTATCAATGTGTACTTATTTGTCAAATAGCATGGAAATTTAATAATAATATCTTACCAAATTACAAAGTCCGGGCACAAACATTTCACCCAATTCACGGAAGCCCTTCGTTCCAGATTTAAAACGGATTCCTGCTTATTTTTTTAGGATGAATTCGGTTGTTCGAGTAACGTGAAGAAATTTTGTGTTTGAATCTTAACAAATGGAAGGGCAAAAGTTAACTGGACAAATATTTGTCTCAGGTTTTTACGTATCTTCCTTGCAATATCTTAAATGTAGAATGCACTATTCTTGGGCTGTGCATACATACATACATGAAAAATGGCATTGGTACATATGTACGAAAGAAAAGGAACCTTTTTACCATCTCCATGCGGTACAGACATGTATAAATACAAATAGCCTGATAAGCTTCGTACACATTTGCATGTAGAGAAGTTGGTCTTGAAAGAAGACGCGACAACTGATTTTGTGTAAGAAGCTAGGGTATTTCAAAGAATTTGGGGGTTTGAGTCTGAAGAATTGATATATGCAAATACGATTACATACATATGTACAAATTCATACATAAATACATACGTTCCTGTACTATTAAATACTCGAATAATCGTTGGAAGTATAATTATTATTAATCATGATAAGTGACCAGAACCAGAGTCTAACCAGGGTTCGCTACCCCGGGTTTTTGTGGGTTGGGGTTTTTGGGGTTTTTGTGGGGGGTATCAAATTTCCGGAAAAACCCTAATGCTTAATGGGGTTTTTGCGGGTTTTTGTGGGTTTTTGTGGGTTTTTCCGGGGTTTTTGTAGGATTTTGAGGCAGATTGAAACAAAATCCTTTAAACTACAACGGATATCAATGCTAATTAACTTTTCTGCTTCATCTAGAAATTTTGAGAATTTTCATTTGCGACTTGAATTTCTAAATATCGTTGCATATTTCCAAGTTTACATGTCAAACAGGAATTTTCGATGTAATTAGTCCTAATCAATGATTACGGTTAAAATTGCATGTTAAAATTGTATATTAAATTAGTTTATCTCTAATAAATAATTTTAGGAATTCTGGTTCAACTTGCCCCAAAATCTACAAAAACCCACAAAAACCCAAAAACCCACAAAAACCCCCGGGGTTGGGTTTTTCTACAAAAACCCCTGGGTTTTCCGAACCCTGAGTCTAACCCTGGTTTGGGTTTGTAAAAAACAAACAATCTCCCACAATAGTCCGGAAATACCGACCAGCTCCACACAAGGATATCGATGATTTTTTAGGTTTCTTTCAACGCTCAAGTGGCGAAGTGGTCACCAATTCTCCACGGGATGGATAAAAAATGCTTCAAGAATCTGGACAAAGATTGATGAGATTTACAAATTTTTTTACAGAAATTAGACTTAAAGTCAAATTATAACAATGTGTCTGGCCAAGGTAAGGTGTTGCGGATCTATTCAATCCACATAATTTTTGATGGACTACTTGCGGTTTACTTCAAAATTTTGTTGATTTGTTCTAAAACGGATGAAATGAATGTTTTCAATAAATAAATTTACAATTTCGTGCAATTATGAAAAATCATGTAAAAATTTTTACTCGACTTCACACCAGCGAACCAGACACATAGTTAGTTAATGCTTAAAAATAACATTACTTAAATAATTTCTTAATTAATACAGATTTTTGAACCATGATAATATAATATTTTCGCAGTATGCATATAATTTTGATAAGTCTCACTGAATACTTATTAATTGTCTTTATAAATAACATATTTACATAAACGCACGATTAAATAATTAAATCCTTAAGCTTGCAGCTTTTATAAAACCATATCTATCAAACTGAAATATATATTGCAAAAAAATACGAACATAAATTCCTCCAGAAATCATCTTCTGTTTTGCTGCACCCTCCTTTCAATACCTTGTCGAACTTTTGCCAGCTTTTGTGCCTCTTTTACAAATTTTGTACACTCCGTCGCATAATAGTATTGCACCACAAAGCAATAAAAACATGTACAGACGGGCAACTCAATCGGTCCCCGTGGCCCCAGAAGTCCATTATGCGTTCTCCACCCTATCGGATCAACGTTGTAGAAAAAGTACAGCAGAATTTGACAGAATAACGCTTTCGCCAAGAACGTCGCCACTTTTAAGAATTTGATCTCCCAATTACTCTTGCAGAACACGGTGACTGCGAAATTTGCGCACAATCCGGAAACAAAGGAGCAAAATATGAGGGAACCATGGGCCCAGAAAAGCGGATAATATTTCAGTGTTAGATCGTTCTCGTTTGCATTTTTGGTGTCTCTTTTTTCCACATAATCTTGAACTTCGGTTACGATTCCCAAGATAAAAATTATTGGTCCTAGTATCTGAAATTTTGCAAAATATGCATAATAGTACTTTTGTACAATATGTATAGGTAGTCCGATAATGTGCCATTTGGTAGTAAATCTGACGCTATAAAGGCAGGTGGTCACAATTTCCAGTTCCCACCACCAATCTGCATGCATTTGTGAAATAAAGGGTATGGAAATTTAAGAATCTTACCAAATTGCACAATGATAGCTTAATAATGTCTCTACGTTCATTGTAGGACGGCATTCTAGATTTAGAACAGAGTTTCTGCTCTTAGATTTTTGTTTTGATGTTAACAATCAAAAGGGAAAAAGTTAACTGGACTAGACAAATAAATATGTATCTCAGGCAGGGTTTTACGTATCTAAATATGTAGGTAATAACTTTTACTAGTCTTAACTCTTGTCGGGCTGAGCATAATTATGTACGTAATTATGTATATGAAAGACGGTATGCAAGAAAAGGAACCTTTCTTACCTACTCACTAACCCCACTTGATAAGCCAGACATGTTTACATCGAAACCTGGTCATGAAAGACATGATAACGAACTGGATTTGTTGTTAGTAGGGTAATTCAGGGAATTTGACAGTTTGAATGGTCAATATATGTATGTACATACCTATACACATGCATAAATACCTGTACCCTTCAATAACCGAAAGATCGTTGAAAGGTGAGATTATTGATAATCCCGATTCTACGTAGCTTCCTAATCTAATATGAAATAAAGTAAAGTAGACATTTTTTACACTTAAAATTCATACATACATATTTGCATACATATGTTGAACAAGAAGGTTTCATCATGCCTTAAACGTACATATAAATGGAGTATTTTTTTGAATTTTTCCACCCCTCCATCCCCACCTTTCTTTTCGCAGCCATGCCATGGTCCTTCTTTCGCTCCCAACCTTTGGCGTTCTTCATTGCACACCCCGCAAAAAGCACAACTCAAAGCTACATAGCAAGTAATTCGCTATAACTCATGTCACATACATAAATTTTATTTATCTTTTCTGTGCTAGCAATTTATTGTTTGCAAATACGATAAATAACGCCGGCAATGCAAATGTTAGTTAAATGGCAAATACATATATACATATTTTATTCTTTATATTGAGCGTACTCACGAGAGCATCTTAAATACTTGCTTGATCACAAATACATACATGAATTTTTCAAGAAACCAATTCCTCCTTCTTTTTTGACCTGTTTTCTTCCCACCTTGTTTCAAATTTACCTAATTTTGGTTACTTAGGTCGTGAATTAGCCTGGTACATCTCTTCACAAAATAAAGTTGCACTACTAAACAATAAATGAATGTCCAGAAGGATATCTTAATCGATTCCTGTGACACCGGATATCCCCCCCACGTTTTCCACTTCTTCGAACTCCAGTTGTACACTATGATCCCCACAACTAACCGGTATGACATTTTGGAATAGAAATTCGCCACCTTTGCCAGTCTGAGCACCCACGTGCGGTTGTCCAGCATGCATACAAATATTGCACAGAATCCCGAAATTAAGCAGCAGAGTATCAGGCAGCCATAGGCAAGTACATGGGGCAAATATTCCAGTAGGATCTCCTGAAGGATGTCTTTGTTGAATTCTGGCTTATCGAGGTAACGGTCAAAGTCTGGCTTGATTCTCCATACAATAATTGCTGGTCCCAGAGACTGAAAGTATAAGAGTAGTGTGTGTCACCAAATGGTAATAAAACTGAGACCATGCAGGGAATGATTTTCAGTGTCAATCTATCAATGTGTATGTACTTATTTATTTGTCAAAAAGTATGGAAATTTAAGAATCTTACAGCATTAAAACATCCGAGTAGAAACAGTTCCATGAATGGGTCCATTTCACCGTATGGGAATGGCTGCGGTTCATCGAATGGCTGCGGTTCATCGTTTGGCTCCTGTTCACCGAATGGCTCCATTTTCCTTGAAGATTTGAAACAGATTCGTGCTTATTTTTTCAGGATGAATTCGGTTGTTCGAGTAATGTGAACAAATTTGTATTTGGATGTTAACAATCAGAAGGGCAAAAGTTAACTGGCCGGGACAAAAATGAATCTCAGGTTTTTACGCATCTAAATATGTATGTATGTAAAAACCTTTTGCTAATCTTAACTCTTGTTTTGCTGTGCATACGTACATGAAAGACGAAAGGTAAGAAAATGAACCTTTCTTACCATCTCACTGATACAGCTTGATATGTAGATAAGCTAGACATGTTCATATCGGAAACCTGGTCATGAACGACATGATAACGAACTTAGCTTTGTGCAAGTAGTGTATTTTACAGTTTGAATGATCGAGAATTGAAGTACTGAAATAAGTTTTTTTGTATGAAAAATGGAGTATGTACATATATTGATAGCATTGGGTGAATATAACTTGGGTTAATATGAGCGGATCAATTTGTCAATGCGACTGGGACTGGGTCAATTGGACACGTCACCTCAATATATATGTCCATACAGCATATATGTATGCATGTGCATATGCATAAATTCCTGTACCATTCAATAATCGAACGATCGTTTTAAGGTGAGATTATTCGTAATCAGGATTCTATGTAAGCACTCTAAATCTAAGGCAAATCCACTAAAGACACCTGTTTTGATATTGTTTCCATGCAGTTCTGTAATTTGTCTTGCTGATGATGGTGAGGATGAGTTTGCGAAATAATTTTGCGAACTAAGAACATGCCCAATTTGTGGAAAAATTTTCGCAAGAAATTTCAATAGTTTTCAAAATTTTCGCAAGAAATTTCAATAGTTTTCAAAATTTGCAGCAATAGTTTTGTAGAAATCTTGCAAAGCTACGCAAGCTTCTAAATATGCTCAATTTACGAGATATGCGAAGGTTGATTAAGACTATTATTCTATGACAAATTGGTTGCCACAGAGACGAACCCTGGTTTGGGTTAAAATGTAGACAATCCACCACTAACAGCTCGAAAATACCGCACCAGGATCTAGATATTTATCAAGATCTTTCCCACGTTCCGGAACTCGGCCACTGAAAGTGGTCACCAATTCTCCACACGGATAAAATTATCCATGTGGACAACACACACCAAAATTTCTGGGATTTGATTTTATGGATCGGTGATAATAAATAGTTGTATTTACCCTCATTAGACCATAAAATTGCACCAAGTTTTAGTCTTTGTTGACGGTCCCCATGGCATACGCACGCCATATGTCAATGTTACCTTTTGACATGGGGGGGCTTCTTCGTAGTTCGGAAAATTTTTATCTGTCACCGTTGTTAGGTTTTTCTGATCAGCCCAAGTATCAATTTGATTTTCATGTTTAGTTTCGATATGCGAAATCGAAAACTTGGGCATACTTCTTTCCTACTAATGGACTACTTGGATTTTATTTCAAAATTTTGTAACTTTAACTTGGAACAGACGAAATAATTGTTTGTAATAAATAAATTGACAATGTGAAATTGACAATTCTCATGTAATTAATTAGCAAATCATGTATTTATATTTAAGCAGTTTTTACTCGACTTATGTAACATCATCGAATCACAATCAATGTTTAAAAGTTTCATTGCTTATTTACTTAAATAATTGCTTGCTTAAACAAATCGAATACGAATTTAGATTTATAAACCATCATTACAAAATATTTTCGCAGTTTATAATTTCGATAAATCTCAGGGAATAAATCGCCTTAAAAATTAAAATAATATAATTACGTTACATTACATGATTCAAATAACTAAATTCATAAACTTCTCACTTTCATAAACGATATCGATTAAACTGAAATACAAATACTTGCTCGATCACAAAGACAGTCATAAATTTCTCCAGAAATCAATTCCTCCTTCTTTATTCACCTGTTTTCTTCTCAGCTTTTTTCACCGTTACCACATTTTGCGCCTCATTTTGCTTCTCAGTAATTAATTGAGTGCACATTTTCACAAAACAAAATTGCAACACGAAACAACAAATGCAAGTCCAGAAAGGTAACTTAATCGATTCCCATGACTTCGCATATCCCTCCCACGTCCTCCAATCCATCGGATCCCAGTTGTACAGCTCGAATACGTTATCCAGGCAATTAACCAGGATAACGTATTCGAAAAGAACTTCGCAACCTTTGCCAATCTGATCACCCACTTGCAGTCGACCAGCACGGATGCAAAAATTGCACATGATCCCGAAATACAGCAGCAGAGTAACATGCAGCAATAAGCAAGTAGATGGGGCAAAGATTCCAGTACGATCTCCTGAATACCTTTGTTGTCTTCTAGCTTAACTCGGTAACGGTAAAATTCTGGCTGCATTCCCGATGTAATAATTATTGGTCCCAGTATCTGAAAATATAATAGGAATGTGTGTCACCAAATGGTAATAAAATTATTGGAACTACGCAAAGACTGGGCAAAGAGTATGGAAACTTAATGACGTTACCAAATTACAAAATCCGAGCAGAAGCATTTCACCGAATTCACGGAAGTTCTAGATTTGAAAAGGATTTCTGCTTATCTGCTCAGCTAATTATTTATTGCTTCCAGAGGTCCATACACCCCATTCCACCAAATCTGGAGGAGCGTTTGTCAGACGCTCCAAAAAGTGCTTCGCCACTGTTTTGAGCTACCTTTTTTGCGGTTCTTGACCACATTTGGTGAAATAAGTTCAAATTTTTGACTGAGTTTTATCGAGTACAATATTTTTTCCTGGATAGAGGCCAAAATTATTCAATAAGTCTTCTTTGGGTCAAATTGGGGAACGTTTCTTACTCATCCCATGTTAATTGCATTTGATCCGTTTGCAAGCGGAGCGGGATGTCTTTGCTTACATCTATTTTCTGGTTCCGCAAATAAGATAAATAATGCCGGCAATGCAAATGTTAGTTAAATGACAAATATCTATAATATATACATATTTTATTCTTTATTTTGAGCGTACTCACGATAGCATCTTAAATACTTGCTCGATCACAAATACATACATAAATTTCTCAAGAAACCAATTCTTCCTTCTTTTTTGACCTGGTTTCTTCCCATCTTGAAATTATTCTGGTATAATTAGCCAAAGGCATATATACATACATATATTTGTACATTTTTTACTCGACTTTACAGCATCGAGATATAATAGATGCTTAAAAATTACTTAAATCATTGCTCAATTAATACACGAAGACAGATTTTAAAACCATTATTACAAAATATTTACGCAGTACATTTGTCATTAATTTCGATACACTTTGCGAAATATTGATCGCCTTTAAATAAACTTAAATATACGTACATCACACGAAGGATTTAAATAATTAAATCCATAATCTTCTCATTTTTACAAACTATACCAATAAAACTAAAAAATTTACTTGCTCGATCACAAATACATACCTAAATTTCTCAAGAAATCAATTCCTCCTTCTTTTTAGACCTGTTTTCCTCCCACCTTGTTTCAAATTTACCTAATTTTGGTTAATTATGTCTTGAATTAGTTTTTTACATCTCTTCACAAAATAAAATTGCGCTACGCAGCAATAAAGGAATGTCTAGAAGTGCATCTTAACCGACTCCCGTGACCTCGGATATCCCTCCCAGGTTCTCCCCTCCATCAACGGACTCCAGTTGTACAGTACGATCCCCCAAACTAACCAGTATAACGTTTTGGAAAAGAAATTCGCCCCCTTTGCCAACCTGATCACCCACTCTCTGTCCTCACTCGTGGATGCCAAAATTGCACATAATCCCGAAATAATGCAGCAGAGTATCATGCCGCAATAGGCAAGTACATGGGGGAAATATTCCAGTAGGATTTCCTGAATGTCTTTCTTGGCTTCTAGCTTAGCTTCGTAACGGTCAAGGTCTGTCATGATGTCCGATAAAATAATTATTGGTCCCATATACTGAAAATATAATAGTAGTGTGTGTCACCAAATGGTAATAAAACTGAGACCAGGGACGCAGGGGCTGGTCAAGATTTTCAGTGCTATATGTATTTGTCAAAGAGTATGGAAACTTCATGATCTTACAAAATTACAAAGTCCGAGCAGAAACATTTCAACGAATGGGTCCATTTTCCTTGAAGATTTGAAACTGATTTCTGCTTATTTTTTCAGGATGAATTCGGTTGTTCGAGTAACGTGATGTAGTTTATATTTGGATGTTAACAATCAGAAGGGCAAAAGTTAACTGGGCTGGAGAAAAATGTATCACAGGTTTTTACTCATCTAAATATGGGTATAAATATCTTTTGCTAATCTTAACTCTTGTTAGGCTGTGGATATGTACATGAAAGACGAAAGGTAAGAGAAATGAACCTTTCTTACCATTTTACTGATACAGCTTGATAAGCCAGATGTGCTGGACATGTTCATACCGGAAAGTTGAATACGTATGATAGACACGACAACGTATGTATGTATGTACTTTGTGTATGTAGGGTCAGGGTACAGGTATTTCAGGGAATTTGACAGTTTAAGTATGAATGGATGGGTAAAAATATGTACATATTTACATACAAATGCATAAATATGTATGTACCTGCACCATTCAATAATCGAACGATCGTTGGAAGGTGAGATCATTAATATCTAATCACAAATTGTGATTCACAATTCTATCTAGCCTCTAAATCTAGCATAAAATAAAGTAGACATTTTTCTTAGAATTAGTGAAGCAAACATTTACACTTGATCTTGATGCACAATTACATATTTAAATAGGTACATATGCTGAAGTATGTATGTACAAGGTTTCCGCATTCTCTTATCTAGTATCTATACACACATAAGTCGCCACGATTTTATTTTGTATAGGACTTTAGACCCCCGCCCCCAGCCGCACCTTTGTTTTCGTACCCACGCCGTGATGCTTTCATCCACACCCCGCTTTCGCACATCGTTGCACATTTCGTTCCAACAAATTGGTGGAACCATGGTTTAGGTTCAAAAAATAACTAGAAATCTACCAGCAGCAGTCCAGAAATGCTGACCAGCTTTACACGAGGATATCGATGATTTTTTAGGTTTCGTTCGACGCTCGAGCGACGAAGTGGTCACCAATTCTCCACGGGATGGATAAAAAATGCTTCAAGAATCTGGACGAAGATTAATAATATGTGACAATTTTTTTAACCGAAATTAATTTTAAAATCAAATTAAGACAATATGAATGGTTAAGGTGAGATTTGGTAAATTTTGCTTGGAACGGACGAAGAATTGTTTTCAATAAGTAAATTGAGAATTTGTCATTCTCAAATTAGCAAAGCGCATGGTCAATGGTATTTATATTTAAAAAGTTTTTTACTCGGCTTTACACCAGCGAATCATAATCAATGCTTAAAAATTACATTATTAACTTAAATAAATGCTTAATTAATACACGAATATAGATTTATAAACCATCATTAAATATAAAATATTTGCGTAGTTAATAATTTAAATAAATTTCACGGAATACTTATCAATTGCCTTTAAACTAATATAATTACATAACACATAGGATTTAAATAATTAAATTAATAAGTACTTGCTGAGTCACAATTAAATACATACATACTTAAATTTCTCCAGAAATCAATTCCTCTTTTTTATTTGACGCTTTACTTCAAATTTTTTGACCCGATTTCTTCCCACGTTGTTTCAAATTGACCTAATCTTCTACCTCATTTTGTTTCTCATTAATGAATTCAGTATATCGGCTCACAAAATATTTTTGACCCAAGAAACAATAACACCATGTCGGGATGGACACCTCAATCGTTACCCATTTTTCCGGAAGCGTTACCAAGGTCTTCCACTCCATCGGATCCCAGTTGTGGAATATGATCCACGCAACTAACCAGAATGACGTTTTGGAAAAGAATTTTGCCACCTTTGCCAATCTGATGACCCACTCGGCATCGTCCAGCGTAGATGCAAAAATTGCACATATTCCCGAAATAGAGCAGCAGAGCAACATGCAGATGTGGGAAAAGAAAACTGGGAAATATTCCACTAATATGTTCTGGTTGTCGTTGTTATCTTCTAGCTTAACTTGGTAACGGTCAAGTTCTGGCTGCATTCCCGACATAATAATTATTGGTCCCAGAAACTGAAAATATAATAGGAATGTGTGTCACCAAATGGTAATAAAACAAAATTTTCAGTGCCAATATAACAGTATGTACATATCAAAGAGTATGGAAACTTACAAAATTACAAAGTCCGAGCAGAAACATTTCTACGAATTGCTCCATTTTCCTTGAAGATTTGAAACTGATTTCTGCCTATTTTTCAGGATGAATTCGAGTAATGTGAAGAAATTTGTATTTGGATGTTAACAATCAGAAGGGCAACAGGTAACTGGACTGGGCAAAAATGTATCTCAGGTTTTTTATCTAATTATGTGTATAAATACCTTTTACTAATCTTAACTCATGTTGGGCTGTGCATGTGTAGATAAATACATAAGTACATGAAATGATGAAAGACGGAAGGTAAGAAAAGAAACCTTTCTTACAATTTTGCTGATACAACTTGATCAGCAAGATATGCTAGACATGTTCATATCAGAGAATTGAATATGTATGATAGACACGATAACTTACTTTGTGTAAGTATCTATGTAGGGTCAGGATACAGATATTTCAGGACAGTTTGACAGTTTGGGTATGAATGGATGGGGGTCAATATGTAAATTTACATATGTATGTACATACATACATTTTTCCCTACTCCTGCTTGGACTATCTACTTGGATTTCATTTCAAAATTGTGTAACTTTTTTTGGACCGGATGAAATGTTTGATTTCAATAATTAAATTGACGAAATTCTGGTACAATTAGCAAAAGGCATATATTTACACAGTTTTTTACTCGACTTTACACTATCGAAATATAAAATAAGATGATTAAATAATTGCTTAATTAATACACGAATACAGATTTTTGAACCATCGTTATAAAATAAGCTTATTTACGGAATATTACTTTCCATTAAATGTATTTACATTACACACGATTTAAATAATTACATTCATACGCTCCTTACTTTCATAAATCATACGATCAAACTGAAATATTTACTTATCCCGTCACAAATAAATACGTACATAAATTTCTTCAGAAATCAATCCCTCCTTCTTTTTTGACCTTTATTCTTCCCTTTATTTTTATTTCCGCCTGCTTTCTTCTCAACTTTTTTCACCGTTACCACATTTTGCGCCTCATTTTGTTTCTCAGTAATTAATTGAGTACACAGTATCACAAAACAAAATTGCACCACGAAACAATAAAAGCATGTCGGGGTGGGCAAGGAGATCGACCCCCATGTCCTCGGAAATCCGTCCCACGTCCTCCAATCCATCGGATCCCAGTTGTAAAATATAAACACCACGACCAGGCAGACTAACAGTTTTGAGAAGAAATTCGCCACCTTTGCGAATGTGATCACTGACCTGCCGGCGCCCAGGCAGGACGTAGAAATTGCACATATTCCCGAAATAACGCAGCAGACGACCATACAGAAATGAGCGACGAAAACCGGGACATATTCCTGAACGATCTCCATGATGTCTTCGTTGGCGTTCAGCTTCACCAGGTAACCGGAAAGTTCTGGCAAGATTCCCTGCACGATAATTATTGGTCCCAGAAACTGAAAATACAAAGCAGTGTTCGTCACCAAGTGGTAATAAAACTGGGTGGTCAAAATTTTCATTACCAATGCACATAATATGTATGTACATATGTACGTACATATACAGATGTAAATGTAATGAACTTACCAAATTGCAAATTCCGAGAAGACACATTGGAGGGAATATCTTCATTTTCCTTGCAGATTTCAAATAGATTCCTGCTAATTTTTTCAGGATGAACTTGAGTAACGTGAAGAAATTTTTATTTAGATGTTAACAATCAAAAGGGGAAAAGTTAACTGGACAATTATTTATCTCGGAGTTTTACATACATATTTATGTACCTTTTTGTAATCTTAATTGCAGAATTTATTTATCCTTGACGTGAAACATGGCATTTGTATGTACATGCATATGTAAGAAAGAAAATGAACCTTTTTACCATCTCACTGACCAGTGCAGTGAGAGTGCCTGCACCAATGCAGACAAATGTATAGCTTGATAAGCTAGTTATGTACATTTGCATATCGAAAAGTTGGCCATGAAAAATGTCGTGATAACAAACGTTGTGGAAGTAGGATAAATATCTCAGGGCATTTGACAGTTTAAGTCTGAATGGATCGACATAGCGCATGTTGTATTTATTAGGAGTATAAATTGTGTTCGCAATTATATGGACACAAGAATCTCGATACTTTTAAGGTTTCTTTTGACATTCAAGTAACCCTTGGAAGTGGTCACTAATTCTCCACCGGCTGGATAAAATGCCCAAGAATTAGGGACACGATTAATTATATGGTATTTATCAAATGATTATTAACAGAAATTAATTTTGATGTCACAATTGATTTTTCATATAGAAAGAAAAACTCCGGGAACTATTTAAAATTGGAAATACACATGTAATCGTGCATGTAATCATGTATATGTACGTACTCGTGCATGAATGACTCATCAAAAATTACATCCGGAAAAGTAAAACAATATGGTTCTCATTTTTACGATTTTTTTGAAGATATAAAATGACCCCATGCTAATCCAAGTGTTAAAAGTTGGTAAATAAAACTATTTCCGTATTAATTGGCCCCAAGCAGTAGCAAATTTATGATTAATATCTATGTATGAATGAGTAAGCAGAACAATCCTGAAATTTGTCCCATGTCTCATATTATGAATCACCAAAATTTAATTGCTATGTTTAGCTAAACTTTTATTCACACTGATTCACAGATGGTCATAATTTTATTATTATTATTCTATCATGAAAAAGGAATTGGCAAAATTCTAAAGCATGCTTCAATTGTACAATTTATTTACTCAGCAAAATATACATACATCCCCGCATAAAGAATCATCTCGAATTCTCTGAATTTTGTTTATTCAGTGTCAGGTCGTGCGTTGAGAATGGGATCAAGTTTTTTTGCATCTGGCTAATACTATTCTTCTCAATATTTTGTATAGGTCGCCGCATCAGCTAGAATTTTTTGCATAATTGGTCACATTCGTTCTGCACGGATTCTGAGTTAAATAATTTCTAACAAAGCAACATTAAACAATTTTATTTCACTTGCTAACATTCATAAAAGAACAAGTCACCATTCAATATTTCTAACAGTCAAGTTCGTGAAATTCTGAGCAAAAGTCCGCAAAAAAGTTTCATTTTATTCTTGTAACATATTTTTTGGGGAAAATCATGCCGAGTCATTCTGCGAAATATTTTGTCTTGGTCTTTATGACCGTGTCTGTCGCGCTGATATCTTCACAGACGCCACCCGTCATGAATTGTGGGTTCTCTGGGGCGCCGTGGGACGCTTCGTGGGGAGTGTACTGGCAGTGCTTCAATCGGCACATGGAGGCCTCGAGAAAATTCTGTCTCGAGTATGGCACGACTTAGTAAGTGAAATGAATTTAAATTTATACGTGGTTTATAAATGATATCCTATTTAGAAAAATCCCCCACATCACGAGTTAAATGCAACTTTTAGCATGTGTCGTAAATGGTGCTGTGACGTGGACACCTAGCCAGCGTTCGTGATCATTTGTGTCACCCCTTATTAAAAATATTTAGTTTGTATGTACAGATACATAAATTTATATGCGAATGTCTTACCTATTTACTGATTAAAACTTTCAGTGCGGACGGGAGCTGCATGTACAATGGTGGTTTTGGCAGCAATTCTATCGTCATTGGCGGATAAAGACAAGAATTTTGTTTTCCATTGTAATAAACATCTTATGAGTTTTTAGCTTCTCACATACATAAGTTTCTCTTCTTAAGTTACTGAAATTATTTAGGCGAATAAAGGTTGTTAAATATGTACGTACTATATATCAACTTTGCCATTTTGTTTTGGGATATTTTCAAATTGTAATGCAAGCACACGTGCACTCCATCCATATTTCTTTGAATTTAATACGAAGGCTGAAATGACAGAGAAGACTTACATACGCTATTATGGAAATCAAAACTGAAAATAAGCTAGCTAAATGCCAACTTTCTCCTATCCGAAGGGCCGACGATGCGATGTGAAGAAAGACGACGAGCTCATCCGGCTCGTGTGGTTATATTGTTTGGAGCAGAGGTCAACGCCGATCAATTTTGCTGCGTCGGCGGAGTTAACATGCGTTCCAATGTTGAAGTGATAGGAAATTTGATTTATCGGCGGTGGCGTGTACAATGCTGCGCGGCAGCGTTCAATCAGCGGCGTTGATCCCGAATTTCGGAGAATTCCATGATTTCATGATGAATTACTCAAAGAATTTAGACACCCGAACAAGTAAGTCTCCGGATTAACTTTTTGTAAAAATGTCAATTTCCTGGAGTTTTTGTGCAAAATAAAATTTTGTTGACCTTTCGTATCACTTACCCTGGAGGCTAATTGGCTAGTACAGTCCTATGGGCTGTAAGGTAGCAACCCAAAAAGTCCTGTTTTGATCAGGGTGCACGCGCGCTCACCTGCTTTTGCACGGAGTCATGTGCATGACTCGAGCAGGCGAGCGAGCGTGCACGCTGGCATTTTCCCATCAAAACAGGACTTTTTGGGTTGCTACCTTACAGCCCATAGGACTGTAGAATAACCCACCAGGAGTGCGGCGTGCGCGTTTAGATTGTCAGTTCAGCAGGGCGGTGGTGGTCAAGGTTGAGGGGGAACCGCTTTATGCGATGTCGTACGGCAAGATCGACGCGAATTTATATTTTCTCGTGAATTTGTGCAAATTTTAATTACCTAAGTATGTGACTAGTCTTTCATACTGAGATATTATGCATGTATACATATATGTGTACATATATTTATCTGCATAAATCATTTTTTCCAAAGAACTTAAAATTTTTGTATTTTTCTAAGAAAAGATGAAACTAACGATTCTCCGGAATAAATTGAAAACGCGTAAATGTTTTTAACCATATGTACCTGCATATGTTGTATACTTGTATAGGACATTTATTTCACGCTGATTTATCAGCAAATAACATAAATAGTTAATAATCGTTATAAAATATTTCCTTATTACACATTTTTTTTGGATAAACCCGTACCGAAATTAATTAGCTTTAAACTAATATCACAAATCAGATTTTAAAAATTCAATCCATAAGCGTCTCACTTTTATACGCAAATTTATGTATCGAGTAAACTGAAATACTTACTCGCTCACAAATAGATAAATACAATCCTACATTTGATATCATTCTCTCCTTCTTTTACGACCAGTTTTCTTCCCAGCTTGCTCCCATTTTAACAAATTTTGCACCCCACTAATTAATTTAGTACTCTGGTTCACAAAATATAATTGTCCCAGGACACAATAAAGACATGTCGGGGTGGGCAAATTAATCGACCCCCACGTCGTCGGAAGTCCCTCCCAGATCCTCCACTCCATTGGATCCCAGTTGTACAGCACGAACAGCAGAATTTGCCAGTATAAAAGTTTGGAGAAGAAATTCGCCACCTTTGCCAATCTGATCACCCATTTGCAGTCGACCACAGCGGATGCCATAATTGCACATAATCCCGAACAAAAGGAGCAGATTATCATGCAAAGATAGGCGCAAAAAAGCGGAACATATTCCAGTGCTAGCTCAATACTTTTGTTGTTGGCGTTTCTCTGAGCTTTGTAATTTGCAACGTCGGAAACGATTCCCCCAGAAATAATTATGGGTCCAAGTATCTGAAATTAAAAAAATATGTATATGAATTTAAAAGCTGAGCAATAGAGCTTCAGTTTTTATGCGCACTGAATAAAGCCGGCAATTTGTTATCGCTGAGTGGCAATATTCAAATTTGGGAGTGTGTGCATATTTAGCTTTTGTCTTAATCAAACTGATACCGCAAATTTGTTATCATTCGCGTTGACGATTTTTAGCCGGTATGTTTGAGTCACATTTCGCACCTACATAAATACCATGTTTATTTAAGGAACACGGAAATTTAAAGGTCTTACCAAATTACAAAGTCCGAGGAGACTCATTACACCGAATTCACTGAAGGGCTTCATTTGATACTGCTTATTTTTTGGATGAACTCGGCTGTTAATAACGTATTAATAACGAGTATTAATAACGCGAAGAAATTTGTGTTTGGATGTTAACAACTAGAAGGGGAAAAGTTAACTGGGCAAATATTTGTCATATGTTTTTACGTATACCTTGCAGTTATTGGGATGTGCATTCATGAAATGCATTGCATTGGTACACATGTAACCTTTTAACCATCTTACTTGTGCAGACATATGTATAGCATAACTTGATAAGCTATGTATCCACATTTCCATATCGAAAAGTTGGTCATGAAAGAAGACGTGATTACGAACTTTGTATATCTATGTAAGGCCAAAGTTTTGGAGTTTTTCTCAATTGCATGCATTCCCTGAGATCTCTGAGATCACACGGTGTGCAAATCACAAAACTCACCCTAATAAACCACAAAGTGTGATTTTCTTGGCCATTTTCAACTTGCCTGGCTGCAATTTCCGTCGCCAAGCTCAATTTCCTCATCTAGTTGCTTGGCAGCGCGCTGGGCCGCTGGCAATAATAAACAAATAAATCATCTGCTGGATTATTTTTTGCTGTCATAATCCTTCCCGTTACTACACCTTATCCACTCTCCCCATTTAATTTAAAACTTACCAGCAGTTACAACTATTTGTGCAATGGGATCTCCCACCTTATCGAATGGGATCATTCCTACCGAAGATAAGTTGAAGTTTTGGACCGTCTTTCGCACCGTGGGAGCGGAAGGAGAGGACATTTTGAAGACGGCGAAATTGGTCCATGTCCACGACAAGGAAGGATTCGTCGTTACTAGCATGGACGAAACTTACCACTTCATCCATGGAGGATTTGGAGATGCAAAAATTACCAAAATTCTTGAATTGTGCGGCGTTCGGGTGAAAGGTACACATTTTACTAAAGATACTGGCAGAAAATAGATACCTAATTTTGCCAATGCTACAGAATTTATTATTGGATCAATCAACCTCGCAATTACGGAGAACGGACTCCTCTACTCGTGGTGCAGTGAATTCCGCTCAGCCGATACACCAATTGATAAGCAAATGAAGCAATTGGGACGGTTCTCATATTTTGTGAAGGATGGGTGCACGCCAACGCAAGTGGTGGGTCTGCGGAAAAGGAAAGTACGGAAGGTAGCGTTGCAAGGGGTGGGAAAGGGGCGCGTCGTGGCGTTAACGGTGGGGGGCGCTGTCTATCACTGGGGTACAATTGGTGGCATTACCATCCTAGCGCCTAGGTTAATGGACAAGGAACAATGGGACTTTGCAATGGGCAGGGATTTCTGGAAGGTTACCTCGGTGGGGTGTAGCTTTGGGGCAAATTTCGTCCTCACTGACCAAGGACAGGTACATACGTATACACTAATAGTTACATATAAATATACGATTCAAAACTTGGGTGCGATTTACCGGTTTTTCATTGCTGCAAATGGAATTTTATTATTAAGGGGTGAAAACCCCTTTATGGAAATGTTTTGTCTGTCCGTCTGTCCGTCCGTATCCACGATAACTTTAGAACGAATTCGAATTTCGACATCCGGTTTTCGCCAACGTGTTTCTAATTTTTGGGGACGGGATGATTTGAAGATGGGCGTTGTAGCCAGAAGGTCACGGCGCCATCGTGATGACGTCAACGGTCAAAGGTGTCGAATTTTTTGTTTTGACCGTTTTAGACGTATTTTTGGACGGGGATTTCAGAAATCGCCATCATTTCGACGTGCGACGAACCTGTGACCGGTAGACGACGCCAAAGTCGAAAATTGTCGAATTTTTCGTTTCGACCGCTTTAGACGTATTTTTTGGCGGGGATTTCTAAAATCGCCATCATTTCGACGTGCGACGAACCTGTGACCGGTAGACGACGCCAAAGTCGAAAATTGTCGAATTTTTCGTTTCGACCGCTTTAGACGTATTTTTTGGCGGGGATTTCTAAAATCGCCATCATTTCGACGTGCGACGATCCCGTGACCGTGTGGGCGGTGTCGAATGTCGAAAAATGACTTTTGTCATGTGGGGTGTCTTTTGGAAGGTATGGTCGTGTACGTTCGAAATAGGCGGGTGGGGTGTCAAACCGGGCAAAAATTAGACGTGGGGTGATGTGAGACAATAACGGGAAAGTGCTGAAAGACGTTGTGAGCGTACCACACAGATAATTCCGTGTATTTTAACCCCTTTGCTACATTTCGTTTGCAACGGTTTATTGTTTTTTTAAATAAATCAAACGTCCTCGATTTTTTGAGGATTTTTTTAATTGGAATCCGGATTTGCTAACAGTTCTGCATGTAACTCCTTTGTTTCAATTTTGTGACAGATATTTCGATTTGGAGTGTGTGCCAATGACCCACAAAACTTGCTGTTAGGCGCGGGCTTATCAATTAAAAAGGTATTTAATTTTGCGATGCGTTGTACATCAAATTCTATGAGTGTTTTCAATGAAATTTTGTGTCTATTTGCCTACAGATTGCCACGACACGAAGAACTATTTGCGCGTTGACTGCTGGAGGTCAAGTGTACTCGTGGAGGGTTAACAAATCTGATGGAAATCCAGCGTGGTCAACGATTCCACTGGTTAATGTTCAGTTCAAAGACGTCCAGGACATTGAATCATGTTGGATGGAAGACGTTTGTCTTGTCGAGTCGAAGGATAACGTACGTTTTGCTTGCTATCTGGGAAATCAGATAGTTAGGATCTTCTCTTATTCGACCATTCCGATGAATCAATGCACTGCTCAAATTTGCCAAAAAAGCTACCGGACTATTGTTGTGGCTAATGAAGGAAGGAATGTCACGTTTAGTGATGATTTATGGAAGAGCAAGGTTAGTTAAATTTCTCAAGTTGCCCTTAAAAATTAGTTATAATTTTTACTACCCTACTTTACAGGAAGATATGGACGTTACATTTTCCTTGGAGGGGAAAACCATTTCCGCGCATAAATGGGTTCTGACGCGTAGAAGTGAATATTTCCAAAAAATGTTTAGCGGCAACTGGAGTGAAACAGAAGGATCGTAAGTACCTTTCAAAATACATACTTGTCCGTTGAAGTTTATTAATTTACGGCAAACTTTTGTAGCTTGATTGAAATCAAGGACACTAAGTATGACATATTCCAAGCTCTCCTTTTCCACATTTACCACAGAAGGGTCACCTTTTCCGTGGACGAGACCGACAATATTTGTGGTAATTATGCTTATTTTAAACAACAATAACTTTAAAATATTTTAAAAACGTAAGTAATAAATGTGCCGAATTATTTTTTAGACCTTATGAAGTTGGCGGATTGTTATTGTGACGAGAAAGCTCGGCGTTCCTGTGAGGAGATTCTGGTGCGGAATATCAGCGCGGACAATGCATTCGTTTTGATGCAAAAGGCTGCGTTAGCAAACGCTTCGGTACATGCTTTTCTGTTGTAGTTTCCTTGCATACGTGATTCAAAAGTATAATTCCATATTTCTATTATCACTTTAGTATTTGGAGGGGGAGGTGATCAAATTCATTTTGGACAATCGGCTCATCGATAAAACCTCGGTTCAAGACCTGACTGACATGCTCGATTTACTTGGGAAGGAAACATTCCGCAAATTGGTGATAGCAGCAGCAAGTCACCGATAGTTTGCTGCTACAGGATTTAATAACAAGTCCTTGTTAAATTTTGGTTAAAACGAATTGTATGTAATTTTGATTTCGTTGAAAAGTGTACAGTTTTTAACAACGCCATGATCCGCTTAATAAATATCTATCAAACATTATATAAATATCTAAGACATTATATAAATATATTTTCAATCACATACAATATGATATTCCTATTATGAATAGCTTACTAACTGTGTTCATGTGCTGTGCATGCACTTCCATTAAATAATCATATTTAGGAAGGTGAGATTATGGCCCAAGCTAAAATAAGAGTAAGTATGTATATGTATCTGTAAATATATAATCAAGACTGTGTATTTTAAGTTTTTGTCGTTTTTATAAATTATGGTAAACATGCATTGGTCCTCCTTCATATCTTATTCCTCGATTGTGAAATATAGGTCCTCTACAACACATTATATTGTGTAGAGCCATGATTTTGAACTGCGAATAGCATTATGTATAAAGGTTCAATTTAAGCCATAAAAACTCAGATGTATGCATGCACTGTTGTACCTGGAATTTGTAGAAAGTATGTACAACCATAAAATTCAGAACCCCAAGACCTCAACTACATATTAGTTTGACGAATGACTTAAAACATACGATTTGGGAACGCATTTTCAAATAAAGCATAAAATATTGTCTGTGTGATTTTTTATTTATTTGAATCAAACAAAATCTGAAGCTTTACAGACAAAGACGTGATGATTTAGGCACATAGCGAAACCGCGATCAACTTTCACTCCGTCAGTCAGTTTACGAAAATCCACAGAGAAAATCGCAAATTTTTTCCATGTATGAAAAAAAATCAAAAACTATAAATCAAGGAACTTTTATACAATTGTACGCTGATTGATTATTTTTTACTTAACTCTCGTGCTAAATTTGGTGGAATTAATAAGCAGCAGTCGATATTCATCCTCGTTTAGTAGTAAGTTTGTTAAAAAGACAAAATAACAAATTGCTTAAAACAAATTGTAATTCTCATTTTGTTTTAAATTGTGCTACACTAATTCAATGGTTAATCATATCATATCTTGAACAGAATTACGTGTTAACATCGATTGAACCACAATCAGCTTCATAAATATCTATTAAACCCTTTTATATAATTTTTAAATTTCAGAACCTCAAATTACAAATTAGTGAAAACATGGAACCACGAACCCCCTCTCCTTCTCCGGAACAAGAAGCTCTACAAAATCCGATCGTAAGTATAGCTGCACAAAGTTTACGATAAATGACGGACATGATGTTAAATAACAACTCACTATTTTTTTCAGATTCTTCAGAAAATATTTCAAACTAAACGTCTCCCTGTTAAAAACTTGCGTCTGGTTTGCCAATCATGGAATCAAATAATACTCTCCCTTCCCGAGCCAAAATTGTGTTTCGACCTGATGAATCCCCATGGATCAGGGGATCCTTTAAATTGCTGTACTACAGCTCCACTTGAATTAGTTTGCCTCAAAATGGAACCCAAACTCGCAAGATGTATATTGGACGAAGCATCTCACTCCAAAAGAATTTGCTCCTCTGCCTCCCGACTACTTCATGTTTGCCCCATATTTTCGCAAGTCATTGAAGAAATAGTATTCACCTTCGTCGATGAGGACCTTATCTGGACGATGTATGAAACATTGCAAAACTTCTGCCCAAACTTGAAAAAAATATATTTCCAAGTGTACGGAATGCGTCAAGACTACGCACGTTCCCAGAATATGGCACCATTTTGGATCAGACCCAAGTTGACTTCTATCGAAATATATGGGTATGACTTCGGTGGACGAAATGATTTCCTTTTCCTAAAGATGGTACAGATGATTATCAATGCGGCTCCAAACTTAACACGTTTCGTCTACCGTGGCGACCGATATCCAGACCTGAGTCACTGTGGTAAAATTAAAAGCATCATGATTGACATGAGTTTCATGAACTTGGCACATATCTCAAGTTGTGCTGGAGCCAATGGACTTAACAAAATGTTGGACCAGGTGAAAACTCATCTGCAAGTGTTAGTGATGGATAACGTGGTTTCATTGTATGATAAAGAAGATGATCTCGACGTCACTGAAGGGATCGACCTCGTGGCTGAAATTGCTTTCAAGATTCCAAAAATGCCGAGTCTTATAAAATTTGAAAATCAGTTGGTGGATGGTTTTACTTGCGGAGATAATTTAGAAGACATTTGCACCGCGAGACTCCCATCCCTGGAGACTTTGAAGCTCGGAAAATCATACCCGTATTACTTTCCGTCTAATCTTGACGACTTGTTGAAAAGAGCAATCCAGTCGAAGAATTTGTTCAGTGGGGTGAAGAATCTTGTGCTAACGGATGTACGGGATGTCGAGTCAATCAACGGATTAGGTCAAGTATTCACAAATTTGCAGAGTTTCTCAATTCTTAATTGGGAAAGTTACGGGAAAGAAACGGAAAAGAAATTTGCTCATGCTATCCAATGGGTGGCCTGTTGCGACGATTTGCCTCCAAGTAAGTATGACGATATACATAAATTTTTGGCTCATTTTGTGTATACGTTTATTTATATTTTCTTCACCTTTCATAGCTCTGAAAACGTTTGATCTACAAGTTTTCCCGTGGCTTCAGGAGGTGGGTGCCGTTTCGCGTGGAGTTGAACGCATGAAAATGTTTCTGGGGGTAATCAAAAGAAATAAATTGCCTCATGTAACTATTAAGTATGTAAAGGTGAGTTATATTAGAAGTAATTTAGTTTTGAAGTTTTTAATTAAGGGGTTTGCCTCAATAATTTTTAATTTTGTGTTCTGCCTATAATTCTAGTTTACGGAAGAAGTATGGCAATGGATGGACCCCTTCATTCGTGACAACCAGATTCCTATTAAATTTGAAATAGAATAGGCAAACATCAGATGATGAAAAATACATGTATGATACGGACGGAACTTTTTAATATAGAATATTTCTAAACTTTTTCAGGCAAACAGCCTCATTTTTAGTTCACAATTATGTATGCAGAGATCAATAATTATCAATTAGTTAGTTGAAAAAATTACGCAACCGGTGTACCTCCATATTTATGAATCGATACCGAAATATGTAATCCGTTCATCGTCACTGTATACAAAGTTTATTAAAGGTGAACAATTTATTTATAAAATCTACAATGAAATTTCCTTTAACTTAATGAGAATTTGGTCAACATTAACCTAATTAGTAGGTGCGAATGTAGAGACAAACATACCTTCTCTGGATTAAAGCTACTGCATATGTATCTTAAATTTTAAAAGTATGGGTCATATTTAGTTATCTAAAAGAGTATAAGTATATTTTCAATCACATACAAACGATGCTGCAAGTACGAATGTTTGGGAAAAATAATATTCTAAATTCTATCGTAAAAATGAACTACTTCATTTTAGTCAATTCTATAAATATTCTTACTTTCTATTACAATTTTGAGTAGAGTAAATTAAAAACTTTCTACCTATGATTTCAAGTCTCCTACGCCCAATCTGCGTCGGTGCCGTTGTCATCGGTGTTATAATTTGCGTTCGCTGGTGTGTAACTGCTGTGGTAAGACGTAGTATTTGAATTGCTGGCTGACTCGTCCGCCCAGGTGGAAAATGACCCGGTATTCTTTTTGTCTTTTGTTTTATTTTTAGACTTTGATTCCAAATCCTTTGAGGTGCTTCGTCTCTCCACCTTCACGGGGGCTTTAAGAACTGGCCAAACGGGTGGCAAAGGGTCGGACGAGATAGAATCCTCCTCTTGTTCATCAATTATGATTTCGGTCGACTGGTCAGAATAGGGTAGTGGGGCGCTGGGTGCGATTGAAATTTGGGGGGAAGACGAGTTTGGCATGATGAACCCCATTTCCAATTTTTCTTGCTTAGCTTTTTTGAAGGAAAGCGGGTTCTTGTGTGGCTTAGAAATGGTAGGGCTCCTCATTTGTAGGACATGATTTTTAGTGGTGACCAAGGTTCTGATAAGTTCACGGAATTCCCATTCTTGTAAATTCCTCTTAATGAATGACAAAACCTAGAGGAAAAGGAAGAGCTTGTGTAAGACATACATATTGACACGGTAATATTTATAACACAGAAAACTGGGTAAACAATTTTCTAAAATTCGTAATCTTAGGAAAAGTCGTATTTATAAAGTACATTAATTACCATCACATCTCCAAAGCTTAACTTCACCATGATAATGTCCGACTTGCTAAACTTCTTCAATTTCCCAGTACCTTGATCCCTGGAACTTCTTCCCTTCTCCACATCGTCCCTGCACGCTCGTGAGACAAATTTTCTATAACTGAACCTCCGATACAGGCCACACATGAATAAGCTGACCCTCAAAAGTGATAGGATGTTGACCACAAAGGTGAACGCCATCCACCACCAGAATACAAAAAACGTCCATTGGGTAAGATTGTTCATTGGGAGCTGACAAATGGCCGACTTAACTTCAGAATCTCCTCCGAAGCTTTCAAATTTTACTTTAATTAGAAAAATATCGAAATGCATATTTTTAAATCTTAACCAAACCTACCCATAAACTATCCAGTTGCACTTTGCCATCTTGGGGAACAGGACATCCATCGGATTTGGCCAAGGTGCAGTCTCGTCCAAAAAGTGGGCAAAGACTTGCACCCCAAAATATCTGTAGCGTGGACCGATGACGCCGCAAAGGTAAACGTATTCTCCCACGGGCGTCAGGGTGGCGAATAGTTTGCAGAAGATGTAATATATCCCAAATGTATCGTTAAATCCGACACTTTCCAGAAAAAATTTGACCCGAATCTCATGCTCCGTGATGTCCTCAGTGACGTCTGAGGATACGTCCAAAAGTGGTTTAATTTTGGTAACTCCTCGTGCCTACAGAAACATTAAAAAATATATTTTAACTGCATTTTTAGTTAATTATTACTAATCAAGGAGTTAACTACTAAACTAATCAACTTACTAACTTACTTACGCCATAGTTAACCTGTAACTCCACATTTCTACAAAATTATAATGATCTCACCCTCCAGAAGAAGTACGGCAGGAACGAAAAGATCGCCAGTTTCACCAGAATCATCCAAACTATTTTGTAATATCTTTGTCGAATTACTCCATCTCGATCTTTTCGATAACCAGAGACACCCGGGTAGCTAACTTCTCCCTGCATTTCGGGTTCCAGCGCCTTCAGGACGAGAAACGTGTCGTGGTTCCAGCAGTAATCGTTGAGGTCGGAATTAACACTGCCACCGGGACGGAGAGCCCCATTGGCCCCACCACCTGTCCGTGACGCAATCAATTTCCAAATTCCGAACAAACTGGTTGGCAAAGGAGAGGCAGACTCCCACGATGAGAAGGGCAGGAGTGTACTTTGTCGATATTTTGAAGGCCAGGTCAAACGTCACGACGCCATCCTTTGTGATGAACTTCTTTAGTGGGGCCCAGAGTGCGTTGGGGATGAAGCCCAGCACGGAGGTTAGAGTTACAGGCATCTCGTCTAAAAATAATCATAATAATTAAAATAAAACCTACATTAACTAAACGAATCCAATTTGATTGGTCTATTCGTATTTATAGTGAAATGAGTGATTACTATTTGTATTTTATTGGAATTCCATGGCTTATCTGACTTGTCGACTTCTCTCCACAATTCCGCAGCAACACGAGCGATTGGATAAATATGAGAAACCAAAACAATCCACACCGACGTTTTGTTTGTGCTCGGCAAGCCAGCAATCAATACCCGCCGACGACTGATTGATTCAGACGCGCATTAATTAATCTCGCTTTTCCCAATAAATATGGAGTCAAAATTGAGCGTAAGGGGCCGTCCATAAATTACGTAACGCAAAAATCGCGATTTTCTACATCCCCCTCCCCCCTTTAGCATGTGTAACACTTTGAGCCTTAGACCCCCCCTCTAACGTTACGTAATTTTTGGACAGCCCATTTACCTTGACTTGCTTTGATAAATATCATAATATTATGATATTTATGAATCATAAATATCAAAATATCAAAATATCATAAATTATGATCAGCAATGAGCTCAGTCAAATGTTTCCAGTGTGAGATTTAAAATCAATGTGAAATAAATTTCTACAATTAATAAGATTTCATAAATATGTATTATAACAAAGTTTAACTTTTTATTATAATTAAAGCCTCATTTTTATTAAGCATAATTTCAGCTTGTTCTCGATGGATTTTTCATGCAGTATATTTCTTATCGAATCGCTACTTGCGTACAAAATTATAATTTTTCAACCACACAAAATCAAACAAAATATATGTAAATATTTATTTATACACTGATCACAATTTTTGACTTCCCAAGACTTTTAATTTAAGTAAATAAATTTCTTATAAATAACTATTTATTTAAATTAAATTAAATAATATTTCAAGATATACATAATTTCAAAATATCTTGAATCCACAATTCCTGATCAGTCTACAATTAAACTTTCATGTTTATAAATATGGTCCAATCCCTGCTTCTCCACAGCACTGTACCCTTTCGACTTCATAAAGGCTTCAAGTTCATCTCGTTTAGTTTGGTCGATAAATTGCACCTCCATAATTATGAGCTGTCAAAAGCATCATCAGTATAAATGCTAATTAAATTCCATCCCATCCATTAAAATTTTATTTTTTTTTATCTACCAACCTTAAATACAATCCTATCGAAGGGAAACTGTCTCAGAATTTCGAATTCAATTCCTTCCACGTCAAAGCTAAAAAAGTCAATTTCTTTATATCCTGCGGCAGCAATGATGGTGTAGAGGGGAACGCTTTCTACGTCGAAATAAGTCCAATTCGACGCCACCGGAAGGTTCCATGCGGGACCGATTCGACCGCTGTACGTCCATCCTTCCGGGTTGGAGAAGTTTAACTTGTGGGTGAAAATGTTTGCAAATTTAGTAATGCAAATTATGGAAGAATTTCAAAATTCATGTTTTTTAAATTATATAATTAATTTGACAATTCCAAATTCTGAAGCAACAGCTTACCACGGCGGGTCTATTTCCGGTCGAGATGCAAACGCCTGCAACCCACGCTTTCCTTCTTTTTGACCTCAGATACGGCGTCACGGTTGGATTGCACTCGATTAAAAGGCCGCTCCAACCCAGTTCCATTTCCAGTTCGAGAGTGTGCGAGTGAAATTCGCCCTCATTTGCGCCAGCCTCGATAAATACGCCGCCCCTCTAAAAACCACAAATACATAAATTGATATTTGTACATGTTTCTTCTTCAGTTACATAATACAAATCTGATAAGGCCAGAATTTGTGTCGAATTTCCATTGCGTGAAAGTTTGTATTTTATGGACATTGCATGGTCTGTTCTACAAAAGTAGAAGACACAATTAGAATAATTACATCGTTGACATATGTAACGTCAATTCATTCGAACATTCGCCATGAGAAAGTATGGAGCTTTAAATTTTTAGTTTTTTCTGATAAATGAAAAAGCTGAGAAATGTCAAATTATTTTAATTGTAAAAGTAAAAAATACGTTCAAAATTGCATGCATGAAAAGCTGAAGGAGACAAAGTTCAACCGCGAACCGATTACTTTATAACCGGCTGAGATTTCACAACAAATCGTAAAGTAAAACAACTTTTCTTTATAATTTGTATTTATACGTAATTAATGTTACTTTACGATAATTAATATACATTTAACTCGAGACCCTTATGTTCTTGCCGTTACAAAAGGTGGATAATCAACACCAACCTTCTTATCCGTTGCAGGTCAAGGTTTGTAAATTACAAATTGTAATTAATTATTTTTTTTTCAAGGAATTTTAATCTATTTAATTTTTTTTACCACAGTAGGAAAAATGGAAGAACTACAAAATTGCGCGATGCGACAAGCTCTACAAAATCCGGCCGTATGTTCCCCACCAAAATTTTTACAAAATTATTGTTCTTTAATATTTAAAATTTAAGTCAATCCTTCTCCAACTTTTTTGAAAGATTCTTCAAGAAATACTTCAAATCACTGACGTTTCTGGAAAAACATCCCGACTCGTTTCCCACTTATGGAACGAAATCACACTCTCCCTTCCAGACCCAAAGTTGACCCTTCTGCTTTCCGAAAAGTCGGAATCGTCGCCCGAGGAAAAGGTCTGCTGCTATGCCACCCCATTTCAATTACTTTGTATCAACATGCCACCCAAACTTGCAAGAAGCATAAGGGAAAACGGATGTCAATCGATAAATAAACATTCCCGTACTCAAAGAATTCGAGCTGCTGAATCCAAACTGCTCCACATTTCCGGCCAGTTTGCCCAATTGGTCGAAGAGTTTGCCATGACCTTCACCGATAGAGACCTGATCCCAACAGTGTATGCAATATTAGAAAACGGATGCCCAAATTTGAACAGATTAGAGCTTTGTTGCCAACCGATGAAATTTTCTGATATTAATGATAAACTTGTTGCACCCTTAAATACCCAGGATAAGTTGACCTCCATTGGAATAACGGATTTTAGTAAGGGCTCCGACTTCCTCAAGATGACACAACTAATTCTTAATTCTGCCCCAAACTTGAAATATTTCACCTACCTGCAGAAAATATCCAGATTTAAGTCGGAACGGGGCAATTACATGGATGTTATTGGAGTTCGGTTATATGAAATCCAACAAAATCCCAAGTTGCACTGGTTCTCATGGACTCAACCAAATGCTGGATCAAGTTAAAGATCACTTGGAATATTTTGAAATGGAGAGTAATATGTATGAGCTCGAGGATTCTCCGAGTGATGTTGATGCCCGCATCGGTTTCCAATTCCCTCAAATGAAAAACCTTGAAGAATTTAGAAATAATATGTTGGATTGTTTCAGTTGTGGGGATCATTTGCAAGATATTTGTACTGCGCGGATGCCAGCTTTGGAAATTTTACATATAACCAAAAGGGACAACACGGTCGATGATTTATTACGAAATATAATAACGAAGCAGGATTTGTTTAGTGGAGTGAAAAATCTCCGTCTGGAAAATGTGCGGAATCCAGAATCAATTACTGGGTTGAAAACAGCATTCCCAAACTTGGAAACTTTATCAATTTATCAGTTTAATGCGGATGAGTCATCACTCCTTATGGAAGTAGGCCCACATCTACAAGTTTGTGCCCCACTTGGATTAAAATATTTAAATTTGTATCTTTCAAATCGTCATGAAAAGCTGTCCGAGTTTGTCCAAGGTTTTTTAATTTGTGGGGAACTATTGCCAAGTATGACCAAAATTATTGCATATGTATGAGCCTCGAGTATGATGCTTAATTGATTTTTTAAACGACACTATGACTAGGTCTCAAAACTTTGGAAATAGAGTCGTTTTCCGGGGTTTCTGATGACTTGGATCTTGTCGTGGACGGAGAAGCGCAGATGAAACAGTGCCTTTTGGAATTAAAGGGATTGGAGAATGTAATGATTACCGGAATTGAAGTGAGCCTGATTATTTAACATTTGCTCTACATTTTGTAATTCAAGTTTTGAATTTTTGTAGTTTAAAGAAGAAACATGGAAATGGGTGGAATCATTCATTTATGAGAACAAAATTCCTATCGTGTTCGATAAGACATGCTATCCTTCTATGGCTAAAGATCAATTCATACTACACGCAAAGAAATACCGAAATGCCGAAATTATATCAGTCGTGTAAGCCATGTCTGCATAGACATATGTATGTACTTAAGCATGCATAAATATAATATAATATATGTACTATTATACTTTACTATCGATTTATAACGTATATAATATATGTAATATTTAGGATATGATAAGTATTAAAAGCTCTTATTTATATGAATAATATTAGATAGCGTTGTGCAAATTTTTAAATATGATATGTATCAATCATTTGACTTCGTCTTGTAATAGTTTTAGGATTTTTGATGTAATATTTACTATTTAAATAAATATGCAATCCCATTGTTATTCGTTGAATTAATTTTAGTTGTATCCCTGTTTCTTCGTGTAGTTTTGTGGCAGTGAATTAAACTAGATGTTTTTTTTTATTTTAACACTACTTCTATCCTTGTGGAAACCAAATTTATTTAGAAATCAAATACGTAAATCCCGAATAATGCCAAAAATTGTTACCCAGCCGGGAATCGAACCACGGCTCCCTTGAATTCATGTCAAGTGCTCTGACCTCTGAGCTACTAGGGCAATTAGTAACATTATAGGGACTTTTACTGATATTTGTCTGTGGCCTTTTTCTGTGAATTTCTACTTTCTTTTACGGTGGTAACGAACTGTTGCTCAGAGGTCAGAGCACTTGACATGAATTCAAGGGAGCCGTGGTTCGATTCCCGGCTGGGTAACAATTTTTGGCATTATTCGGGATTTACGTATTTGATTTCTAAATAAATTTGGTTTCCACAAGGATAGAAGTAGTGTTAAAATCAAAACAAATTCCTAGTTCGGAATAAAAAAGAACTTTCCATCGTAGGCCAAAAGTGAACTTTCTTTGGTAGGCAACAGTTCGTTACCACCGTAAAAGAAAGTAGAAATTCACAGAAAAAGGCCACAGACAAATATCAGTAAAAGTCCCTATAATGTTACTAATTGCCCTAGTAGCTCAGAGGTCAGAGCACTTGACATGAATTCAAGGGAGCCGTGGTTCGATTCCCGGCTGGGTAACAATTTTTGGCATTATTCGGGATTTACGTATTTGATTTCTAAATAGATATGTGCGTGTTAATGTGACGTTAGCTAAGGATTAAATAAATTTACGGTAAATGCTTTGATGAGTAAAGGAATAATTATTTAACTGGATGCATATATATCCGAATTTAAAGTATAAAGACTAAATAAACCGGTGCAAAAGAATTGTATGAAACCTACATAAATACGAATAAATATATATTTTTCCCCTATGATTTTTAACAAACTTTCATTTTGCTCAGTGAGGGTCACCGTCACACATCCCTCCTCCAAAATTACCTGTCATTGTCTCTAGTGCTTTAAACAAATTTGAGACATTCTTAAAGACAAAACATAGACAAGAAGATAACTCGCTCGTAAGCATCTCTTCCAGTCAACTAATTCTACTTATAAACCAAAACCCTACTCACCTTATCTTTCAAATATTTCCTGACCCATTGTCCATGTCCGGTTTTTATATCCTTTCCAGGATTTTTAAAATGATACGGAACATTCGGCGATGTCGGTGGGATGAGATATCTCGTCCTCACGTACCGCACAAGCTCGGGGTCCATCTGATCCAAATTGGCGAAATTGTCCTCCACATATTTCGTACCTTTGAAAAAAAATAGAAAATGCAAATTTACATTTATCCCTATTCTGACCAGATTTCAAAAGATTCAATTCTCTTACCTTCCAAACACCCATCTGCGAATAATTCCTCCCTGGATTTGTACTCCCTCAAGAAATTGTAGTGTATCAAGTACAAAACGATTAAGAGGACAATGACGATTTTAAACTTCCAAATCATCGCCCACACCGAGACCACAAAGTTTTGAAGGACCCCGACGTTCTCATCATTTCTTCCCTGCTTCATTCTTCACAATATTTCCAAGAAATTTATAGCAGTCTACAAACTTTAAATTGTTCCTGACAATATGTTTTCAAGTTAATAAAAATCAAATTTTAAAACCAGGCTCAAAATTTTTTAGAAGGTAAGTATTTGACCTAAATTATTTGCTACGGAACGTCGTCTCATTTGTCGTGGTGATGATGACTGTGTGATAAGTTTTTAGTGTTTCGCATATATATTATATGCAACAAATATGTATATAAGTAGACCAGATATCCTCTTATCACCCTTGTTATCACCGGTTATCATGCCGATTGGTTGGTAATCCCTCATTGGGTGGATGACGGCGACCGGGTACAATTTCCTATGTTGTGGTCTTATCGGAAAGAGAGAGAGAGTAAATATTTAGATCAATTTCTTTGCGAAAATTTCTGACTAAATAAAATTCGCAATGAGTCAAATTGTACAACCCAGATAAATACATATGTACAAATAGCACAATGAAACCGAATAAAGGCAATAAAATTCACACATGTACGTAAAAATTTAGAATAGAATAACAACATATTCAATTGTCTCATCAAATCATTTACTCAAATTTCTTCTCAATAATTCATAACTTTATTTCAATCGTATTATTGAGCATGATTTGTTCTCAAATTCAATATATGTATTTATTACTCTGCCTTCATATTCGCAACACTTTTTTTATAACAGTCATATTTTGTTTATAATTAAGTACGTGGAATGGAAAGAGAATAAATGTCGGCGATAGAGCAGATTAATCGTATTAGTGGAAAAGATTAAACCAGAAAGATCAAAGTTTTTTGGCGATCATATTTATGCCAGTAATCCTGAACCTTTTGTAAAATAGGCCATTAAACTAAATGGCTAGCTCGATACTCCTCCGCAAATCAGCTTATCTATAAGTCATTACTGCATATTAAGGTTTGTGTACTAATGAAAGTCTTGCTTTTCTCTAGTCGCTTTTTGACCTTTCAAAATATTTTCGACCTTTCAAACTATAATTTTCTTCTTTGAAATTTAATACTCTCCGTGGATCAGAAAACCAAATCAAGAAACCCCTACACGTAAAATGAGAGTAAAAAATTCAGAGGAGTACAAATTCAATTTCTAAAAAAATTCCAGACAAATATCTGCAGCGAATAGTATGTAGGGCTTATGGAGAAAAGGTGTATGAATGACAGAGTACAATACATGGATGAGACGTTGAGCGAGAGTACATGATTGTACTTTGCGATTGTAAACCCAGCGGGAAAATCAAATATTAGCCAGAATTTTAGTCAAACACAAAAATACAAATCTCCGTCTCCAACCAGCATTGTATTGTATGCGTTTCTAAACAGTCATCCAAAAATCACTGTTTTCCGAAAAAAATAATAAGTGAAAAAAATTGGTCAAAATATTTCTCATTGCTCTCTTTATATTTGAGTTGTAACGATTCATTGGAAGTGCAGAATATGGAACAATTACTTGCAGAGGTACTTGCAAATGGTTATTTATTTAATTCAACCCTATTTAAATATTCAATTATTAAATCGTTAGCAGGAAGAAGAGCGAAAACGAGACGACGCAGACGCTGCTGTTGCTGATGGGAGAAAGCAGAGGAAGAAACAATTTAGATGGAAATTGAATCATGACCTTGCCCTAGTTAAGGCTGTTTTGGCGCACACCCCATTCTCCTCAGTAAAACCGGGCGACGCATGGGCTACGATTGCTGGTTCTATAAATAAATTATTTGAATTATCACTGGACAAGCTCGCTGTCCATCGACGGTTTGATTTAGTTTTGGAAGCACACCGTAAGGAAGAAACAAAGAATAGATACAGGTGACAAATATTCAAACACATCAGAATAAAACCACTGGTTAGATATTTATTGACATTTTTTAACCAGGTCCGGAATTGAAGAAGAGGTTTGCGAAATAGTGCGGCTCTTAAACGACCTAATGTCCTTAATTGATGATCAGAAGCTATTGGAAAAAGGTTACACACAAGCAAAACAGAAAAAACTTGACGATAGTAAATTAAAGGCTGAAGAGATACGTGTTGCTGCTTGTACAACGATTAAGAGAAGTGGTAATGCTAATTTAATTTGTATTGGTGTTCTGTATTGTTCAAATGAATTATGCTGGATAGTAGGTGACATTTTTAACCTTGATTACTAGGTTCGAGCCCCGAAAATCCTGGCCCTGTTCCAAAGAAGAGTCCAACTGACTCTACTCTAATCGATTTGTGGAAAGAGAAACAGGAATCAGAACGCCAGCAAGAAATGAAAAGACTTGATGTCGAACAGCAACGTTATGACGCCGAGCGCGCTGAAAAAGTGGTCGACCGAGATCTAGAGAAGAAAAAATTAGACCTTCAACAGCAGCAATTCGAGTTGGAGAGGGACCGTTTTAATCATCAACGGGACAAAGATAAAGAAGAGTTTAAATTGCGAGAAAAAGAATTAATCCTTCGAGAGGAAGAACGCAAGAGTCAGATGGCAACTCAGACAGCCCTATTACAATTGCTCATGAAAAAATGTGAAATATAGCATTTTAAATAGCTTACATGCAATAAACTGATTTATTTCCATTCATTTCTAGAACATGTTTGTGATTAGTTTAGATTTTGATTTCTCAAATATTCCTCGAGTGTCGGAGGCTTAACCCCAAAATACTTCGATGTTTGACATTCATATAAACAATTTTGGCAATTCTTTAAAATGGTAGCTACAAAATAATATTTTGACACTGGTTGCAGAAATATTTTTAAGTTCTTTTTAAAATCAATAAATGTAAACTGTTTATCTATCTCACCAAACTCCCATTCTACACAAACCCGCAATTTGCTCATCGTTAAGTTAAATAACTTTTGCTGGTCTGAAAGTTGGTTTCCAATATGTGGAGTGATTAAGCTTCTGTGGAGTGGATATCCACTGTCGCCATACAAGTACATTTCTTGACCACCCAAATGAACTGCTAATTTGTCAAGTAACCCACTTTCATGTAGCATGTATGAGTCATGCCTTCGCCCTGGGATAGGTCCGTATAAATTTGCAACCATTCCATTTGGAGTCACAACCGATTGATATTTCAGTCCGTGCGACCGTTTATGACCGCTATAAACTTCTTGTTGGGATCGAGTGGGCCGACAAGTTTTGTGTAAGGTTCCTGGCAAATTAAATGCAGATCTTGTAAACATGTTAAATGTAAAATTTCATAATTCTGTTATTTGCCATAATTTACCATCTATAAACCCAATACAAGATGGAATTGGACACCCTTTCCTGACCAAAGCTCCCGAAAACTCTTTAAGATGTTCAAGAGATAACCACCATAACTGGAGAGATGTCAGAAGATGATAAAAATTGCCATAAACATGATTAATCATTGAGTTAAAAATGTAGGACAAATCTTGAGGCGAAAATCCGAAGTACTTTTGTAGATCTGAGAGTCGATTAGGATAAGCAAGGCGTCGTAGCATAACACATAAGCCTGAAATATATGGAAAGGACCCATAAAATTATTATCAATTACAAGTGTAATTATTATGTCAGGAAGGCTCACAAATTAGTCCGCTGAATTCTGTCCTATTAGGCATTTTTAACACATCTGGAACCCGTAACTCTGATTTCAATCGCAAAATGTCCGCTTTTTCAAATCTAAAATCCAACTTGAAACGAGAAACCTCGATTTCATCAAAACAGAAAAATGTAGATTTGTTAAATTTGTTAATCCGCTTTGCTGCAGCAGCCAACAAAAAGGCATCACAATCACCAGTGAGCACACCCAATTTAATTAAACTTGAACTTAAGGTGGACATTTTACTGTCTGTCACTTTTGGACTTGTAAACAATTGTTTATAATTTCAAATCTGCCGGCAGAAATTAATCAGAAGTACAATCCTCCCATAAAATATTCTCGCTCAACCTGTCGAAAGGTACAATCCAGGATTTTGATTGTGATTCTAAACTACAGTGAATTTTTTACAATCATGTACTCTCGCTCAACGTCTCTAATATGAAACAATATGAAACAATATGAAACAATATATGATACAATATAAGGATGAAGCGACGAGAGCTCTTCATAGAGTTCATAGAGTAAGGGGGATAACTTCAGGCCCGTGCCTGAGTGGTGGCGACTGTGTCCTATAGAAACTGATATAGCGAACTTGCACGCCACATATAGGACACAGGCCTTCTTTTCATCCAGCCTCAAATTGTGTCTCAGATTCTGTGGTAGTTATTATTTTCTCTGTCAGAGCGCTCCCCTTCACTCGTTTTGATCGAGTCTCCGATTTAACTATGGTGTTACGAGGCATTGGTACAATAGGACAGTTACAAAACGCTAGTGTACAAGTTGTAAAAATTTAATTTATTTCGTAATAGAACGCGCCTTTGCAGGCCAAATTTAATTAAAATAAGACTTTCATTACTACACAGCCTTTAAGTATTAGATCAATAAGTCTTGTACAAAGTGAACTTAAATATTTGCATGTTTATGTACATATAGCTTGTCCAGGAATAAATGGTTCCGGGTACTGTGTATGCACACAACGCAATCTGTGTATTTTTCTATTTTTGATTTTTAGAAACGTAATTACATGCGCCTCCTGGGGATATAATGCATTTTTGGTTAAACTAGTGAAATTTACTAGCAATCGCGGTAAAAATGAAAACCTCGCGAATCAAGATTTTCACAACCGCAAAATCGTCGCTTCTCGTTATTCGAAAATATCGTGGCAGTACTTCAAAACGGAAACCTGTCACAAAACGACAAATTGTCTTTATATTTCGATGTATGAGGATGACAAAAAGTGAAATTCAAAAAACATTTCAGATCAACTCTCGTCATAGCCACCAAGAAAATCTTGAAATACATTAAAGCACTCATCGGCAATAACTCTTCCACGTCAAATGGTGGCGCTGCTCGGCTACTGCAAATCTCAAAAAGTTTGTTCCGCAACATTAAAGTATATAAACTGGGGATTACAGAAAAAAATAACCGAAGTCTCACAAAAAACATTCAGGACCTAAACAGCAGATTGCAAAAAAGTTGCAAAAAAACGTGTCGATAAATGTCGTGAAAATTTTTCATCAATAATGACGAGACCAACGTCGATCTGGATCCTTCGAAAACTTCGAAAAGTACATTTTTTAACTTAGGACACCTTGTGAGTGTAGATTATCGACAGAAGTTGTACATGAAATCTACATTCCCAGCAAAATTCCAAGATAGGATTACATTGAGACAGATGGGCCTAAAAACAAAAACCCTCCAATTGTCCCCATTCGCAAAAAATCGGCAAGATTTGAGGCTTATGTAAAAGAAGTACTCTAACCTTCGCTCTAAGGAGAAAAAGCTAGAAGAATTCGAATGTTAATGCCAAAAAATTAACCAGTTCATTTCGAAATTCGGTTGAAAATTGGTAATTTGAGGGTTGGTGCGGGAAGTCGGATTGATGGCCAACAATGAAATAAAAAAAATCCATCGAAGCAAAAACTGACATGTCTGATTCCTACCTACAATTTACAGAAGGCTTTATAAAACTCTTCTAACCTGGTCGAAATACACAGGTCATTATGCGCGGAACCATTTATTCCTGGACACACCTTACTTATGTATGCATGCACGTGCGTACGCGTATATACATACAGTCACTCTTATGTATTATCAGAGTTATTTTAAATATTTCATCGTTAAATATTTAAATACTTAAGTGGTATGCAAGTAGACATTACATTAAATACTTAAAACAAGTTCAACTATTTAACTAGACATTAAATACTTAAATAGTTGAACTTGTTTTAAGTATTTAAGTATACTAAATGCTTAAACATTCGAATCTTTTTGACATATTTACAGATTTTTAAATAGGTTCTTAATAAATATTTAGATATAATGCTTGAATAAATTCAAGACTTGAGTACTACTAATTTAAATATATTTATATCACTAAAGTATTTTAATATTAAATGCTATATAATTACTAGAAATTTAATATTTAAAGTTTAAATAATAAATAATACACATCAAAACGCGGTATTTAAATACAATACAAAATTAAATACTTATTAAATACATATTTATTACTATTGACGCATCTTAAGTCGTCACTGTGTATTTTGCCGGCATGTGTATGTGCGTATGCCAAATTGGCCAGGTTTAGCAGGTACATATTCCCAGATAATGCATATCATGAATACCAAAACGAGAAGGTAAGAATTAAATCTGTCCGAGTCCCAGTTTCTCAATTTCTGTGTATTTTACTGATTTACTTGTACAAATCGATTCATTCTTTACCCTGGAATGATTGACACATTAAATTTCAACCTTACACTAAAAAACAAACACGTAATCTGACCTGCATTTACTTAAGTAATAAATTAAGTTAATTCTGTGTACGTAATAAATCTCGAGGGAATCACGCATACGCCATGATTGGAAATTCTCAACAATATTCCCTACTTTTTCTCGCCGTGGTGACCATCTTATTTATTTTCTCTCTAAACAAAAACTACATTGGGAGTGAAAGGTCGCAAATGTGGGTGTTTAATTTGAACGAGAATAAATTGTCTGCTTCATCGAGACACGTTTTTAACGAGTCAGAAAACGAGAAGGAGGTAAAACTTGCAGAATACATGAGGTAAGATTATTAATAATTGTGTAAGTACATATTTATGTATACACTCTAAAAAAAACCGGTACATGCAATGGGGCAAAACCGTTACCATCTAGTGACACACGTTACAGATTAATCGTCCGTCTGGTACAATCGGATGAGGTCATTGTGCAGAATATTTTTAATGCATCTATAAGATTCTGCACGATGACCCCTTCTTATATTGATGATAGAATGCTGAAATTTTGTACATAGATTGCTAAAGGCTTGTAATTAAAGTTTCTGAGGTGAAATTTGAAAAAATTGGAACCAGAGGAGCGAACCGTACCGATTTTCATAGATTGTTTTCAACAACTAAAATTCTGCACGGTGAAATTACGGAACTGGTTTCGCGTGAATGAATATGTAGGGTCATTATGATTTTTATATTATCTTATACACAACACATTTCAAATATTGAAATAATTGGTTTCTTCTAGAAAGTTTTTTTTCCCATTTCAAAAGCTAATTTCGAAAAAATGTCAAAACACTATGACACATGTAATGAAATGCTTTTCTCAAAAATATGTGCATATGCAAATTTTGCCCGACTAATTATTAAAATATTTCCATTTTCAGAAATATGCAAGCCTTTAGCTCGCCTAACTTTGAATCTCTTAATTCAATCACCAACAAATCATACTACAACATCCTTCCGCCTAGCGAAGTCTCACCATCTCCATCCTCCACCCCTTCGCCCCCTTCTCTAATCCCCCCCGCCATCCTCCTCGGCCTCAAAGGCGGCATAGGAAACCAACTCTTCGAGTACGCGTGTCACTACGCCCTCGCCAGGAAACACGACCTTCCCCTTTACATCAAACTCAACGCCGCTCTTCGCGCCAAACTAAACCTAGTCGTCTCACATGACCCCAACGCAACAACGCCCACACCCATCCGCCCGCTAAGCGTTACTGACCGTTCCGTTGCCCTCTCCGCCTTCAAAATTCCCCTCTTCCCCTGGAACACGATCGACGAAACGTTCACAATTCCTCGCCATAGGAACATCGCAGATTCTGCAATTCTCGCTGGATCTTACTCCACGAATGGAACCGTCCTCTGGGGAAGTGACTATTGCCAATCTGAATTTTATTTTTCTCCATATCGCGACGAAATTCGGGAAATTTTCAAATTTCGCGGGGATGCATTCTTGTCCGACGAGGCCCGCGCGTGGGACGACATTATTTCCCAGGAAGGCACCACCATCGGTATCCACGTCCGTCGGGGCGACTTTATTAGGATTAATGCTACAATTCCCATCTCCTATTATACCGGGGCGCTTAGCGCGTTATTCGAAAAACTTGGGGAACCTGAGAATATATCGTTATTTGTATTTTCCGACGATTTAAATTATGCAAATCAAACTTTTGTACCATATTTGTCAAATTTTAGCGATTTTTCCAACCAAGATATTTACATTGTGTCCGATCCGACGAGATTAACGAGTCTGGAGGAATTTTATCTGTTATCGAAATGTCAGCATTTTATAATTCCGAATAGTTCTTTCTCCTGGTGGGCGGCTTATTTAGGTGGCGGGAAGGAAAAAATCGTTTATGCGGCGCATTTTAGGGAGGATTTTATTAAAACGTTATACCCCGGTGGGGGCGAGAGGCAGACGTACTACGTTTGGCAGTACAGATATATTTACTATCCGAGTGGGTGGAATGCTGTAGAACCTGATTGGGCGGAACCGGAAGTTATTTAATGTTAGCTAGTTATTTTCGTATCGGTAAAAATGTATGTATTTTTATTTTTTACACAAATATTTATGTACAGCTAACCTGCTTTTTAAGGTAAATAAATGTATATACAATTATATTTAGGAAATATATTTGCACTAAACGTATGTAGATATGTATGTATGTACATAGTATATATGCAAGACATACGTAAATTGTCCATAATTCATATTTAAATACTCGATAAGTATTAATGTACATATATAGTTACATGCATATGTAAATGACATGCACAGTAGGATGAAGGGTCTCAGAACTTAAAAGCTGAGGTCACTGCGGTCTTAAAATGGAAATAGGACCTGGTGTCTGTAAAAGTAGCTGTTTTTATTTTATGCGCATATTGTAAGAATTGAGGACGAGGAATAAATACTACATATACTTTAGAATTTGTGGTTAAAATTTCCGTGAATTGATGATTATTATGTAACTTTTTTCCAATCAAATTTGTAAATACATACATATGGATTTATCTACTCCAGGTATGCATAGTCTGTCCAAAGTATGTACATCGCTAGTCACCTAATTTGCATTCATACATATGAAGCTTGAAATTGATGTGAGATTTAATATCTGTAGGAACCTTGGTGAAACTCCGAGACATGAAGTTTTTTTTGAAATATTTCCTACAGAGTTAAAATTCCTATTTTATGACTTGATTCAGCCTTTAAATACATATTTGTCTAAATGGATCGAATATGAACTCACTACTATACATACTTGTTGCAAATATCTATTTTTTGCAATACCCATCCTCATATGTACATATGTATGTATGTGTCAGTCGTATATATTTACATACTTATATATCACTGACAATATCCATGTATAAAGTATATAATATCCAACTTGCATATAATTACTTGCACATATGCATCATTTCAGTGATTACAACATTTACAGGATTTTAACATTTATTTCATATTGTAAAGTTATTGCATGTATTATCGAAATGTCAGATATGTTGAGCAATTAATCTTTTCCATGGAATTACACTAATGACTCATTAGTAATGAGTCTGATCCGCGGATGAAAAATAATACAAGGTGAACCAACATATTGTGCACCTTTTATTGAAAAACTATGCATAATGCGTTACTAAAACTTATCCTGTACCCAATTTCCTTCAAGATCTCTAGTTTTAATAGTTTGTTTGAAAATATTTCAATGCATAGAAAAGAATTGTGGGGCCAGCCACGCTGGTCCGGAATACTAAATTTCTTGGCCAAAACCTATTCTCACCGATTCGACAACAAACTACCCTTCTCAGTACCTTTGACATAAATATATAGATGTTCAATTTGGGAAAATTTCATTGGGATTTTTCAACTGGTTAAGGGGTATGCAGCATACCGTATGCTTAAACGTGCCTTATAACATTGGGTTAAATGGGAAAAGCTTCAAGTTGAAAATCCTGTCTAGTCCTGTGCTATTTCGAGGAACAATAAATGAAATCTTAAACCCATATATAAATATTATCTACAAAAACTGCTACACCCATCACATATATCAAAAGAAATTTGAATTTATGCTAAGGAAAATTGCATAAGCAAAATTTCTGGAATGCTTAAGTCATGGCTATGAATGAAATCTTAGTGTTCCGAATAACACAATTATTTCTAAGTATGGTACACATTAGGGTTGCCGCGGGTAACGGGTCGGGTACCCGTTACCCGCATACCCGCACGATTTTGTAGCTTCTTACTCAAGCAGAACAATGATACAACGGAGCATAATGTAATGTAATGTCACCCAAGTAAATCCCAAGCTCCACAGTAAAGTGGTGAATGGAATAATGTGTAAGTAATGTATGGGTAATGTGGCAGGCATTATATGACTCTGCATATGTAGTCTCCTCACAATAAATATATCACCAAATTGGGTAGGAAACAACGACCTGCAAAAATCCTGTCACATGACCAATCAATTTGCACTAATTTGCAAATAATGTGCCACAAGGTTTCAGCAGTTGTTTAAAAATTTGCAAATGAGCAGCAATGTGCTGTCTAACAGTACCCGTTATCTGCGGGTAGCTAGAACTACCCGCACGGGTACGGGTAGTTCAGTTTTTATTCAATTGCAAATATAAATTGGCTCACAAACGAAGGTAAAAGCTCATAAAGCCTTACATTTATAAAATTATTATTTTATTATTTATCCACATCAAAATATACCATTTTCCAAGCGTTTATGTATATCCAGTTTGTCTTTTCGGAAACCAAAAAGTTTACGGCAGCCTCAAATACTTTTTATCTCCAGAAAATGCGGAGCACCTATTGTTTGTTAAGCATAATTTGCCTGCTCTAAAACATCAGTGCTAATTTGACTTGCATTTGGGTGTATTTAATGTAAGACTGCCGATATTTTAATTTGTGCTGGTGACAAACCTGAAGCAGATTAAAGGCAAAAAAATTGTCGATTTGAAAAATTTTGTTAAATGAAAACTTCATTTAGATCAAAATTTCAAAAAATCAAACTGACAAATAACCAAGTAATATTTTTTCTTCAAGCTAGATACACCAAGATTGTATAGCAAGTCATCAAATCGTCAACCAAAAATTAGCGATTACGTGATACTTATCGTTCCGTTGACTGGTCATTTCAAAGAAAAATATTTATCGGCAAAGTTGAATTTTAAAGAATTTTATTGAATTTATTGTTCTCCATGTTTTTCCTCCACTGGAGTTTTCATTCCACTGGACAGAGCTTAAGTCCAATGTCGTCCACCATGGTGGACTTTGAACTCTGGCCCCCAATAGTTTTCTTAAAAGGGGTCATTCAAAGGAAAGATAGGTAATTCCTAATTGTTGGCTTGATTGTTTGATATAGCTCGCGAGAAAATCCTTGTGTAGCTACATAGAAAAGGTTCCATTATAAGTAGTTTAAGAAGCACCTAATAACATCGATATAGAAAATTATGGCATGGGCTACTTACTTGCATAGCATTATATCACATATGTACGTCTACACCCAAATGATCAAATGTTGATTCAATCATATTTCTTCGGAAGGTTGATTAGTTTTTAGCTTAATTCTCATAACGGGTAGCGGGTAACGGGTACCCGCACGGGTACCCGTGCGGGTACGGGTAGTGGAGCTGCGGGTAGCGGGTCGGGTAACGGGCAGCATTTTTGCTACCCGCGGCAACCCTAGTACACATTGATTTTTCAATTTTGCAGATGACTGGCCCTCTACAAAATTGAAAAATTAGCAAAGCCAGTGTTTTGTTTCTGGAGGGTTTGCTATATTTCTATCACTGAAAAGCAAGCACAGCAAGAAATTTCAAGGTGTAAGAAATCGCAAGAAAGTGTAAGAAATATGTACCATCTAGAGACGCGATCTATGAACTATAGTGGCCGGAAGTAGTTTCTAGTTAAGTAGTAGACTGATAGGATGGAGAAGTTTAAAAATCGATGTCTGCAATTTTAGATCTAGTCCTTGACCAATTAGCCTTCTATAATTTAAGAATATTCTAGCCTTCTATGAGACAGGATAAGGTGCAACAGCCCTTTTGCAAATGCATAAAATACAGATGTTGGGACACCCTGTATTAAATATTTCACATACCAGGGCAAAACTTTACATTATCGTAAGATGATTAATCATCATAATTAATATGTGCATGCATAATTACGCATATCTACATAAATCGAACGTTAAAGCTTATGATTATCCAACGACTTAAATTTCCCCATTTTCGCAATTCAGAGCAATTAAAAGGTAAAAACATTGGTCTTTAGTTTTAATGGCTTCCTAAGAGCACACGTACATAACTACATGCATACGCTTACATACATACTTGAAAATTTAGTAGCAACTGGATAAATATTAAATCATACGTGCTCAACCTGTATGATCTTTTTTAGAAAGGAGATTATGTACGCATTAAGAATGACATACCCCAGATTGGATGGGAAACTATATCTGCAATTATTTTTTATGGCTCAGGCAAAGCTAAATAGAATTTTTTTCCTTAATTTTTACAACATTTCAGTCAGGGTTTCCCGTCTTGCAGTTAACACCTTATCTCATCTCTCCGTAGGGTAACGACTTTATGGAATTGCAACATTACGGATAATTCTTTGTGGTCAAACGTAGTTGTACTAATAAAAATACATAATTTGTAATGAAATGTATCACTTTACGATTCGGGGTCGTTTGGAGAATTGAATTCACTAGACGGTCATAAAAACATTAAATTTATAAATTTATTAAAATATAGAAATTTCTAAGCGTGAAATACGTTAGAAGGTCTCTGGGATGTTGGCGTGCACTTAAAAAATGCCATTAATGCTTTTATCTCTTTTGCGTTGTCTCCAGTATAAATTTCACACAAGATTTGGCAGATTTTGTTTATGTAAGTACCAAAGGTTGCATCGGCACATAGTGTATGGACAAGTAATTAATCGCCATTATCATACAGATTTATCACATTAAAAATTTATGAGTCGCCCATTAAAAAGTAAAACATTAACAAAATCCACTTCTTCGTCGGTTAGGTCACGAAGTTCGAAGCGAAGTGTGTGTAATTTCAGATTGCATGCATATTAATAAACGTATTATCCGAATAGTTTAAGTTTTTTGATAAAAAGTCTGAATCTGTTTTAACAAAAATTTGAAATGGCTGTAACCATCCGGAACGGCTTTAAGCGGTACGGCGACGGTAAATTGGTTCTTAACGATGTCAATCTTAACGTGGGCGTGGGGGAAATGTAAAAAAAAATAATAATTTTATAGTTAAAAGCTCTGAAAATTTGAAATTTCATTTTGCCAAATGTATGTATTTACATAGTTATGGATTACTTGGTGCCAGTGGGTGTGGGTAAGCTAGCAGAATTTATGTAATTTATTGAAAATTTACTCTAAAATTTCCTACATAAACGGGTTTAGCCTACTTTATGTAAGTACCACGTATGAAAACATGTGACCGATTTGGGCGGCGTGTGAGAGTAAAATATTAAAAAATCCGTCACATTTTTTTGTGGGGTCCGAAACCTACCTGAAACCCCGAAAAATTCATACATACATCAACTTTTACTTATTTTCAGGAAAACGACACTGCTTTCCTGTATCGTTGGCTCGCGACAACTTGACTCCGGCCAAGTTCTCGTGTTCGGGCAACCACGTCCAACAAATCTTGGCACGCTGTGCGGATATATGCCCCAGGTAAACTATGCCGAATTATTTACATTTTAAGCAATTACCCGTATTTGGTGAATTAAAATATTTATTAAATATTAGGACACCGCTCTTCTAGAGGTTCTCAATGTGTCAGAAACGTTAAAGTATTTTGGTCTACTTTACGGAATGAGTGAAATCGAAATTCAAAATAGGATTGATTTCCTGATCAAATTTCTTGAAATGCAAAAAGTCAATAGACCAATTAGCGAGTTAAGGTGAGCAATTATCTTATCGTTAATTCCATAAGGCAAAAATATTTAAAAATTCACACGCATTTTTTTGCTAAAATTTAACAGCGGTGGGCAAAGGAGACGGGTGTCCTTGGCTGCCGCTATGATTCACAATCCACGTTTGCTCATACTTGACGGTAATAATTTGAGCCAACTTATAAATAATTGAGATTAAGATGTAACTTACTGATGACCCCCTTGTAGAGCCTACCGTAGGCCTGGATCCTTTATTACGCCACAGGTAAATATGTAAATCATGGAATTATGGCACATATATATGTACACATTTACAAGACTGATCTATTTATTTCAGAATATGGGAATATTTGATAGACATTGCAAAAAATTTTGGAACTTCTATCGCGATTTCAACTCATTACGTGGAGGAGACTAAGCTTTGTCATAAGGTAGCACTGAACACATACATACATACATAAATATGTATTTACATAATCAACATTGAAGTACAATTAATTTTCTATTCGGCACAAATAAAGCTTGGAAATTCTGAATTCTTAGAAATACATTTGCAAATATTCCAAAACTTTAGTCACTTTTTGGCGTTTTAAATTTGCAAAACCGATATGCATCTATGTATGCACATACATACACAAGAGGAAAGAGGAATGCATATTTCAAAATTCGATTACGGTCTCAAAATTTTGCTTAATTTCTTGTGCTTACGATGTTTGCATGTATGTATTTCACTAAATTAGCATATTTGTAACGTGTAACTCTTTCAAATCTGAGGATAAAAAGTAAATTCGCACAAATCAGTGGTAGATAAAAGCTATTCGCACTCATACATATAGCAGAGAAATATTTTTTGTCAATCCTAGATCGGCCTTATGCGTGGTGGGCGGCTGTTGGCAGAAGACCACCCAAAGGCCCTCCTAGCGACCCACAATTGCGACAAGATGACTGATCTGGTACTGTATTTGTCTCAAAATGACCAACTCCAAAGTGACATCAAACGCACCTGGCCAAGCTACAAATTACTCAGTGAAGATTACTACAAAGAGACAAATATGGAGACCGTTGTTGTTCCCCAGTCAGGAAATGATGAGCTCTTATCAACGTCTAAAAAAGTGGATCACACGTCCATTATGTGGGCACTAATTTTTAAATGGTTACACCGACACAAACGAGATTTTAGGTATGCACGCACCGCACATCTATGTAAATAAGTACATTATACTCTGAGAAATTCTGTATTAAAATAATACCAAGTGGTATTGATACATGACTCTATCAAAGTGGTATCGATAAGTAATACCGTATAGTAATAACTTGGTATTAAAGTTTGACCGTAGCAAATTTGTACCCACGGGTATAATTTTAATACCAAGCGGTACCAATTTTATACCTGAGATTAATCCTTACGTGAATAGACTACCAGATTTCTAAAAGTGTATAAGCACCATGAGTTTTGGTCAATTAGTTATAAATTTCTGATCCAAGCTTTCTCACATTAATGTTTTCAAAATTTGTCCTAAATTTCCAGACTGCACATTTGGGAACTTTGCCTTCCCATCATGTGCGTCTACGTATTTCAAAATATCATGGGTCCAGAACCTGGCCGTGTGAAATTCAGCCTGATTCACAACATACCAGATTTCAACCTTACCAATCATTCCGAAATGCAAGAATATTGCAAAAAAATTAGCAACACGCCACCCAACAAATGTTTTTCGAACATTGCGATATGCAATTTTATCAATACATTTGAGACAGGCCAATTTATTTGGGTTAGTAGAAATACACATATGCTGTTATCCTTCGATAAGGTTAACTTGATAAGCTTAACTTTATTTTTAGATCCCTACGTATTCGTACCAGGAAGGACTCGATCACATTATTGAAGGCAGGGCGATGGGACTCATTGAATTTCCGCATGATTATGAAAATCACTTAAAGAACAGAATGATGCACAGAAATTTTGCAGACAATGAGACCGTTCTCGGGTCCACGTTATCAATGCGAATGGACGAATCAAGTATTTATTTAGTTATATGTGCAAACTCCAGATTTAGATTGCAGTGAATTTTTTTTGTAGACATGATCTTAGCGTTTTGGGCGAAGAAAACCATCGTTGAGAAATATCTTGTTTACATGTCACGTGCTATAGAAGCGTGTCCAATAGCGACCGACTTTCTCCGGCCACCCATTAAGGTTAGTCTGTACTTTAAATAATGTGGTCATAAAATGTTTCTGGTTTTAGGGATATTTACATGATTCCAAATTTTGGGCATGCATAATTATGCAAAATACATATACATGACTCATGCACAAATTTAATATTTGATCTTATTACAAACTTTTGCCATTTATGGTTTTAAGGTAAAATTTTAATTACCCCCAAATTTTGTATTTTCCGAATCTTAATGAATATATGGACAATTAACAATGTTGTTATGGATTATGTACATAGATGGGAACCATCTACGGATCCGCTGAAGTTTTTGACTACATCGTCTTCATGCAGACGGGTCTAGTCATTCTGTAAGTTTTACATACATACATAAGTACTTAAAATTGTAACCTTTCTCGAAAACCCAAAATTTCTCGGACTAATTCAGTTTAAGCAAGGACATAACTGTTTCTGAAATTCCGTTACATTAAATCATCAAAAATGTTAAAGTTTCACAAATTTCCGATATCACTTTTTGATTTCTATAATTTGAGTAAATTTGTGTAAAATATATTCCCATAAGACTTACCTACAAGGCATAAATCTTAAAAAATGAAACAATTTTCACAATTTTCAGACAATTTCCGAATATATTTATTACATTCCAGGTTGATGTTTGTCATGTCAATGGCAGTCTCCGTGTTGTGCGTGGAGGATCGTCTCCTCGGTTTGGAAGAGCGCGATCGTGTCGCCGGAGTGACCGTGTCACATCGTCTCGTCGTCTCCCTTGTCACTCAAAGCTTCATGATTTTTATACAAATCGGAATATTCTTAGGGTTACTTTGCGGCCTGTATGATATGCAAATTAGGGGGTCATGGGTACTTGCGGTCTCCCTCATTTTCATGACCTCTGTTTGTGGACAATTTGTAGGCAAGTCAGAAAATAGAAATTAAATTAAAGATATCTTATTTCCAGTTTTAACTCGTTTTTACAAATATTTTGCGAAATAAGTACCTATATGCACATGAAAATTTTAAGCTAAATTTGCGAAAAATTTCTTGGTTGTCAAACAAAAAGGTTTTTTAAAACTCGGGAATTTTGTAAATTGTGGCATGTTAAATTCCAATTTTGGTAGAAATGCGTAGGTTGCCGTGAGTATACCCATTACTTTCTCGCCGTTTTTGTGCATGTTTCTCTTGTCCGTGGGAAAAATTTAGCCTCATTTTTTTGGCAACGCAATACTTTTCCAAGTGAATAATTGTGTAAAACTTTTTTTGACCGCTTTTCAGGTTTCATGGTGTCAACATTGTTCAACGAAATACTCGAGTGCATGTTTATCATGATTCTGGTAACGTGCGACGAGCTATTTTCCACAGGTTAGTACATACTGACTTATATCGCTAAAAAATGACACGTGTTTTAAACTAAATTTTCTATTTCAGGAACCTTGTGGCCCTTGGATATGGCGCCTTGGATTAGTCGCCAAATATTTCAGTTTTATCCCGTGACCAGTTTGGTGGCGGCGATGAGATCAATTTGCACGAGGGCGTGGGGAATTACGCATCCCACCGTTTTTATGGGCTTCGTATCCGCAGTTGGATGGATTTTGATATGCGTGGTGGTCACGATACTGGCGGATAAGAGAAAGTATAAGTAGCCCGTCGGGAAATAATTCTTACGTCAAAATGTACATATCAAAAGTTCTCACTTTTCAGTATTCGATTAATATTAAGGTTTGAAAGGTGTTGGCTAAAATGTGTAAAGCAACATATTTTTTTGCCAATTTTTTGCGAATTAAATAAAAATACTAGCCGAGGTTGCGATAAACAAGTCGTGAATAATTTTTTCCGTCAATTTCTACGAAAATTTATTATGTAACTGCGAAATTCGCAGTGCGAATTGAAAACTCGTCTCGCAAATCAATAAACATTTTTGATATGCGATGTTAATTACTGACATACGTTATCTTTATTTTAGCAAATTTCTTGCGAATATATTTATACCCATAATATTTGTACGATATTGCTTCACATAATTATTTTCTGCAAAAACTAATTCTGCATATTATACTTTTAATTATGAAACGACAGATAATGGTAGCCCAACTTTCCGTGCTCCCTTCTTGTCTGAGTCATCGGTGGGTGTGCCCTTGACTGTATCACCAGACCCGTCTTTATCCGTAATGCATGTTTGGTCACTTCCCAGCCCCCTATAAATAAATTAAATTAAAGTTTTTTAATATCATTTTGATTTTAGAGGAGTTAATTTCTTTGATTAATTTCTCTTAATTAATTAATTTACATACATAGCATCTTGGTGCCAATTAGCAGCGCAGTCGGCGTGTAAAGTAACGATTGAATTTGGAACCGGAAGTGGATTCTGTGAATTAAAACATTGAAATCTGATAGTTGGAAATTTTCTATAAATATGCTTTAAAAGTGATATTAACTTACGGCTTGGACCACGTGGTCATTTAATACACAAGAAAATATGGCGATGTAACAGAGTCCAATAATGATGAGTTTCATGGTTCCGATTTTCTTATACTTTTAGCTGAACGACTTTAAGTTGCGAATTAGCAAAGATTTGAAATGTAAATGACGATAAATCCTGTAGGACGGGTTATTAAGTATTTTTTAGCTGGCCTTACATGCACAGCCGGATGATAAATAAATAAATACTGTGATTAAGGAAACGAAATTATGCCATTTGAATGAATGAATGAAGTCAATAATATCCTGTTATTTTATGGTATCGTCACATCCGAAAATTTGCGAAAGGTTGCAAAAATTAAATGTACACAAATTTCGACACAATGGCGATCAAGCTCAGGACAGGATACTTCACATTTTTAAGAAACAAATGGTCATAAACTATGTACATACGATACATTATTAGGTGTACATAGTCACATGCATATACTTCTTACATACATTTCTGCATACATGCATAAGTTCTGTCGCATATAAACTTATTTAACAAATACGAATTTCTTAAATAAATCGTCAATTTACCTTAAAAGACCCATTGTTTTCTAGTAAAAGGTTTTGCAAAACTTATGCTATTTTGATATGATCAATTTGCAAGGTAGGAAAAAGTAATTGTGAGTATGGCCACTGTGCATGTAAATGTCTAAAATATCTTTACTACAAAGGTCATAAGTGCATTAACGATGTCACCGCATAAAGTAAATAATGGCCAACAATGTCCCAATACTTTCTCATATTTTAAACTTAATCTAGGTATGTAAGCCTGAGCTAAGCTTATCCAGGAATGGACTAATAACATTCTTCATGCATAGCCTTCACATGTGAATTATTTAGTTGGTGAGGTCATTGGTTACTTTGTAAATTTCATAAAATAATTTTACAAACTTTTACCAAATAAAAAGACGCTCTTTATCTGTGCAAGTTTACAAAAACTTAAACAGATAAGTTGATTTTCTTTGGAAATATTTGTAAAATTTTGTAAGTTTATCGCTTTACAAAGTTACCTGCGTGAATTTCTTCAATATTTTTACAAATTACTTCACTAGGGTGAGAATAGTCTCAAAACTTTAACAAAATCCTCCATGCAAGTCTAAATGTTTTTTATTATTAATTTTTACAGAATAGGAGATTTTTAAAATGTCATTTAATCCCGAATTGTAGTTAAAACTCTTCCAATTTTTGAGACTTATCTGAAGACTCCCTTGTTGGCTTCATGCTTAAAGCCAGTACGGCTTATCACACACGCACCCGGCTGGCGAGGATCCACAATTGTTGGTATTTCCGTTAGACGCACCCCTCGCCATGCACACATTGTACAACGAGCACCGCCACGTGCACGCCCAATCGAACCGCTGGGGAGCTGCCTCCACCGCAACCATCCCGACGAGAAGGACGACCAGGACGACGAGAGCGTTGATGTTCTTCATCTACGAGTATACAAATTAAAAGTTGGGTAGCTTATTTATTTTCAGAAATTTATAAAAAAACTTATGACTTACATTTCTTCAAGATTGTAATGATTTCTTGTATGTAGACAAGTTTATTAAGCGGAAAGGAACTGATTGATACTGAACTGGGGAGAATTCGTCTGATTTTATATCCGAAAAAACTCATGTGACCAGATAAAAATTCACCTGGACATATAATGTCGGCTATTATAAAAAATATTAATATTTAGTAGCAGATGGTTTCAAAAAGAGAGTTATGAAAAAAAGGAAAAGTCGATTATGAGTCATAGTCGAGATGTTAAGAGGGATATGCGTATGTGTAAGTCACATGCATACTTAAATTCTCGGAATTATGACAAGTTTCGACGCAAATTTCAAAGAATATTACTACTTAAATTAAATACTTACATTATTGTGACAGATCATTTACTATCAAAAAAATCAACAATACAGATAATACGAGCCATGACTTTAGAATGACAGCATAAATTAAGTTAATACATAATAATGGATACGTAATAAAGTTATGTGTTCAATTTCATAATTGTACATATTGAGTCTATTTAAAGTAAAGTATTTGTAACACCTGTCAAATTACACTGAAAATTTTAATATGTACTCAAGTTCAAGTTCCTCCCAAGTCCGTATTGTAATTTTCTAACAAATTGTGCCAGTCATGTGATAATAAGCTAAATTTTATGTGTATTTATGTCTAAAAGAGGTATATTTGCATACATATGTATGTCCAAATGAACGAAAACTTTAGTTATTATTATGTGACAACAAGTCGGAAAAACATTTATATTAAAATTTGCAAAACTGATTTTGTACACAAAAGTACTTAAGTATAAAGGGTTCATGAAAACTTATGAAATACATTTAATGGCAATTCTATCCTATTAAGTAAATCAGTACCAGAATATCGTCCTAAAAATGCACCCCGTGACAGTGCGACATTTTTGATGTCTCTTAAATCAATCCTTCTCATTAGTCCAATCCCAATCTGCATGGAAAAGTTAATGTCTTGTAGTTGACATGTACATAATTATCTCAATGTCAATTAAAGACATACATATTTACGTACTTAATTTGACCATACGAGTTAAATCCTTAAAAATAAATGTAATACTCTTCACAACTAAAATTAACGCCTATTTACCTACATGCAAATCACAACTTCTCACATCTAAATCATCCAGATATCTACATATATAATTATAAAACAAAACAAACTCCTGTCGTTAAAATTCTAATCCCAAAATCTGAAAATGTATTTAAGGATAACATTAATTATTTAAATAAACACGATACTAATAAATGATAGACAATGCCACGTTGTGTAAGCATAGATACAACGTTACCAAAACCTTAATTGTAAACTATAAGTACGTACGTATGCACCACTGAATTTGTATTTATATAAGCATTTATCTATTTAAGTATTTGCTCTTATCTGCTTCCTCTCCACGTGTACGTAAAAAAATCTCAACATGATTTTATCTGTATGATGATGTCGTCTCAATATTATTGCAAATTTACCCAGTGTTTCTTGTTATATGTATTTGTGTATTTATATAAATACAATTATTAATAGTAGACACATATTTACTAAATAGAACCTAAATTAGTGGATCTGTCATATTTAACATATACGTATGTATATGTACGCATCCGCATATTTTTTACACAACACACTCACTTACTTGACACTGATACACGTGCATTTTACACAAAGATGGAGTCCGATCTATAATGTATAAATATGTAACCATACATCACCAATTTCTTAACTAATTATTTATTTAAGTTGGCCAAGCCAAGTACTTTTAAGTTATACTTAAATAAATCTATACATACATATGTACGTGTCTCAGATAACTGACCACTAACCTCCTTCAAATGCTTCACGGTAAAAATTCCATCGACATCATGTCCGGAATTAAGTGAGGGATCTTACGTAAAGGCACTAGTTATTATTGATATTTGGAGCATTTTTCCCACTGCGTTGCCCCATAATATAATCAACACACATACTTCGAAGGATAAGATACTTAAGCCTATAACCTCTCCCAAATCGATCGCATCCTTTATGCAGGGTCTCCATACATACATAAAATTTTTCTCCATTATATTAATCTATCTAGTCAAGCTGATTTTTTCACACAAGTTGCCACTGGATCCACCCAAATTCTCCGTCTTTATCTCAACATTTCGCGAAAAATATTTTACATAACGCGGTGCAGTGAGCTTTTTACTCATCCTAAGTTTTACCAAATGGAATGAAATTAACTGAAATGTATCCATACATTGGCACTGACTGTGAGATTGACATTGAATAAATGGCCATGCTCTCAAATTTGTATCAACTTTTTTATTTATCTCTCCAAATGAGTTAATTTTTGCCTGACTACGCAAAGTTTCTCCAGATTAGCACACACGATTCACTGTTTTAAGAAAATTGTGCAAATCTTGATGCAATGAGATTAATTGAAATATCTACGTCAAACATGTTGACATTTAAGTACGTAAGAGTTGGCATTGAATAACTGGCTAGATATGATCTGACTTGTCTACATACTTATGTATGTATGTGTCAAGCCTTTTATCTTATATATGTCCATACAGATTAGACTAAAATTCAAGCATTTTTAAGCAAATTATGCAAATACCTATATATTCAGACTATGCATATGCATTTATAGTGAATCTAATTAATTTGCAAAGTTTGTAACTAATTTGCATATCTATCCTCCATACATGCATATTCGCTTAGCGATAAGTATTTATCATGGGATATGATTGCCATGCAATAATAACAATTAATGACATTTATTTATACTGGAAAATCCGCAGCTTATTTTATTACGGTTTTAATTAATTTATAACTTTTACAAATACTGGCTTTTAGTTTTTACACAGTTGAAAAAATTACTTATAATTTCCTCACATGGTTAACTTAACGACGACTTCCTATTAAACAAATTAAGAACTTTAACGGTACCAAATTATTGGTAAACAACAACTCCACGAATTTTATTACCTGGCCAGCTTCTTGTAGAAATCATCTCTCTGGAGGATCTTGGGGACCAGGTAGTCATCGCATGCCTCCTCCATTGAGAGAACCTCACCCCCCAGGAAGGCAGGTAGGATGGATGCCGGTACGTGTTCGTGCAACCCTTCCACGTTCGAACAGTGAAAGTGGAACTGCAAAATTTGGCAAAAAATGGTACAAATTTCGTTCAGCCTGCATTATATACATCATTAAAACCATACGGTTTCCTAAAATTTAGTCTGGTTAAATTAGAAGAGTTAATTTTTTTTCGTTAAATCGTTAAATTAATTAAATTTAACCTATAATTAAATATTAACACTTAAACTGAATTGTAATTATTTCTTGATAGTCTTAGGATTCTTCGTAAAATAAGTTACAACGGTTACAAGGTTTTTTTTATCATTACCAACCGTGTTACTAAGCTTACTATTATTAAGAAACTTGACCCCCTTGTTCGTAAACTATTTTACGACATTAAGAATACGAAGGAATAATTAATAACCTCAGTATAACCAAAAATTTTAAAGGTATTTTAAAGGGACTAACCCGATCTTGTAATTTTTTATCCATCTGCGTCCTAATAAGTCGAAGAATACCATTTATCAAATACCCCTCATTCACGATGTGCATCGCCTTCGGTCGGCTGGGGATACTTCGCTACAAATAGGTATAAGCAGAACTGCTTTCAGCTCTCCAGATAATAAGTCAAGTATACTCATGAAAATTATTGGGCGTACTCACGACAAATATTTCATGCATGTTTAAATATCTCGCATATTTTGTAAATGGAGCATACGTATGTATGTATGAAATGACTTGCCAGGTTCGACCAAAATTTGCGAAATTTCCCAAAATTTTTGCTGGAGTACCAAGGATTAAAAAAAATTTTTATCCAGCAACTAGGCATGATTTTTTCTTTGCAAAATTATTTCGCAAACTCATCCTCACCATCACCAGCGAAAGAACTTACCGAAATCCATGGAAAATGGTGACAGGACTGTTTTTATGAATTTTGCGAATCCCGCAGCTCACAAATTTTTAAAATGAGTTACATACAATTCTAAATGCAACACTGTTGTGAGTACGCCCGTTATAATGATTTTGATATGCAAAATTATAAATCCAGTCTTAAAAAATTCAAATTCAAATGATATCTCCTTACCGTAAACATTTCCAAACCAAGTAAAATAACTCTAGGAGTGAAATATTTCGCTTGATGGAAACCGAACCCTTTACAGTCCAAGATACACACAAATTCATTCCCCTCCGAGAATACGCTGCGAATGGCTTCATCCATGAAAAACATGACGGTTGCGATGCAGTCCTCAAGCGTTACTTCGGAAGGAACCCACGAACCTGAAATGAAAAAATAATAATCATTAGGAAATAGTTTTTTATAATTTGTTTAATTTTTTTCTGAAGTGGGGGTAACTAATTTCGACCAGTTTTGACCCCTTGGTCATATTGATGTTATGTGGACGGAAGCCCAATTAAATATTTATTACGTAGATTATAAGAATTTTGTTTAGAATTTGTGAATAATTTATCTGCCCGTATTTTAAATTGACCTCCGGGCCAAATTTGACACGTCATGTGCATGTCATGTTCAAATTGCTTAATTAATTTTAATTAAAAAGCTCTAACTAAATAAGTTTTGCTTCGCCAGAACCAGGATTTACATATTATCAGGCAGACGGACATTACTATTACGTAAGGCTTGCATCGGGCTCAACTGTTAAAGAAATTATTTGTCACAAAGTTTCTGAATCGTATAATTACTATTTTAAATCGATCAAATACCCATTTAAAATTAAAATACAGTCACGACAAATAATCATGTATGTAACTATTTATACATAAATAACAATTAAAGATACTTACATGCTTGCGTTAGTACGACAACTCTGCCTTTTGGGTCTCTCTCTTTAAGTACATTGACAAATCCTTTGTTCACCATCGTTGTGGTAGATGGGAGGAACTTTTTTGTAAAGTATTTGTACTTGATGGTCCTCATCTTAATAAAATGCTCCAACTTTCCATGCAACAAAAAATTCTTATATAACTTACACATAAATATAGTGGTCAAACTAGTATCCCATGCATAATTTTACAAAAAAAATCACTCACACATTTCACTGTTTCATCCACTTTGAGCTTCTTCCCGTTAAGAAATCCCAGCAATAAGGGGTCGTCCAGTAAATCACTGTATGCGGAAATTATTTCATTTTCTATAAACAAAAATAAATATTTTCTTTATAATCGATAATTCCCGTTATTACTCTGCCCGTAAAAATTATATTTAAGTATGTACTGCGGTCAGTAATAATCTAATACCATTTTGAAAAGCCAATTGAACCAAGAATGAGAAAAAAGTTGCGAGCTGGCCGGAATCGAACCGGCAACCTTTCGTTCTGATCACTACCGGGTTACCACTTTCCCCACAAAGCCCTGTGAATGGCTGACGCTTAATTCTCACACTTGGCTGATGCGTATTTTTTAAGACGGGAGGGATATTTCATCCTCTTCACCCATGAATGTAAATACTATAGGGATTGGCCAACTTATATCTTGGCCAGTAGATTCACGAGAGACAGACTGTGCGTCTGAATCCATCTAGCGTTCTAAAGGAGATTTTATTTTATTTCGACATAGGGGGTACCCGCAAAATACGTAACTCTGAAATGGTGAAAAATTTAACAATACTTGTATCGGTTTGATTTATTTTATAAATTGATTAATTGCGTTGTAATGTTTTTAAACTAATTTATAATAACATTATGAACATGTATGCATATTTGTGTCACGTTGTGGCTGGATGAGTCATCATCCAGCACCACGACGGGGCTGTCATAAACTTTTGCAGTTAGGCCTTTGTGTTGCATAACTTGGTGCCTGGACCCCCTATTTTTGATAATAAGCTTTGTTACAAATATATCACTTGTAGTCACCCCCACATAGGCTCCGGGTGACCATTACTGTAAGAATTGAGTACAGTATTGATTTTATGTGTACAAATATTGTGTTTGTCAGTTTTTTTTCAAATTATCGTTACAATTAATCTAAATACTGGCAAATACTACAATTTTGTTCATTTAAATTTAGCATTTGCTGAAATTATATTTTTGACAGAACTCAAATTGTCACATAACATGATCCGTGCCTGGGTGCAAATCGCGTTACGGTTTACCTCCGGGAATATCAATGTTCAGATATTTTAATTCGTTCGATCGTTGTAATAATTATGAATTTATATACGAAAATTTATTTACTAAATTTTTAAATTTCCAAAAGCACCCGATCGACTTCAGTAATGGTTGGATTTTGGAAGAGGTTTGGTGAACGACGAAAACTGGGGGAACAGTGATGCCTCCACGATATGTTCATTGCATTTCGAGGTGGTATCTCGTAGTGTTGGCAACCGAAGTCGTTTATCTCCTAACGCTTTTTCCACCTATTGTGTGCAATCGAGCCCTAACCCGGATTCTCAGAATATGGAACTCTCGGTCCAAACTCGTAAGATTAACGAACATCATTTTTACATGAAACCCTATTGATCTTGGGATTAACCTAAGGATTTTTTAACAGCTCCACACATTCGAGAACGCGGATTTGTTTCTGACCACCTTATGGTTTGCTGCCCCAACTGTTATCATAAATTTGACAGTTACCACAACGAAATAAAGAACCACTTGGCTAGCCCATCAACAACCCAAGCTTTTCAATCCAACGTGACCTACAGTACATAAATTTTAACACCCTGAAAGGCTAACAATGACACTCTGACGTCCCCACCAAGCACACCAAAACGACAAGTAAAACCAACGGTTGCCAGAGAATTATTTAGCTCCGCCGTCCCACGGCCAGCTAAGGTTTACTCGAACCCAGAGTCCCAAGAAACCCTTACTATAAAGCTCGTGCAGTTTTTTAAGGATCAGGGTTTACTTTTATGGTAAACGAAAATTGTAAAATAAACCTCAAATTCGCCAACGTTTAAGTAAACACATTCTATTTAATGGGGACTGATTGTTTTAGATATTCGTGAATTGTATTAACGTTTATTGTTAAAAATGATAGTTCTGTCAAGTATTGAATTTATGTGGCTTTAGGTTGTACAAAACTTGAACTTAACAATACTTATTTCCAACCCCGCAGCACCTTTGAATATTCCTAAATTCTTTATAATAACTAATTACTCGGATAGAGGCACCAAATTCTACATAAAGCACTAAGTAATCGGGCACAAGCACCAAATCCTATAGAAGCACTATGTATTCGTACACCAGACACCAAATCGTGGCATGAGGCAACATCCCGCATAATCCCTCCCCATTCTGTCTCGCTCTCCTACCCATACAATTCCAATCCCTATAGTATTTACATTCATGTCTTCACCCCGTCTTAAAGCATCGAATCGTAAATTTGGAAAGGAGAACCGCTGAAGTATATTGTAAACATTGATTTGAAAATTGCGGTAATGAGTGAATTAAGTGAGGAAGATGAGAAGGAAACTCATTGAATTTTGAAAAGCCAATTGAACCAAGAATGAGAAAAAAGTTGCGAGCTGGCCGGAATTGAACCGGCAACCGGCAGCCAAGTGTGATCAGAACGAAAGGTTGCTGGTTCGATTCCGGCCAGCTCGCAACTTTTTTCTCATTCTTGGTTCAATTGGCTTTTCAAAATTCAATGAGTTTCCTTCTCATCTTCCTCACTTAATTCACTCATTACCGCAATTTTCAAATCAATGTTTACAATATACTTCAGCGGTTCTCCTTTCCAAATTTACGATTCGATGCTTTGAGACGGGGTGAAGAGGATGAAATATCCCTCCCGTCTTAAAAAATACGCATCAGCCAAGTGTGAGAATTAAGCATCAGCCATTCACAGGGCTTTGTGGGGAAAGTGGTAACCCGGTAGTGATCAGAACGAAAGGTTGCCGGTTCGATTCCGGCCAGCTCGCAACTTTTTTCTCATTCTTGGTTCAATTGGCTTTTCAAAATTCAATGAGTTTCCTTCTCATCTTCCTCACTTAATTCACTCATTACCGCAATTTTCAAATCAATAATCTAATACCAGTTTTCTAAGACTACTAGTCTCTTAAGCCCGCAATGCGGGCTCTAATCACAACGATTTTATTATTTTATTACGAAAAACGTTCAGTCACGACGCTATGGGTGTGACCACGAAAAACGTTCTTCACGACTCTAAAGGGGGTGACCACGGAAAACGTTAGGTCACGACTCTATGGGTGTGACCACGAAATTCGGTCAGTCAAGACCCTATGGGTGTGACCACGAAAACCGTTCAGTCACGACTCTAAAGGGGGTGCCCACGAAAAACGTTCTTCACGACTTTAAAGGGGGTGGCCACGAAAAACGTTCAGTCACGACTCTAAAGTGGGTGCCCACGAAAAACGGTCTTCACGACTCTAAAGTGGGTGCCCACGAAAAAAGGTCTTCACGACTCTAAAGGGGGTGGCCACGAAAACGTTCAGTCACGACTCTAAAGGGTGTGGCCACGAAAAACCTTCAGTCACGACTCTAAATGGGGGTGGCCACGAAAACCGTTCAGTCAGGACTCTAAATGGGGGTGCCGACGAAAAACGTTCTTCACGACTCTAAAGGGGGTGGCCACGAAAAACGTTCAGTCACGACTCTAAATGGGGGTGGCCACGAAAACCGTTCAGTCACGACTCTAAATGAAGGTGCCCACGAAAAACGTTCTTCACGACTCTAAAGGGGGTGCCGACGAAAAACGTTCTTCACGACTCCAAAGGGGGTGGCCACGAAAAACGTTCTTCACGACTTTAAAGGGGGTGGCCACGAAAAACGTTCAGTCATGACTCTAAAGGGGGTGGCCACGAAAACCGTTCAGTCACGACTCTAAAGTGGGTGCCCACGAAAAAAGGTCTTCACGACTCTAAAGGGGGTGGCCACGAAAACGTTCAGTCACGACTCTAAAGGGTGTGGCCACGAAAAACGTTCAGTCACGACTCTAAATGGGGATGGCCACGAAAACCGTTCAGTCAGGACTCTAAATGGGGGTGCCCACAAAAAACGTTCTTCATGACTCTAAAGGGGGTGCCCACGAAAAACGTTCTTCACGACTCTAAAGGGGGTGCCCACGAAAAAAGGTCTTCACGACTCTAAAGGGGGTGGCCACGAAAAACGTTTAGTCACGACTCTATGGGTTTACCACGAAAAACGTCCGGTCACGACTCTATGGGTTTACCACGAAAAACGTTAGGTCACGACTCTAAAGGGGGTGGCCGCGAAAACCGTTCAGTCACGACTCTAAAGTGGGTTCCCACGAAAAACGTTCTTCACGACTTTAAAGGGGGTGGCCACGAAAAACGTTCTTCACGACTCTAAAGTGGGTTCCCACGAAAAACGTTCTTCACGACTCTAAAGGGGGTGGCCACGAAAACGTTCAGTCACGACTCTAAAGGGGTGGCCACGAAAAACGTTCAGTCACGACTCTAAAGGGGGTGGCCACGAAAAACGTTCTTCAGGACTCTAGGGGTTAATCACGGAAAACGTTCGGTCACAACTCTGAAGTATGGCATTGTTCTAACATTTTAAGAACGTTTAGGCACTTAAAGCAAAAGCCCGCCCTCTAGCGCTGAAAAACAGCCAACATCCGATAGGTGGCGCTTGTAGGTAATTAAAATTAGTAAGGCACAGGTCAAGTGTCAACTATACCGTGGGGCACAGAGGTCACAGGTCAAGTATAGTGGATGTGCCCAGGTCACAGGTTAAATGTCAAATCTAGTGGGTGTGCCAAGGTCACAGGTCAAATGTCAAGTGTAGTGGGTGTGCCCAAGTCATAGGTCAAGTGTAGCGGGTGTGCCCAGGTCACAGGTCAAATATCAAGTCTAGTGGGTGTGCCCAGGTCACAGGGCAAATGTGAAGTCTAGTTGGTGTGCCCAGGTCACAGTCAAATGTCAAATCTAGTGGGTGTGCCCAGGTCACTGGTCAAATGTCAAGTTTAGTGGGTGTGCCAACGTCACAGGTAAAGTGTCAACTTTAGGGGGTGTACGCATGTCACAGGTCAAATGTCAACTATGGGGGTGTGCCCGTTCATTTGATCGAGTCTCGGGAGATCTAAAGGGTGTGTTTCGTTGTTATCGTGTTCGTCAACGTTTTGACACTTTAGCGAAAAACGCCCTCTAGAAACGAAAAATGTAACATAGTGCCCCAACTGCCGCTAGGTGACATTAGCTTGGACAATGTGAGACACGTGGGTTATCAAGCGCCAAGTTCAACTGGTAACACACACCACTGCACAATTCTTGGTTCTGATAGTTATTTATTTTATCACCTTTTATTCTCTCTTTAAGTTCGTCCAGCAACAGGTCAGTCTTACTTATCGTCTCCATGACAACGTGGAGATCGACTTTGGTCGAGTATTAAAAACTAAAATTAATTCTGTTCGTTTCAGCTCAAGTGATAAATTGCGACTGCATTGGAATTTGCTGACCATTCGATCCTACACCTACCTAAATCTGTAGGTATTATATAATCAATATACATAACAGAAATGCATTGTTTTTCTCATTTCAGGTCAGATCTCACTCTTTATCTGCAAAAGCACGTCGCACAAATACATCCACGCATCATGTCCTAAATTATGTGAAAACTATGTAAGTTTAGTGTATTTGTCGTATTTATAATTATGCCAATGTACGCATATTTGTATGCCTACATTCTACCGCTATGCATTCGCACATATGTAAGTAAATACCTACATACATACGTGCGTATGTATATAAGCTCGACGTATGTATGTACACAATTTGTAACGCGAGAAACTTGCCGTGGTTTAAAACCCTTCCATTTTTCGCCGGTTAATTCTAAAGCTACCAATTTATTTAGAAATACAATTTAGTTCGCTCCCTCTTAAACTCGTCATATTAAAAAGTCCCATGTATCACCTTCAGTCACCTTGACCTCCAACTCTGCCCACATCGATCACAGGTTGTGTGCATAGTCCTTAGAGTCTTCTTACAAGTCCACTTGATTGTAACTGACCTTTCCACAAAAAACGCATGGCCACTCGATCAATTCATCTTATATCTGCCTTTATCTAAACACATTTGTATGTATGTAACTATGAGCAGACACATATATACAGAAATACATACATACATAATTTGCATAAAGTTGTGGTGCTCGTGTACATAAATTTTCCAGAGATTAATTGAAGTATACAGAAGTATTTATCATACACAGTGCTGGAAGTGATACGCACAAATATGAGAAGTTGATATTAAATATGTAAATGACCATGCCCTCAAATTCATATGTACATGTCTGCTCTTGATGTACATATTCGCTACAAGTGGAGCCTGCCTTTAATATGTGTACATACACATTTACATACACTAACGTACATATGTACATATGTATGTATGTAAATATGTAACGATGTCCAGTTTGAATGGTACTGTTTAATACAAAATTCACAGTTTTGCACAATTTGTGCAAGTTGGAGAGTACATTCGTATCTCGTACTTGTATAATTTAACGCAGATTTGCAGACTTATCTTGCCTATCAAAGTCGCTCAAAACGCAATTAAGTAAATATTGATTTATTCTCAAAAATAAAATTTGATGAGATACGTATTTTACTTGATAAACCCCACAGCGTATTTTTATTCCGATTTTAATTAGTATGTAAGCAATACATTTACATCTTTACATATCCGGTCTTAAATCGATAAAAAATTAATATACATATATAGTTTCCATATCTAACCGTTTCCTTCCTTAACTTAATGACACCTTCCTATCAAATCAAGAAAAATGACGTTTAATGTCAAACTAAAATTTCAATTGCTTGAAATTTTTCAGAAATAAAAAGGTACCCAAATACCTAAGTATGCTTACCTGGCCAGTTTCTTGTAGAAATCATCTCTCTGTAAGATCCTGGGAATGATGACCTCATCACACGCTTCCTCCAGTGAGAGGACCTCACCCCCGAGGGAGGCAGGAAGCAGGGATGCCGGCACGTGTTCATGCAACCCTTCATAGTCCGAAGAATGGAAGTGAAACTGCGCAAAATTTCCAAACATCAAAAATATTTGTATTAATATTTGGCCACGTAGAATCTATTGATTTTTAGAAACGTAAAAATAATTTCTTAAATCTTCCATAACACAAATCTGTCCTTATTCCTTCATATCATTAGTATCGTAAAATAGTTTACGAAGAAAAAACAAGGGGGCAGGTTTCGTAAAAATCGTAAGCGTAGTAACGTGACTTTCGATGAGAAAATCTTACAAAATCTCGTAACCGTTATAACTTTAGTATTTTACGATACGAAGAATACTAAGGATACGAAGGTATCATGAATACTCTCAAAGTGAATATTTTCTCTTAACTGAATATTTAAACAAACTAACCCGATCTTGCAATTTCTTATCGAGTTGTGTCCTCAGCAGTCGAAGCAGACCATTTATCACGTACCCTTCATTCACGATGTGAAACGCCTTCGGTCTGCTGGGGCAACTTCGCTACAATTTGATAAAAACAACAATAATGTAATAATACCGTACATTGTTAGAAATCTGATACATAAGGTATTTATTTCTCGGTATTAAAGTTGCTACCGTCTGGTATTGAAATGATACCGGACCGTAAAATTTGCTACTAATGTGGTAAAACTTTATATGTTTTATACAGTATTACTTATCAATGCCACATTGGTAAGTGAGTCATATTCCTTGGTACTATTGAATACTGAATTTCTAAGAGTGTACTATGAAAGTCCTGTAGTGTCAAAATTGTAATGGATCCACTCATGAAATTCGTTATGTGAAGTATGTATGTACAAATACATTTAGAAAATTAATGAAGTACGGAAAGTACAAAATTACGCATTTTAATCTCAAAATGTTAAATGGCCATACCATGAAGAGTTCCACAGCTAGTAAAATAATCCTAGGCGTGAAATGTCTCCCTTGATTGAATCCAAACCCCTTACAATCTACGATACACACCAATTCATTCCCCTCCGAGAAAACGCTGCGAATCGCCTCATCCATGAAAAACATCGCGGTTGCGATGCAGTCCTCTAGCGATGCCTCGGACGGAATCCATGGACCTGCAATTAAAAAATTGGAGTTATTTTCAATCTTTTTAAGAATATGTCCACTGGACATACATATTCTTTAAAAAAACAGTGTTCGCCTAGGCATTGCGCAGCCGCTATGCTGTTAAAAATCTGATATAGTCACGCAGGTATTGATTTCTCGGTATTAAATACTAATAGAGTTGCCACTGCTTTGTATGCACTAAATTTATTCAGGGTCCGTAAAAATTTGCTACCGATGTGGTATAGCGTTAACCTTAGTGGTATTACTACGCTGCATTACTTATCAATACCACTCTGGTAGGGTCAAATATGTATTTATGTATGTGAATACCGCTTGGTATTATTTTAATGTTGGATTTCTAAGAGTGTTTTCTGTTATTTCCAGTATGTACGTATACGTATTTACACCATTTAATTAAAATAAATCATCCTTACTATTTAAAATTTCGGAAAAGGTAAGCGTAAGTTAAACGTTTAAAATACTTACATCCACAACAATGACCATGTAGAATTGTTTTAAATACATAATGTTTCAAAACTTTATGGTTAAAAAGTTGAATATTTAAACAGATGTAAATATTTAAATTTGTGCTAAAGTATTTAAACGCCACTCTGAAAATAAACAATTATGTATGACTTGACTTACTGGCTTGGAACAGCACCACAACTCTGCCCTTGGGATCCTTCTCTTTTAAAATGTTGACAATTCCTTTATCCACCATGGTTGCGGTCGAGGGGCGGAACTTTTTCGTAAATTGTTTATACTTGCCGGTCCTCATTTTAATAAAATGCTCCAACTTTTATATACAAAAAAAAACATTCTATGTAAACTAAATAAATCTAGAATTACATAATTTTACACAAATTATTCACTCACACATTTCACCGTTTCATCCAATCTAAGCTTCTTCCCGTTTAGAAATCCCAGCAATAAGTGGTCATCCAGTAAATCGCTGTACGCGGAAATTATTTCATTTTCTGAAAAACGAAAAATTTTACTTTTTTATCCAAGATTAAAATAAATTATTCATCACCACCTTTTATCTTGAGTTTAATTTCGTCCAATAACAAAGCAGCCTTGTCAGCTTTATTAACCGTCTCCATGACGACGTATTTAGGGATAAAGTAGTTTATTTTAATTGAGATTAATAGATACACTTGGCTTGAGTTCAAGTGACAAATTGCGACTGCATGAAAAATTGGAGATCACTCATCGGACCATACATTTGTATCAATGGCACGAATTGTTTTTTGTATCTGGGGTCCAAAGTATGTAACTCCTTATCTGCAAAAAGACGTGATATACAAACAGTTCATGGTCTACGTCATTTGCAAACTACGCAAATTTTCGGTTGCATTGACAAAACAAAGATAATCTTATAAGACAATTTTATTGCTATGTATGAAAGAGGGAAGATTATACCATATTTATTACGTAAAGGAAGATGACATAATGCTGTTATATGTCAATCTGGTGTATTCAGGCAGGTATGATTTCTCGGTGTTAAAGTTGCTACGGTTTGGTATTAAAATTACATATACCGGTAAATAAAAATACGTTACTGATATGGCAAAACTTTAATACCGAGCCACTACTACACAATATTATTCTAATTTTAGTTTATCTTTATCTTATATTGTCCCCAGCCAATATTGTTCAAAGTTTTAATCGTCTCACATATATACAAACGTATGTATTCCGGGCAGTGCCAAAAAATACTTCTCATGTTCAAGCGGCCAGTATTCTTTTTACTCTGAAAACATTAAAGATTGCAATCTTTAGAACGCAATCGATTGCGTTCTACATATGTACATGTCGATCTAACTTATTCACATTATTTTGTAAATAAGCATATACACATTACGTTAATTAAACAAGTAAACACAAATCTGTCATTTATTTATTGATCTACATGTAAGTGCGTGGAAACTCATGGAAGTGGATTTGCCAAGAATTTGTCGTATTCTTAATTCCTCTACATTTGTAGATGCCTACATTTTCACAAGTATGTATGTAATAATACATATGCATAAAAATAAGCCAAAATATGCAAATTACCCAACCAGAACCCGAACGTTACAATAACGTTAGATCAACAGTGTTGATGCACTACGTATGACGTCCGCCTAAAGCGTGTTAGTTTAATGTTACAAACAGGGCGGAGCATAATGGTGTGAGCACTGTGCCCGGTCGTGGCTACAGCATGTTATCAACATTGGTGAAACTTGACTTGGCCGTGCATTGCAACAAAGTGTAACATTGGCTTATCGTTGTCACAATGTTTATGCTTGCACGGTGCTCAGTACAGGGTGGTTGCACGTTAAAATCATGTACAAAAATGTTATTTTTCTCATGAATTTATTTATTCATATCGTACCCAAAAACAAAATGAATAACAATATTATTTTCATGAACAAAATTAAAACTATCCATTAAATATTAAATATCTATTATATCTAACTTATTATACTAAGACATTAAATATTAAAACTTCTTTTACTCTTCGCATAACGGGACACAGAAAAAAGAGTTATCTGCACTAATAGGAAATAACATAACTTTACATCTTATTTCAGATTGAGTTATAGTTGTTGAACGGAAAGCTAAATTAAATACCTTTTGAATCATAAATTTGGAACCCTTACAAGGCTTAGTAAAATACTCTGATTGTCCTTTAAACTTTCTCACAACAAAATCATTTTCACTTTTCTTAACAACAATCACAACACAACCAGTTTTTAGAATACAACCACGATCGTTAATTTTTTTTGATATATGGAGATTGTTTTCGATCCTAAACGTTGTGTTTGAAACATTAGACTTTTCTAACTCTGTCACCCGCCTAATAACTTGTGGAAGATGACGACTCTTACCCCTCAACATTTTCTTCAAAGACTGCATACTATTTTCAAAAGCAAAAGCGTTGACCTTTTCCAACGACCCAAACTTATCAGCATCGTCCGTTAAATGAATTAGCGAATGAACATTGTAAACCAAAAATTGATCATGATATAGCTTACCAATATTTTTTGTAAACTCAAACATTAAATGTCGGGCGTAATTATACCAATTACGATTATTTGAAAGCAAAATTCTTGTTGCAATACTTAAAGCCATAAAATGCTCATATTTTTCAGAACTAAGTAAACCCTTTAAAGCAAATGGGCCAAAATACAACAAGAAATTTCGGAGCTCTGTCGCCTTCCAAAACTCCAACTCCGAGAGTGGCCTTGGCTTCCTATTAAACTCCGAGCAAACAAATTTTCTAAGTTGAATCAGTCTATCTGAAATTTCATATATTGTATACTTCCCTTCCTTGTGCATGGGTCCTCTTTTCCAGCATTTCAATAGCTTTTTAACAACTCCCAAACAAATAAGGTGCATGTAATCAAGAACAACCCCAGAAACCATGCCAACGCCTAGCCCAATTAATGGGGAAATACCTACATGATGATTGGCGTCCTCCTGCCCAACAAATCCAATATCTGACCTTAAATCCGCTTGTAAATTTTTAAATACCACGCGACCTAACCATACGCCTTTATCAATGCAACGGTCACAACCATTATAACCATTAAATGCTGAAGTTTGCTTAATAAGATTTCTTGCCGGGGCATCTGCAACTATGCACTGTAGTCTAACTTGATAAAGAATACCATTAATTCTTATTCCTTCCTGTGACAGTTTCTTAAATTCTGTTACAAATGGTTGGAGAAACTCGCTGACATCCACAGGTTTGCTATTATCGCTGTAATATAAACCAATTAAAAATGGGACATTATTCGCTACGTTGATACATCGCCCTAGAATTGGCCAAAATTGTTTTTTGCTAGATTTACTAATTGGTAATCCATCAATTCCTAGGATTATCCAAAGCACTCCATCCCTTGGTATTGTAAACACCTTAGATAAGAATAACAATTTTTGTTTCAGCCCAAAATGATGATATGAACCACCCTGAATCTCGCTAATTTCATAATTTTTTGGAGTCCCCACTAAACCCTTAGCACATTTTGGTAAATTAGAACCTGTCACATGTGCAGATAAAATGCCCAAAAGATCATCAATGGCAGTTGACGTAATATTATGCTGTACTGCCCAATTAGCTAACCTGTCTTTTAAGTCAACTTCTAATTCGTCACCCTCAACTAGATTAGAATTTAAAATTAATGGGACCTCATTTAATTTAGAACTTGGCTGTAAAAATATCTGACAGTTTGACCCTACTTCATCTTCTTCCAACATTAAAGCAGGCTGCTCTATTTCTTCGGAAACATTAGATTGAGCTAACACCTTATCGTGAATTTCCTGTTGTATTTTCATAACATTTGATTGAATTATCCGTCTTCTATTTCTACTCGCTGACATAATTCCTACTATAAATTTATAATCTTCATAGACAATATTATAAAATGCCACACAATAGTTATTTACGACTGAAACGAAGTTTGTCCATAATGATTTGCTTGATCTGAATTTCTGTGATTCCTCCTAATGAATTTACAAGTTTTCTGTTTCGTCTAGTTGCCGCTGCAAAATAAAAATGTTACTAATTAGTAGGGTAACTCAAAAGCATATATATTTTTACATGTAGGGTTTATACTCACCGATTAAAGCGTCATTAATTTTGATAAACGAAGAGTATGAGATTTTGTTCAGCCCCTTTCCAGTGTAGCTCAGTTGAATTCTCACTTCTTTACTGAAAACACGTTTTAAGATTTCTGTCACTGTTTCCTTGAGGTCATTTCCTCCAATTCCAATCAAATATTCTACCTGTTAAATTAACGATGAAAATATAAAATGATCCACCATTAATTAAATTACACTTGATTTGAACTAAATTGAACTATTAAGCAATTACAAATAAATTGTATTCATCCACAAGTTGAAGTCGTGTCTCAAAGGCGCCAAGTTCTCCCTCGTTATTTAATGGAAATCGAGGAAGAGTAGAGAAATCCAGCACAGGCCTAGCAATTGGCGACACTCCTGACTCTTGATTCCTTTTAATCTCTGTTAGAAGCCCCCGAATATCTTTCTGTTCCTTCTCAATTGCTGCAAGATGATTGATAACAACCTGCTGAAATCCTGAAATTACAAATAAACTAGTTTACACCAAGTAATAAAACAATAGGTTAATTGTTTCAAAAATCGATTATAGTTATACAATTTTACCCAAAGTTAAGTCTCCACTGCTGGTTGTATATGGCCCTCCCACAGGGATAGAAACTGTTGCTGGGTGTGAAAGGGCCGTATTTTGAGAATTTAAATTAAATGAACCATCCAAATTCAAAAGAATGGTTTGAGAGGACTGCTGAAATTGTTGATGATCCCCCGCGACTTGATAAGCTGGAGCCACGGTTATTGAAGGAGCGACCGAAACACTTGGCGGTACTAAATAACAATTCATCAGGTTTTAGCGATAATATACTTTTAATATATCATTGAACAGCAAAAAAATTACCAAGAAAATTTCCATCCGGCTCAACAATGCTTTCTGGGCTAAAGTCGGCATCATCTTCGGCTGAGACCACAACACTAGGATTCAAAATGACCGGTATTTCCTCCTCCTCATCTGATCCGGCTGACGAATTTGATTTTGGGGATGGCCGAGAAGCAATTCTTTTTCTGGTCCTATGCTGTTGCTGATCTGATTTAGTTTCGATATCTGACGTAGCTTCAGCTAATTTCAATCCATCAGTGGCCTCCTCATATGTAGCTATATAAAATAAGTTACCAAAATTATTATTAATTAAATCAATTGAATAAATAACATTGAAAACTACCAAATCGTCCTAAAACTCGACAATCGTAATCATCCCAATCCGAGCCAGGCCTTAATGCTTTGTCCTTTTTCTTATTACTAAAAGCCGGAGTGACCTTCTTTGGCCATTTACACTTTGTTTCGTTATCGAACAGAAGAGATGACGGGATTGCCTCAACAGAGTTTTCATTCGGGAACAGCACGACAACAAATGGGGTTTTCACTTGGTGCTTAGGTCCCATTTAACTTAATTTAAATTAATTTGTAATTATTTAACTAAATCTTGAACGATTAGAAAAATTGAGAGTGTGGATTAACTTCACTAAATGTGTGGAACGGAATGCGTGGTTAAAATGGCGGAACGTGTTCTGAAGTGTGATTTTAATCATCACAGCAGCTGTAATTCACGTTGAATAAGAGTAAAATCAGCGCTGCGGATTCACAGTGAAAACGCGTTGAGACACTATCTCAACGCGTTTCAGCAACGTGAAAATGATGCGCTGATGCACTGTTGATAAACCTGGCTTGCGTAACATAGTGTCAATGTTGATTTCGTTTTTTTTCTGCTCTTTAATGTAACAGTGCACAAATCGCACCTTAAAACGGTTGTGTCAACGTTATTTTAACATCGGGTTCTGGCTGGGTATACGTGTCTATGACTTGAAACAGTCATATTGTAGTGACAATACTTGTGACGATCTGATCTAGTTGAAAATCCGATTGATGCACCTTGAGCAGAATAATTATCTTGAATTTACTGATTTGATCACTTCATGCTCAATTCTAAGCAAATGCAAAAACTCACAAATTTTGGAATACATAATTCAAAAAGAAAAAAATAATTTCATAAATTGTTCACTTTATGTATGACAATGCGTGTACTGTGAAGTATGCTCATTTTAGTCTCTTAACTTGTTTGACATCTCGGAATATTCCCTCCTACTACACAGTCCAGTTTTTAGCAAAACAACTCAAGTTGCGAAATATATCGTCGGAAACGATCAGATTTTTATTTCCCACAGACAATATCACCATTACTCAGAATCTAGTTGACGCCAGGTCTTCAAACTATGCACATACATAGATATGTACATCTTTACACAGTTTCACACTGTCGTAGGTTAGTTTGTGGTGGAAAAGGCTTAATAAATTAATGCATAACATTTTTCCCATAGCCTTTCCTTGATAACAATTGCATAAATATATATGTATCCAGGTACGTACAAGTTCTTCATCACTTATGTGACGCAGGTTGAAATCTTGTACTGTACTAACAACAAAATGAACTCGTAGGTCAAGGTATAAAGTCATATCATTTTCTCACCATACCCACATTCTAACTACGCATCGATGAAGTATCTCACCATCGATTTCTTCCCACTTTACTAGAAAGTGGAGCATTTTAAGAAAAAAATAATTCCTCAAAATGACAGAAATGGACACTTATTCTCTCTCCTTGCTGGAAATTTTGGCCACGTCAGTTGCAAAAATGGGCCCAATACCGGATCACATTGCCATCATAATGGATGGGTTAGCACAATTAAAAAGCTAAAAAGGCTTTTAATTAAACTTCGCAATAATGTGTGGTCTTAATTTATTCATAGAAATCGCCGCTATGCGAGAACAAAAGGGTTAAACACTGTGAACGGGCATGAAGCTGGGTAAATCATTTTTTTAGCGTGTAAAACCTAATACATAAAGTTAAAAAAAAATATTTTAGAAGACATAAAAAGTTGTCTGGTATCAATTCTGGTTGATTTATAACTTATCATTTGCAGGTCAAGGGTGAGCCTCGGTTTGGAAGAGTGGATCAGAGCGATCGGATGTAACGAACTTACCGTTTACGCCTTCTCCTCCGAAAACTTTAAGCGCACTAAGGAAGAAATCGCAGGCGTGATGGATGTCATTTATAAAAAGATTGGATCTATGATACAAGATGTGTAAGAAAATTCATTTCTTAAATTGAAAATGAGGATTTTTTTCAGATTTCACATATCTAAATTTAAATTTAATTAATGCACATATGTATGCAACAAAATATAATTTTGTATTTTGTAAGGAGTGTCCAATGAGTAACGGGACATTTTTATTTTTTGAATTTACCCAGAAACTATTAAAGAATTGGATTGCTATATATTTTTTAATTTGTTTGTCCGCTCGACAACATAATAGATCCCCAATTCTCAGAGGGTCTTCAAGCTAATTGTTTTTCTTAATCTATTTTTTTGTTTTGTAGTGAAACCGGAAAAAATAGGGATACGAGTTTCCAAGTGATCGGAAATTGGGAAAGTATTCCGTCAAAGTTGAAATTTCGCTTGGCAAACTTGATGCAGAAAACGAAAAACTTTAAACCCTTCAAGCTCAATATGGCCGTGGGGTATACAGGTATGCGAAAATAAACTGCACATTACAATATTTAGTACTTATACTTTCGTAATTATATTTACATATGTGTGGGCAGTTCAGATAAGAAATGGTTGACTTGCACCTAATAAGTCATCATAGGAGACCGTTTATTGTAGGGCTGCTTTTAGGACAAGATTTATTTTTTAAATCCTTGATCCATTCCCCCTGTATGAATTGCAGCTTGGAAAATACTAGATGACCTTTCGATTGATTTTTATTGAAAAATTCTTTGAGAATATTTCATTAGCTCTCCAATTTAAACTTTTAATTCCTTCATTAAACTAATTCAATTTCAGGTCGGGAAGGCATTCTTCGAAGTTTGAACGCATTTGAAGGTACCAAATCCGACAAGGTCAACGATAACTCGGACATAATCCCGCCATCCAAATGGAACGAGTATTTAATCGAACAGGCCCAAAATCTGAGTGACATGAAACCCGTGGACCTGCTAATTCGGACCGGGGGAGATCTGCGACTATCCGACTTCATGATGTGGGAGGCCAGCCACGCCTATGTCCACTTCATTCCTACCACCTGGCCTGAATTTAGCTTCACTGATTTTATCCACGCCATTTTCAAGTACCAGTTGCACCGATATGGGGTGCCAAAACAGGTATTATTTAAGTTCAACCTGTTTATTGGATTGTTCTTTTAAGGGGCTTTAATTCACTTTACAGCTTTCTGCAAAACAGTCCCTATCCCGGGAGGAAATGACTTTCGCGGAAAAAATGTTGCAACTACCACGCACAGAACGGTGGACAAGGATTGTTCGAATGGGAAACAAGGATGTCCCACTGGAGGAAGTTGAAGCGGAATATTCTCCAAACAATGAAAAGTTTTCAGGCGCTGTTAAATTTTAAATGACCAAATGACCACAATTTCCAACATTATGTATGTACGGGTACATATGCATGTATGTATGCATGTTTGTACATATGTAGGTATGTACATACTCCTGTTTTATTATCTATAAAACCTTATGGTAAAAGGTGAAGTTAAAACCCATTAAAAGGTTTCCACCTGGTTCATGAAATTCGCACCTATTTCCTTTCAAAAACTCGGTGTTAATTAATGTGCAATTACCAGAAAAAAATTAGTACTTAGGTAATAAAAACTGCGAAATATATGTTAATCTGATTTATACACATTTGTTTATATGCACCAAAGCTACAAGCGGTATGAATGAAGTTTTTGAGAGGAACTGGGAATTTATCAAAAAATTATGCGACTTCATGACCTGGCCTGGAGGGGGTGGTGCGTTTTACCCCAAAATTTAATTGGATCCTCCCCCATCGTCATTTTTGGCGGAAGCTGATCTCGTCGAATTATTGGAGCTCGTCGAAACTGGCTTAATCTTAGCTTAAAAAACTCACCGCCATTTTATTCATCTATGATGACTATGCAATTTCGTCGTCCAGAATTTTAAAATAAATTCCCAAAGCCGTGCAATAATAAAAAATGTGTTTTCCATAACTCATGGACATTCTCTGAGTGAATTGCATCAGACTACATAATTTTCATATTTTGACGCATTACATAGAGTTTATTCAGCATCGAAAGCCCGTATGGCCGGAAGTGGGCATAGTGAGATTTATCAAAAAGAGGTGACACGCTCAAGTAAGAGGATAGTATATGCACGTACGTCACACTGTTCATGTACTTTCTTACTTTGATCTTGCTGAAAGATTTGACAATAAACTGAAAACATATTTCTCAACTGCCTCAACATGAATATTTTGCATACATGGTTACATTCTTGTACATCACTTGTGTGCATATTAAATATGTACATACGTACAATGTTCTTCCAGGGAACACTGTACGTCATTACCATATCCTGCCTCAACAGTTGCGAAACTAGGCTGCAATATTTTCCCAGGAGCACTTATTTTACTCTCAAACCAATATAAACTTGACGATTCTGTGCCTCACACACCTCGCCAGTATTTCGCAACTGGTACAAAATTACGCCATCCAAACGCAACAAAACCGAGTAAAGTTCCATTGTCACTGCTCACTCGCTACTTCATTTCATTACTCGACAACATCTAAAATTATCAGATAAAGGATTTGCCATAAAATATGGAGAACGGAAACAAAGGACACGAATTAGCCCCCTGCGTGATCAAGTTCTCTGTAAAAGTTGACCAATTCTCTGAAAGATTGAGCCCTTCGGTTCAAAAGGGTGTGAAATCGTGTCAGGTTTCCAAATTGGAGAAGGAATTTTCATTCTTCATCCCACCAACTTTTCAGTAAGTTACTTAATTAAATTTGTTTAACGCGTTTTAACCTCATTGTGAACATAAATCTCATTTAAGAATGACATTGATTTCATAATTACGCATTATACTTAGGAGGACAACCCTTCACCGACAGAATCACCGATCTTAACGTCCTTTGGATATGTTGTAGTCCTAGGCGAGTCTAGCAAAAGTGAAGAAGGATTTCATTCAATGGCCGCATTTGCGCCCGCCACACCCACTCAAAGGTGCGAAAAACACGAAAAATACCCTGTTTTCGTTCATTCAAAAAATCACCAAAAATCCAATTTTGATCGGATTTTCATAATTTAAGCATTTTTGTGATCCTAGATAGTTGCTTTATCATATCCAATAGCTAACTCAATTTTTTTGAAATTTTGATTTTTTCGAAGGCATACCCCTGGTCAGGAAAGTTTCGAAAATACTCAAAAAATTGAGTTAGCTATTGGATATGATAAAGCAACTATCTAGGATCACAAAAATGCTTAAATTATGAAAATCCGATCAAAATTGGATTTTTGGTGATTTTTTGAATGAACGAAAACAGGGTATTTTTCGTGTTTTTCGCACCTTTGAGTGGGTGTGGCGGGCGCAAATGCGGCCATTGAATGAAATCCTTCTTCACTTTTGCTAGACTCACCTAGGACTACAACATATCCAAAGGACGTTAAGATCGGTGATTCTGTCGGTGAAGGGTTGTCCTCCTTAGTAAACAATTTTGGTTTTCATGATTTCCTGCCAAATGCGAAATATTTTTTAACGAGTTGTCACTTTGAGTTTGAACAACAAAAAATCCTCTTCTTAACATTGGTTGGTATAGGGAAAATTACAAAATTTGGGAAGAAAAATATTTTTCAAAAAACCATATTTACATTAAAGTTTTCATTTACCATAGACTTTTCCACAAAATTTCAAAGAAATGTTCGTTCCTAGAAAATTTTGAGAAATCTGGATTTTTAAATGCATTTGGTATCCAACCGATACGTTCTGAAATAAGCCGTACGTATGTATGTACAACACATTCGATGAAAATGGGGTTAGGTAACTTCAATTTCTCAATAATTAATGTCGTCGGGTAACAAAACAACGTAATTCACGACGTCTAATAAACTATTTATCTAACTTAAAAACTCAAACCATAATGAAATATTTCACGGTGAAAAAAAAATCAAAAGATTTATTTTTGTCATGTAAACTAAACCTCATTTCCAGACGTATCAACCAGGATGCTATTTCCCAAGATTCACAAGAAGTAGCTTCCCTCAAGGAAGAATTGGAAGAATGGGTGTCTGATTATTACGGATCGTTCATCAAGCCTGCTTATGGCGAGTACGTTGTCAACCACGCTGTTTCTTACGTCCTCCGATTATGTCCCACTTATCCAGTCCATTCTGCAAAATTTCGCGTACTTTCGCACTGCTTCATCCTCTCGACAATATTCGACGATTGGCTGGACGATACCAGGGAAAAGTCCGGATTTTCTGACGATAACGACAAAAGTAGTTTGGACTTAAAAAAGATTAAATATTTCGATATGGTTCGCGAGGCAGTTGCTAAAGTATTCAAGGATGAAGATTCTGACGGAATTGGTAAGAAATAAATGCTGAACATGCATTGAGCGTACTCACGACAACGTCGTATTCCAGATCGCAAATCATTTACTAGCAAACTTGAAGCTTGTATCGGGAGGGAATTCGCATAATATGATTTCGCAAATCTCGCAAGTATGTGTACATCCAGAAACACCTATTTTGATGTTGTTTCCATGGATTTCAGGAATTTCCATGTCTGGTGATGGGTACGATGATTTTGTGAAATAAAAACATGCCCAATTAAAAATTTCAAAAAAAAATCCCATGGTTTTCCAGCAAAAATTTTGCGAGATCTTGCAAATTTCGCAAAACTTCGCAAGCTATTTTGGTATAATTTGTGAGATATGCGAGACATGCAATGATATATGTATTTAGTTGACATTAATACGCTCAACGTTAACACATTACCAACATTAATATTTATTTAAAAAGATGAAAACATATTTTTTTAATAAGACTTGGACGAAATGGGAACACACGTCGCCAATATGGACATGATTAAGGAGCAACCATTCATTGTAGTGATTGCAGATTCGGGCAAAGAAATTACTAAATTTGTTAAAGCCGCAAATCCAAATTTGTCAAGTGGAAAGTTTAAAAAATCTTTGAGAATTGAATTTGTCCGCTGTTTCGAGTCCCTCGGGTGGACCTTTGTCAATTCGAGGGAAGGAGGATTGGACGAGTATTGCGTGGACACATTTAGATATTTTAGGACGTTGGTATGGTGTTTAATTTTTAAAAAATTGACATTTTTGAAAATTATATGACCACATATTTGTAATCCTAGGAAGCTGGACTCCCCATTTATATGACCGTTATCAAAATGATAGAAAATATCGAGCTACCCGAATTTATCCGAATCAACCCGGTCTTCACCAGATGGCATGAAATGGCCGACAAGGTAAAACGTGCAGAAATTCAGATTAATTCATTCCCGAAACCAACAGTCTCTCGTTTCTGGCAAGTTTTTCACATTTCTTGTATTACAAAGCAAGAAATGGAAGAAATGCAGGGTGCAAAATGGAGTAAGAAATATGCACCATCTGGCGACGCGCTATATGAACTATAGCGACGGGAAGTATTTAGCGTCTTGCGCCTTGCATTTCTCGCAGGTCAAAATATTTGCAAGAAGCCACGACTTTTCTGTAGTTATTTCTTGGAAGAATTTATTTGCATCCGAATCACTGAAATTCATTTTGTTTTGCAGTTGGTGGGAATCCTGAACGATTTGCTCGGACTTCAGAAACAACTCTTGTACGGAGAGGAGGATGGAACACTTTTCTTCAAAGTGAGGAAAGGACTATCCTTAAATGATGCGGTTGACGACGAAATAAGAGTCCTCGAGTATGTACATACATAATTTACGAAAACAATGAAAATAACCAAATTGAATTAAATTAAATTGCGGTTTCATTTTTATCAGGGAATTGGTGAAAGATTACATAAAATTGCGGAAATTTGTGCTCACAAAATTCCCTGATTGTAAAGAACTTCCATGGTATGTCGAATTTGTGGAGGGATGGTTGTTCGGGTCGGTGTACACTTTCAAGGACTCCAAGCAGTACGGGATGCAGGATCAGATTCACGTCGAGGAGGGTGGAGTTACTCGAACGAAGATGTAATGTTAAATCTCGTTTCGAGAATTACAGAAGATTTGAGAAATTATTATTTAGATGGCATTACGAATTTATGTGCATACTTTAATTTTTCGTGTAAATGATGATTGAATAAATCAGTCTTATTACCCACTTTGTTCATTCACGCCTACAGTACATACTTACAACATAGATCGTAATCGGAAAAAATCTCGTGGAGGAAATCTTGTAAAAAAAGATCTCCCGGAAAGAATCACCGGCGGAAAGAATGCCCAAATTAATAAATTATAGATTCATAGAGACAGATAGTCGCTCCCCCATATCCAATTTTCCACTCATTTTTTTAATTTTGATTTTTTTCGAAGACATACTGCTAAGAAGGAAATTTTCAAAACTATGTATTTAAAAAAATTAAAAAACCTTTGGTTGACACGGAGTGTGATAAAATATGTAACTATTTTAGACTACAAAATCCTTTTGTACAATGATGCAAGAATTTTCAAAATCCGAGCAAAATTAAATTCTACTGAGGGCCTGAATAGGTTGATTTTTGTAATTATTGTCCCTTTGAGAGGGTCTGGCATGCGTGGCCATAGTATCAAACCAATTGGGGTCATTGTTTACTCATGGGTCATGGGATACTGAAATTTTTTACTTGAAATCTGAGATTAACAAGTAGTGGAAATTCCTCACGAAAGCAAATTACATTGTTATCGTTATTCTTTACATAAATTTAAATTTGTAAGCATACGGAAATAGGCAAATAGGCATAAATTTCTTCCCAAAATTTGCACATCCTGATGTGCATCAAGTGTGTACATATGAAAAGAAATGTGCTTTGCTCAATCACTGTGATGATTTAAATTCGTATTTTACCTGAAAAATGAATGAAATCCCCTGGACCTTCATAAGTTATCTGAAATAGTTTGTGCATTCTAACCAACATTTTTGTCGAGCTTCTGGCAAGACCCGAAACTAATTTCGCTCACTAGTTTTTCATAAACGTTGATTTTAGCAAAAATGAACATGTCCGAGTAAAACCAAGATTACACGAGGCGGGTGTGGTTTGCGCTCCATAACTTTCCGTTGTAAATTTCTTGAGTGGTATTATCAGTTTGTAAACCAAAGTCAAAAATTTTACATGCAACCCATCCAATGCAAAGCAGGGGCGAAGGTATGTACTTATCTCTGTGGATTTTCGTAAACTATAAATAAGTTATAAATTATAAATAAGTTATTCAAATTTAATAAACTTTGTATACAGTGACGGTGAACGGATTACATATTTCGGTATCGATTCATAAATATGGAGGTACACACGTTGCGTAATGTCAAGTAACTAATTGATAATTATTGACCTCTACATACATAAATATGTACTACAAATCAGGCCGTTTTCCCGAAAAAGTTAGAAATAAATCGTTCATTCATACTAAAAAATTGTGTCCATTTCGTAAATGTTTCCTCTTTCATCATCGGACATTTACCTATTTTCTTTCAAATTTAATAGGAATCTGGTTGTCAAGAATGAAGGGGTCCATCCATTGCCGTACTTCTTCCGTAAACTAGAAATATCGGAAATCACAAAATTACTTTGAGAAAAACTTTACGTCTAATACAACTCACCTTTACATTCTTAATAGTTACATCAGGCAATTTATTTCTTTTGATTACCCCAAGAAACATTTTCATGCGTTCAACTCCACGCGAAACGGGAGCACCCACCTTACCTCTAGGCCATCCTGAAACTTTTACATCAAACTTTTTGAGAGCTAGGAAAATACAAAATAAAAAAATTAATGTGCGCACAAAATGAGCCAAAACTTATGTATATCGTCATATTTACTTGAAGGCAAGTCGTCGCAACAGGCCACCCATTGGATAAGATGGGCAAATTTCTTATCCACCCCTTTCTCATAACTGTGCCACTCAAGAATTGATAAACTCTCCAAATTTGTGAAAACTTGGCCTAATCCATTAATTGACTCGACATCCCGTACATCCGTTAGCACAAGATTTTTGACCCCACTGAATAAATTCTTCGACTTCATCGCCCTTTTCAACAAGTCGTCAAGATTGGACGGAAAGTAATAAGGGTATGTTTTTTCGAGCTTCAAAGTCTGCAGGGATGGGAGTCTCACGGTGCAAGTATCTTCTAAATTATCTCCACAAGTAAAAGCATCCACCACGTGGTTTTCAAATCTGATAAGACTCTGCATTTTTGGAATCTTGAAAGCAATTTCAGCCACGAGCTCTATTCCATCCTCGACATCACGATTTTCATATTCATCATCACATGTAGCAAAATTCGACAGGACTAAAACTTGAAGATGATTTTTCACCTGGTCCAACATTTCGTTGAGTCCATTGGTGCCAGCACAACTTGAAAGATACGATAAGTTCATGCCATTCATAGAATTTCAATAGTTTTAATTTTTTCACATCGACTCAAATCTGGGCACCGCTTGCCATAGTAGACGAAATGGGTCAAGTTTGGGGTCGAATTGATAATCATTTGTATCATCTTTAGGAAACTTGTTCGCCCTTCGAGGTCACGTATTTCGATAGAGGTCAACTTAGGCCTGATGCAAAGGGGTGCCATACCCTGGGAACGCATGTAGTCTTCACTCATTTCATGCACTTTGAAATCTATCTTTTTCAAGTTTGGGCAGAAGTTTTGCAATGTTTCGAACATGGCCCAGATCAGGTCTTTTTCCTCGAAGGTGAGTACTATTTCTTCGATGAGTTGAGAAAACGTGTTGCAAAATAAAAGTAGTCGGGAGGAAGAGGAGCAAATTTTTGGCTGAAAATAATTTTGATGACATCCTTCTTCCAATTCTAATATACATCTTGCGAGTTTGGGTTCCATGTTGAGGCAAAATAATTCAAGAGGAGCTGTAGTACAGCAGTTTAATGGGTCCCCTGATCCATGCGGATGCAACAACTCGAAACCTAATTTTGGTTAGGGAAGGGAGAGTACTATTTGATTCCATGATTGGCAAACCAGACGCAAGTTTTTTACAGGGAGACGTTCAGTTTGAAATATTTTTTGAAGAATCTGGTAAAAATAAAGGCATGTTAACATCATGCTAGTTATTTCTTGTAAATATTACATAGGTCATAAATTTTGTGCAAGTATACTTACGATCGGATTTTGTAAAGCTTGTTGTTCCGGAGAGGGGGTTTCCGGTTCCATGTTTTTACTTTTGCAAGGGTCTGATAAGTTAGAAATTTAAAATGTGATAAAATAGTTGACAGGTATTTATGTACTAATCTGGTCTAGCACGTAATTCTGCTAAAGATAATTAGCATATATAGTAGACTTTCGAACAAAATAAAATTATGACAATTGTTTTAATAATGCAGAATTTTGTTGGTATATCAAATTAAACGATACCTTGACGAAACATCGATTGACTGCTGCTTATTAATTGCACCAAACCAAAGGCACGAGAGTTAAGTACAAAATAATAATCCATCAGCGTACAATTATTTAAAAGTTATTTGATTTATAGGTAATTTCTGTTTTTTTTCATATGAAGAAAATGTGTGATTTTCTGTTGGTTTTGGTACTTCCCGATGCACAATCAGATTCGGCCCGAATGCGTCCCGCATACGATGTTTTCGGTTTAGAGGCGGCCGAAATTATCGCCTCAATTACGACTACGGATAGATTTCTAATTTCAGATTCTATGTAGTAACTCACAGTAGCGGGTGGGCCACCTTCGGTTTCAAAGCTAAAAAAAGATTTCGTTTAACCGACAAATTTATGCTATCGAGCAGAATTCGGATTTTCTCTCGCTATCCGAATTCTGCTGCCGACTACGGCCCGAATGCGGGGCGAGCTCAGCTCAGCAGCGGGGTTTTTAAAAACTATATGCCATGCCTTTCGCTATTAGCACTTAGCACCGGTCGCTGATTTCGCTACTCAACGTCCCAGAAAACAGTGAATAGTTTAAAGAATAAACCCGTTGCCGTGGTTTTCGTAGAAGAAGATAAAACTTTGGTTTCGGATGTGTCATCAAACTGGTTAAGTGCCAATAAGTGCCCAGTGTTCTTGGCCATCAGGTCCAGGAAGTCAAAAGTAATCAAAAATAAACCAATCATGTTGTATCCGATATGAGCTGGGAAAACACCAAAGCTCTCTTCTTAAATTTTCAAGTAAGTTTCCATTCTAGGTGGTACTATAAAATGATATAATTTGTCAGTATATTAGGATGCAATATAAATGTAAGTTTATATGTATTCCGTTGCTACATTAAATAAAGTAAATTGATTTGTGAACTTTCGACTTATGTATTTTAATTATTTTAAATTCGGGAAATATCATTCGGAGCGAGTGAGATATATAGCACGCGGATAGAAAGCTGTACTCCGAAAGCGCATAGAATGCTGAAAGTCGCATACGGACCGAATTCGGGTTACGCATTCGGGGCGAAATCTTTTTGCGGCAAGATCCGCATGTGGGCCGAATTCGCTAGCCACCCGTGGAACGCATTCGGACCGAATCTGATTGTGCATCGGGTTACTAAACTGACGGACAGCAGGACAGTTGATTGCGATTTCGCTGCGTGCCTACAAACATGTAGATAAATCTCTTTGTCTTCACAGCTTCAACCTTTTCAACTTTTTGGTTTGAGTCAAGTGAATAAAAAATCACACAACAATATTGGATGCTTTAAGAGATAGTTCCGAAGTCGTATGTTTCAGGTCATTATGAATTTTATGGTTGTACAAATTCCAGGTAGTATGTATGTACGACTTACATACTTAATATTTACAAATGCATACGTCTTAGGACTTTTTATGGCTTGAGTGCAACCTTTGTACATAGTTGATAGTACTATTCAATTCACCGTTAAAAGTCCTAGCTTTACACAATATGATGTTGAACAATCTAGGAACCAGATACGGAAGGAGCACCAATGCATATTATTTATTTTCCATACATACATAATTAACTTAAAACGGCAAAACACTTACAATGGAACCTTTTTTCAAGCTACACGAGATAAGCTTAGTGACATATGCTAAAAAATTAAGCTAAAAATTAGAAATGACGTGGTACTTATCTTTCCATTGAATGGGCACTTGGAGGTCAAATATTTGAGGGCAAAGTTCACAGTAGCGGCCTGTTTTTTTCTCAAGCGGGC